GCGGAGATTGACGTCTCGGGCGGTGCACAGAAGACGGGTTGGGACGAGCTGTACGCGGAGCTCTCCGCTGCTTTCTGCAGCTACCACTTGGACAGCCCGCTCGGGCTGCAACAGCTGGTGCTGCAAGGCGCGGCTGTCGTGGACAGTGTCGGGCAACTAGTTGCCCGAGAGAGCTGTGCCGCCAACACTCCCTCCCTGGTTGCAAGCTCGGTCCTGCAGCTGGCGCGTGCCATGGACACGTTTGCCACGAACGACAACCGCACGCTCGACTTCTACCGCGACTTCAGCCCGCACGAAACGCGCCGCTCGGGCCAGCTCGTGCTCGCGCTGCAAGGTCACGTGAGCGAGCTCCTCCAGCAGTGGCCCGAGCACGCCACGTTGCAGCAGCTGTTGCGCATCTGTGAGGAGTATCTGGCGTACCGGGCGGACACGCCGCTGTTCCGGCTGCTGGCGAAAATCGAGCAGATCTACACGTTTGTGAACGAGTGGGAGAAGTATGCGCACTCGGGCGTGTCGTTGCAGCGGCATTTCCAGAATCTGGCCGATCTGGTTGTTTCGTGGAGACGGCTGGAGCTGAGTTCGTGGAAGGAGATTCTAGCGAACGAGGAGCGCGCCGTCGAGACCGGCATGGGCAAGTGGTGGTTCCATTTGTTTGAGAGCGTTGTTGTGCCGGAGAATCAGGACGTGGCGCAGCTAGTGGGGGCCGTGAACGTGTTCATCTCGCGGGCCACGCGGGGTGACATGAAGCACCGGTTCAGGCTGGTGCGGGCGTTTGCAGAGCACGTCAAAGCTCAACAGGAGCTGTATGACGCACTGTACAACGTGCTGGACTTTTTCCAGCCGTTCCTTGCTGCCGTTGAGGAAACGGTGGCTGCAGAAAAAAAGGTGCTGGAGAAACAGGTCAAGGAGGTCATTTTGCTGGCCAGCTGGAAGGATATCAACGTCGATGCTCTGAAACAGAGCTCGCGCAAGTCACACCAAAGCCTCTACAAGCTGGTGCGCCGGTACCGCGACGTTTTGAACGGCACGGTTGAGGGTATGATTGAGAGTGGACTGAAAACACCGGTGGCACACTTTTTGCCAAACACTATCGGCACCTGCCCTGTTGCTCTTGGCGACGTGCCGGCTACCGACATTGCAATGTTCAAAAACATCCGCACCGTCCACCGCAACATGGAAACCTACCTAGGCGAGCTTGCAGCAGAGCCTGTTGCTCCGTTCTACGAGTTCTGCCACGAAATTGTCCAGGCAGCAGAAAAACTGCGCGCAGAAACGCCAAAAACGCTCACCGACGAGAACAAGAAACAGGTGGCGGCTCTCAAACAGGAGAAACGCAAACTGCTGAGCGACACTCTGAAGGAGCTGCGCCGCAGCGGGCTGAAGCTGCAGACCAACACCAAAACGCAGACTCTGCTTGCGTCGACGACGGCGGTGCTGGCCAACGCGCGCACGTTCCGCCACACGGCCCTCGAAGGCTGCGACGTGTACTTTTTCCGTGTGCTGGAGCTGCTGCCGCGCTTGCGCGCGGCCGTGGCCAACTGCCACGCGGAGGTGCCCGTGACAGACGCACAGAAGGCTCTGGCTGCTGCGGAGAATGTGCTAGTGTCGCTGGTCGCGACACGACACAAGATTGGAGAGGTGTGCGCTGCACGGGATGCCGTGCAGGAGGCACTCAGGACTTTGCGGCCTGCCACTACAGAGAAGATTGTTGGTGTTGATCCACACGCCACACACGTCGTTGCCACGGTGCAAAAATTGCCCGAGGTGGTTGCCATGGCAACCAAAGTTTCTGAGGTGGCTGCCGGGCTCGGTGTGGGCTCTGTGCTGAAAGTCGAGGACGTGCAACTGGTGCTCGAGAACCGGCTGCTTACACAGAGCGACTGGGCCAGGCTGAACGCCGCGCGGCGCGGGCTCGACACCCTGCGCACTGAGCTCGGCGCGTGGAAACAGAAACATCCAGCGCTGGCGTTCGTCGCAGACACCGTGCTGGACTGGCTCGACGCGTCGGTCTCGGTGGAACAGCTGTCGCTGGTCGAGCACGACGCCAATGTCGCCGCAGCCGGCAGCGAGCTGTTTGGCTCTGTGCTGGTGAGCATCCAGAAAATCCGGCAGTTGCAGGCTGCCAAACTGGAAGAGGACGCAGACAACTGGTTTGTGGACAGCCAGCGTCGGCTGGCGAAGCTGATGGGGCTGTTGTATGGCGATGTGCTGAAAGAGCGGGTTGGCAACTTTGTGCAGTTGCTGGAGCAGTTGCACTACGATGCCGACGTCGACGGCGCCGTGCGTGCGCTGCTGTGCTACATGGTGCCCGTGCTGGAACACTACTTCAACGCGGCGAGTATTGTGCTCTGCAAAGCGCAGGCCAACTACGTGGGGGTGTCACGTGGTCTTTTTGAGCTGTGCACGCTGCTACTGAGCGTGGCCGCGGACGGGTTCTGTTCGCCGGAGGGTGCTAGTAACGAGGAGGCCGGGCCTGCGGAGAGCGGCACGGGGCTGGGCGACGGCGACGGCGCGACGAACCACTCGAAGGACGTGGAGGAGGACGAGAATCTCGATGATCTTGCTGGTGGCAAGGAGGAGAAGGATGAGAAAGACGGAGAAGAGGACAACGACGACGCCGTGGACGTGGAGGGCGACATGCAGGGCGATCTGGAGGAGATGGATGCTCAGGACGGCGAGGACGAAGAAGACGGCGAAAACGGCGAGGAGTCGGCGGACGAGGAAGTGGGCGACGTGGACGATTTGGACCCGAACGCTGTGGACGAGAAGATGTGGGACGAGGAGGCGTCTGGCGAGAAGGAGAAGGAGCAGGACGACGTGAAGGGCCAGACGGGCGAGGATATGGAGGCCGTGGACGAGGAGAAGGAAGGAGATGGCGAAGGCGAGCAGGAGAAGGCCGAGGAGGCGAGCGACGGCGAGGAGGAGGACGTTGGCGAGCAGGAGGACGAGGTTCGCGAGGGCGACGACGCGGAGATGGACGCCGAGCAGGGCGAGGCTCTGGAGCTGCCGGAGGATCTGAACCTGGATGGAGAGGACAGCGAGGATGAGGAGGGGGACGATGGGGTGGATGACATGGATATTGGGGAGGAAAACGAAGGGGAGGAAAATGAAGGGGGGGAAAATGAAGGGGAGAAAAGTGGAGAAGAGGAAGCTAAGGAAGAAGCAGAGGAAGGAGAAGGAGAAGAAGCAGAGGAAGGAGAAGCAGAAGCAGAAGAAGCAGAAGAAGCAGAAGCAGAAAATGAAGAGGAGCCAGCTGAAGAAAAGCAGGAAGGTGCAGACGGCTCGGACGAAGAGATGGCCGAGGAGCTCAAGCCAGAAACCGCTCCAGAGACGGACGCGGCAGACGCAGCGGAGGGCGGCGCGGACAGCGCGCCGGACGCCGTGCGGGACGCCGACTCGGCAGCGGCGGCCGACGACGGCGCCCAGGCCGAGGGAGCCAGCGCAAGCGCAGAGACAGAGCAGGACAACGTGGGCGCGAGCGGCGCGGCGCAGGCGCAGGACGCGCAGGAGCAGACCGACCGGTCGCGCGAGTCGGCCGCCAGCACGCTCAAGCAGCTCGGCGACTCGCTCAAGGAGTTCTACAGACGGCACCAGGAGATCCTGGAGGCCGACGTCGACGCGGCGGAGCAGACGGGCACGAACCCGGACGAGTTCCAGCACCTGGACGGGGAGAACGCGCAGAGCGACACCCAGGCCGTGGGGGCTGCTGCGCAGGACCAGGCGATGAAGATGGACGACGAGATGGAGATCGAGGAGCCGGAACAGGCGCCGGAGCAGGAGCAGGAGCAGGAGCAGGGAGCCGCCGACGGCGGTGACGCTGGCGACGCCGAGCGCGTCGAGGGCGGCGCCGACGCTGCGCCGACAGAGCGCGCGCCCGACATCAAGCAGGAGCGCGTGCCCGGTTTGCTCGCAGACGACGAGATGGACGAGGACGCGGACGAGGCCGCGGCGCCGATCGACGCGGCCACACCTCGCACCACGTCTTTGCGTCCGGTCGAGGAGGCCGTGGCGCTGTGGCAGCGGGCGGACGAGGCCACGCGGGAGTTCACGGCCGGGCTGTGCGAGCAGCTGCGGCTGATTCTCGAGCCGACGGTCGCCACGAAGCTCAGGGGCGACTACAAGACGGGCAAGCGGCTCAACATGAAGAAGATCATCCCCTACATCGCGTCGCAGTTCCGCAAGGACAAGATCTGGATGCGCAGAACCAAGCCCAGCAAGCGGCAGTACCAGATCATGATCGCCGTCGACGACTCCAAGTCGATGGCCGAGTCGAAAGCCGTCGAGATCGCATTCCAGTCGATCGCGCTCGTGTCCAAGGCGCTGACGCAGCTCGAGGCCGGCCAGCTTTCCGTCGTCAAGTTCGGCGAGTCTACCGACGTGGTGCATCCGTTCGACGCCCAGTTCACGGCCGATTCCGGCACGAGGGTGTTCCAGAACTTCACGTTCGAGCAGACGCGCACCGACGTGCGCAGGCTCGTGGCTGCGTCGCTGGAGCTGTTTGCTGCTACCAAGCCGGCGTCGGAGAACCTGTGGCAGCTGGAGATTGTTCTTTCGGACGGCGTGTGCGAGGACCACGACACGGTGCGGCGGCTGGTGCGGCGCGCGCGCGAAAACCACATCATGCTGGTTTTCGTGGTCATCGACGGCATCGCCAACACAGAGAGCATACTACAGATGAGCCAGGCGAAATACGTGCTCGACGCGTCGGGCGAGCTCAAGCTGCAGGTCGACAAGTACCTGGACACGTTCCCGTTCGAGTACTACGTGGTGGTGAGCGAGATCGAGGAGCTGCCCGAGATGCTGGCCTCGATTCTGCGCCAGTTCTTTGCTGAGACGGGCGAGAGATAAGTAGCGAGTAACTGACTATCTGATTAGCTAAGCGGGTTTCGATTTCGAGAAGCTGTTCGCGTTCTCCTGCCCTCGCGTTCTCCTTCCCCCGAGAAAAAAATAGCCCCTATATCATTTCCCCCAGGTCCAGCAAATTTTCATTCCCTCTACCCATGACCAGCTACAGAGAGTACCAGAAGGTGCTCAAGCTCACGATACGCGAGCCCCACGCCACCGTCACGCCGCCCGCTTCGAGTCCCGAGGCGTCGCCCACGCTCGCTCCCCAAAACTGCGGTCCAGAGCGGAGGAAAAAAATCACACGAACAAAGACCGGCTGTTTCTGCTGTCGAAGAAGAAAGAAGAAGTGCGACGAGAAGAAGCCGGCCTGCTCGGGCTGCGTGCGCAACATGCTCACGTGCGTGTATCCCGACAAGGACGAGATCGCCAAGTGCAAGCGCAAACGAAGGCCACAGAGCCAGGAACACGTCCCATTCTTGCCGCTCTCGCCACTCAGCTCCCCCACCATCAGGGAGCGAGAATATACCATGGAACGCACAAGACCCACGCCCACGAGCGACATCCCAGAGGTGGCTCTCACGCCGAAATGGCGCCCGTCCACGGGGATCAGCATCAAAAGTTTACTGAATTAGCCAATGCATATGTAGAGCGCAACATATTAATTACTTGACAAGCTTCTCGCCCTTCGACTTTTTCTTGTAGTCCGCCAGGCTGAACTTCTTCACCACCTTGGGTTTCTCCTCCTCTCTGGCTTCCACCGCCTCCACCTTGGTTGGCTCCTTGATAGCCACGGGCACCGGAACATACAGCTTGTCGGACGTTTCCAACGGCACGGCTTTTGGCTCCTGCCAGTATTTTCTGATGATTTGGTATTTTGGCGGCAGCACCAGCGGGTCCAGCGGCGCAGGACTGGCCGACTCGAACTTGTCCTGCGTCGCGTCCTCCAACGGCCTGCCCAGCGACTCCAGGATCACCCTGTCTCTCTGCAGCGCACGCGAGTCGAACGGCTCGTACGTCTGTTCCAGCTCCGGCACGTGTTTCCTGCTCTGCCGCTGCAAACTCGTGCTGATCTTCTTGACTTTCGCCAGCAAACAGTCTCCAGACGCACACCCGCACTCCGTGAGGTCCAGCACGGCCTGCACAGACGCCACGAGCTTGGCCTGCTCCTCGTGCGAAAGACCGTCGAACGACGCGTCGCTGAGTCTGCGGATCGGGTGCGCGTCGTCCCATTCCCACGGCACAGTCAGCTCAGACCCGCTCTCGATCTTTCTCGTGGTCGCAAGCACAAACCGCAGCTTGTCCGCAACCACCACCGACCGCACCTCGCAGTTCGGAAAGCACGACTTGCGCACAAACCTCGTCACGTTGCCCAGTCCTCTCTGGTCGACCACCAGAGGAAGCTGCGGGTGGAAAAACGTCTTTGGTTTCGCACAGCCCAGCAGCCAGTACTGGTTCCATCTCTCGTTGATGTAGTTGTCCTTTAGGTCGACCTCGCCCACAATCTCGCTCAGCAGCTGGTTCGGGCGCACTTCCACGGCTGTGCTCAGGTACAGTTTCGATAACCCGTTGAATCGCGCCTTCGCCGACTCTGTGACCGACTTCACCTCCAGCTTCGACTTGTCCAGCAGCTTGCCCGCAAACTCCCGCTCGTCCTTGAACTCAAGCACCTGGCTATCCTTCTGTAGCAGCAGACTTGGCAGTTTCCTCACCAACGACTTGGCCGCCGCCGATTTGTACTCAAACCCGCTGATCTCCACGTACAGCGTCTGGTACCGCTCCACAATCTCCCCGCCGGCCTCGTCCTCGTCGCCGGCCTCCACGGAGCCCGTCTTTTGCTTCTTGGCCCGCGAACTTGGCGGTTTCGAGTCCACCAGCTCCTTGCGTCCGTGGCCGGCCTCGGCTTGCGCGCCGTTGCCCGAACGACGCCGTTTCGGCTGCACCCGCACCGCCTGCAGCTGGCGCGCCCTCTCTGCGTTCACCACAAGACTTGGATCGCACAGGTAGCACAAATACGTCTCCGGCACGTCGTCGATGTCGTCGATGCCCATACAGACGGCGTGCTGCCAGCGGAAACAGCGGTCGCACTGGATCGTGAACCCGTCGTCGTGCTCGTACCCACACACACAGCCAATCACGCCGCTGTCCGGGTCGACGGCGTACGAAACAACAGAGTCGGACCGTTTCTCCTCCTCCTTGGGCTCTTTGTCTGGCTTGTCTTCCTCCTTTTCTCTTGTTAGCAGGGGCAACGGCGTCGCGGCCGCGGCCGCAAGCGCAGCAGCAGCCACCATTGCCTTGTTGTTGGACGATCCGCTCGCAAGAGCGGCGGCAGCGGGGCCAGGAGACGTCACGACGCCCTGATCAATCTGCCGCACCGAGGGGCTCTGTTTGCCCTGTGTGGTCGCTTCCGACGCAGGCGACGACGAAGGCTGCGTCTCCTCAAACGCGCCGGCACTGAGACGCTGTGACTGGTGCGAAAACAGCATCAGCAGGCCCGCAGCCTCTGTGTCCTGTAAATCTGGATGGCTTGTCATATACGATTATTTTTTTTGCTTCAGCCCATTTTAGGTCGATAGTCGCGGGTATAAATTTTCTTCCTTGAAATTCTTTGCCATCAATGGCTCACAGATTACTGGTACAAGTGGTGTTCACGGGCGCACGGGTGTTCGGACGCGCATTCACAGAGGCATACAGACAGGCGGCGGCGGCCACGACGGCGCAGCAGGCACAGGGAGCCGCGAAACAGACCACAAGGGCAAGAGACACAGACATTTCCCTGGACGAAGCGTGCAAGATCCTGGACGTGCAGCCCAGCGGGCTGAGTCTGGACGCGGCGCAGAAGAAGTACGATTACTTGTTTGACGTGAATTCCAAGGAGAAAGGCGGCTCGTTCTACGTGCAGTCGAAGGTGTTCCGTGCCATGGAGAGAATCAAGAACGAGCTCGAACATCTGGAGAAAAACCAGCGAGCGCAAGAATAGTGTGTAGTATTGTGTACATAGAGAAAAGTTTACAATGTCCAAACACTATTAGTGGACGAGGCAACCGCCACGGTGGTGGCATGCCCCATCGTCTGGCTAACGTATCTCGGTTATTCTAAGGACCTGAACGGAGTGACTACCGTGGCTCTGTTGTTAGCAGAGTCGGTTCAGACACTTAGCTGATCTCAGACCCACGCAACTGCCACCAACGCAGCTGCTAGGGACTGAATGGCCCTATGTTGTAATATACTAGTTTAGTATACCTACTGATGTGAAGAAATTTTACCTGTAGAAAAAACTTTTTTATACCCGTCCAGACACACGCCATACACCAACACCATACACCTAGATCCCCAGACCAAGCAGTATCTCCTCTGCGTCCTCGCCCAGCTGCACAACGCCGCCGTGGACTTCCTCTGGCGGCTCGTCGCTGTCAACTTTCCCCATGTACTTCGGCTTCGTCCACTTGGCGCGCTCTTGTTCGTAGTCCCACACCGTCTGCGCGTTCTTTTCCAGCTGTTCCAGGCTGTGCCGGTTCATCTCCTGCTCCAGCTCCTCCATCTCGCCGTCAGACCCGGTTTCCGGCGTCGCCACCTCACGCATGACCACCTTGCCGTCTCTGATGGACATGTCCAGCACCCTCTTGCCGCGCCCGGTCCGCAGTTTCTCCTCCTCCTCGAGTCTTTTCAGTTCTCGCTGCTGTTTCTTTAATTGCAGGGCTCTTTCCACCGGCGACGCCCACGGGCTCAGACTGTTGGCAGGAACCTCAAAGTCCGATGCCTGGTCGATGATTCGCGTTCTTTGGGCGCCGTTTGCCTGGAATTCCAGCAGCTTGTCCAGTCGTTGCTCTGCCTGAAGCAGTTCCTGGTCCTTGCCCTTGGTGGCCTCCAAATACTCGATCTGCTTGACGGCCTCAGCGAGCTCTTCCTGTTCCTTCTTGCTTTTGACAAGATTCTCGCGCTCCAGCTCTTTCTTCCTCTCTATGCGCTTGAAAAGCTGGTCTTGCACTTTGAAGTTGTTCTGTCCCGCAGAACTCACAGAAATGGTGATCTTGCTATTTTTCTTCGGCTTCTCCTTCTCTTTGACCACAGGCCGCACGCCGTTGAGCTCGTCCTTCTCCTTCTGCAAAACCTGCGCAATCTGGCGTCTTTCCTCGCTGCTCAGCAGATCCTTGCCGCAGAAAGAGCACGGTTGTAGTCCTTCCTTGACGCAGATGATCTTGCCGCAATTCAGACAGTTCGGGAACATCTCAAACAGCGGATGTCGCGTGGCGTTGCAGTTGCACACGCGGCCGCCACTCTGCGACTCCAGTTCGTTCAGCGCATCGCCCAGCTCCTTTAGGTTATCAAGCTTGAGGTTTTTCTCCGGTCGGCTCCTGCTCTCCTCAGCGGCCTTTTTTGGGGCGTTTGATTTGGTACCTGGCCGCACGATTTTTATCACGTTCTTCTTGGGGTTCTGGTCCGTTGTGCTGGGCTTTTTCGCGGATTTTTCCCCTGGCTTTTCCAGCGTCCTCGAAAATTCACTAATAAACTCCAGAGCGTCCGGGCTCTCGCCCAGTAAATTGATAAAGTGCTGGCTGGCAGCTTCGGGAGTCTTCAGCTCCTTCACCGCGTAGTCCACCATCTGATTCAAGGTCTCCTCGTCCAGCGGCAAAAGCCTGCCCAGCTTGGCTACTAAAGACATTAAAAAAAATTATTTTTTTATGTCTGAATCTCAAAAGCTGGAAGAACGCTTGCGACTGCTGGAGAATGACCTCAAGCTCCAGAAATCGAAACTTGTCGAAAGGCTTGCTCGCAGGCACGTCCAGACGGCACCAAAGACAGCAGTGAAAAGAACGGCAAACGACGTCCTCAAACACGACCCCGATTTTGCCATCAAGGTCAGAGCGCTCAAACAGGCCGCCAGGCAGAAAAAACGGCTCTACAAACACATTCACGCCAACCAGGTCAAATTCCCCTACAAAAATCGCATCCGCATCAACAACCTCGAATTTGTCTCCACAAACAAGGGTACTAAACTGGCTCTCGTATCCGCTAAGTTTTTGGACTCAGATAAACAGCTGACATCGCTCGACGATCTGAAAACAACGCTAACGTACAACGGCCACAGATACATCAAAACGCTGGAAGGAGATTATGTCATGCAAAATCCGCAATACTCGGACGAAAAACAGTTTTGCATGTACTACACTCGCAGCGGGACATGCTCTAATAAAAATTGTCCCTTCGTCCACTCGCCTACGCACGTTGCACTATGTCCAAACGTGATCCAAAATAAAGACCGCACTTGCAAAAGACCCAACTGCCAATTTTCTCACACGCCATCGCAATACAACGCCCCATCTTGCAAGTTCTTCCAGTCGCACAATTGCACTAACGAGAATTGTGTCTTTTCTCATAAACTGGAAAAAAAAAACTTCAGAATATGCCGAGAATTCGCCGTGAACGGCTACTGCGACAGGGGAAGAGCCTGTGAGCTCGCTCACTACTTTGAATGCCCAGACCTCCAGGAGCTGGGATTCTGTCCACGGGGCAGCTCGTGCAAACTGGCCCACAAAACCAAAGTACAACCAACGAATCATAAAGCCATTAGAAACATAGACAATGATAACGTGACACAACAGGACCATCCATTGCTAGCAGCCATACAGGATAGCAGCTCCGAAGATTCGGATATCGAACAAACCCAAACGGCAGACCTCGACATGAATCACGATTATGTACAAATTGCGTAATGTCGAACAGTCGATCTTCATAGCCATATTCTTAGAGAAAAACTGTCATGGAGCCGGGTGGCCGGCATTCCACGGACACGACACCATGTCATCATAGCCACCAAGCTCCTCGTCCAAAGCATAGTCGACGAAATGATTATCCGCGCGCTCGTCTCCTCGGACAATGCACACCTGGGGATCAAACGAGCCGTCCACGTTTCCAGGAATTGGCTTTTGTCCAAGGTCTTTATCGTCGAGCTGGATGAGTGGGTACGACTCGCCGATGTATAGTGGCTCAATCAAGCCGCTGTCCTCGTCGTCTCCATAATCAGAATCGTCGTCGTTGAGCTCCCATTCCTGATCTGCCTTTTCTGGCTCGACGCTTTGAGGCTTGGTTTTCACCGCCATATAGTTATCATTTTGGTATGGCTTTGCATCGATTTGCTTGTTGTTAGTCTCATCCTTGAGACTTCCTGCAAACGAAAAGTTTTGTGGGTTCTGCTTTTCAGATTTGCCAAATTTGAACATGTTAAGATGTGGCACCTTACGCAGACGGTGTGAGGAGCTCTCGTTGATATTTTCGTCGTTGATGACGTTGGGGGTATTTTTGGATAGCCAATTGAGACTTTCAGGGGCGACCTTGGTCACGTTCCTGTGTGCAGGCGTAGAAGCCGGCTCTGGCCCGTTCACGACGGTGTTTTTAAAGTAACTCATTTGGCAAAGCTCGTCGACGCCAATACGGTGATTTGGGTCCCAGACCAGACATTCCTTGACCACATCACACAGTTCTTTCCTGTCCTTGTCTGGAAGATCAAATCTTGGGATCAATTCCTCGATAGAGGCACCAGGAAGCCTTGGCAGATGGAATCCGAGGTTGCTAGACAATTTCTGAGCCTCGTCCCAAAATCCACCAAGGGGCGCTTTCTCGCTCTTTTCAGGGCATCCGAGGACTTCCAGGACCCTCCAAGTTTGGTCGAGCTCGTTGCTTCCTGGAAACAAGGGAAGAAACGTTGCCGACTCGACTGCCACACATCCAAATGCCCATATATCCACGGGATAGGAGTAGTGTTTCTGTCTGAGCAGGATTTCTGGGGACCTGTACCATCTGGTGGAGACATACGCGGTGTAAGGCCTTTTGTTCTCGACTTGTCTTGCAAGTCCATAGTCTGCCAGCTTAATCACGTACGCCTGGTGTCTCTTGCTCTCAGGAATATTTTCCTTGGAGCCATAGAAATTTGAGGATTGCATGATAAGAACGTTTTCCGGCTTGACATCCCTGTGGTAGTAGCCATGTTTATGGATGTGTCTTATGCCAGCTAAGATCTGGGACAGGATCGATTTCAGAGTGTATGGGGAGAACAAGCAATTTTTTCTGTACTTCATGAGCTGGTACAAGTTCTGATCCATGGACTCCATGACTATGTGGAGCTTGAACGTTTCCTTGTCGATGAATATGTCATAGATCTGGACCAGCGAGGGGTGGGAGGACACGGCAAGGATGAATTTGACTTCCTTCACCTTTGAGTAGTCGTCCAGATTGGCCAGTCTTCGGGTCATTGTTTTGATAGCCACCACATCCAGTTTTGCTCGATTGACGTTTTTCAGCGGCTCCAGAAGGGTTCCCTGACAGAGTTTCATCTCGTCAAAGATGCCTGCGAGGGCGTTGGCGCGGACCTTCGCCAGCGTCACGGTTCCAAAACTGCCCGATCCCAGGTTTCCCACGGTTCTGTACCGCTGAACCAGCGACTTGACGGGGATCGCTGAGTGGTAGAAGGGGGTGGCCTCTTTGGGTTTTGGTGCTGGCGGTGCAGACTTGAGGAACTCCTTGAGGGAGATGGTCGTGTCAACGGCTGGCACTTGGGCGTTGAGCATGGAGAATACTTAATGTTGGGAAGAAAAAGATCGAGCGTTTAGGGGGTAGATATTTTTTCCCTTTTATGGGACAAGCGGAGAAAATAAGGCTGCTAAAAAGAATGCCGGGCTGGTCCTGTCAATCACTGCACGAACGGTGACAGCTACTGGACACCGCGAAGATGCTGCTGGGCACTATAGAGGGGACGAGCTGTGACCAAGGGTCTTCCGGCTGCGTCTTTTTCTACAGCCCACCGGCTGCCCGTCCTATACCATAGTAGGTACTTGTCACACTAACGGCTTTATATATGCGCTCTACTAACCACAAACCGCCACTGATCCAATTGTTCTTATTGTCCTTGTGGGTGGGAGCCGTTGATGTGGTGGTGTACGGGTGGCGTGTTTTTTTTTTTTGAGATAAGAATAAATTAAATTAGATTTGAATTCGCAGACAAAAGAAATCTACACTCCAAGATTTAGCCACCCTATGCAATGACAGTGGACACGCCGCTCATAATCAACCAGGAGACGCTGGAAGAGCTTCAGAAACAGGACGACTCGCTATCGAAGTTTGTGCGTCTGAAGAAGATGTACCACAATGGGTTTTACTCGGACTTCGAGCTGACCATACTGCGATCGAAGCCAAACGACTGCCCAATTGTGCAGAAGTACTCCAGAATAGAGTCCTTCAGCCATCACGGCAAGTCTGTGACACTCAACACCTTCTTCAGCGAGCATCCTCTGCGAGAGTACCAAAAGAGAAACGACCCAAATCTACGGCACGATATCCGGGAGAGAATTGAGTCATTGCCGGTTCTTGTGTTTGTGCACGGCCTGGGCGGCCAGCTGTCGCAGTTTGAGCCGATACTGCAGGAGTTCCGCAACTGTGCCGACGTTTTCGGCGTCGACCTTCCTGGATTTGGCAATTCGAAAGTGAGCACCAAGACGCTCAAATTTAGACTGACCCAGTTCTCGGACGAGGAGCTAGCGCGCTTGGAGCGCGACACAAAGAACCTTGTTCCCGAAGACTACACGAGCGAGAATATTGCAGATCTGCTGAACACCATTCTGACGACCAAGTTTCCTAATAGACGATTTGTTCTCATTGCGCATTCCATGGGCACGCATCTGGCCACAAGACTGGTCAATCTTCTGCCAGAGAACAAGGTTGAGTCGCTGGTGATGATCTCGCCGCCTAAACTGGCCCCAATGAACCTTCCTCGCGCCCTCAAGGCGGCTCTGGGCGTGTTCACCTATCTGCCATGTCTGTTCGACGTTTACCGCTTTGTGGACCGCGTGGGCGGTCTGTACTCGCCGTCGGTGAACAAATTCATCTATCCAGAGAGCAACGACTGGCTGAAGAGAGCCACGCAGTTCCGATGGAACCTGGACACCGAGTCCGAGACGTTTCTCAATTATCTGAATGGCTTCCACCTGGTGACCTCCGCCGAGCTGGTGGCTGCTGCCAAAAAAATCGCCAGTTCCACCAACGAGCCGAAAATATTGATATGTTGCGGAGCCGCCGATAGCGTCACTCCGTACAGTGTGAGCGAGGCAATTGCCCGGGAATTGGAGTCAAACGGCGTTCTTATCAAGCTGGAGAGGATCGACAAAGCCAATCACTCTGTTTTTCTGGACAGGCCGCACTATTTGACTGGCGTCATCTACCAGTTTGTCGAGAATCTCCAATTGAACGTCAGTTGCACCTGGGTTTTACAGGTGAGAGCGCAGATCAGCGGTGACAAGTGGGGGCTGAAGAATAAGGAAAAATGGGACAAAGTGGTGACAATCTCTGCACCGCTACGTGCTGCCGGCAAGCCAGAAGCGCCGTTGTTGGGCATGAAAACGCTTCGTCAGACCGACGAGGTGCACAATCCCACGGTTTTCGAGAAAGACCATCCAGAAGTGGTGGCCATCATAGATATCGGGTCGGACACCCCGGCGTACGAGCCGGCAGACTTCAAAAGAGTCCGCTACGTCAAGTTCAAGACCGAGTCGAAGGTCACGCCGGACAACGTGACGATAGTCAAGTTCATCGCGGTGGCAGACGCGATCGCCAAAGAGCTCTCGGCGGGCCAGTACATCGGCGTGCACTGCCACTACGGCCAGAACCGCACCGGGTTCTTCATCTGCTGCTACTTGGTCGAGAAACTCGGCTGGACGGTGAAAGAGGCGCTCAATGCGTTCGAGGCCGCCAAACCACCGGGAATCCGCCACGAGCATTTCAAGAACGCTCTCTACCTCAGATACGGTGAATAGCACAAAAGAGTCATATTTTCATTACCAATACCCAATGTTCCCCTCGTAGCCGAGGCCCTCCTATATTCTGAACGCGCTCCTGGTGTTAAAGTGGCCGTAAACGTTGCTTCTATCGGTCGTTAGCGAGCTTTTCAATGGCAGCACAAAGGGCAGCACCAGGCCGACCGAAACATACGCCATCGCAAGTCCCCTGTGCGTCTTGGACGCCATCAGACGGTAGTGAGGATACATCCGAAACAGATTCATCTAGTTTGCGCAAAGGGAATGTGCGTCTATTTATTTATTCACCAGCACCAGAAAATAATCGAACCATACGATAGATCCCGCTGCACAGCCGCGAAATTGCCAAAAAAGACACACCGAAAAATATCGGGTGCTTTTTGGATCGTATACTTCGTAAAATCCAGCCTCATACCGAAAGGTCACGTGAAATGAGCCACCTACAGCTTCTCCAGCGCGCTGCTCAGCTGCCGTCTCAGGTCCTGCTTTCCTGCCTTGTTGAGCCCGTTCTGCTCCAGGTTGCGGTTCAGCCGGCTGCGCAGGTGCTCCAGGCTGCGGTCGATCGACGTGCGCAGGCTCTCCGTGTAGGCGTTCCTGAACGCGTCGAGGCGGCGGAACACAGCCTTGGAAATGCTGTTGGACGAGATGGCGAAACTGAGCACCACCACCGCCACCGCCGTGTCCATCGAGATATAGTCGATCACGTGACCCACCGTGCACACGGCGAACGCTGGCAGGTTGATTGTGGCGAGGTTGTGGAGCACGATGCGGCTGATTTTCTGCTGCAGGTCCGGGAGGTCTTTGTTTAGCACCCTGTGTTTCAGCACGGCGACCGGGTGGGCCAGCGGCTGCGGCGGCTCTGCGTTTGCCGGCAGCAGCAGGTCGATCTTGCCCTCCAGGTAGTTGAGTTTGGCCGTCGAGTCCAGCAGCGATCCGTGGCACTTGACGGGCGTGAAGTTGAACATGCTTTTTTGGACGTATGTTTCGTCGTCAAAGAGGTATTTGGACAGCACGAGGTCGAACTCGTCGATGTTTGGTACGATCTGTGTGATTTTGCTGAACCTCTGGATCAGCACGTCCTGCAAATAGGGAGCTATTTTGGACTGGAGCTCGAAATGGGACATCTGGGCCCAGGCTTCGATTTCTTTTTTGAGTGCGTCCAGCTCCTTCACGAGGTCCGGTTTCTCCTCAAACTTGAGCTGCTGGTCAATGTCGGAGAGCAGCGACTGCAGCAGCAGGGCCGTTGGCCTGTTGGCGCTGGTTTCTCTGCTCAGCGTGAACAGCAGAGCGCTGATGTTGGATTTTTTCACCAGCTCGAGGTATCTGGACACGTTATTTGGGGACTCCATGAGCAGCTCGTTGGCCAGCCTGGCTTTTTCGAGATCCACAGCAATGTTGCCTTGTGTTTGTAATTGGAACGAGCCCCCCGTCTCCTGGACCTGCGTGTTGAGGACCGAGAGCGACGGGTAATTGTTGATCTCCAGAGGCTCGCCTGGACGGGTCTTGACATATATGTACAAATGGCACTCCTTGGGGGACGACGACTGGACGGCGGCTGTTGTTTCCGAGACGCCCGAGTCGGTGTGCAGGCTTTGTGGGTCATTGATTTCCAGCAGCTCGATGTCTCTGAACTCCTCTCTGTGCAGCTCGTTTCTTGTAGAGCCGTCTCCCAAGGCCGCGCTCTGGATCACGCGTAATTCGCGGCTCAGAAACGGAGACTTCACGCCGTTCTCGCCAAAACAGACCCATTGGTTGGCTTTCTTCTCGCTCTGCCGCTGCCGGAGCCGTGTAAACCAGGCCTGGTCGTTGTCCAGGGGGTCGCACACAAGCACGTCCGTGAGCAGTCCGGGCTCGATTCCGGGCGACTGCACGATCCCGATCCTGACCGGCGTTGTGTAGCCGTCCGTTTCGCGCGTCAGCTCGAGCAGCTGGCGGGCTTTCTGTCTGATTGTCTTGTTTGTGGGAAATATCGCTCTGGTCTTGTCTAGCAGGTCTGGGAGAGTCTGTTGGTCTATGGAACCGGTAGATTGGTATCGCACGGCGACCTTTTTGAGGCCAGCCGTCTTTGGCCGTGCGCGGACGATATTCTGGAGAATTAGCGACGGGGGTCTAAAACTCATAAACATGGTGAATATTTTTTTTGTCAAAAAAACATTTGTTAAAAAACATGTTTTAGCATGTGGAGATCAAACAGATATATCTTCCAGCGGCCAATCTCACCGCTCCATTTTACTCGCTCCTCCCATTCAAACCCATTGGTAAGTTTACAGAACGTTCAGCCCCTTCTAACGCTTGTAGGGCCTCCCCAAGAACGGCCCCCGCATCCCGTCCCAGCGGTCCCTAGATAACGTCAAACGCATAGTTTTTGTCTCTGCCGGCAAGGGCGGCGTGGGCAAGTCGAGTGTGACGGCCAACCTCGCCGTTGCGCTTCGGAACCGCGACCTGAACGTGGGGATCCTCGATTCCGACATTTTTGGGCCCAACATCCCCAAACTGATGGGTCTGAGTGGCCAGCCGCGGATCAACGCCAACAAAAAGCTCGTCCCGCTGATGAACCACGGGGTCCAGACCATGTCGATGGGATATCTCGTTCCCGAGACGGCGGCAGTCGTCTGGAGAGGCCTGATGGTGCAGAAAGCGCTCCAGCAGCTGCTTTTCGACGTGGAGTGGCGCGACCTGGACGTTCTACTGGTCGACACGCCGCCGGGGACCGGCGACGTGCAAATCACGCTGGGCCAGCAGCTGAAAGTCGACGGGGCCGTGATTGTCACCACGAGCCAGGACCTGGCGCTCAGCGACGTGAGACGCGGACTCACGATGTTTGAGAAGATCCGTATCCCGATTCTGGGCGTCGTCGAGAACATGAGCGTGTTCACGTGCCCGAAATGCCACCACGAGGAGCACATTTTCGGCGAGAGCGAGGAACTGAAGAGTTTGCAGCAGCAGGGAGTGGCTCTTCTGGGCCGCATCCCGCTCTCGAGAGAGATGTGCGGCTCTATGTTGCCCGCTACCGACCAGCACAGCCAGACCGGCCCTGTGTTCGAAGCGATCGCCACCGAGGTGCTGAAAAAAATATCCTAGTGCTCCACGCGGCCGTGCGGCGCGCGTTTTGCCCAGCGCTTCGGCCTGAAAACCTCGTTCTGCCAAAAAGGTGCAACACTACTTAACACGGTCCAGAGTATTTGTTTTCTGCTACACCATTGCTACCACACAGCCAAACACAGACACTTGCACAACAAAATAATATAAAACACTATATGAAGTGGTGGATTCTGACTCTCCTGGGCCCGGCCCTGGCTGACTCGGTCTTCAACAAGCTGGACGCGCGCACGCAAAACCAGGTGTTCCAGATCATCGAACGGTACAACGATCTGAAGGACGACCAGGTCCAGTTCGAGGAGTGGATTTCTCCCGACAACAACGCCTACATCGTCCCGCGATACCGCGCCGCGGCCGTTGCCGATGCGCCGTACGTCTATGGCAACGGGTACCAGTTCTATGGCTCCGACAACGACGCGGTCGGGTCCCTGGCGACGGAGACGGGACAGCAGATGGGGCTGATCAAGGAGGAGGACATTGCCGCGCAGGGCTTCCCGAACGTGTTCAAGAAGCTGAAGGACCACATCCACGGCTCCTGCGAGGAGGAGGGCGGTGCCGAGGAGTACTTTCCGTTCGGCGCGCGCAAGTTCCTGCTCGTGGGTGTGAAGAAGGAGTCGGTGGAATTTGTTGCGGACAAAAACAGCTTGCAGGCCCGAGAGCCCGACGGCTCTGTTGACGCCAACTGGTGGCCTAAGAAAAAAAAGGAGGACGACTGCGACGGCGAGGAGGAGCAGAAAAAGCTATTTGGCACCGACAAGTTCTTCTTTGTGGGCATCGGCTCTGTTGACAACACGACCGCAAACCTCAGACCGGTCTCAGCTGCCCGCTCGTCTCCGCTGTCGCCTTTGGAGTACGCCTCCCGAAACAAGCAGGTTGCACAGAACGCGGTCTCTGCTATGTCTCCTGCGCCGCGTGTCCCAACAACACTCTCTCTCAGCTACCAGACAAAGCCCAACGCGAGCGTAGACCTGTTCAAGCAGTTCCAGAACAAAAGCAGTCTGGAGGTGCAGAACGACGCCGCCGCGGCGTCCGGCCGCTCGCTGTCGCTGATCGGGGCCCTGGTTCTGATCGGGTCGTCGGTCCTGCTGTTCTAGACATGTACCGCACAAACAAATGATCATCTGCCCTATTGTAGTGCGCTGAGCCGCTCGCGCATGTTCTCCAGCAGCTCGTCGTCCACCTCCTCCGGTTCCGGCTCCTCGGGCCGCGCCATCTCCGGCAACTGGACCTCTGGCTGGGGCTTTTCGTCCAGAATGTCTCTTAGCACCTCGTCGACGTCCTCGTCCTCCTCGTCCTCGTAGATATCCGTCGTTTCCAGCATATCGTCCATCATCTCGTCGATCACGCCGCTCTTCATGAGCTCTCTGCTGAGTTCCTGAACCGTGTGGCCGATCTGGGGCAGCCGGACCAGCTGGTTCATGTCCCTCATGATCTCTGTCGACTTCTGCATCGAGCCCTTGAGCTTGATCATCTGCTGCTGCTCCGCGAGCTTCATGCCGATCGACTCCAGTGTGACTTTGGAGACCGTCACGCGCTGGATGGTCCTGGCGACGTTTTTGTACTCGCGTGCGTACATTTTGGCTGTTTTCATGTCGTCCTTCTTGACGGCCGCCCTGATGAGCGTCTTTGTCTTTTTCTCGACGGCGTTGAGGTCCTGGAGCTGCCGCTCGATCTGCCGCTTGTTTTTGCGCAGCGCGCTCTGGCACCGGCGGTACTGCTCCTTGGGGTCGGGCCCCCAGATGGCCTTTTTAATAATATCCATACGGAGAGGACGATAGACGGGAGAAAAAGAAGGCGCCCACGCAATTTCCAAAGGTCGATTTTTGCGACACTGGGAAATTCGCGTGCCAAATAACTTTGTCGCGTTTTATATTGCACGCGTAATGCTGGAAGGAAAATTCGAAGAGGCCTCGCTGCTGAAAAAAGTACGTATCTGACGCGTCCGTGCGCTAACACGCCAGGTGATCGAATCCATCAAGGACTCCGTCAAGTTGTGTAACTTCAACTGCTCGCAGAGCAAGGGCATCACGGTCCAGGCGATCGACGACTCGAGAGTGCTGCTGATCGCGCTCAAGATCGACTCGGGCTCGTTCCAAGAGTTCCGCTGCGACAGAGACCTCGTCCTCGGCCTGGACCTCGAGTCGCTGTCCAAGATCCTCAAACAGGGCAACAACGAGGACTACCTCACGGTCATTGCCGAGGACTCGCCAGACTCGCTGCTGGTGGTGTTCGAGGACAAGAAAAAGGACAGGATCTCCGAGTTCTCGCTCAAGCTCATGGACATCGACTCCGACGTGCTCACCATCGACGACATGGAGCACGACTGCTCGATCACGATGCCGGCGTACGAGTTTGCCAAGATCGCCAGAGACATGAAGACGCTGAGCGAGTCGCTGCAGATCATAATCACCAAGGACTCGGTCAAGTTCAACGCAGAGGGCCAGATCGGCTCCGGCTCGATTATCCTGAAGCCCCACACAGACATGGAAAAGCCAGACGAGAGCATCAAGATCGAGCTCAACCAGCCGGTCGTGCTCACGTTCGGCGCCAAGTACCTCAACGACATCGTCAAGGCCACCGCGCTGTCGTCGACCGTCACCATCAAGCTCACCGACAAGGCTCCAGCCCTGTTTGAGTACAGACTGCCGAGCGGCTACCTGAGATACTACCTGGCTCCAAAGTTCGACGACGAGGACTGATTAGTAGGGATATAATTGAATTGCTAGCTCTATCATTAGTATTTGGACTCCGGCGCGTCGTCCAGCGGCGGCAGAAACGTCGATCGCACGCTGCTCTTCTCTGTCACGGGCAGTATCAGCCGGAACGCGTCGTGCTTGTTCAGATAGTAGCGGAACAGCCGCTTCACACGCAGAAACCCAAAGTTCTCGTACAGGCGCAGCGCGGCCTTGTTCACCACCTCTGTCTCCAGAATGATCTCGTCGCAACGGTAAGCGTCGATCATCGCGTCCACGCTCTGCGAAATCAGCTCCTTGGCGATCCCGCGGCCGCGGTACTCGTTGTCCACCGCCAACATCCCAATATACCCACGTATTCTGGCATGTTTGTGCGGCTCCACCTTTGAGATGATGCACCCAATGACCTTGCCCTGGTGCTTGGCCATGAGCGTCAGATTGGGCCAGTTGTTGAGGAAAAACCTGTACACGTAGATCGAGTACGGCTCGCTCAGATGCTCGTCCACAAGCCGGCGCACCTGCTCTATATGCGCGTCTATCGTCTCGCGCCCGAATCTGTCCACATCCAGACACAGTGGCTCATACTCTATCTCGGACATTAAATAAATTAATTTATTTATTTATTTTATTTTATTTTATTTATTTCCCCATTTTACCCTCTCTTCTGACTGATCGTATCGCTTAAAGGGCAAATATACCCGTCTTCCCTGCCCAGCAATGAATATCTCCATCATCCAGAACAACAACCCGCTCTCGATGATGTCGTCTGTCTACCGGCAGAACAAGTCGCAGGACACAAACTTGCCCTCTGCCCTGACGATCTACAACTCGCTCACGGGGGCCAAAGTGGTGGCCAGTGCGTACCAGTTCCACAATCTGGAGGCGTTGAAGCAGTTCATTGGCCTGTCGTTCAATGTGGCGACAGAAAACCTGTTTCTGCTCACGCCGTTTGGCATCAAACTCAAGTTCTCCATGATAGTGCACGAGGAAATAAGCGAGATCTACGTCTTCGATAGACGCTACTTCAACGTCAACAACATCGACGCGTCGGACAACATGGACAACGTCAACGACCTTCTGGCAGAACTGAACCAGACAGACCTCATCAACATGATCAAGCCGCTCGCTTCGCCCCTGCTGTCGGAAGAGCTGTCTGTGTTTGTGGAGAAGCTGACGCTGGTGCTGGAGAACACGACACAGATCAAGGCGGTGGACATCAATCTGAACATGCTGCGGATGCTGCTCAACTCGCTCAAACGCAATTCTGGCTGGGCGTCGGCGCTGCTGTCCGACTTCAAAAAGACGGTGGCCTTTGACGAGTGCACGCCCGAGGACAACGACCTCGAGACCATCTTGACGTCTCTGAACGTGCTCATACAGTACGTGGGGCTCGTATTCAAGACGCTCGAGAAGAAGTTCAACGACTCGATCGACGCCCTGGTGCTGCTACAGTCCAACAGTCTCGTAGACCAATGGCGAGACCAGTACGCACTGCTCAAACGCCTTCCTTTTGAGTTCCACAGTCCGTCGTCCAGTGTGTCGGAAAAACTGTTTTTGAGCCAGCTGGTTAACGAGCCGCGTCTCGAAAAATGCGCAGAGGAGTCGCGCAGACTCAACAAGAGCATGAACGAGAGACTGGTCATGCTTCGCAGCAAAATCGAGTCAGACGTCATCAAGCCCCGCCAGGAGCTCTCACAGGAATATAACAGCTACATGTCGCAGTACATACGGCCAGAAACAGATGCCACCCAGAAAACACAGAAAATACAGGACTGCAAACGCATACTTGCCGAACTAGAAGCACATGTCAGCAAACTGATCCAGTCCTCTTCGTCCCTTCCTTCTTTTGAGGAACTCATCACCACAGCAAGCCAGACGTCAACGACGTTGTCTGCTTCCTCCATTGCGAACATTAAAAAGCTTACGCAGCTGTACAAATACCAGGAGTCTGAGCTTGTGCCGTATATTTTTCAGCTTGCCAACAACTTGTACGACATACAGATCAACAAACTGAATGCCAGGAAAGAGCTACAAACGAAACTAATCTGCTCTACGTTGATCAACGTCACCAAGATCCAGCTCAACATGATGAGACTGTCTACGGTTCTAAATACAGAGGTGGCTAAAAACATTGCATCCATCAAGGAAAACGAGCTTCAGCTGTCTGTTGTCTCCGACCTGCCACTGATATTTGGCATTTTTGTCATAGCCAACCTCAACAATCTCAAGTTTGGCATCTCCCTAAACAACATTGTCAAAAAGGCTAACGAGATCTTTGAGATGCTGCGGTTCATGGAAGCACGCAACCGCACAAAATGGCTCAAGGAATTTTTGGCTAGCAGCGGAGCCGATAAGCTTGAGTTTCTGAACCTGGACGAGGAGGGCCGCGAGCGATTTATCAACGAGAATATGCTCGCGTATAAACTGGAGCAGGTAGATGTGATGCTGTCGAAGAAATCTCCCTCACCAGTCGACCGCCCTGCGAGCCCGGTAGGCGGCCAGGAAAAACACTACCTTACCTCAATCAACAGGCTGCTGCACAACATCAATGGTTTCCCGACTCCGCGTCCAATGGCTACAGAATTGCCGAAACAGAGGGAAACCAACATTATAGCGAACCTGGCCAGAAACATTTCAGTCAAGAGTATTGTGTCGTATATCAATACACTCCGGAAAGAAGGCATTGACCCCAATATTGTGAACAAGCTGGAAGAGTGTCTTAGAGATTTCGGTATTACGTATGGCCAGAACGAGCGAAAAGCCATTGAAACCGAGGAAGGCGAGGAGATTGTCGTGAAAGGAAAAAACGTGGGAGATTTGGGGTCCTTTGACGCCAACGACGTGAACTACATGCGGCTGTTCAAGAAGTTCATCAAGAGCTTTGAGTCTGAAGGGATTGTGATTAACATAAACGTGAACCAGCAGGATTCTGTGTCCAATGACGAGCTGATCAAGGGCTACGAACGACGAATCAAGAAGCTTGAGAACGTTTTGCATACACGTAACTTCCAGCAGTTTAACGACCAATGGTCTCGTCACAGACCAGTGCACACTCTGCCGAATCCTGTGAGCAGGCGGCAGTCGGATTTGAGTCAGGAGCATGTTATGCATGAGAACACTATACTGTTCAACGAGAACGTTGTTTTAGGACGCAAGACGATCGATCTGCCTCCGAGCCACTATGGAGAGCGGATCGAGCGTCTTGAGAACGAAAACGAGAGGTACAGAGGCGAGATCGAGGAGCTAAAGAAAGGAACTGAATTTGCAGAGATTGATCGATTGAAGAAAGAGCTTGAGGATATGAAGAAGGTCGATTTGGAGAAAGACAGGCGTTTGGCGGTTTTGGAAGAGGAGAACAAGAACTTGAAAGAGTCGAACGAAGAGCTCACCAAGGCGAACAAAGAGCTGGCTAATGTGTGTTCCGAGCTGAAGAGCATGAAGTCGGACCTTTTGGAGAACATGACCCAGAAAGAAAGCGAGTTTGGCAAGGAAGCGAAAGTCAACCAACAGGAAATCAACGAGCTGAAATTGAGAATCGAGGAGCTGGAGGAAGACGAGTCTAATCTTGTCAACGTGAACAAGACGCTGAATGAAAGGCTGGCAATCAAAGACCGGCTTCTTTGCCAGTTGTACGAGCTTGTGCAAGGAGCATACAGCAAGCTGAACCAGATGAGCGGCGAGATATTCAGCAATCTGACAAGGGTGTGTCTGTTGCTGGAGTCTATAGGGCTGCTGTTGATTCGCGAGACGCCTTCGTTTGACAACCATCCTGGAACACTGACCATCAAGCGTGTGAAAGGTCTGCGCAGTCGCAAGAGACAAATCAAGCAGGCTACCGACTCGGCTCACAACAACGGCAATTTGCAAAACGACACGTTCGAGGACTCCGAGCACATCGACAACGCGCTGATGGAGGTTGTCTCGAGCGAGGTTGTGCCGGAAGCAGAGCAGTATCTCCATTGGGTGGACATGAACGTGCTGAACTACACGATTTCGTCCGATCTGGGCATAGAGGACGAGATCGTGCACAAGAAAGACGAGAGCTCGCTGATCGACATGAGTCTGTGCGAGGAAAGCTCGATCGAGAAGAAGGTGAAGAAGTTGCTGGCCAATTACGAAAGCCTCAACGTGGAGCTAGGGTTCCAGAACTTTTTGCGGTTCAACCACGTTGACAACGAGCTTGTGGTTGAACGGGTGTTCCGGCGGTTCAGCGACGTGGAGACGCTGGCGAGAAAGTTGCAGAAGGACAAGACTCAGCAGAAACAGGAGCTCAAGACGCTCACTGCCGAGCTGGACGGCAAGATAGCGTTCCGGAACTTCAAAGTTGGCGATCTCGTTCTGTTTTTGAAAACGCTGACTCCGGCCAACGAGGAGCTCGGCGGCGGCGACGAGCAGCCGTGGGCCGCTTTCAACGTGGGGTGTCCGAACTATTACCTCAAGAACACCAAGGGCGAGGGCTACATCGAGCTGAGCGACCGAGACTGGCTGGTGGGGCGGGTGTCGAAAATTGAGCCGCGACAGGTCACCGAGCAGAATTTCCACAGCAAGACAGACAACCCGTTCAAGCTGGCCAAGTCGGTGGTGTGGTATTTTGTTGAGGCACGTGAGGTGAAAGAATGAGCATACGAATTACGAACTAGGTAGGGCTACTTGCGGCAAGCAACGGATATGTACGGTTATTAACGGGACAAGGATTTCAAACCCCGGCCGCAGCAGAGGTATATAAGCGGCCGGTTGCCGGGCTGTAATGTGGGAAAAATGGCTCCTGTCCTGCAAAGCGACGCCCTGAGCGGGCAATATCACCAGGTGGTCAACTCTATTAACTCTGACTACATCACCGTCTCCGAGTATATTTTGCTGCGCATATACCAGCTGGGGATCAGATCGATTTTTGGTGTTCCGGGCGACTTCAACCTCAACTTTCTGGAACATCTGTACGATATCGACGGCCTGGAGTGGATCGGCTGTTGCAACGAGCTGAACGCGGCGTACGCCTGTGACGGCTACGCCAAGACGTGCGAGAAGATGGCTGTGCTGGTGTCGACGTTTGGCGTTGGCGAGCTTTCTGCGCTTGCGGGCGTTGCCGGGATGTACTCGGAGTACTCGCCGCTGCTGCACTTGGTCGGCACGTCTGCCACGGGGCTGAAAAACACCGACAAAAGATTCCACCACTTATTGACTGGTAGCAAGACGTACGCGGCTCCGGACCACTATCTGTACGAGAAAGTGGCTGCCAATTTCAGCTGTGTGCAGGGCTCTATTGACTCCGACGCCGACAAGGCGTGCTCCACCGTCGACAGGGTGCTCCGAGAGATCCACCGGTGTCTGCGGCCAGGGTATCTGTTTCTGCCGTGCGATCTGACAGAGATGAAAGTTCCGACCTCGCGGCTGTACGAGCCGCTGATTGTGGACTATGTTCCGCAAATCAGCAGCCGCGCAACTGCTGTGGTGGAGACCATTCTCCAAAAGATCTACAGCAGCCAGAACCCGGCCCTTCTGGTGGACTATTTTATTTCGCGGTGCAAGATGACCAGTACCCTGGCTAACCTGCTTTCCAAGCTCGACGGCAGGGTCAACGTCTACGACACGTTCATGGGCAAGGGCCTTGTCGACGAGAGCCACGGCTGGTTTGTGGGCACGTACCAGGGCGCGCTGGGCAACAGCGACGTGGCGCGCGCGATCGAGGAGAGCGATCTGGTGCTGCGGGTTGGAGCGTTCGACGTCGAAATGAACAACGGCGCATTTTCGGCAAAATTGCAGGATACAAACGTCGTTTCGCTTTCCATTGACAGCGTCTGTATTTGCGGAGAGCTCGTCACAGATGTCAACATGAGAGACGTGTTTGAGATGCTTGTGGAGCAACTGGACGCGGAGCGCGTGGCCAGAAGCAGAAAATACGAAATTTCGCGGCCTCCACGGCCAACAGACAGCGCGCCGCTTACCATGAACGACCTCAGAACACATATTGAGCGGTCGCTCACGCCAAACGACGTGCTTATCGTCGACACGGGCTCGTTTATGTGGGCCACAGGAACCATCGAATTGCACGGGGCCAAGTTTATCAACCAGTTCCTGTGGGCCGCGATCGGATACGCCATTCCGGCCACTCTGGGTGCGTGCATCGCCAAGCGCGACTCGGGCGCTCCAGGCCGTGTTATCACCGTCGAGGGAGACGGCGCGGCAGAGATGACTCTGCAGGAACTCGCGTCGCTGGTGCGCTACAAAGTCGACCCCGTGCTTTATCTGCTCAACAACGACGGCTACACGATCGAGCGCGTGATCCAGGGCCCGTACCGGTCGTACAACGACATTGCTACCAAATGGCAGTGGACAGAGATGGTGGGGTGTTTTGGGGGCGGGAAAACTGGCCAAAAAATCGCCAGCCGGTCCGACCTGGCGCAGCTGTTTGTGGGCGCCGGCTTGCAGCTTTTCGAGCTGCTTCTGCCGAAATTCGACGTGCCAAGGGAACTCACAGATCTGCTCGCTAGAGCTAAAAAATAGCCTCTTGGGGCTTATGTAATCCCAAAAATTAATTTGGTAAATTAGTAGGAGCCTCCATCTACAGGCTCGTCCGTGTTTCATCACCCATGGATACTGAACACGGCCGCGACCTCGAGAAGACGCCGTCGTGTGCGCAGTCGTTGCCGTCCCCACGGGAATCCCCCGGCCCGCCGCCAGAGGGCGGCCTGCGCGCATGGCTGGCCCTGTGCTCGGGAGCGACAGTCATGGCCCTCTCGTTCGGCATGGTCAATTCGTTTGGCGTGTACCAGAGCTACTACGAGAACAAGTACCCCCACATTAGCTCCAACACGCTCTCGATCATTGGGTCTCTGCAGGGCTGTCTCACGTTTGCTACAGCCCTTCCGTCGACTGTGGGGATGTACTATCTGGGGCCGCAAGCTATGGTGGGGGGTGGCGGGCTCGTTTGCATACTGTCGTACATGTTTCTGTCGATCACGACGGCGCCGTGGCAGATTTTCGTGGTGCAAGGCCTGATGTTCGGCCTGGGATCTGGACTCATGTACGTGCACTGTGCGGGAGTGGTGTTCCAGTACTTCCACCGGCGCAAAGCAATTGCGTCGGGGCTGATCACCGCGGGGGCCAGCATGGCCGGCGTGTACTGGCCGATCGGCGTGCGCGGCCTCATCAACAAGGTGGGGTTTGCGTGGGGGAACAGAATCATCGGGTTTCTGTACATCCCGATGGTGGCCTTTGCCACCACGAACTTGCGGCCGCGAGTGCGGCCGCCGCCGCGCAAGCCGGGCCAGAACGTGCTGCGCATCAACTTCAGAGTGCTGCTGAACTGGCGGTTCCAGGTCCTCAACATCTCGTTCGCCGTGGCCATCTTGGGGCTCTTTCCCGGCCTGTTCTACGTGGACCTGTTCTGCCAGCGGCTGGGCGTGGCACAGCCGATCCAGGACTACAACGTGGCCATTGTCAACGCGGCAACGCTGCTGGGACGCGTCTCGTGCGGCTACGTCGGCGACAAGCTCGGCAGATTCAACATAATGATCCCGACACTCGTGCTCAGCGGCGTGCTACCACTGGCCCTGTGGATGCCCGCGCGCTCGTCGGCGGCGACGCTTGCGTTCTGCGTTACGTGGGGGTTCGCGACAGGCCCGTTTGTGAGCCTGGCGCCGGCCATTGTGGGGCAGCTGTTTGCGGACGAGCTGCCGTCGTATCTGGGTGTGTTTTTCCCAACCGCAGCAGTGGGCGTGCTTGTGGGGCCCATCATCGCGGGAACGTTCATTCCGCCGGGCCACCTGGACACCGTGGAGGGCTTCGACAAGCTGTGCGTGTTCGTGGGCGCGCTGTTCCTCGCCACGGCCGCGTCGCTGTCGGTGCTGCGCTTTGTCTACGAGCGCCGGCTGCTCGCAAAAATGTGAAAAATAATTAATTACATAATTACACGAAGTTTTTCGCTGGAGAAAAAAATATTCATACTTCTTTTCGCCATGCAAGCCCCTGTTGTGTTCATGAACACGGCTGCGCAGAGACAGACCGGCCGCGAGGCCCAGATCCAGAACATCACCGCGGCAAAGGCCGTCGCAGACATCATCCGGACGTGTCTGGGCCCGAAGGCCATGCTCAAGATGCTGCTGGATCCGATGGGAGGCATTGTGCTGACCAACGACGGACACGCGATTTTGCGCGAGATCGACGTCGCGCACCCGGCAGCCAAGTCGATGATCGAGCTGAGCCGCACGCAGGACGAAGAGGTCGGCGACGGCACCACGTCGGTGATCATTCTTGCGGGCGAGATCCTTGCACAGACGTTCCCATACATAGAGAAAAACATCCATCCGGTGGTGATCATCCAGGCGCTGAAACAGGCACTGAAGGACGCGCTGGAAATCATCCACGAGACGAGTATCCCTGTGGACCTGGAGAACGAGGCGGCGATGGTGAAGCTGATCAGCGCCGCCATTGGCACCAAGTACGTGGCCAAATGGTCGCAGCTGATGTGTCAGCTGGCGCTGAAGGCGGTGAAGACGGTGCTGGTGCAGGAGGGCGACCACAAGGAGATCGACATCAAGCGGTATGTGCGTGTGGAGAAGATTCCTGGCGGCGAGATCGAGGACTCTGTTGTTCTGGACGGCGTGCTGCTGAACAAGGACGTGGTGCATCCCAAGATGAAGCGTGTGATTGAGAAGCCGCGCGTGGTGCTGCTGGACTGTCCGCTGGAGTACAAGAAGGGCGAGAGCCAGACCAACGTCGAGATCACCAAGGAAGAGGACTGGGCCCGACTGTTGCAGATCGAGGAGGAGCAGGTGAAGCTGATGTGCGAGCAGATTCTGGCCGTGAAGCCGGACCTCGTGATCACCGAGAAGGGCGTCTCGGACCTGGCACAGCACTACCTGCTGAAAGGCGGCTGTTCCGTGCTGAGAAGAGTGAAGAAGAGCGACAACAACAGAATAGCCAGATGCACGGGGGCCACGATCGTGAACCGCGTGGAGGACCTGAAGGAGTCCGACGTGGGCTCGAAGTGCGGGCTGTTCGAGGTGAAGCTGATCGGAGACGAGTATTTCTCGTTCCTGGTCAAGTGTCAGGAACCAAGGGCCTGCACGGTGATGCTGCGCGGACCGTCCAAGGACATCCTGAACGAGGTCGAGAGAAACCTGCAGGACGCGATGGCGGTAACGAGAAACGTGTTTTTCGAGCCGTCGCTCGCCCCGGGCGGCGGAGCCACCGAGATGGCCGTCAGCGTCGGGCTCGCCGAGCGGGTCAAGAAAATCGAGGGCGTGCAGCAGTGGCCGTACCAGGCGGTCGCCGACGCGTTCGAGGTGATCCCGAGAACGCTGATCCAGAACTGCGGCGGCAACCCGATCAGAGTGCTGTCGCAGCTGAGAGCCAAGCACGCCAACGGCGAGCACACGTGGGGGATTGACGGCGAGAGCGGCAAGATCGTCGACATGAACGAGTACGGCATCTGGGAGCCCGAGGTGATCAAGCAGCAGAGCGCCAAGACGTCGATCGAGAGCGCCAGCATGCTGCTCCGCGTCGACGACATCGTGTCCGGGGTCAGAAAGGAGACCTGACGGTGCACGGGTGTGTGCGGGTGTGTAATTAATAGCTCGAAAAAGATAAAACAGCTAAAATCGATCTGTGCGTGTGCTATAACGAGATGTCGATTTTTTCCGAAGACGTCCTGCTGACGCGCTCCCGGAGCAACAGCGAGTCGCAGTTCAAGTCCACGCGCGCGGAAAAGCGTCTGGGCCGGCTGTTCAAGCCGCCCGCCAGCACGAGCTCGACCCCCAAACCGGGCCCCTCGAGCGCCAACAGCTCGACGGCCAGCATAGCGTCGTCGGTGCCGGCTGCGGGCGCCAAGGGCGAGCCCAAGCAGCTTGCGCTGGAGGATCTGAAGTACCATGTTGGCCGCAACCTGCGCAGCATGAGCCAGAGCGCGATTCCTACCTCGCAGAATGGCGGGCTGTCTGCGTCGGCTCTGCCCCGAAAGCCGTCGCTGGCGTCGCAGACGGCCGGCACGGACGGCAAGCTGACCACGTTGCGCGAGGTGCACGGCTCGCCCGGGTCAGAACGGCTGGCCTTTTCGGACACCATGAAAATGGCACACAAGGTGCGATTTGTCTATTCCGAGTTCACGGGCGTGCTGAGGAACTTGGGGATCTCGATCAACACGTCGACGAGCTCGTTCAACAACTTTGTGAGCCTGTACGACTTTCTGAACCGCCGCGCCAACGAGACGGACAGAGACGCCATCCAGGAGAGTCTTCGCGCGCAGCTGGCGACGCAGCTGGTGGAGCTGCTGAAGGACCTGCGCAAGATCGTCGACCACCTCACGTTTCCGAGCCACATGGTGGCGTCGATGGGCACGGAAACGATCCGGATGGCGTACTTCTCGCTGTTCTCGCTGCTGGTGGAGCTGACGGGCATCTGCAAGATGCTCGACCCGTCGTTCGCGCCTCGGACGCAGCAGAAAGGCGCGCATCCCGCCCAGGTCTCGGCGGCCCCGCTGGCGCCCCAGAAACTGCGCACGCAGCCGCCCAAGATCAACAGGGCGCCGCCGCCAAATCCGCAGCACGCTCAGACGATTCCCGTTCCGCAGCGCCAGCCATCCGTGCACCGCCAGCCGCTCAAGGTCGACACGAGTCTGCCGGCGGTCGCGCGGCAGGACTCCGAGCTGAGTGCCATCAGCAACATCGAGTCCACGACAGACAACGAGAAGCTGTACGACACCATCGGCTTCACGACACAGGCGGCACACGCCGTGTTCACCCAGCTCAACGACGCGCTGGCCAAGAGCGCGATCAGCACCGCGCAAAACACACAGAACTCGCACATCTCGCCGGACGCCGTCCCAGACAACCAGGACCTGCCCAACATCGCGCAGAAGGTGAAGGAGCTCACGACGTACTGCATGAGCTCGATGGAGCAGACCAAGCGGATCCGGGCGGTGCTCAGCCAGACGCGCACCGCGCAGAGGCTCGACGAAGACCAGCAATTGCGGCTCTACGAGGAGACAAACCTGTTTCTGAAGTCGATCATCAGCTTCCTGGCAGCCACGAAGGGCGCGTTGCAGGACATGCCCGCGCTGAACGAGGTGCGTGGGGCGCTGTCGAGCCTGACGCGAGCCACCAAGGAGCTGACGATCCGTCTCGAAACAAGCGTGCTCAAGCAGTCGGTCACGAACGCCACGGACCAGCCGCCGCTCTCGTCGATCCCGTCGGTCGCCAACTTCCAGAACGGCCATTTGGGCCAGGACGCCGCCGCCCGCACGGTCCCGTCGCCGCTCCCGGCGGAGAAGGAGGACTCGATGCAGCAGCAGGTGAAAAGTCTCCAGACGAGCGGCCTCGAGCACGTGGCGCAGCTGCCGGTGACAACGCCGCTCGTGGCGTCCATCGGGCCCACCGCCGCCTCGGTCGTGCTGCCGGTCGCCTCGCCGATGGGCGTGACCGTCAACCCGCCCGAGTACAACCCGTTCGATAAGCTGGGCGACGCCGACGCGAAGCGTGTTACGTAAGCGGCCGCGGCTGTGAAGAATTCGGCTGGAATTATTTCGCAGCTAGCAAGCATGAGTGTGGCGATCAGGGGCAACACGGGCTACGGGCTGATGTCGCTGACGTGGCGGCCGCGGCCTGTGCCGCACGACCAGGCATTTTCCACGATCAACAACGCGCTCGCGGACGGCGTCGAGTTCTTCAACGCGGGCGAGTTCTACGGCAATCTGCCCAACGACAAGCACGCGAATCTCGAGCTTTTGCGGGCCTATTTTGCCAAGTACCCGGAGTCGCGCGCCAAGATGGTTGTCTCCGTGAAGGGGTGCGTCGATATTCCGAACCCGCCCGACAACTCGCCCGAGAACATCGCCAAGTCTATCCGGAATATCGCTTCCTATTTTCCGGACGGCACGTTTGACATATTCGAGCCGGCACGACAGGACGGCAAGCACTCTGTCGAAGAGGTGGTGAGGAGTATTGTTCCGTTCATTGAGGAGGGCGTCATCCGCGGAATCTCACTCAGCGAGGTGTCTGCCAGCACGGTTCGTCGTGCTGCCAAAGTGCACCCGCTTTCGTGCGTGGAGGTGGAGTTTTCGCTGTGGTCGCGGGATATTCTGAGAAACGGCGTGATGGAGGCGTGCAGGGACCTCGGAATACCTGTGATCGCGTACTCGCCGCTCGGCAGGGGCTATCTGACGGGCCAGATAAAATCTGTGGACGACATTCCCGAAGGAGACTTCCGGCGGATGCTGGACCGGTTCTCGTCGCAGGAGGTTCTGGAGAACAACAGGAGCGTGGTGAGACTGGCAGAGGAGCTTGCAAGACAGAAAAAGTGCACTGCTGCGCAGATCGCGCTGGCGTGGATCCGCAAGCACAACGAGTTCCCTGAAAAGTACGCCAGGGTGATTCCGATCCCCTCGTCGTCGACTCCGGCGAGAAACCGCGAGAACAACACGGAGATCCCGCTCACGGACGCCGAGTTCGCCGATCTGAACGCGAAACTCGACAGGATCGAAATCCGGGGCGGCAGATACAACGCGCACGCGGTGGAGTATCTGGAGAAATAAACGGAAATATTATTTATCTGCGTACATATTGATTAATGGAGTCTCTCGTACGGGGATTTGAGGCGGCTGAGCAGCCGGGTGTGCCAGCGGGCCCGCGTGTTGTCGACGACGTCCATTTTTGCAACGTCCATCGACGAAAGAACCTGGTCGTCGGCCCAGTCAACACGCTCCTCTGGAACACGCGAGTTGTCCAGAACCGGCATCTTCCAGCTCTTGAGACGTAGCGAGTTGAACACCACGCTCACAGACGAGCACGCCATCGCCGCCGACGCGATCATCGGGTTCATCGTGAGCCCGCATGGAATGATTAAAAAGCCCATCGCAATTGGCAGCATGATCAGGTTGTACACCACGGCGAGGAAAAAGTTCACCTTGATGCTGCGGAACGTGCGCTGCGAGATGTCCAGCGCGGCAAGAATGCCTGCGGTGCCGTCCTTGCGGCCGTACTCCTGCAACGCGATACCGTCGTCGTCGTCGTCCGGCTGCACAGAAGAGAGCAGCACCACGTCGGCGGCCTCGATGGCTATGTCGGTGCCCGTGGCAATGGCCATGCCCAGGTCGGCCTGGATCAGCGCCGGCGCGTCGTTGATGCCGTCGCCAACAAACGCAACCTTGAGGCCGTGTTTCTGCATCTGGTCCACCACGCGCAGCTTGTCGTCAGGCTGCGCCTGCGCGAAAACGTTCGTCAGCGGGACGCCCACGGCCTGTGCAACGGTGCGCGCAGTCTGCACGTTGTCTCCGGTCACCATGGCAACGGTGAATCCTCGGCCGATGAGCGCAGAAACGGTACTGGCAGCGTCGGACTTGAGCGTGTCGGCGAGCTCGACGTAGCCGACGTACTTGTCGTTGACGAGAATGTGCGAGAACGTGGAGATGTGCGGGTTGTTCAAACGCTTGCAGCAGACAAGGAAGTCGGCCGAGTTGGCGATTTTCTTCTCCTTCATCAGCTGGCCGTTTCCTATGGCAACGTCCACGTCCTCGCCGTCCAGCCTTATCTGGGCCTCCAATCCCAGACCCACGATGTTGTGCACCTTGGTAACGTCAATGGGGAACGGCGAAGCGCGAACAGCGGCCCCGGAAACCAACGCTTTTCCCACAGGGTGCTCGCTATCGTACTCTATGGCATGTACTATGTTCCAGACGAGATTCTCGTCCATGTCGCCAACAAAATGGTAATTCGACACGCGCATCTTGCCCGACGTGATGGTGCCCGTCTTGTCAAGGACAACACAGTTGATTCCGCTTGCTTTTTCCAGTATGTCCGCGCCCTTGATCAAAATTCCATTGGTGGCCCCCACACCGGTTCCGACCATCACGGCCGTCGGCGCGGCGAGCCCGAGCGCACACGGACACGCCACGACGACGACAGAGATGGCGATTTGCAGGATTCTTGAGAAAACAACGCTTCCTGTGTCTGCGTCGACGAAAAACCTGGGCACCTTGTCGACAGGCTGGCAGAAAATGTAGAGACACCAGAAAACAAACGTGAACAGCGACAGAACCAGTATGGTGATGACAAACTTGCTGGCGATCACGTCGGCAAACTTCTGGACCGGCGCCTTGGCGATCTGGGCGTCTCGCACAAGCTTGACGATCTGCGACAGGTGCGTTTTTTCGCCAATCACCTCCACACGCATGTACAGCGGCGACGCGACGTTGATGGACCCGCCGTAGAGCTTGGAGCCAATTCTTTTGACCACAGGAACGCTTTCGCCCGTCAGGAGCGCCTCGTCAACCTCGGAAGACCCATAAACGCACACGCCGTCGGCAGGCACTCTTCCGCCGGGATGGAGCACCACCACGTCGTTTTTCTGGAGCAGGTCGGTGCTTATCTCTTTCTGGGGCGAGCTGAGGTCGTCGGGGTTTTCGAGAATAGTGCACACGGACGGTGTCAGGGACAGAAGCTTGGAAAGAGCGGTCGACGTGTTGCCCTTGGCCTTGGACTCTATCCATTTGCCGAGCGAAACAAAGATGAACAGCATGGCAGAGGTGTCGAACAGGACAGAAGCGGGTTTTTGGGCATTATGGAGCACGGCGTTCAAAATGGAGCATGTGGAATAAACGTAGACAGTGGTGGTGGAGACGCAGATTAAGAGGTCCATCGTTCCGTTGCGATGCCGCAAGGCGTTGTACGAGTTGACGTAGAACCGTCGAGCGAGCCAGAATTGTATGTATGTGCCGAGACAGAACTCGAACAGGGTTTCGAGAAACAGACCGTGGTAGAGCGCGAGGGGCGTCCAGTGGATGTGCAGGATCATTGCCAGCAGTGGCCAGATGTGGTGGCGGAAGAAGATGGGGAACCCGAAAGCCACCATTTTCAGAAACGTGTGTCGCCAGTACGCGACGTCCTTGACCTTCAGCAGCAGCTCGAGCTGCGACGCGGAGTCCAGGTTTGTGCTCAGAATAGCGTCAAATCCGCAATCCGCGATCGCCTCCATGATTTTCCTGATGCCAGTGCGGTTGGGGTCGTAGACGATCCGTGCTTCCTCGGTGGCCAGGCCCACCTGGCACCGGACAACGCCGTCGAGCTTCGTGACGGCGTCCTCGATCGAGTTCGAGCAGTTCGAGCAGGTCATTCCGTAGATTTTCAGCGTCAGAGACTCGTTGTCGTTGATCGCCTGCTCGTTCTTTGTTTCCACCAGGTTGGCCTCGAACCCGCAGTCTTCCACGGCCTCGCACACCCGGCTGGCCGCACACGTGTGTGTCACGGTCGCCTGCTCGGTCAGAAGCGAGACCTGCACCGCCCGGACTCCGTCCACCTTTTTCAGGGCATCTGTCACGGCGTTGACACAGGAGCTGCACGTCATGCCTCCAATGGTGAGGTAGGACGTTCGGATTTCCGACGCGACGTCCTCCGACGCGATCACGCTCGCTCCGAAGCCTATATCCTCGACGGCGTGCTGGAGGGCCGCTCCCGGGACGGTGTGCGAGTGCTCGACCAGAGCCTCCTCTGTGATGAGCGCCACCTGGACGGCCTCGACGCCGTCTATCTGCCGCAGACAGTCCTCGACCGCGGCCGTGCACGCCGAGCACGTCATCCCTTCGATGTGCAAAGAGGTGCGCACACTCATAAGAAAATAGTTTAAATCCGAACAAGGAAAGAATAAATTTAATAAATTTAAATATAGCACGATTTATTTATTTATCTATTTGATCATAAAAAAATCTATTTCCGAGACACTGTTGTGTGCAGTTTGTACTCGCGCACGGCCAGGATCGCGCACAGACACAGCACACACGTGGCAAAGGAGTACAAGAAAGTGGACCAGCACCCGACGTTGTAGGCCTTGATGAGCGTAGGCACGGCCCAGTCGGGGGCCGTGCGGATATATGCTGCGTTGTGGAGCGCCCTGGTGATGATCTGGGCGACCTCCTTTCTGGAGACGCCGTCCGGGGCGTGGCTCGAAAGCGCAGACCGCATGTAGCTGCCGAGATGCCACTGGAACAGCAGCGAAGCGGCGGACGTGCCGAGAGTGGAGCCTGTGGACCGGAACGCGTACTGGATGGACGTGACGGCGGACTGGTGGTCCTGGGGCACGGACGCGATCAGGGACAGCAGCGTGGTGGTGAGCATGGACGCGTAGGCGCAGTACGGCACTGCAGGCAGCGCCATGATGAGGTAGACGGGCAGCGGCCGGTCGGAGCGGGCGGGCTGCGTGCACAGCACCAGCGCGGCCAGGCTCAGCACGCCGGCCGCGGCGCTCGCGATGGAGAAGTTGCGGTACCTGCCCGTCACCTTCATGTAGTAGCCGGACCCGATGGACGAGAACGACGACAGGACGATCGACGGGACGAGCCGGGTCCCGACCTGGCCGGTGTCAAACCCGTACACCGTCGACAAAAACACCGGGTAGTAGTAGAGCACGCAGCTGATGTACATGGTGCCGAACCAGTTGGCCAGCGAGGAGCCGAGGATGGAGCGGTTTCTGAGCAGCTCGAGGGGCACGATCGGGTCGACGGCGGCGTTCTCTATCCTGACGAAGCCGGCGAGAGACGCTGCAAACGCGAGACAGAGCAGGACGGGCCATTTGGGCGACTCGAACTCGAACGAGGTGACCAGAATGAACAGGAACAGAGTGAGCGCGAGGCTGAGAATGCCCAGGACGTCGACGCGTCTCAGTTTCTCCCGCCACGTGAGCTGCACGCGGATGATCGGCGGCAGGTTCAGGTTGAACAGACACAGCAGAAAGCAGCCGATGCCGATCGGACACTGGATCCAGAACACCATCCGCCAGCCGTAGCGCTTCGCAACCAGGCCGCCGAACGTCCCGCACGCAGACCCCGTGCCGTAGCATAGGTTCGCGAGGCCCTGGTACACGCCGCGCTTGCGCAGCGGGACAAGATCGCTCATGGTGATGCTTCCCAGCGTGTTTAGCCCAGACGCAAAACCCGACAGAAACCGGCCGACCGCAAAGCCCACGGCCGTCGTGGCGGCCGCGCACTGGAAACAGCCGATCGTGAACACAAAGATACAGCCCAGGATCATGGGCTTGCGGCCAAAAATGTCGGACAGTTTGCCCAAAGGCTGGATGATGGAGGACGCCAGCAAATAGGACGTCGCGATCCACGAAAGATACGGAATGGCGTCCAGGTCGGACGCGATCTCCGTCAGAATCGTCGACAGAATCGTGGTGTCCATGGACGCCAGGAACGTGAGCGAGAAAATGCACGGCAGAATCACATACAGCTGTCTCTTGGGAACAAGGTACTCGTCGGCGCCGTCTTGCTCAGCGGCCACGGAGCCGTAGCCGGAGTCGAGCTCCTCGGTGAGCTCCTCGGCAACGTAGCCGGGCAGCGAGGTCGAGGCGTCCGGGAGGAGCGGCGATTGGGGGGTCGTCATGAAGAGAGTGATAACAGTTTTTGGGCAGTAAATGCGCTGTTTGTGCTTATGTAAGCGGAGAAATTGCCGGTTTCGGTGTTTACTACTGTACGCGCTCTCCTCCGTTGGCAGCAGGCACCGGCACCGGCTCGTCAGGCTCCCGCTTGACCTCGTCGGCGGGCGCGTCCTTCTGCTCCTCCTCCACGTCCGAGCTTGGCTCGTAGTCGTCGCCCCAGTGCGGGTCGGGCTCGACGTGCAGGTCGAGCCAGTTTTTCAGCACCGTGCCGATCTTCTTGGCCACCCTGAGCCGCGCAAACTCCGGTTTCTTCAGCAGCACCACCAGCAGCTTTGCGATGTTGGTCGATTTTAGCACGGCCCGCGAAACAGGCCTGTAGCCCGACAGCTTGTTGACGAGCGGCTCGAGCTCCTTGCCTGTTTTGGCGTAGTCCACAGGCGTTTCTGGCGGAAACGCGAGTTTCTGGATCTGCACCCTGATGTCGCCAAAGAACTTGGTGCTTTTCTTGACCTCGTCGACCAGCTCGGCGCTGTTCAGCGGCGGAATATCCAGCCCGGCGTCCTCCACGTCCGAGTCCAGCCCCCAGTCGCTGTCCAGGTCCTCCACAACCTCCACCTTGGCTTTCTTTTTGGCCCCGTGCGACCCGTTGTGTTTCCTCTTGCTTGCTCTTCCATACGCTTCCTCATCAGAGTCGCTGTCTTCCTCTTCTTCCTCTTCCTCTTCCTCTTCTTCTTCCTCCTCTTCCTCCTCGTCCTCATCAGCCTCCTCCACGTAATCCTCGTCTGCTTCCCCCACGTTTCCATAACTGCCGTATAACGCAAAGTCCTGCGGCGAAACGTCCTTGTTGTTGGCACACAAATACGCGTTGGTCAGACTGGACACCTTGGACGCACGCTTGGCACGGAAGTTGCCGTCCGAGTCGGGCAATTCGCCCTTTTTGACAAGGTACTCGGTGACCATCTCGTCGGACAGAGGCTTGAGATCCTTTTCTGTGCACCAGAAATACTCGTCGTCGCCGTAGAACTTGACACACACGTGCTGCGGTTCGGAGGCGGCACGCCGGCGCTTTCTGCCGGGCGCAGAGCCCGGCTTCATGCTGCGTATTTTCTCCGGGAGCTGTTCATAGTCAATCACGCGCGAGGGCCATTCGGGGAACCCCTTTATCTTTGTGAGAACAAGGCTGCCTGGAGGAAACATTGGCACGAAAAAAAGGTGGTGTAGGGGTGCGTGAAAAAAGGGTGGAGACGATCGACGCACAATTACGTTAGCTATTATTGGTCGGCAGAAAAGTCTTGGCAAACAGGTAGGTACTTTTTGGGGATCGGCGAGAATGAGCCGGTGTAATGTTTATGTCTCGGGAACGGTGGGAAGAAAAATTGCCTCAGGACCGGATATGATGCAATAGATGGTTTCCGGAAACTCGGTTTGGGACCGGAAATGGAAGCGAGGAGGATTGTTTTGGGTAAAAAAGGCAGCCTAAACAGGGAAGGGCCGGAAACAGCCATCACCTCGTCGTGCTACATTGGCCAATCGCAGCGGCGAGAGCAACCGTCGTCCCCACCGCTCGCGACACCCACCTCTGTCTCTTCACAACATCGCTCTCCCTGTGTTTGCCGGCTTATCTGGGAATTCCGGACCCCCCGGAAAAAGAAAATAATTGCACACCGTTTATTCGTGGTTAGGCAGCAAATTGTCTCAAGTGCATAATATATATACCGAAACGGAAACTCTTTAGAGAAAAGTTTGTTTTCCAATTAATCTTATAGCTCTTCTTCCACAAGCTGCTTCCTAATTGCCAACCTGATACCTATAATTAATTGAGATGCTACCAGCCGGTGTTATCCTTGTCTTCTGCTTGATCTTCGTCATTGGTAAGTGCTGAATTGGGCTTTTATACTAACATTCCAGCTGTGACCGTCTTTGCGCTCTACTTGGTCAAGCGGTTCAAGAAATAAGCCATGAGAATCCATTCATGTGCTGAGCATGGTTTCATATGTGTTTAATTGATAGACCTAATAATGATCACTAAGGTGGAATAGTTTGAGAAGTAGCCGTCGAGGCCGTCTCGAGGCCGAGTCGAGGCAGTAGTCAACGCCGACGGCCTGCGCGTGCACTCTAGCGGCCTCGGTTTGGCTCTGTAGCTGACCCACGTAGCGGTGCGAGCGGCTGCGTTCCACATTGCGCGCTGCCCGCAACCCGCAGTTTCCCGAGACCTCCAGCACGTCTGTGGTCGACTCGAGATGGAATTTGAGGTCTGATTTTTTTTTCTGCTGGTGTACGGATGTTCCCCTCCCTGGCTCAATCGGGTAACAATAGCATCCTTTCGATAAATTTGGAATTTTACACATCTTGTTTTCCGAGTTTGGTGGTTTTTCTTCTTTAATAAACCTATAAACACACTTCTCCTTTAAGTAATTGTGAGAAAGCTCTTCCTCTTACGGATAATCAATCGATAAGTGAAAAGTAAGTGCACCATAATTCCACACTAACAGCAGTGTCTGAAATGGCCAATCTGAAGCAGGAGTCGCAGGCGTCCGAGCAGCCTGACCTCAATTTGCAGCCTCAAAATCCAGAACTCGACGACGAGGAGGACGAAGACTCCAAGCCCTCCAACAAGAGAGAACGCAGAAAGATCGAAATCAGGTTCATCCAGGAGAAGTCCAGGAGACACATCACTTTTTCCAAGCGGAAGGCCGGCATTATGAAGAAGGCGTACGAGCTTTCTGTTTTGACCGGCACCCAGGTGCTGTTGCTTGTTGTTTCCGAGACAGGGCTCGTGTACACGTTCACGACGCCTAAGCTGCAGCCTCTGGTGACCAAGCCGGAAGGGAAGAACCTTATCCAGGCCTGTCTGAACGCTCCTGAGGAGCCTTCGAACGAGGACGACGACGCGCAGGCCGGCGGCATCCCGGACACACACGCTCCCCAGGGCCATCCTGCGGCCCAGCACATGCACCCGCAGCTGCAGCCCCAGCAGCCCCAGCAGCCGCTGCCTCCTCCTCCCCAGGGCCAGCCCCAGGCAGACCCCTCCCAGGCCGGCCAGCCCCCATACCACATACCCCAGATGGGCAACAACTACCTGAACCCGGACCAGAGCAACTACTACATGGGCTTCAACGGCAACCAGGGTTACAACTGATCATTTTCTAATTAAAGACATTGTCTGTGTAGTTTATATAGCGGTATTGCTTTTCGCAAAAAAATCCAACCTGTGTTAATTGTTTGGCATTTTTTTTCGCTCGTGCACTTTTAAAAAAATCTTTTATGAACAATACCATCTCCAACCTTTCTGCTGGACTCAGAAACGTCCGCATCAGCCAGCCTGTCAGCCACTCAGACATCCAGAACGAGTACGAGAGCCAGACGAACCAGACGCTGGACTCGGAGTCGGTGTCGCGGCTGAAGGAGTTTTTCTCGCAAGGAGCCCCTAACGAGGGTTATACGCTCGTGAGCCACCGGTCTGCGCCCAACGGATTCAAGATCGCCATCATACTATCCGAGCTCGAGTACAACTACAGCACGATTCTACTGGACTTCAACAAGGGCGAGCAGCGCACGCCAGAGTTCCTCGCCATCAACCCGAACGGCAGGGTGCCTGCGCTGATAGACCACACGAACCAGGACCAGCAGGTGTCCATCTGGGAGTCCGGGGCCATCATCCTGTACTTGGTGGAGAAAAAACTCAAGGAAGAGGGCTCCTGTGCGATCTGGAGCGATAACCTTGTCGAGCAAAGCCACATCCTCAGCTGGCTGTTTTTCCAGACCTCGGGCCACTCGCCCATGATAGGCCAGGCGCTACACTTCAAATACTTCCACTCCAGCAACGTGCCCTCTGCCATCGAGAGATACACCGATGAAGTGCGCCGCGTGTACGGTGTGCTCGAGATGGCCCTTGCCGAGCGTCGCGAGGCTCTGATCATGGAGCTCGACGCAGAAAACGCCGCGTCCTACTCCGCCGGCCTCACGCCGCTGTCCCAGAGCAGATACTTCGACCACCCAGTGTGGCTCGTGGGCGACCGTGTCACCATAGCAGACCTCTGTTTTGTCACGTGGAACTACGTCGTCGACCGCATAGGAATCGATCTCAAGGCCGAGTTCCCCGAGGTTTACAAGTGGACTAAGCAGATGATGAGGCGACCTGCGGTTATCAGGGCATTAAAGGGTAATGAGTAGTAACGAACGAAATGTATTATCGTAGAAAATAAGAAAAAATAAAAAAAAATAAAAAAATATTCCTTCTTCACCATGGCCATTGAGAACCCTGCGCTGCAGATGCTCGGCATCAAGAAACTCAAACTGCCGTCCCGGAACTGGCTGATTTTTTGGACCGTCGTCGCGGCCGTTGGAGGAGGCATTGTCTACGACAAGCGTCAGCAGTCCGTGCTGCGAGCTCAGTATATGGAGAAGGCCAAACACTTTGGCGAGCAGCCGTTTCTGCCCAACCAGTTGCCGCGCAAGCTGCGGATCTATGTTGCGCCGCCTCCCAACGATTTTTTGAGCGAGGGCTTGAAGTATCTGCGCCGCTTCTGCAAGCCTATATTGAATTCTGCCGCGATCGACTTCGACATTTACACTGCTGAAAGACAGGGAGATATTCGCCACGCTGTGTCGGAAGAGATCCGCCAGATCAGACGAAACAGGCTCCAGACATCCGCTAAGGAAGAGCCAGAGCCCAAAGTAGAACCAGTGGACCCTGAAGCGACCAAACCCCTAAAAGAGCTGTTCAGACCGGCCGATATACTGGGTATATTCCAGTGCACCCAACAGCAGCCGTTGAGCTACGAAGACGCCGGCCTATCTCCGGAAGATGCAGGCGGGATCATCACCATTGGCAGGGGAGCGTTCAAGGAGTACATTAACGGGGTTCACGAAGGGTTGTTGGGTCCTTTAGAAAAACCCGAAAAAAAAGAAGAGCCCAAGGACTCCGAGGAACAAAACGACGAAAAAAAGCCAGAACCGGTCGCTCGTCCATATATCGATCCTGCCGACTACCCGGCTGCTCCGCTCGCGCCAGAATTGGACTTTAATAATCTCCGGGACGAGAACGGCGTTCCATATTTCTTCACGCAACCAATTCTAGCTCTGCAAAACTACAATGTGGCCGGCTTCACCAAACAGCCAGAGAGAATATACAGGTTCTACAACAAGCGCTACCAGCTGATCGAGTACAACGAACGGCTATGGGGGCTGATCACGAAAAATTCCCGTCCGTTCACTCCTCAAGACATGAAGCTACTGGAGAGCGAGGAAAACGACTGGCCGCGCAGATTCGTGAAGGAGTCGCGCGAGAAGGGAAGCGAGTGGACACGTGACTTTGTTGCTGATCCGCGTGTGCTCCAGCTGCTCAGAGTGTATGAGAAGAACGAGAACTCGACTGAGTGATGTATATAATAGCAAAATAATGGTTCTGGAGGACAGTGAAATTTCACGGACAAAAATCTCACACACAAAAAAAGAGTGCTAACTCTGAGGATCGAACTCAGGACCTTCAGAACTTCAGTCTGACGCTCTCCCAACTGAGCTAAGTCAGCAAACTCAACAAAAACGGCGCTGCTGCTCTTAAGTGGATGGGAAGCAGCTTCTTCCTCTTCCTGAATAAACCCCGTGCAAAGCAGGCTTGAATATCACCATGGATCTCTCCCCCACACCTTCACCGTGACAATACCCGAACCCAGTCTTCCAATCTCATCGCTCCTAATTTAATCCCCCAACTACAGTCCCATTTTAAATGATTAAATTTTAAATTTACTTCTCTATCCTCATTTCGTGAGGGTCTATTTGGAATATTTTATCTGGGTTTAGCAAAAGATGAGGATCCAGAGCCAGCTTCAGCCGTCTCATTGTGTTCACAGCCTCCAGGCCCAGCTCTTGTTCCAGAAACTCCCTCTTACCAATCCCCACACCGTGCTCTCCGGACACTGTTCCCTCATTTTCAATGGCCCGCTTCACCATATTGTGCACCACCTTTTCCGCCACCGCCCGTTTTTCGGGAGGGAAAATCACCAGCGCATGGATGTTTCCGTCGCCAACATGTCCGACAACCGTCGTCAGAAGCCCGTTTGACTCGATATCGTTAACAGTCTCGGTGATGACTGCGGGCAGCTTCGAAATCGGAACGGCAACGTCTGTGGGCCAGGCCTGTGCGTTGGGGATCATTTTTTGGGCCCAGTCGATCGACGTCCACAGCTGTACCTTGCGAGCTCTCCAGATCTCGTCTTTTTCCTCCTGATCAGCGGCCACTTCCATATTGAATCCGCCGTTCTTCTGGCATATCTGCCTCACGATTTTGATCTGGTCGTTCATGGTGTTTTTGGAGCCGCCAAGCTTGAACAGCAGCAGGTTCTTGTCGCTCCATTTGCGGCCCTCGCTGGCCCCCATCTCGGCGAAACAGCGCATCTGACGGTCGTCCATGAGCTCCACTGCGTTCAACGCCAGCCCGCGGCGGAAAAGCTCCGTCACTGTCTGCGCTGCTTCCGACAATTTATCGAAATTGACTATGGCCACCACCTCGTTTTCCGGCTGCACCGCAAGCTTCAACGTGGCCTCCACAATGATTCCCAGCGTCCCCTCACTGCCTACAAAAAGCCCCGTCAGGTTGTAGCCTGCAGACGACTTTCGAGGCCGGTTCTTTGTCTTGATTACGGTTCCGTCGCTCAACACCACCTTCAGCCCAATTACGTTGTCTTTCATCGTCCCATACCTCGTCGCCCGCGTACCCGAACAGTTAGTGGCAACCATTCCACCGATACACGCTCCTGGTCCCGGATCGGGTCCAAACATCAGACCGTACTCGTCAAGATACGCATTCAGATCCTGCCAACCGACTCCCGGCTGCACAACAACATCCAGATCCTCCTCGTGAAGCTCCAGCACCCTGTTCATGCGACCGACGTCAATGCAGATGCCCCGTCTCGTCGGGATGAAGTGGCCCTCGATAGACGTTCCTCCAGAGTACGGAACCATGGGTATTCGGTATTTCGAGCAAATCTTCACCACGGAAACGACCTCGTCCACGCTCTCAGGGTAAACAACAAGGTCTGGACGCTCGTCCTCGGTTGGCTTGTGGAAATTCGAGGAATTGTCGGAATGCAATGCCAGCTCCCCGTCTGAAACGGACGTCTGGTCGGGACGCAACAGTTGGCAAATTTCCTTCACTGCTGCCTGGACAGTGCTCTCAGATGCATAGACGGGCGACTGGCTTAGATCGCTGAGCGGTGTCGTCGCTTTTGGCGGAAATACGTCCATTGGTGGATAACTTCTGAAATACTGGTAAGTGCCGTAGGAGCTGGCGATGCCGACAACTCCCACACAAGCGGCCATTCCCAGTGCCCACGACACATTTGCAGGGGCTCTCTGAGAGAATTGCCGCTTGAAAACACCCCGACAATTAATGCCAAAGTGTCTGATAAACATGGACGAACTGATAAGAAAATCTCGGGCTGTGCTCTTCATTCTTTTTTTTTGCACATTTTTCCACCAATAGCTTCTGCATGGGTATATCCGCTCCAATCAAACAGGTTCTGGCAAAGTTCCCGCTGGTGGTGTACCCGTCTCAAAACACGGACGTGGAGATGCCGGCGACCAAGCTCGCGTTTCGAAACAGCCGCGAGTCGCACAATACGTTCAACCTAGGAGTGTACAATGTGGTGCCTCTGTCTTTTGACAACAACGTGGCTGCGTCGCTCGACCCGGTTTGTTTCTACTGCATGCTGCTCCTGGCGTACAAACAAGGCTACAAATTGCCGCAGCTGGATAATAACGGCTCGGGGAACTGTATTTCCGTGCTGACCTACCACAGCGCCGTGGACGGACAGCTTCCGATTCTTGTGGAGGATGAGGACGACAGAAAAGAACGCAAACTGCGCAGAAAGATCCGCTCTGCGGCCACGATCGAGAAATTCAATCTATCAACGGTGTCGAACCCAAAAGAACTCATGTATATACAATTGGTCGATACTAGACTATACGACTACTTCACGGCCAAAGTGCTGCAGATTTCGGCAACGTCCATCTACAGCCAGTCCAGCACGCCCTTCAATTCGGCCCTGGGTCACCTCGTGAGACGAAACAACTTTTATCTGCGCAACCCGGCCATCTCTGCCCAATACACAGACTCAGTTCATCTGCCTCTCAAATACACTGCCAAAGCCATACAGAACGAGCATGACCGTTGCAACCGCGAGGGAAAACAGCTTCTCGAGTGGCTGGAGACACTGCTCGAGGACGAGCTGTTTTTCGACAAACCTGGCGTGCTGGACTTCAAGCTGGCCGCGTATATCTATGCTCTGATGAATATCGAGGACGTTGAGCTTGAGTACCCGAAACTGAAGGCCCATTGCCGCAGAATTATAGCAGGCGTGATATAGATCATTTCCACGGGTTGTCGTCGTCGTCGGCCTCCCACGTCTTGTACGCAATCGAAGTCGGCACCGTGAGCTCCTTGAATAAGTCTGTACCTGGGTTTTCCAGCTCCGAGCCTCTTCTTTCCTGGTTGTCGTGGTCGGTGTACTTGTCATAGAGGTCTTCGAGGTCGTCAATGACCTGAATCGGCAGGATCGGCTGGTGGAGCCGGATTTTCTTCTGGTCGGAGCCGTATTGGTGCAGCAACTCGAGCTGGCGCGGAAGCACCAGGGGAAACACCTGGCCTGGGTTCAGAAACAGCTTGTCGGAGCCAGCGTAGTACGCCTTTTGACGGCCGGCCGTGGAGTTCTGCTTCAAGTGCGTCTTCAGGTTCTTGGGGAACTTCTGCTCTGTGATCTCGTATCTATATTGCTTGACAACGTGCAGCAACTGTTCGGAGGTTACCACGTCGAACCTGTTCATAATGCTTTTCAACAAGTCCAGATCCTCTGCCGTGAGCCCGCTCATCACCTGCAACCACTCCAGCAGTTCGACGAGCGGAAGAAAATGGTGCTGGCCAATTTTGTACAGCGAGTTGTAGTAGAAAGTCCCGTCCATTGGGTCCTGCCTGTTGTTGTGGAACCGTGCGACGTTGGTGAGTTTCGTCTCGATTCCAACAATGCTCTCTGGATAGCTGTCGTCGCTGAAGTCTAGAGTTTCTGCCCGATACGGGACCAGATTGTTGGCTCTGAGCCAGTCCTGGATGTATGACATATTGAGTCTGATCTGCAGCGCCTTGACACGCGTGTTGTACTTCTTGTTGGCCAGAACTCGGTTGAAAACAGAGCTTCCGAGCCAGTACAGCACGGCAGCAAAGCACTGCTGTTTGTACACGTCGTTCACGTGATGAAGCTCTAGAACGTAGACCAGCGCTCCCAAAGTCTGTATGATTTTCAGCGGCGACGGTTTCATCTGCTGCTCCAACGACGGAGGATACAGCATCTCGAGGATCTCGTCGTAGGTGGATTTTAGAGCCACTTTCTGTTTGAACACTCTCCATTGCGCCTTGTACACGGTTTCAAGGTCTGGAACACTCGAGTAGTCCAGGACGCACGGCTCCAGCAGCGGCTCCAGCTTGGCGTCCATCACGAACGCCAGCTGGAAAATCAGCGACTGCACAGTGGAAATCAGGTCCTGGAGCGTCTTGGGGCTTTTTGCGAGGAACGGGCACGCGGTGTCTCTTTGGAAAAAATACTGGAGATGGTTCAGGCACGAGATCCAGTAGCCAAGCAGAACGATGTCTGTTTGGGGCCCCGAAGACGGCTGGACAACGCCGCTCTTGGTGTTGGTGACACTTCTGACTCTCGTAAAAAACAGGTCCACAAACGACTCGGCCAGCTCCATGCTGTCCACCTTCCCGCTGATGTACCGGACCGACTGGAAGACCACTGCGGCAGGATAGATGGCCTTGTGCTGGTACTTTGCGTGCAGCGAGAAAATGTAGTCTATGGTGGCAGAAATGCTCTCGTCGCTGACTCTGACGAACTGGCGAGGCATCAGGTGGCCGAAGTCAAAGCTGTCCGTATAGAACGAGTCGTCCAGGACGCTGGCGTCGTCGTCGTCGACGAATTTCGAGCCCGAGTACAAGTCTGTCGGTTTCGCGTTGTCGTTCTCTATACGCAGCGCCTGGACGCGGCTCTCGAACTGCTCATCGGTCGGGAGCAGCGGGTCCTTTTTGTAGAAGCTGCTGTCGTTCGACTGGGGCGCTGTCTTGTCCAGATAATTGTGCACCTTGTAGTAGTTGTAAATTTCAGACTCCGGCTTGAGCATATCGAGCGCGTTTTGATGCGACCGCTCGCTCCGCAAGTACGGGTCTGCGTCGTTGGCAAGCAACACCTCGACGATCTTGATATTCTCCAGATACGTCGCCCACATCAGAGGGGTCCACCGAAGCAAAGAGTCGCTTTTGTTCACGTCCACCACCGACACCAGGGCAGAGACGCACTCGACCGAGCCAAAACAGATGGCGTATATCAGCGGGCTCAGGCCATTGAGGTCGATGTTGTTGAGCTGCGCCAGCTTAGCGGCGTCGGCAGACGAGATAAACTGCGTCAGCTGGATGTGGTCGTTGGTGGTGCACCCGAGACACAGCTTGGCAAACCAGTCCGAGCCTGCGGCCAGTTCGAGCGCTTTTTTTGCCGCCTGGACCTTGGCCCAATTGGCGTCTGTCGACAGCACAGAAGAAAGAGACGCTTTCCACGGGTCCAGCGACATAGAGATGGCTCAATTTTTATTCTATATTTTGTCCTGCGTGGAGGGAGGCGGTGTACAAAATAAATATTTCATTTAATTACCATATCTCTCATGCCAGCACGGTTCAACTTTGACCAGCGGTTGCGGTCGCGAGTAGCCAGAAACGGCGGCAGCACGACGGCAGGACGCGAATTGGAGCCCCTGGAACGGTCGCGGTCCCCGTCGCCATATGGAAGCCCCTCCGATCGCGACGCTATACAGCTGATCACCCTAAAAAAGATCACGGCCCGGCTGTTTGAGAACCTCCAGCAGCTGGAACAACAGGGCGAGCCGGTGTGTCTGGCGGTCTGCGCTAAATACATTGGCTTTGGAACGGCCAAGGGCCACGTGCTGGTGTTCAGCTACGACCAGTCTCTCGAGGCCGCCTTCTTCACGGGAGTGCCCATTACGGCGATCTCGTTTTCGCTGGACTCCAGCTCGCTGGCCGTGGGCCACAGAACGGGCCGGGTGAGCACCTACGAGCTCTCGAACCAGGACAAGCCGTCCCACAGCTTTGACTCGCTGAACTGCCCGATATCCACGCTTTCGTTTGTCGGGAAACGCCATTCGGCTCTTCTGAGCACCACGGACGACGGGAGGCTTGTGTACCACCACGCCACACGCACGCTGTTTGGATTCAGCTGCAGTTCGCGAACGCTGGCCGAGAATATTCTCGCTTCCTCACAGCTGCTGATCGGCCCCGTGGCCTATCCTACAGACACCATGGGCGTTCTCGCGTTGATGACGCCCTCTGGACTGACGGTTCTATCAACAGACCCCGTACTGCAGACCCATTTTCGAGTGGGAAAACCCAAAATTCTCGCCGAGACCGACACGTTCGGCTGCGCCCAGTGGTTTCCTGCTACCAAAGAGTCTCCTGCCCTAGCGTATTCGTGGGGCAACGTGCTGACCTTGATAGACGTTGTGGCGGACAAAATCGTCGACGAGCGCAAAAGCGAGTCGGTTCTGCTGCGGTACGAGAACAAACGCAGATACCCGTGCCAGGAGCCCATAGTCGCCATACACTGGCTGAACTCCAAGGTTCTTGTGGTCCTGACGGTTTCACAGCGCCTCTTCTGTCTTTCGCGCGAAAACCTACAGGTTCTCACCGAGCAGGACGTGATGAACAAGCACGTGAAGCATCGGCTGGCAAATTCGCAGCATCGCAGCTTTGCAGCTACCAGCGCAGTTTTTCGAGGAAAACTATTCATTTTGGGAAAATACCAGACGTTTCTGGGCTCTCCGCGCAACTGGGCAGACGAGCTGTTTGAGCTGCTACAATCGGGACAGTACATCAGCGCGCTGGAGACGGCACGTGTTCAGTACGATGGACAATGCGATCTGGTTTTGATTGGGTTGCCAAAAGACGACGACGAGCGTCATCAGAAAATGCGCCATCACATCATACAGATGCTCGACGCGTCTGCGAAATACATCTTCACCGACCAGTCGGTTCTTGCGATGGAGCCTCTCGCACGCAAAGACGTTCTTGCTCAGTTCCTAGCCACTGCATTTAGAGTCTGTGTCAGTCTCAAACCGGACCCGGCCGTTTACGAGCAGCTGTTCGACACATACGTGGCCAATGGCCTGGAGGATGTCTACTTTGGCATTCTGGAGAAGTTTATCCGCAAAGAAGAGATAACAGTCCTGCCTCCTGTCGTGCTGCGCAAAATGGTGGCTCGTTATGTCTATGACGGCAGAGGCCATATTTTGGAAGAATTGGTTTGTTTTTTGGACTTGAAACAGCTGGATATTGACCTCGCCATTACTCTGTGTCGCGAAAACCATCTGAACGACTCGCTAGCATACATCTGGAACACCATGCTAGAAGATTATATCACACCGCTTATGGACGCTTTGAAAGCTCTGAAAAAACATAGCCACGAGCCAGCCTACTACGAAGCAGACTACGTCTACGCATACATATCGTACATTTTGACAGGAAGACAGTATCCTACTGAGAAGCCGATCAACTACAGAACGAGCGAGAGTGCAAAAAAAAATATTTACTATGTGCTTTTCAGCGGAGCAGCCGTTTCGTGGCCTCGCGGCGCTCCTAAATTCCACATCGTCGACGACGAAAACATAGTCGACGAGCCTGCGTTCCCGTACCTTTTTCTGCTGCTGAAACACGATGGAGCTCTATTTTTCCGGTGTCTGAACGAGGTTTTCGAGGACACTTTTCTCAACGACAACGAAGTTTTTGGTTTCTCGAGCAACTCCGACACTTACGAGCTGAAAGTGAGCCGTCAGTACATACTGGATGTCCTGATGGGCATATTTGGCGAGAACGAGTTAGGCAAGGAGTACAAAACGTATCTGGCTATCTTCATTGCCCGGAACTATCCCAAATACATGCAATTCATTCGGCTCTCCAATTCTCTGCTGGATTCAATAATCCGCGATCTCTGTGCGTATCCCGTTTCTGAACTGAAAGAGGACTGCGAACTGAGTCTGCAGAGCCTGCTTTCTGTGCACAAGCCCAGCACGTCCTTGGTGCCGTTGTTGGAGTCTGCCGGTTTTTACAACGCACTTGTGAGCATCTATCAATCTGAACAGCGTGCGCTCAAGCTGCTGGAGCTCTGGATCGAGCAGAAAAACCGGCCAGAGGCCACGGAGATCATAGAGCGCTGTTTCAAACTCGTCAGGGAAAACCCTGGCGAAAGGCTCGACGTGGAGCAGTTTCTAGAACGCCATTTTGCGGACTTCTGCACAGATCCCGCTGCTGTGGCTCCAATTTTCTCCGAGCACTGTCAGAAGCTCAACTCCAGGGCCCTCGAGCTGGACCAGCCGCGCAAATACAAGTATCTGAAAGCAGTGTTTGATCTTCGCTCCCAGAGGGGACTCGAGGTGTCTCCCGAGATGGAACTCGCCTACGCGGAGTGTCTGCTTCAGTACGAGCCAGCCAGTCTCAGACAATTCGTGCTTGGTTGCAAGATGAACGAGAAATTGATGCATTTTCTGAAAAAAAACCAACAGTTCGAGACGGTTGTTGAAATTCACCGCAGAGCAAACGAAACAGAACAGGCCGTCGAGGACGTCATCGAGGCCTTGATCCATTGTGCCACGCACCTAAAAAACACAGACAACAGCGACATTCTTTGGAGATATCTCTATCTTGGCTTTGACGTGATAAAGGGATCCCAGCTCACTCGAGACCCGTCGCAGGACCTGCAGCCAGACGAGAAACTGTATCTGCGGCTTGTGGAGACGGCAGTTGGATTTTTTGTGGCGGCCGAGGGGCCGTTATTGGACAGTTTCAAACGACTGGTCCAGGACGCATTCACTACGCTAATCAACATCAAAAGAGACCACTCAGACTCGTTTTCCCGCATCTTCAACACGTTTCTGACGCGCTCGTCGGCCCAGCTCACGACGCTACAGGAGGTGCGCCCTGTGCTGGACGAGATATTCCAGGCCTACTCTCACCAGGAGGTGATTTACGAGATTATCTTGCGGCTGGTGAATAACGACATTTTCCAGGAACTGATGGTGCTACAGGCGAAAAGAGAAACCGGCTGGTCGCTCGCCAACCTGGAGTGCGAGGTGTGCGGCAAGCCGATCTGGGGGTCCAAGGTGAGCACCCAGGTGTTTGATGCGTGGCAGGAGTGCCGTATGCAGGGCGTCGTGCGCGCGTCGATCGACGCAGACATCATGGTGTTCCAATGTCGTCACGGTTATCATACAAGATGTCTACATAACATGGGCGTGGAGAAGGAGTGTATACTGTGTAGAGACAAATAGAATTGCGCTTATGCTTTGGTCTCGTCCATCCAGTCCAGCGTGTACTTGATGCCGTCGGCAAGACTGACCTTGGGCCTGTAGCCAAGCAGCTCCTTGGCCTTGGATATATTGTGGTATCTGTTGGCACAGGCCATTTTGACACGGAACGGCGTGAGACCGGGCTCCTTGCCAATCAGGCCGCACACGAGCTCCGACACATAGCCAATGGCAATGGCCACCGGCCGGCTCAAAACAATATTTTTCTTGTCGATGTGGCCGTCGGCCTTCCACACGGTTCTGGCGAGCGTCCAGAAATACGTCGGGGCGTCGTTCGTCACGAAAAACGTCTCGCCGCCCACAACGGCCGCAGACTCCGGGTCCAGCAATTTTTGCGCCGCCAAAACGTGTGCGTCGGCAACGTTGCCGGCGTAGCTCCAGTCAAACAGGTTGTTGTTGTCGCCGACCTGGAACTTGGTCTGGCCCCTGCGCAGCACCTGGCGTAGACCAGGGACGAGCTGGCGGTCGCCCGGTCCAAAGATGCCCGCCGGCCGCAGACAAACGGTGTAGAAGTGTTCTTCTGGCGAATTGGCCTCCATCACCAGTTTCTCGGCAATGGCTTTCGTTTCGTTGTAGCCGTCCATTGGGACCTCCGGAATCGGCCATCTCTCGTCCGCGTTGTAGATATCGTGTCCGTCGAAGATCACGCCGGCCGACGAGGTGTACACCAGGGCAGGCACCTTTTTCTGCTTGGCGCAGTGGAGCAGGTTGGCAGTGCCACGCACGTTGACCTTTTCGTACACCTCTTGGGCGAGGCCGTGCATTGGGGACGCCGAGTGCACAATGACTTGTGGCTGGAACCGGTCGATAGCGTCCTTGACGTCCTTTTCGGAGGTCAGGTCTCCCACAAACACGTCGATCTGGGCCGGGTCGAAGGTGAAGTACTGGGAGATTTTTTCGGGCAGCGGCCGCACGTCGAACACGTGGATCTGAGGCCTGTTTTCAAGCTGCCAGAACTGCTCGATCAAATGCAGTCCCAAAAACCCTGCTCCTCCCACCAAAAGCACAGAATCAAATGCCATCGTATAAAATAAAATAACGAGAGAAATGATTTTTTTTTTCGACGCGACGGTGACCAACTAGGCAATGTGCACTTTTTCCGCGTTGCACCTGAAAATCTTTTTATTTAATGACCGAAAAACCAGCTGAGACAAGACTTTGGGGCGGCCGTTTCACAGGCGCGACCGACCCGCTCATGGACCTTTACAATGCGTCGCTGCCGTACGACCAGAAGATGTATGCGGCCGACCTCGAGGGGACCAGAGTGTACACCCAGGGACTGCACAAATTAGGTCTTTTGACGTCCGAGGAGCTGTCTGAAATCCACCGGGGACTGAGCCAGATCCACCAGGAGTGGGCGGACGGCAAGTTTGTTAAGAAGCCCGGCGACGAGGACATTCACACGGCCAACGAGCGCCGGCTCGGCGAGATCATTGGCCGGAACATTGCCGGCAAGGTGCACACAGGCCGGTCCAGGAACGACCAGGTGGCCACCGACATGCGTATCTACGTCAGAGAAGAGCTGAAGAAGCTGGCTGTGCTGCTCAAGTCGCTGATAGAGGTCATGGTGGCGCGTGCCGAGAAGGAGATCGACGTGCTGATGCCGGGCTACACCCATCTGCAGAAAGCGCAGCCAATCAGATGGGCGCACTGGGTCAGCATGTATGCGACCTACTTCACCGAGGACTACAAGCGGTTGCAGCAGCTGATCGAGAGAGTGAACGTTTCGCCGCTCGGCTCGGGCGCTCTGGCTGGCCATCCGTACGGCATCGACAGAGAGTTTCTGGCCGCGGGACTGGGATTTTCGGGCGTCATTGGCAACTCGCTCGTGGCCGTCAGCGACAGGGACTTTGTTGTGGAGACGATGTTCTGGTCGTCGCTGTTCATGAACCACATTTCCAGGTTCAGCGAGGACCTGATTATTTATTCCAGCGGAGAGTTTGGTTTTGTTAAGCTTGCGGACGCGTACTCCACGGGCTCGTCCCTGATGCCGCAGAAAAAGAACCCGGACTCGCTGGAGCTGCTGCGCGGAAAGTCTGGCCGTGTTTTTGGCTCGCTGGCCGGCTTTATGATGTCGATCAAGTCGATTCCGTCCACCTACAACAAAGACATGCAGGAGGACAAGGAGCCGCTGTTTGACAGTCTGCGCACCGTGGAGCACTCGGTTCTGATTGCGACGGGCGTGGTGTCGACGCTCAGCATCGACGCAGCCAAGATGAAGGCTGCTCTGTCGATGGACATGCTGGCTACCGACCTGGCAGACTATCTCGTCAGAAAGGGCGTTCCGTTCAGAGAAACACACCACATTTCGGGCGAGTGTGTGCGCAAGGCCGAGGAGGAGCAGCTGAGCGGCATCGACAAGCTGACCTTGGCGCAGTTCCAGCAGATCGACCCACGGTTCGAGGAAAACGTCTTCGAGACGTTCGACTTCGAGGCCAGCGTCGAGAGAAGAACGGCCACCGGCGGCACTGCCAAGAGCGCCGTGCTCAAGCAGCTGGCTCAGCTCAAACAGACACTCAACAACTAAATAGGGGTATCAATTAGCTAGTGCTCTACGGTATTTAGTCGCTATGGTGTTCCACCTGGTCCAGGTCAATCAGCTCCCGCGGCAGGTCGACGTACTTGGGCCGTGCTCCAAAACTGAAACTCTCCATCCGCGACTTCTCCTCCTTCAGCAGCGGCGAGCAGAGACACTCGTCCGTCATGACGGGCTCTGCTCTGGGCGAAGACTGCACAGAGCTGAGCGGCGATCTCAGCGAGCTGGAAGAGCGTCCAAGGACGCTCGCAAGGTCGTCCTGGATGGCCGCACCTGTGCGGCTCAGCGATCTGCGGTGCTGTCTGGGCGAGGCGGGACTGGAGGACTCCGAAACGGACGACGGCCGTTGCAGCGACTGGTGTCTCTGGTGCGGTTTGAGCGAGAGCTCGCTAAAAGAGCTGGCCAGCAGAACGGTGCGCGGCTGCTCGTACTTGTCGTACTTGAGCTTCTTGCGGCTGCCGGCGGGCTGGAGCGGCGACACGGCGGCGTGCCACAGGTTTCTTCCGTCGCTCTCGTTGTCGGACTCCTGGATGGTCGGGGTCTGAGGAGTACTTAAATAATTAGAGCTTCTGCGAGACTTTTGCGGCGAATCTTGCGGCTTTGGGAAGGAGTAGCTGTCCATGGCGCGTTGGCATTCTTCCCAGTCGTATGCTTCTGTGGCTAAAGCTGAATACATGCTTATTTGACACCCCTGGCGAACGCTGGGCGTTTTATATATGCTCAGCAGGAAGCCACGGAACCTGCAGTATATAGCGTGCATTTTAAGCGAGACACTGTCAACGCACCTTTGCATCCACCTTCCAACTTGAAGGAGAATGCGGTAATTTCCACGCATCTGACACAGCTGGCTCGTTTGTGGGTGCGCGAGACAGGATTGTTGCTGTCGAGCGAAAAAGCAAAGTGTCAAATGGCTATTGTAGCCTACAGATACGACCTGCAGCAGCATGTTTCTGTTCTTGCTAAAAACAAGCGAATATGCACGAGAACACGATAGCGAGATTCCTTGCAGCGGTGCCAGCTACTAAAATGACGGGAGTGCACGGGGAACAGCACAGATAAACAGCACACGGTGCCAAGTCGTTCTTGCAACAATACACAGCTTCCACGGGGGCTCGCACTACAATCCCCTCTGATTCGCAGAAAAGCTTTTGCTCTCGGCGTAACTCCTGTAGATAAGCATACACCAGTTACCACGTATCTGCGGCTTCTTCAGACGGCAGAAAGAGTGTGCAGTAGCAAGTCTGGCGATTCGACACAGATACTGCAAAGCAGCTCCGATATCAGAAATGAGGGTATGGTCTCGTCATGATTTTGAGTACATCCGATTGGTGCACAGCATCTCATTGTCATCATACAAATCGCCAGCACTTCCAACTGCACTTTCTTCGCCAGAAGAAAGCGTATTCGGTAGTAACTTAACTAGTATTTAAAAAATTTTCCGGCCTTTATTTCGAGGTCGTGCGCCGCCCACACAGACCCGGGAGCCATTTAATCTAGAACGCAGCTGCTACTGCTTCTTTGACGGCCACAGCTGCGTGAGCAGAAATCCAACCACGTCGCGGTCGTCAAAGTACTGGATGTGCGACCCCACCGCGTTGAACAGGTCGATGTCGAAGTAGCCCTGCGGCAGCGAGTAGTCCACACGTCCCGTGCGGTTCAGCCCTTCCAGCAGCTTCTTGACGTTATCGGGGATTTCTTTTTGCTCGGTAGGCTTCAGAATCTTATCCTGCTTCTCGCCGAGTTGGGCAACATCGCCCAGTCCTGCAAAATTGATAGCACGACGCAAGTACTCGTTGTTGATCAGGTTGTTTGGCAGTTCGGCAAGAGACTGGATCTGCGAGTTGAGGCTGTCGTCCTCAAAAGAAATAGTTTTGGGCTTGACGCCTGCAAGCAAAGAGTGCACGAGGGGCTCGACTCTGTATGCCACCGGGTCCGTGGGGTAGAATATATTGTAGTAGTTGCCGACTTTCGGAGAGCTCACGTTTTCGTGGTTTGCGCTATCGCGGGCCCGGATATTGTGGCCCTGGATAAGCTTGAACACGCCGTTCGGCGAGCCGAGTCCAAAGAAGTTCTCCACTGGGAACTTGAGGTGCTTTTCAGGGTCGATGTACTCAGGAGAGTCTGGCTGGGAGCACAGAATGTCCAGACAGATGGCAGAGCCTAGCGAGTGACCAAGCAGGGATATCTTGCCATCGAACTGCGGATGGCGCTCCACATACTTGTCGTAGATGGCATTGGCGTATTTGACGACGCTGGACAGAATCTGCTGCTTGAAACGGGGCTCGTAAAAAAGCAAAATGTCCATAACCACGTCTGCTGCTAGATGCCGCAGTGGTGTGATTGCATCGATATTGATCTGGTTCAGCGTGGGCAGCCGCGCATGTCCGTCCGGCTCGTATTCGTCGAACACCTTATCTAGCGAGAAGTCCACGTCGGACCGCCAGATGATCGGCAGCACCTGCACCTTGCAGTTGCTAAGTTTTCCGTCATTTTTGTGCCGCGCAATTTCATCTTCAGAGTAGGCCATCTTCACGTATTTGGGATTATGGGTGAAGAGCTGCTTGAACTGTCTTCTCATGTTGTTGCAGTCGTGGGCGAAGTTGATCGACGTGAACCGGTAGCTCAGCGTTTGCCCGATGCCGTGGATGCACAAGATCAGATGGTCCACCTCTCGGTCGCCGGAATTGGCTATGAAATTCGGGTTCGTGTAATCTGCCTCCATGTCTTTCTGGAACCGCTCGTTGCTGGCCTGGCCCGTCCAGCTCTTCATCCACGACGTCAGCAGGTCTTTCTCTTCGTCCATCTTTTCCTCAGAGCCCTCCTCTGTTTTCTTCGCCTCAGCTTTCTCGTACCCCCTAGTGACCGTGTCTGCGCCCAGGACCTGCTGTGCCGGCAGCTTGTAGAAGTTTTTGATCTGGAGCTTGCCGACTTTCGAGTCTTTGGAGATCATGAACGCCGTTTTGTGGTCCTTGAACACGGCGATCTTGTCCTCTTTCTCGAAATCGGTCGCCTCTTCGAACGGCCACTTCTTCCCTTCTTGCTCGTACAAACTCACCTCCGACACGATTGCCGCCGTCACGGGCTCGTCGGAAGCCCGGGGCTCGTTGAACGGGCCCAGTTCCGTGTACTTCTGCTCCAACTGGTCCGCAATTGGCGCCGGAAGCGGCATATTGTCTAGGAACCAGAGTCCTCTGCGTATCTCGTAAGCAGGACCCTCCCAATAGGCCGGCCGCATGATCATCTTCTCCAGGTTGCAGTCGAACAATTGGTCCTCATTCACCGCCACCTCCTTAGAACTTCCACCGTTTTTCCAGGCACGGAATGCTGCCTCCAGATTATCAGAGTCGGTCCTAGCAAACGGGATGAATTTCTTGGGCCGTACGGTTTGCTTGTAATTGAAACCTCTGGGCTTGGAAACAGGGACATCTGTGGCATAGAACCAGCGAATGGCAGACGACGGGGTCGAATACCGTCGTATAGTGAAGAAGAATTTCATTTGGCTGCGACAGATCTGGAGAAGGATAGAAAGAATATTTCAGGGCATTTATTTAGCTATCACATATTTGTATATTTTATTTTATTCACTTATGTTTAATCCTTTGCAATTTCAGCGACGACGGCGGGCTTCCGAGGACGATGAGAGCAGCGAGGACGAACGGCCTGGTCTGGGGAAGCCGAATAGTATCACCGACGAACAGCCTCTGACGGACGTGGACAAGCAGTATGGTATCGGTGCCTCGTTGCTGCGTCAGATGGGTTACGTCGAGGGAAAAGGACTTGGAAAGGCCGAACAGGGAATTGTGGCCCCCATAGAGACCAAGATGCGTCCGCGCGGACTGGGTATTGGCGGGATCGATGAGAAATCGTCGGACACAGACTCGTCTGACGACGAGCCGATGTCAGAGGTGGCGTTTGAAAGCACTCTGCCGTCTCTTTACGCGCTGATCGAGCAGTTTGAGCAGCTGGGCACTCCTGTGCCCTTGAAAATCAAGGAAATCTGCGACAATGGCTCTGAAACGGTTGATATACGAGCGGCGTTGGCAGACATGCTCAGACAGCTCAAGGACGTCCAGGCCAAGATAGATCTTGCCCAGCACGAGCTGGAGCAACAGCGAAGGATAGAGACGGCCTCTAGAGAGCGCCGTTTGGCGCTGCAGCGAGTTTTGGACGGAAAGCATGAGATGATCGAGGACGACGGTGACAGGGAAATGGCAGCCAAGATGCTGATGGCCAAGCTGGAGCCCCAAGTCCGCGCGCTGATGGACTCGTGGGATCCTACCGATCTTGATTCAAACGTTCCAGACCGGCTGCTCGATTACAAGGACGAATACTCTCTGTTTGAGTCTGATCACGACAATGCCTACCAGGCTCTCGTCAGTCGGCTATGGGAGAAGAAGGCTGGCGATTTTTTTGCCACCAAATGGTCTGTTTGGCAGCCAAATCTTGGAATTGCATTGATTGAGGATTTTCAGGAACTTGTGTCTGAAGAGGCTGTTGCACGAGTGTACGAGAACGTACTGCTGCCAAAATTCAGGGACGAAATAGGCCACTGGAAAATGGGAGAACCAGGGCCCGAAACATGGCTGACAGACTGGCTGAACGTGATGGATGAACGGGTGGTTGACCAGGTGGTGGCAGACATTTTCCAGAAATACGCAGACTGGATACTTGTTGGATGGAACATTGAGGAACAGCAGCTTCCGGCAAAGAGAGTTCATCTGAGTCTGTGGCTTGATCTGTACGGAGACGAGCAGACCAGACAAAAGATGGAGTCCTCCGTGATTAAGAGGTGTGTTCAGGAACTGAGGAAGAGCAAGCTCCAGAACGCCGATGTTGTGCAATTTGTCGCTCTTCTTCGTGCGAATGGGGTTCGGTACGACAAGATCGACTATCTGCTTGAGAACGAGGCTGTTCTCTCGTGGACCGACAAGTTTTATTCCCTTTCAGATGCCAGAGACCAGTACCACTATGTTTTCGACTCACTGGTGCGACTGTACGCACGGCTACTTTCTTGCTACCATTTTCCGCGACTGCAAACATACCTCGTTCTGGCGCTCGACCACCTCAACTTCAAATACCAAACCTCCCTACAGCAGCTCCAGATGACTGTCCCGCCGATGCACCGCTTTATCTCTCAGCGAGAGCCCTCAATATCCAAACTGGTGGAGGCTACCGAAAACCTCAGTCTCAAGCCGCAAAAAAAAATTAACGTCACTCTCAAACAGCTGCTCGATGATTACTGTCAGGAGCACGACCTTTTCGTCCTGCCCGAGTCGACTCTGATGGCAGGAAAGGCCATGTATCGCGTCACCCGAAACATGAAGAGCGGTCTTCTGATCTATCTGGACGACGACGTCGTATGGGCCAAGACCGGAACAGACTTCGAGCCCGTCGCATTCAACGAGTTGGAACATTATGTACATTAATATTTACAGTCTATTTACCCTCCAAAGTCTCTTCGATCACCATGGCAGGCACCTCTGTAGCGCTCTCGACAGCGTCGGCAACCTTGTGCGACAGGTCGGCTGCCTGTGGCGACTGGACCAAAGCATCGGTCTTCTCAGCGATTTGGCCCACTGATTCCTCTGTTTTCTCAGCCACCTTCGTTGCCACGTCGGAAACAGTCTCAGAAACGGTCTCGACGGCCTCCGCGACGGCAACTTCCGCTTTTTCCGCGGCTTCCTGGGCCTCTGGAACCTGGCCGTACTCGTCATCCTCTCTCAGCTCCTCAGCATACACCTCTGGATACTTCTTGAAACACTCCTGCATTCCCTTGAACTTCTCAATGCAATCGATGCCCTTAGGCTCCTCCTTGGAGTAGACAAAGCACGAAAAAGCGGCCTTGAACTCCTCTCCACAAGGGCCGTGGGCCATGCCTCCGAGACACGGACAGTCCCAGTTGATTTCGCCCGTTTCTGGGTCGTAGGCTCCCTTCTCGTCGTCATGCTCGGTCGTCTCGACCGGCTTCTCGGCCTTCTCGGCCAGCTTTTCCTTGTCGATGGGCGACTCCATCGAAATCGGAGAGGCAAAAGTGTACGTGATCAATCCCGCCAAACCGAGCGCGAGAACGGCGCCGCCCGGGGCAGCAGCGGAAAACTGCCGTCTCGAGAAGGTGGACGACCGTCTCGCGAGAATCCGCGAGCCTCTAAGTGCAGTGCGCGACAACAGGGAATACATGCTGATTACTAAGTAAATTTTTCTTTAGTTCCATTAGTTAGACAATGGTTATGAGCGAGCGCAGCGCGGCAAGACCAGGACAGACACCGCCGCAACGCTGTCCACAACAGCGACGATTACAGGGCGAGCGGCGTCAGACAATCACGCAGCAGCTGTTGGTCTTCTTGGCCTGTTTGTAGAAGGTGCGCGAGCTTGCCGTGAGGGCCTCGGACTTGTCCACGAGCGAGTCCAGCTGTTCGCCTCTCTGGAGCACCGACTCGATGCTCTTCTGGAGCACAATCTTGGTCTCGTCCAGCTCCTGCTGCACCTTCATGATCGCGTCGGCCTCGGTCGGGTTCTGGTATTTCGTCAGGTACGGCTCCAGGTTGTCGAAAGCGAGGTCGGGCGTTTTTTCTGCAACGGTGGCCCATTGGTTTGGAGGATGGATGGAAATGTACTCGTCGAGGATCTTGTTGAGGAGCGTGTATGCTGGCCTGATGGGATAGTCTTTGTCGGATATTATGACGCCCGAAATGCCCTCTGCCCTGGTGTAAACATGGCCGATGTAGTTGCCTTCTTCCACAGACTGTCTCTGGCCAGGTGTTGTTCTTTCGGCGATCGTTTCAGCAAAAAAAGTCATGAACTGGCCGACCGAAGAGCGCTGGAAGAACGAGAACGAGGACAGGTCCTTGGCCTCGGCGAGTTCCAGCGTCTTGGCGCCGTTTTTGCCTGGTCTGACGACTCCTAGGTAGAAGAGATGCATAGGGGAGATGGATTGCTTTGGTGGGGGGTGTAAAAAAAAGATAGCGCACGCTGAGCAGGCGTGACAAAATGATGCGGCGGAGTCTGCGCGGGCTGCGGCCGCGCGGGCTTGCACAGGCCTCTGGAGAGCTCCAGCAGGTGCCTTGTGTCTGTGTTTGACGGCACAGACTCCATTCCCGCCAGTCGCCAGCTCCTGTACGCTCCTCCGCCACGAGCCAAAGCTTACCCGGCCAAGCACATAAAGTTTTTTTCCCACCTCAAAATTACACCCAATGTCCGAAGACTGGAAAGCAAACCTCAATCTCCCGAAAAAGGACGGCCGGCCGCAGACAGACGACGTGCTCGCCACCAAGGGCAACACGTTCGAGTCTTTCCATCTCAAACGAGAACTTCTCATGGGCATATTCGAGGCAGGCTTCGAAAAACCGTCGCCCATCCAGGAAGAAGCCATTCCGGTGGCATTAATGGGCAGAGACATTCTCGCTAGAGCGAAAAACGGCACAGGAAAAACGGCAGCCTTTGTGATTCCAACGCTGGAGAAGCTGAAACCGAAGGTGAACAAAATACAGGCGCTGATTCTCGTCCCTACTAGAGAATTGGCTCTTCAAACGTCTCAGGTCGTCAAGACTCTGGGGGCCCATCTGGGCATCCAGGTCATGGTCACTACTGGAGGAACCTCGCTTAGAGACGATATCATGAGACTCCACGAGCCAGTGCACGTTCTGGTGGGTACTCCAGGAAGAGTGCTGGATCTGGCATCTAGAAAACTGGCCGAATTCGACGAATGTCGCATGTTTGTGATGGACGAAGCCGACAAGATGTTATCGCGCGAGTTTAAAAACATTATCGAACAGATCCTCAAGTTCTTCCCCCAGTCCTCGTCCGGAAAGGGCAACGGCTACCAGTCGCTGCTGTTCAGCGCCACGTTTCCTCTCGCCGTTAAATCTTTTATGGACCAGCACCTCTACAAGCCTTACGAGATTAATTTGATGGACGAACTTACCTTGAAAGGTATCACCCAGTATTATGCCTTTGTCGAGGAAAAACAGAAACTGCACTGTTTGAACACTCTCTTTTCCAAACTGCAAATCAACCAGTCGATCATTTTCTGCAACTCCACCAATAGAGTCGAGCTGCTCTCCAAGAAAATCACCGAACTCGACTACTCTTGCTACTACTCCCACGCCAAGATGCCTCAGGCCGCCAGAAACAAGGTCTTCCACGAGTTCAGACAAGGAAAAGTCAGAAACTTGGTTTGTTCTGACTTGCTTACCAGAGGTATCGATATTCAGGCAGTCAATGTGGTGGTGAACTTTGACTTCCCAAAGACCGCTGAAACCTATTTGCACAGAATCGGTAGATCCGGAAGATTTGGCCATTTCGGTATCGCAATCAACCTCATCAACTGGAACGATAGATTCAATTTGTACAAGATTGAACAAGAACTGGGAACCGAAATCAAGCCTATTCCTGCTGAGATCGACAAATCTCTGTACGTTGTTGGCCAGCCAGAAAGTATTCCAAGACCTTTCAAACTGGATCAACTTCCTAATGGAAACGAGCGCAACCACAACAGATACAACGGCCAGCCAACTCAACCTCAGACCCAAAAGCACGTTGAGTACTAGTGGAAGTTGAAACTATCAAAAAAATCAAAAAAAAAACCAAAAAAAAAGTAAGAAAATATCAAAAAACCATTATAGATCACCGAGAAAGTATCCAAGCGGTACCAAGCGAATTGTGACATAGCATGAAAAGATACCACGCTCACGACTTAAGTTCTAGGATTATCTTTTCGCTTATTTATCAGCCAGAAAGCTTTTTAGCTTCATGTGGTGTGCTACGACTTTCATGACCGTTTGTGCTTTACTTTTTCGCTCTTCATTTCGACACACTTGTACTTTACCGGCTGTTGGTTGTCGCTTTAACCAGCAGCATTACTACATTCATAGTTTTTTTTTTAATTTTTTTTTTTTCACTATAGCCATTACTTTAGTTTTCCACCTCCATGTAGTCAGGGTTCTTCTTCAATATCACAACTCCTTCAAGGAAGTTTGTGAGGGGAATGTATTCATCGTTTTCCAGCTCAGCCCTTTCTCCAAATCCTAGAAGAACAGGAGTAGAGTGTGTCACCCATCCAGTTATGGTCTTTGGCTTTCCAGCCTGTCCGACAACATCCACTGCCTGGCCTACTCTAACGTTCACTTTCAAAGGCTTGAGCTCTTCGTCGACAGTCACAAGCATGCGTGGTTTGATGGCTGGCGTCAAATAGTATAACAGACTCGAATGCTGGTCCAGAATGAAGGATGTTGGGTCTAAAAGGGCAATGCTAACGGTCAAAAGCGAAGCAAGAGAGACTTTGGACAAGATCTGTCTGTCTGTGTTGAAAGGAGACAACGTGAATGTTCCCTTACCCAGATGCACCAAACCCTGTGAAATACGCGTCATGAACAAGGCGTTCTGATCGTTCACGTAGTACGAAGCCAACTGCCTCAAAAGCTGGGCTAATCTAGCATTGTTGGTTCCTGCACCAACCAAACCCATACCGAAAATGGCATTGTAGGCAACATCCAGATCCTGGTCATGCGAATATCTCGAAAGCGTGTCAAACACTTTCATTTGCGCATTGGACGAGGACACCAGTCCCATGGCCAAAGGAACAGCTCTCTTGATGAGCGGAGTACCATAGTGCATCAAGTGTCCGAAATGACGCAGTGACATCTCCTGGCCAATTTCTTCTCCCATAGATATCAAGGCAAGTCCCAAAACTGCGTACCCTTGGTAGGATTCATCCTCTTGAGCTTCAGAGCTTTCCTCCTCGCTGGTTTCTTTCTTCTCTTTATTACTGTCCTCGCCTTCAGTCTTTTCCTTCTCTTCCTCGTCCTCGTCGTCGTCCTTCTCATCCTTTGGTTTCACTGTGCACATTTGCAGCAAAGATTGAATTTGCAAGACATTACCGGTTCCGGCATAAGAGCATATATTCACCAGAACCTTCAAAGTTCTGGCAATTGGATGGTCAATGGCATCGATCGTCTCAAGAACATCATCCACCTGGTCGTATTTGCCCATGTATAGCAATCCGAGACCAAGAGACATGAAACGGATCCATTTAGAGGTCAGATCAGATGTCTCCTTCTCCAGCAAGGTTTGCAGAATGGTGGACGTGATGTCACCGTTGCAAGTTCCAACGAAAACGTGACCTAGTGCAAGAGCAGAGAGTGCTTGAATCTCAACAGAAACTGATGGCTCAGACACAAGAGGCAAGAGCAGGTTCATCACCTCATCGTTCTCACTGCCTGCAAAGGCAATGCCAATTCCCGTGATGGCAGAAATGATCATCTTGGAGTCGATGTTCGAATCGCTGCTGATGTAATCCTGCAACAGCAAAAGTGTCGGGTCCACCTCATCGTGGACGCTGGTGGTCGAAATACCCATTCCCAGCAATGCGCCTGCTCTGACTTCGCTCTGTTCAGAGTACAAGTATTTGTCAAGAGTTTGAAGACCCTCATTTGCGTCCCATAGATTGATCAACCCCAATGAGGCAGTGGTCAGAAGCATTCCTTCGCCTTTAGTCCTGTAAATCCATTTTTCGTCGCTGATAAGCTTTTCTGATCCGTAACCGGCGTTAACAAATGCGTTCACAAACGCAGCAGCCAAGTTCTGCTTTGCGCTCTCTAATCTGGAAGAATGGCCAAAAAGTGAGTTCTCAAGGTGAGTTTTGTAGATATCGTCTGGAACTTTCGGTTTCAGCAAGTTCAGCTCACTGACAAGGTATTTGAAGTACTCGCTCAGCTTGACGTTCGAGATGCATTCCTGCACGGCCTCGTTGTCGACCTTGAAGCAAGAATTCTGTCTCGCCAGCATAAACCCAAGCTGTTTCTGCACCAGCTCGTCGCTGGTGGCCTCAAAAACAGATTTGATCAAGGACTCATCTCCAAGTCTGATAGCCAGGCTCAGTGCTTGTGGAAGTTTGTCATTAGCCAAGTAGATGCTGAAGGCGGTGTTGAGGAAGGCGAGGTCGTCTGGAGGAGCGAGCAACGGCACGCAGGAAACCATGTACAAACACACTCTGTTGTATGTGTTCTTGTCGACAAACTGCGAGAGCTTTTCTATTTCTTCGATTTCAAGCAGGAGATCCACCGCTTCAGCCTCTGCATTGTGTTTGAGGAAGTAAGGCACAATTTCCAAGCTCAGCTTGATCAATTGTTCCGTGTGAGTGTCTTCTCTGTTGACTCCGTTCTCCAGATTCTCCTGGTACTCCTCGCCGATTTCCAGAGAAAGGTGTCTCAGATACTCGTGTCCCCATTCAGATATGGTCGAGTCGATGTTGCTGAGTAGTCTGTACTTTAGACACTCCCTCTTGAAATTCTCGCCGTCCTTTTCGCTGTAGGTCATTCCCAACACAGAGAGAATGTCTGCGAGCTGCGATTTCAGCTTCGGGTCGGTCCAGTTGCTGTGGATCGCTGTCAATGTGGGATAATGAGGTCTGAGAAATTTGAGCGGTTTAGGCACTGCCGTCATCGAGGACGTGGAGTCTCTGATGAAACTTTTCAGGTTGTCCAGCGCAGGGGCATACAGGTCTTTGTTTGGCTCGGAAAGACGCTCGACAAGCATCTCCAGCTCGGACTTGAACTGGAGATCCTCCTCGCTCAGCTCCTCCTCGGCCTTCTTGCTGTCGGCCTTGCTTTTTTGCTCCTCCTTAGCAGGCTCCTTGCCCTGCTCAATGGACGCTCTTCTGGTTTCTTGTTCTTTTGCAGGTGCCATGAAGAAAACAAGTGTGTTTACGAGAGTGGCAAAATCCACGAGTCGAAAAAGTTTGAGGTGCTAGGGCCTACTGACACGCAAAGTCGATTTGGCAGAAAAAATTCCAGGGTGGTAGTATACATTAGTTGTTGCACAAGAGATCATTGATCAGCCAATTGAGCTCGTCGGGACGGCCGATGTTCGGGTCGCTCAGCTGCAAGTTCGGCTGCGTGAGTGCTGCGGCGGAGGACGGCGGGATTTGCTTGCCGTTCTGTGTGTCTGGCGTGTCTGCTTTATTCTGCTTTTCTGCTCCGTTCGAGGCCTGTTCTCCAGGACGCAGCGGCGACACGGCCAGCATCGAAGCTGGCGCCGTGATGGTGGACGACGACGACGCGGGCGGCGGCTGCGGCTCTGTCTTCTTCGGCTTCAGCACGAACGAGATCTTGGACAGCTTCTGTCCCGGCCCGCGTTGCAAATACTGTCGCTGCTGCTCCAGCAGGGCCACGTCGTCCTCGTTCTTCAACTGGTTGCTGCTGAGAGCAAACAGCGGGCCGCTGGGCTCCACCAGATGCGGAGCCGTCTCCAGAGTGTCGTACATGTCCTCGATGGTCATGGTGACAGGGCCTCTGGAGTCGTGCTGCGTTTTTTTCTGGCGAATGCGCACCATGTCCAGCGCGCGCTCGATCAGCCGCTTCAAATGGTACTCCAGGCCGACCGACAGCACGTCCGGCACGCTGTCGCCCACAGGGCCCACTAAGCCATGCTCCCGCGCGATTCCCAGAACACGTGACCGCAGATGTGTCTTATCGGGCAACTCGTACGTTTCGGAGCACAGCGGTGTCTGGATGCCGTCCAGGACGTCCTGGGCCCACTGGCTGGTGTTGCCCTGGACGGCAGACTCGTTGTTGGTGACGATGGGCACGCGCGGCACTATCGCCTGTCTGGTGAGCGCGATCGTGGAGTTTATCATGCCGCGCTTGCCAGCCTCGCGCTTGATGCCCTTGAGCCGGCGTCGCTCTCTGATCGGCAGCGAGAGAATGTCTTTTTTCAGCAGCTCGTACTGTGACGACTTGGTGCCTGCTTTTCGTTTTTTCGAGAGCTGCTGGTTGCCAAAACCCGTCGAGAGCGTTCCGTCGAGCGGCTCGTCTCTCAGCGAGTTGGCCAGGTTTGTGAGCAGAAGCTGGTTGTGCAGCCTGTAGGTGGATTTATCCAGGATTTTGTCGAGCTCCTCCATCAGCTCGCGACGCGAGAGCTTGCCGACAAGAAACATCGACACGGCGACCTGGTAGGTGTCCCAGTTCTTGCCCAGTTTCTTCTGGAACTCAACGACAAGGTTGTCGATCTCGATCCGTCTGGAGGAGCCATTTTTCGTTCTGGGCAGCAGCGAGCCGTTGGCTGCGTGTGCTGCCGAGGCCGTGGACGACGCCGTGGATGCGGAGCCCGCCTGTGGGGGCGGAGACATGGCTGTGACGGCCATACTGGACTGGCACAGAGACTAGCGGAAAACGGGTGGATTTCGATGGCTAAAAATCGGCCGGTGCGGGGAAAATGCTCGTTCTGATGGGGCGGCTCGGATCGCGTGCGCAGAGAAACGAGTCTGCAAGGTTCGAACGGCGCAGAGTGTCTCCCCTGAAGTGTCTCTGTAAACCTATTTTTCTTCAACTTTTCGTGGTATGCCAAGATAAAGCGCGTGTCACTAAGAGGTAAGAAATCGAGGAGATATTTTTAGTATCTAAATTGGGACCTTGTTTGAGTATATAAGCATCGCCCGAATCCGAGTTTTATGGCGGCGTCTTCCAACACGATGGACCAGTATCACGTATTCAGGGTGTTCCAGCAGAACTTCGTTGTGGACCGCCGATTCCAGCTGATCAAGGGACTGGGACAGGGAGCCTACGGCATCGTGTGCTCGGCCAAGTATATCGAGGCCGGCGACGAGGGGGGCCATGTGGCCATCAAGAAGGTGACCAACATCTTCAGCAAGAAGATCCTGTGCAAAAGAGCGCTGCGAGAGATCAAGCTCTTGCGCCATTTCAGGGGCCACAAGAACATCACCTGCTTGTACGACCTCGACATAGTGCCGGATCCCAACGGCAACTTCAACGAGATCTATCTGTACGAGGAGCTCATGGAGTGCGACATGCACCAGATCATCCGCTCCAACCAGCCGCTGACCGACTCGCACTACCAGTCGTTTGTCTACCAGATCCTGTGCGGGCTCAAATATATCCACTCGGCAGACGTGCTCCACAGGGACCTCAAGCCGGGCAATCTGCTGGTCAACGCGGACTGCGAGCTCAAGATCTGCGACTTTGGGCTTGCAAGAGGCTACTCGAACGACCCGGAGAAGAACCAGGGCTTCCTGACCGAGTACGTGGCCACGAGGTGGTACCGTGCTCCCGAGATTATCTTGAGCTTCCAGGGCTACACCAAGGCCATCGACATGTGGTCGGTGGGGTGCATACTGGCGGAACTGCTAGGCGGCTCCACCATTTTCAAGGGCAAGGACTACGTTGACCAGCTGAACGAGATCCTGAAGGTGCTAGGCACCCCCAACGAGCACACCATGCAGAGCATCAAGTCGTCCAGAGCACAGGCGTACGTGCGGTCGCTGCCGTACATGCCCAAGGTGCCGTTCGAGAACTTCTTCCCGCACGCGAACCCGCTGGCGATCGACCTGCTCAACCGCATGCTGACGCTCAACCCAGAGGACAGAATCACCGTGGAGGACGCGCTGCAACACCCGTATCTGGAGGTGTGGCACGACCCGAACGACGAGCCGGTGTGCGCGACCAAGTTCGACTTCTCGTTCGAGGAAACAGACGACATTAATGAGATGAAGCAGATGATCATCGAGGAGACCCGCTCGTTCAGAGAGTACGTGAGAAGACCGCTCGAGGAGCAGACGATAGTGAGCGAGCAGTACGGCGGCGCGACGGGCGCCTACGAGATGGACCAGCCGCAGCAGCAGCCGCAGCTGAAGACGCCGTTCGAGGGCCAGGTGGCCGACTACGAGCTGCCCCCAAAACCGCAGGAAATGCTCTACGACGACAACATCGACCTCGAAAGAGAGTTGGCGTACGGGCTGGACGGCTACAACTTCCAGTACCAGTGAATATTCGTTCCTATAGTACACTATACAATTCGCATCCGTCATGACCAATTCTGCCTCAGCCAGGCCAGCAGCTTATCGTAGACGATCGTGTTTGCGTTGTGGTAGCGAATCGAGTGGTCGCTGTCCGGGAAGACGTGCACGTCGTAGTTCTCCAGCCCCTGGAGATCCAGCATGTCCAGGAACTTGAGCGAGTTCTGGAAATGCACGTTGTCGTCGCCTGTTCCGTGCATCAGCAGGAACCGCTCCACGCCGGCAAAATTCGCAGCCTCGTGCACCGACGAGTTGTAGTAGCCTGCGTTTTGCTGCGGCGTGTGCATGTATCTCTCTGTGTAGATCGAGTCGTAAAGTAGCCAGTTGGTGACCGGAGCGACAGCCATGCCGTACTTGAACGTGCTGCCCTGGTCGGCCTCCAGCGTCTTGAGCGTCATGTAGCCGCCGTACGACCATCCCCAGATAGCCGTTTTTCGCTCGTCGATGTACGGTTTCGCGGTCCAGTGTTTGGCCGCGGCGATCTGGTCGATCACCTCGTAGTGTCCGAGTTTATCGCGCACAATGTTTCTGAATGCCTTTCCCTTGTATCCTGTTCCTCTGCCGTCGACAGTCACCACCACGGCGTCCAGCTGTGCGGCAACGACCGACGAGAACGCAGACGCCGCCATCGCGTACTGCTTCTGCACCAGCTGCGAGCCTGGCCCGCCGTACACGAAAAAGAGCAGCGGATACTTCTTGGAGGCGTCAAAATTCACAGGCAGCGTCTCGTGGAAATTGAGCAGCTTGCCGGCCCCGACGTCGATCTCGCCGTAGTTGTGTTCGGGCAGAGCGTACTTCTGCAACGTCTCTGCGAGCTTGTCGTTGGAAGTGAGCGTTTTTCTCGTGTTTAGATGCAAATCAAGCAGTTCCTGGTGCGGAACGTCCGGTCCGTTGTAGTTGAGCAGCAGGAACCGCGAGCCAGCAGAAAACGACACCGAGTACCATCCTTCCTGGCCGACGTCTGTGATGCTGGTTTTATTGGAGCCGTCGAGGTCGATCGAGTACAGATGTCTCTCGACAGACGATTTCTCGGTGGAAATGAAGTAAACCTTGTTCAGGACGGCGTCGAATGCGGCAGCGCCGTCCACCACCTCCCACTCGCCGGACGTGAGAATAAGCGGGTCCTCTGTGTCCGGCGGAGAGAAGTATGCTAGGTGATCGTATCCGTCCACGTCGACGATGTCGATGTAGCCGTCGTGCGGTCTGGAGTCGGACTTCGGCACGTACAGCAGGTTGTGGCTGATTTCAAACCACGAGTTCGCGCTCGAGCCGTAATCTGAGCGTCTGAGCCGCGACTCCATCGCCGAGGCGTCCACGATAAAGATTTTCAGAATGTCCGATTCTCTGTTGGTGATTTTCAGCAAGAAATCAGAATCCCCAACCCACTTGACTTCAGTGATCAGTCTCTCCTCGTTAGAAACGTCCTTGTCGTTGTAGAAGGCGTCAGACGGGTCCAGCGACGCCAGCTTGTCGTTCTTGCTGTCGTACACAACAAAGTCCACCTGGGGATTCGGATACCCTGCTTTCGGATACTTGAGCTCGCGCAGTTCCGGGTAGACGTCGTCCTTGTGTTGCACAAAGTACGGAATAGGGAATGTCGGCACGAGCGTGTCGTTGAAGCGTAAAATCGTCAAATATTCGGAGTTCGGAGACCACCACATCGCCGTGTCGCCCTCAAACACCTCCTCCTCGTAAACCCAGTCCGGCTTGCCATAGAAGATCTCTGTGCCGCCCTCAAATGTGACCTGGCGCACCTCGTTGGAGGCCAGGTTCTTCACATAGACATTATTGTCCACGACGAAAGCGATGCTGGAAGAGTCTGGCGACCATTTCGCCAGTGACACAAGCGAGCTGCCGTTGTACAGCGGGCTGATTCTCTTGGACTCCACTTCCAGCACAAAATACGTAGCGAAAAAGGAGTGTCTCCAGTTATGGACCTTATCACAGATAACCAGGGCGTGTTTCAAGTTGTCGCTGAAAACAATGTCCTCAATCTTGAACGAGGAGTCCTTGTAGTCCACGACTGTCCCGGAAAAGAGAACGCGCTCTCTCTTGTCCGTCAGCGACTTGAGAACATAGTCGGCGCCGTCTATAACGATGTACTCTCCGGAGTCGTTGGCTGCCGAAGAGTCGGTCCTCAGCCACTGTATACTCTTCCTTTCAGGGGTAAACGTCCCGTTGCGGGTGGCCGCCAAGGTCAGGGGCAGTTTTCCCTCCGGAACAACAGGCACAAGCGATCTTTGTTTTGCAACGCCTATTTCCTTGTGGTTGGCGTAAAGCTGGTTAATCTGGCCAATCAGAACAGAAGAAAAGTACACTAGGACCACCAGAAGAAGCAGAAACGTGTTCCAGAACCTCCGGGGGCCTCCGCTTGGCCTGAGGACCGGTTCTACCGCCCAGTTCTTTTCCTCTGTCATGTCTGTTCTAAATTTATCCGAAGAGGAAATATTCCTATTTAAGGTTGCTCAGTCTGCCACCAGCCACTTTTTGGGTTTGGAAAAAAGGGATCTGGGGGAAGAAAATAAAATAAATAGAAGGGAGAAATATAACTTGATTATAATGATCAGAGAACCAGCACAGGAAAAGTCGGTCAATCAGGAGACACAGCATGTTTGCGGAAAAACAAATGTGTACGTGTTCAACTGCTTCCATGGAGCAACGCTCAACGACGTCCATTTTTCAAACGACAACAAGGGGCAACATATCTACTACGGCCATGTATCCAACATGGACGAGGCGCAAGAAGTAGCAGAGCACGTGAACGAATTCCTGGGACATTTGCATGAGCAGACGATGCCGAGGAAGAGACAGAAAACTGAGCAACCAGAGAAACACGAAGGGCCGGAAAAAGGGGAGCTCCTGTCTACTCACGTTCAACCAGGGCCTGCTGTTCCTGACCCAGTGGTATCCGTGGACGTGCTGCAACAAGAGCCCCCAGTGGAAGTCCTTTGTGGTTCCAGTCACTCGCTAAGCCAAGAGCAGATGCAGTCGCTGCTGGTAGAAGAAAATGAGGTCCACACCAGACTCCATAACCGGCCGCTCACCCAGAACGATCCTTTCTTCTACTTCAACGACATGTGGCTATCGAAGCTTGTTCGCGAAAACAAGTATAGACTGGTCCACTACCAGTACAAAACAGATCAGAACCTGCCCGTGGCTCCTGACTCTACCGTGTTGAAGGGCGTGGCTCCAAAAAGTTGTCCCTACGTTGCCATGACTTTCGCCCAGTGCACACAGTGCTCGCTTGTGCTCCCATACAAGGGAAGAAAGAACTCGCGCAAAAACGACGGAAATGCGCTCTCGCACGCTAGAAGACACGAAAAGAAGGCTAGCTGATGGCGGCGCCGTTTTCATATTTCGGGCGGCACGTACTGGGGCGCCGCCGCAACCGCTTTTCATTGCTTAATGTTCCGCTCCTCATTTTTTGAATACCCAACCCCGTTTACAAAATCACAGCTTTATGTTTATTTGCCCAGTTCGCTGTTTTACTTGCATACTGCTAAGATTTATCATGCAATACAAAATTGAGTCAGATCGCTTCAGTGCAGTTGGCCGATCAGAGCCTCGACGCCCGTTAGTGGACTGATCAAGGTCTCAAAATAGCTGCATACTGGTTATTTGATTCTGCCATGTTTCCACCTCCTAGCTCAAAAAAGTCCAGAGTCAGCCTGTCCTCCGAAAATGCACTTTATCTCACAAATCGACGGCCAAGAATACCAATACGCCTGCCCAGACAAAAGTCTTGTGGCAAGTGCCGAGAACAGGAAAGCCGCCAGCCTAACACCTTCTCTGTCACTGCGGTATTTAATTCCGCGCATTCCCTTACCAGATTCAGGAATAGGTTAGAGATAAGAAAGGCTTCAGGGGTTCCAAACAATAGAATTTTATGCCGTCCCTTTTTATTTTGTCGGCGACCCTGCGATAAGCAAGATTGCATGCAACCGCTCCGTGAGGCATTGGCTTTTGAAATATAGACTCGACCGACAAAAGATTTGATCGACATTACACAAGCTTTTTCTACTAATGGATAAAGAGCTCAAAAGTCAGGTTACCGTCGACGCTATACAGCTCGACCAAGAGTCCGGATCTTCTTCAGCCCAGAAGCCCGGATTTGACCCAAACTCGGGACTGAAAAGAGGTCTAAAAACAAGACATGTGACTCTGATGGCTTTAGGAGGCATTATTGGCCCCGGGTCCATCGTTGGCTTGGGAGTGTATCTCCATAAAGATGGACCAGCTGCTCTGGTTGTTGACTACAGTATAGTGGGAGTGGTGGCTTTCACGCTTATGCAGTCGATCGGGGAGCTGAACTCATTGTTCCCTTCTACAAATGGATTCTCCAATCACATTACGAGATTTGTTGACGAGGCTTTCTCGGCAATGACTTCGTATAACTACCTGGTGGTTTGGATTGCCGTTCTCATGTCTGAGTACATCTCGCTGTCGTCGACTCTCAACTTTTGGGCCCCTGCTGTACCGCTCTGGGGATTCTTCCTTATTTTCTGGGTGTTTTTCTTGTCCATCCAATTTCTGGGTGTTGCAGGCTACGGAGAAGCTGAGTACTGGCTGGCCATTATCAAGCTTCTCGGGCTTACCGCGTTCTACATTTTCACTATTGTCTACATGAGCGGAGGGGTCAAAGGCACCCCTGCTTTTGGGTTCAGGAATTTCAAGACTCCGTGGGCAGACCAATCTGCAATGAAGTCTCTTGCAAGTGCCATTGTTAACTGCTCCACTGCGTACGTGGGCGTTGAGCTTATGTCGCTGAATGCTGCCGAAACGAAAAACCCTATTAGAGCCATTCCGATCGCCGTGAGACAAACCCTGATCAGAATCATCTACATTTTCTTGGGTCTTGCTCTGTCGTACGGTATTGCTGTTCCTTACGATTCGCCCCAATTCTCTAGCACAGTGACTTCTCTCCGTTCGCCAATTTACGTGGCCCTTTACAACGCAGGATGGCACAATGCGCACCATTTGGTGAACCTTTTCGTTGTGATTGTCTCGCTGAGTGCCATCAACTCTGCTATTTATATCGGCTCCAGAACCATCGTGAACATGGCAAACGAGAAGATGATTCCGTTCCCTAAATTCTTCAGCAGAGTCAACCGCCATGGAGTGCCCTACGTGGCTACCATCACGTTCAACATCTTTGGGTTCCTGGGTCTGTTGTCTGTCGGAAGCGGCTCGAAAACCGCCTACAGTTATTTCGTGAGTGTTTCCGGAGTGTCCAGTTTCTTTGTCTGGTCCGCTATTTGCTTTGCACAAATTAGATTTAGAATTGGCTGGGTCCGCAGTGGCCACAAGGTCTCAGAATTGCCGTACCAGTGTCTGTGGTACCCGTTCACCCCTGCGCTCTGCATTTTCATGTGTCTTTTCTTGGCCCTGATCCAAGGATGGATGTACCTCAAACCGTTTGACCACTCGTGGTTTGTCGACGCGTACATCATGTTCCCGCTCTCTGCAATTTTCTTCTTCGGCTACAAGCTGTGGAAGAAAACCAAATGGGTGAAGTACGAAGAGATGGACTTCGAGACTGGACGCAGATACGATCTCGAAGAAGAGTTGAGACAGATCAAGCGGGAGAGAGAACTGAACCCGCTCACACGCAAGCAGAAAGCCAAGGAATTTTTCTCTGAGTGGATCTGACTGCTACGGCTATTTCGTCTATAAAATAACAAGATCAGGTTTCGGAGTGACTATAGGCCGATGCGGGAAATAGTGAAACAAGCACTGCTGCAGAATCAAGTTCCATCAGCAACATGCCATTCATTCCTCTCCAACCATCTTCTGTACCTGCTGCTATGTGTATCGAGCTAAAAAAATCAAGAATGGCTTTATAACCCGTGACTTTGTCATGTGTGGCGGTATAGGCAAGAAAAAAAATCATGCATAGCACGCAAAGCAGGAACAAATTTTTGAGACTCGACTGAAAGTGTTGGCCCTGCTTTATCATGGACAAAGAGCTGACCAACCAAGTTTCGATCAGTTCCGAGCAGCTAGATCGGGAATCTGGCTCGGGGAATCTTGACCAGAGGTTCGATCCACACTCGGGGCTCAAGAGAGGTCTAAAAACCAGACATGTCACGCTTATGGCTCTCGGAGGGATTATTGGGCCGGGTTCGATCGTTGGACTAGGTGTCTACTTGCACAAAGACGGCCCTGCCGCCCTGGTTATAGACTACACCGTCGTTGGAATCGTGGCTTTCTCGCTGATGCAGTCGATCGGAGAGCTCAACTCTCTTTTCTCTGCCACTAATGGCTTTAGCAACCACATCACGAGGTTTGTCGACGAGGCGTTTGCCGCCATGGCTTCCTACAATTACCTGATCGTCTGGATTTGTGTGCTGATGGCCGAATACATCACACTTTCGTCGACAATGAACTTCTGGGCTCCCCAGGTGCCAACTTGGGGCTATTTTCTAATATTCTGGGCTTTCTTCCTATGTGCACAGTTTTTGGGCGTTGAAGGGTACGGTGAGGCCGAATACTGGCTGTCTATCATCAAATTGCTCGGCCTGTCGGCCTTTTATGTGTTCACCATCGTGTACATGTGCGGTGGAGTGAAAGGAACACCGGCGTTTGGATTTAGAAATTTCAACACTCCCTGGGCCGGCCAGTCGGCCATCAAATCTCTTGCGAGCGCCATCGTCAACTCTTCCACGGCATACGTTGGCATCGAGCTGATGTCGTTGAATGCGGCAGAGACAAAAAACCCCATCAGAGCCATTCCTATCGCCGTGAGACAGACTCTGATCCGGATCATGTACATATACGTGTGCATCTCGCTGTCCTATGGTATCACCGTCCCGTACGACTCGCCGCAGCTGTCAAATGGCGTGAGCTCTCTGAAGTCGCCGATATACGTGGCTTTGTACAATGCTGGCTGGCACAACGCACACCATCTGGTGAACTTATTTGTGGTGGTGATATCGTTCAGTGCAATCAACTCTGCGCTCTACATTGGAACAAGGACCATCGTCAACATGGCGAACGAGCACATGACGCCGTTCCCGCGCTTTTTCGGCAAAGTCAACAGACGCGGCGTGCCGTACGTTGCAGCCATCACATTTAATCTTTTCGGCTTCCTTAGTCTGCTTCAAGTGGGAAGCGGCTCCAGAACCGTCTACACCTACTTTGTCAATGTTTCCGGAGTGTCTATCTTCTTTGTGTGGTCGTCGATCGCCATTGCGCAGATCAGATTCAGAAAAGGCTGGATCCGGGCTGGCCACAGCGTACAGGAGCTGCCGTTCAAATGTCTGTGGTATCCGTACACACCGATTTTCTGTATCGTGATGAGTCTGTTTCTGGCCCTGATCCAGGGCTGGATGTATCTGAAGCCGTTCGACCACTCATCGTTCATTGACGCGTACATCATGCTGCCGTTGTCGGCCTTCTTTTTCTTTGGCTACAAGATCTGGAAGAAGACTAAATGGGTCAGATACGAAGAGATGGATTTTGAAACAGGCCGGCGGTACGAGCTCGAGGAGGAGCTGAGACGGGTCCAGAAAGAGAGGGAATTGAACCCGCTTACGACCAAGCAGAAGCTCAAACTCTTCTTCGGAGAATGGATTTGATGCTACCGAATAAATGCCGTAATTGAGTATATTTTTCAACGTTACCGAGATTTTTTTTTTCTGCCGCATCGCCGCAGCCACCCAATTGCACGTTTTGCAGCTGTACGTAAAGCCACTCTTTTTTCGAATAATTTAAGGATCTTCAATGTCTTCTTCACGCGAACAGTTGCTGGATTCGGACAGCGCGATCGAGTCCCAGATCACTTACGGTGCCGCCAAGTCCGACAATGAGGAGACCGTCCTGCCTGTTTCTCTAGCTCTGCCCCCAAATTTCTTCTGGATCGAGTGCTCTCTGCTTGCAAACGTCTTCCTTGCAGGTTTCGACGGGACCGTGACGGCGTCCACATACACCACCATCGGCAACCAGTTCAAAGCGGCCAACATCGCGTCGTGGATCACGTCGTCGTACCTCATCACCAGCACCGCTTTCCAGCCATTGTATGGGTCTTTTTCTGACGTTCTTGGCCGGCGAGTGTGTGTGATTGGGGCCACAAGTTTCTTCATTCTGGGCTGTCTTGGATGCGGCGTCTCGTCCAATATCTTTGTTCTGGACGCCATGCGTGCTGTCACTGGCATAGGTGGGGGAGGACTCATCACGTTGGCCACCATCGTCAACTCAGACCTCGTGGCTCCAGAAAAACGAGGGAGCTGGCAGGCCTTCCAGAACCTTCTGCTGGGCTTTGGAAGCATCTGCGGCGCGTCGCTGGGCGGCGTCATAGCAGACACGCTCGGCTGGAGATGGTGTTTTCTCGCCCAGGTACCCATTGCTCTGGCTGGCCTTGTGATTGGCTACTTCTACATTCACAACCCCAAACCGCCCCATGTGCACGTCTCGGTCCACATGTTTGACAAAATTGACATCAAGGGCGCCACGGCGCTTGTACTGTCGCTGGCGTTCCAGATGATTGTGCTTTCGCTCGGCGGAAACGAGCTTAATTGGTCTGATTACAGGCTGCTACTTATGCTTCTTTTGAGCATAGGACTGCTCTTCCATTTTGCTCTGGTTGAGCTGAGGACTTCCGCGATACCCATCATTCCTCCGGTGCTGCTTCGCTCCTCGTTCAGCTACATCATTCTGGGAATCGGCGTGTTTCTGGGCATCTCCAGCTACGCCTATTTATTCGTCCTCCCGCTGCTCTTCCAGATAGTCCTGGGCGACTCGGCGTCCCAGGCGGGCCTGCGACTCACAATCCCGGCGCTGTTTACTCCCGTCGGCGGCCTTATTGCAGGCGTCCTGATGAGCCGCAAAAAATATAGTCTTTTTTCTCTCGTCGTTGCAGGCTGCACACTGATGCTGTTTGGAAATCTTATCACATTATACATTCACAAGGGCGTCAACCAGTGGGTGACGGGTCTCTGCCTGATTCCGGCAAACGTGGGGCAGGGGTTGGCTTTCCCCACGTCGCTCTTTTCGTTCATCTACAATTTCGACAGGGACAAACAGGCAATAGCCACGTCCACCGCGTATCTGTTCCGCAGCATGGGCTCGGTGTGGGGTGTCACCGGGTCTGCCGCCATCATCAAGCGCGTTTTTGCACGCAGGTGTCTGTCGAGCCTCCATCGGCTGCCGGGGCTTTCCCAACACCAGATTCATACGATTGTTAGAACGGTGTCCAAAGACGTCTCGCAGATCCAGCATCTGGAGCCACAAATCCGCAGCGTTGTCCAGGGCAGTTACGAGCATGCCATCCGGTTCGCGCAATTTCTCTCCTGTATGTGCTGTCTGGCTTGTCTGGTGCTGGCGGGCGTGAAAAAGGTTGCCCGCATACGCTCACGGTCGTCGTATGACGAATAGATGTGGCGGACCCTTTCGGCAAAATTTCCTGCCGAGGCAGCTCTTCGTGGCTGTGTGGTTCTGCGGCTCAATTAATAATGCAGCCACAATTTTAAAGTATAAAGGTACCCCTGATACATCTTCTTTCTGCCATGATTGGCGCACTTCTTCTTCTTGCTCTTCCAGCGTACGCCGACTGGCAGTACCGCAGTCGGCCAGACCTGTCTCCTCCCAAATTAAACATCACCATTTACGACGCAGAAAAGGTGTCTCCCGAATACCTGTTTGTTGCTCCGTTCACGGGGGCCCCTGGAAACACGTTCCACAAACCCCGTCAGTCTGCTCCGTACATTTTCACCAGCGATGGCGAGCTGGTCTGGTCGGGATACGGCACGTTTGGTACCTGGAATGCCAATTTCCAGGCCGCCAGATACAACGACGATGACGTCCTTTTCAGCTTTGAGGGTGACCACAACGCTGCCTATGGCCACGGACACGGACACCATACGGTGTTGAACAGCAATTACGATCTGGTCAAGGAAGTCAGGGCCGGAAACCACAAGATTACCGACAAGCACGAGTTTCACATCAAGGACGAGAAAACTGCCTTGCTCGAGATCTACCAGCCGGTGCCTCGCAACCTTGCCGAATTTGGTGGCTCTGACGAGCAGCAATGGATCATCAACGCAATTTTCCAGGAACTCGACCTTGACACCGGACAGGTTCTGTTTGAATGGGCCTCTTTGGACCATGTTTCGCCGGCCGAGTCTGTGCTTCCGCTGAACGAGGGAGAAGCCGGGTCTGGATACAACTCCAGCGACGCGTGGGACTATTTTCACATCAACTCGGTCGACAAGGACGACAACGGCGACTATTTGCTCTCGGCACGCGACGCCGCCTCTTTGTACAAGATTGACGGAAAAACCGGCAAAGTTCTGTGGAAGCTAGGTGGCATTCCTGGAGTCACCAGTTCTAGTTTCAAGAGCGTGGGCGATTTCAAGTTCGGGTTCCAGCACCATGCCCGGTACGTCTGGACGTCTGAGGACGGAAAAAAGCAGATCATCTCGTTTTTCGATAACTCGGCCCACGGCACAGAAGACAAGGACGGTAGCCAGGTCCATTTGAACAAAATTTCGAGCGGAAAAATTGTCGAGGTCGACACCGAAAAATGGGAGGCCAAGCTTCTAAGAAATTATCCTGCTCCATACGGCATTCGGGCCAAATCTCAGGGCTCTACGCATCTGCTAAAATCGGGCAACGTTCTGGTCAACTGGGGCTCCGAGGGAAGTGTCACTGAGTACACCGCAGATGGAGAAATAACTTTTCACGCTTTCCTGGACTCGGGTGAATTTTCCGATAAGGTCCAAAACTACAGAGCTTTCAAGTTTGACTGGCATGGTTACCCTTCGGAGTCTGTTGCTGTGCTTTCTGAGATCACCGACGACGACGAGACGGTCATTTATGTTTCGTGGAACGGCGACACGGAGACCAAAAAATGGAGGTTCCATGCCGTGGACAATGGTAGCAAGAAACTGCTCGGCGAAACAGACAGAACTGGGTTCGAGACTAGACTGAAGATTAACAAGCCTGTTGAGCGGGTTTATGTGGAGGCGATTGACGAGTCTGGAAATGTCCTGGCATCATCCGACGATGTTTCTTCGGTTGAGCAAGTGCTACCAGCAGAGAAAAAATTCGACTCCAAAATATTGCCTCCAAAACTCAACTATTTCCAATGGAGACTCCAGAGAGGTAATTAACTGAAATTCTATTCACTATTATACTCCAGTAGTTAGAGCTCGCTCAGTTTTCCCTTAAACATGGTCTTGGACTTGGCCTGCACGACCAAAAATGCCGGCATGGGGAAAGTGCCGAACGGCGTGGCTAATTGGCCTGCTCCGTGCTCCGGACCCAGGCTGACACCACAAGTCGGCTTGTCGTTCTCTGTAGGCGGCACAACCTGCTTCGTGAGCGGCTTGTTCTGGGCATAGGCGATCACATTGTCGACTAAAACAGAATTCCACTTTTTCAGCGGAGCCACTGCCTTGATGACGAAATTAACACAGTCTCCAATTGCAAAAATATTAGGGCTAGCCAGAGTCTGGAATGTTGGCTTGACTTTGATTTCACCCTTTTCGTTCTTGAGTCCTTCCAGTGGCGAGTCTGGTGTGTTTGGCTTCACTCCCGTGGTCCATATAATATGGTCGGTGGGGACTTCCTCGGATCCAACATAGACCTTATCTCCGTCCAAAGTTGCTCTTTGACCAAGGTAGAGCTTGACGTCCATGTCTTCTAGCTGGGACTGGACGCTCCGTCTAACGGAATCGACCTCATTGTTCGACAAGACGTTCGTGCTGGAGTGTATCAAATTAATTCTTTTTTCGCCCTTGGCTATTTCGTCCTTGAAGTTGTGTGCCAGCTCTCCCGTCAGCTCACAGCCCGAAATTCCGCCACCAATAACGGTGATGTTCTTTGCGCGCTGTACCTGTTCAAACTCCTTCGTGAAATGTTCAATTGCAGAATCAACGGTGTCCGGTAGCTCGAACTCGCGGCTAAGTATTGATCCCGTGGCAACAATCAGAACGTCAAATGCGACATCTCCATTTTTGCGCGTGGTCACCTTCGATTCGTCAAAACTGACGGCCTCGTCATAAATCAGCCTGACCGAGTCGCCAAAAACCTCCTCGAGAGCTCTGGAGTATCCGTTCAGGTTCTGAGTAACAAAGTTTCTCGGAACTGAAGGGACGAAGTTGATATAATTTTTTTTCGAGATCAGGGTGATCTCTAATCCAGGAACGCTTGAGAGCTTCTTTGCGGCATACGCACCGTAAATCCCCGCGCCTATGATTGTGATCCCTGTCATCTTTAAAATACTGGGCGAAGACAGCCCAAGGTAACAGCTTTATATTTTCTCCAGCTGAAAGCTGCACAAATATTATTTTCGCGATTTACCTCGTTTGTCGTCTCAAGATTATTAATGATTGGGGCAAACCCATGTCGGGATTCGCTCAAAGCCGGTTTCTTGGGACACGGTCGTCAGAGGCTTCGGTTTAGCTTTTCGGGGGCTGGTTTCAGCTAATATTGACTTGGTGTGCTATTGCTTGAAAACTCACTGCTTCCGACACATCAGGTACAATGAGAGCTGCCAAGAAATATTCGCAACGTTCTAAAAAATGTTTATTTTCATATCAAATTATGATTGTTCCCTTTTTGGAAGGTGATACATAAACGTTTTATTTCAGGTAAATATTGTTATTTTCGTTTCTCATGAATGCTTGAGAACGCTGCGCACTCGCTGAAAAATCGTCCGTCGCGACTGGACCTCATTGACAACAAGCAACTGACCTCTTTCCCGCTTCCGCACCCGAACTTTGCACAGACTAGCCCGTACGCAGAGCTTTTACTCGTGGAAGATTACATTCATTACCCAAAGGGTTTTCGCAAGAAGACCTCATTGTTCGATCTCAAACGCGCCATCGAGAATGATATGACACCCCCTGATGCGCTGTTGCCGCTCTACTATCGCAAACAAAGCGTCAACTCGAGCTCCACCCTGAATAGTGAAACAGAGGCCTACATCAAGACGGCAGAGTCAAACTTACGATACTGTGTTGTCTGTGACCGTCCATTGTACGACCTGAGCTCTCTGCTTCCTCGGAGCAGGTGTGCAGAGATTGTCTGCTGCCATTGTTTCCAAGAGTACGAGACTCTCCAGGCAGCTCTGAAAAAAATAGATCCAGATCTTGCGCAGCTGTCCTCCGACACGGAGTCGGAAATTACGCCCGGGACTGTGAACCTGGATTTTTCAGAAGCAGACCAAACCGCAGAAACACTGGAAACAGCGAGAGATACCAACAACACCGTCTGTCTCCACACAACCCAAAACGATTCTGCTGCCTTTGATGTCATAATATCTACTTTACGACGTATACAGATTGCAGACGAAATTGCACGATCACAGCCACGCAAAAAACCCAGCCCCATGAGAAGCCTGATGAGTCTTAGGAGCAGGCTGAGTCTAAAAACATAACGAATCAGTGATGTACTCAATTACGATAATAAATATTTTATGTCCATTTGCGCTTCAGAGCCTCAAGCTCGCCTTTGCCATACGCAGACACTTTTCCCTGGAATTTACCTTTGCCTCCACCCTTAAGGCCAGATAATTGCTCCTTGAGCTCCTTGCTCACCTGCTCTGTGTCCTCGCCAAAAATCAGCGCCGCACCTCCGTCTTTTCCTTCTCCAGATAACAATATAAAAGTACCAGGCTGATCTTTTAGCTCTTTGAACATCTGGTTCAAAAAGTCAAGCCCCACATCCGCTCTATGGAAAAACACGGTCTTCTTCTCGGCAGCTTTGGTCTTCAAGTCCGCAGCCGTCAAAACCGCCAGCTCCTTCAGCAATGACGACTCTCTATTTTGCAATTTTTTGGTGGCAGTCACCAAACTGCTGACTTTGTCCACCAACTGCTCGCTTTGCACAGAAGTGGCAGAACTCAAGGCTCTCAGAATACTGTGCGACGACTCTGCGAACTTGAATATTCTGTCTCCAGCAATGAAATTCAGTCGTGAGTTGCCTCCTTTTCCAGCTATTTGATTCAATAGAACAATCCCCTTGATCTGTCCAGAACTTTTCAAGTGAGTGCCACAGCACGCATTGGCATCCAGGTCGCCGATGTGGATGATTCTCATCACACCTTTCACTTCGTCGACCTCGCGATCTGGCGGCACTTCGACTGAGATCGGCAAATTCTGAGTGATGTGCGAGTTCACTTCTTTTGCGACCTCCTCACGCTCAGTGTCTGTCAGCTTGCGAGGAATCTCAATGTAGTTTATCACATCTCCCATATTCCAGCTGAGTGTGGGCAGATCCCGCTTGTCCAACACAGCAGAAAGAAGATGCTGGCCCGTATGCTGCTGCATATGGTCGAACCGTCTTTCCCAGTCCACACTCAAAGTCACAGAAGCCCCCATCTCTAGAGGCTTGTCCACAAGATGCAAAGCTTTCAGACCTGCTCTAATCACACTCTCGACCTCCAGAACGTCGCTTCCCGATGAGATCTTGCCGGTATCACTTGGCTGACCGCCACCCTCTGGGAACAAAACTGTATCCTCTAGTTCTACCTCGTACTTGCTTCCTTTCTTATGGCATGCGACCACTGTTGTAGCAAGAGATTTGAGGTAGGAATCTTTTTGGCAGGCAAGAGCTCCTACAATGGACATAATATATGAAGCTAGAGAAATAAATAATATTGGAACTTGAATTTATTTCAAATTAGTTTTTGTCTCAGATTCGATGATTCGAAGGGATAGAACAAAAGTCAAGCCGTACGATAAAATTGAGCCAAAGACTTCGGGCTCTCAGGGGCTGATGGGCAGACTGCGAAGGATTTTTTCACGCTCTCCGCAGCCCTCTGGGGAAAACAACGTGGCCGACGTTTCGAATGTCTCGAATGTCTCAAACCTCTCAGTGCTGAGTGACGCCAATCCAAACAGAACGCTTTCTGAGTTTTTCAAAAGCAAGGGAGATGCTCCTCTCAACGACATTGAAGTGGAGGGAGTGCTTTCTCTGATCAACAAAGTGCACCAGCAGAACCAATCGCAACTGGAGACATTTCGTCATTCTCAGAATGAGTCTCAGTTTTTGTCCTCATCCGGGCTCAAACCTAACGAAAGTAGCTTTTTCAGCAATCCGACCGTGTTGCGACCTGCTTCTGTGAAGCCAACTGCCAAAGACGTGCCCACATATACTCCCAGAGAGGACAAGATTATTCGGCATCCGCAACCATTTCCAACGACGCTCAAAAAACGCGTGGTCCAATACTCAAGCTTGCCTTCGCCTTACAGGATGAGACTTGAGACGCCTGTGAAACCACGCGTGGAGAAAAGGGAAATTAAGAGCAGGACTGCTAATAAAGTGCTGAGCATATTGGAGAACCCAGACGCACTGGAAGAAAAGGAGGACAAGAGTCTAGACGAGCAAAAATCTCCAGTCGCTAAGGTCAAGCCTAACTCATCCACTCCCGAGCCACAGCCGCTTCCAAAGGAAACTACGGTGCCTAAGGAAGAGCCAGAGATTATAGAGATTGATTCTGAAGACGATATGCCAGAACAGAAGTCCGAGCCTACGCCGGAGCCAGTGAAACCAGAACTGCCAGTGCAGCCAGTGCAACCCCAGAAGCCTAAAGAGAACAAACCTGCAGCTAGTCCACCATCTACCTCATTGCCTCTTTTTGCTGCTTCCAAAGGTGCCGAGCCAGTGGAGCAAAATAAAGCAAAAATTGAAGAGTTGCCTCAAGACACGCCAATCGAGCCGGCTGTTGTTTCTAAGCCTGAGGTGGTCCCTGAAGAAATACAAAAACCCAAGTTCACCTTCAGACCAGCCGAGGCGAAGCCCTTCGTTCCTAACGTCCCGTCAAAGTCGTCATCTTTGGAGATTATCGAGAAATTCACATTCCCAGAGGTTGAGACCCCAAGCTCACCTGAGACACCATTCTTGCCGCTACCTCAGCCAGCAGTGATCGACCACTTCTCTTTCCCTGATGTCGAGACGCTGGATCCTGAAACGCTCAACAGCATTAATCCAGAAGCTGTCAAACTCTATAGCTCTGTGTTCACGTTCTGAAATATGACAGATGTAATATAATAATTAAAAAACCGGTTTATTTATTTATGAGCTTTGATGTGAAGAAAATCCACGACGGAGCCATTGTAGAATGTTTCGTGGTGGATTATTGTCAGGCTAATACACTCGTGGTAGCCCATCCATACAGGATTGAGTTGCTAGATGACGCTTACAAACCGCTGGGTGTGCTTGAATTGCAAGACAGAGTTATGGCCATGAATCATATAAGACCTTTGGGCCTCCAATACGACTGGCTGCTAATCTTGACGCAGAACAACCAACTGCTAGTGATTGCATGGAACAATGGATTTATTATGTTGGAGAAGTTCTCTTTTGAGTCTGTTACTAGTACCATTGAGGTCCATCCGTTTATTCAGGTTGATGACTTGAATAGATACATTCTCGTATATTCCAATGAGGGGTACATGGTTGTGTTGGAGCTGCATCCGTCGAAATCCGAGCTGTTCCGGTTGGCACTACAAAATCAGCCTCCTAGCCAGGTGAAGAAAAGACCAGACGCCGCCAAGCTACAGGTGAACCGGATATTTGAAAAACCACAAGTGATTTACATTGGGCATGGAGTTGTGCACAGCGCCGTTTTCCTGAGAACCCGACTGCTAGCAGCAGATAAAGAGGGCGCTGTATTTGCCATAGTGGTCAGAAATGCCAACTTGAAGTACTCCGTGAACTATTATGGAATAGGCCAAGAGATAAGTCTGATCAAACGATTACCACAGATGAATTCAACCCCGAGTCTGGCGATACCGCTGCCACTTGGGGCGCTGCTTGTGATTTGCGACGACATGCACTACATTTTTCCCGCACCTGCTGTTCGCAGAATCTCTTCATCCGTGGCTACGGCCACCAGACAGTATGCTACCAAAGAGCTTTTTTCCGGAGTCGACGGAAGAATGGCCAAGCTTTTGTCATGGTGCTTTGATGGACGCTTGTACTGGCTGAGCAGTGAGCAGGGTGACATATACCAGATGGAAATAGGGCTGGACTCTGAATCGCTTGAAGCTGCAGAACGTCAACTGGACCTCTCTATAGCAGAAAGATTACGCACCGCAAACTCTCGGCCGATCGAACTAGAGATCAGCAAATGGAACATAGAAAGAAAGCAGCAGGTGGATATGCTTCATAAATTGGTTCCCAGAGGCGACTGTGTAATAGCCTGCAACCATTTTGGGCTGTTGATTGAGCTTGATAGGAATATACAATTATCTAAGCAAGTGAGACAAGCAGGCAATCTTCCGGTTACTTCCATGAAAGGAGATTACTATGCGCACGGCACTTATCTATCTTCAAAGGTGTTCCTTGATGACTGGAAAGATTTGACAGGGCTAGTGAAGGAAATCGAGAAAACCAACGAGGTAGTGGTTCTCGTCATTGAAGAACACGAAGTCGACTTGGAGGCTGAAGAGATTAAGAGAACCGACCGTTTGGAGGTCTACAAAGCAGGCGAGAAGATTGGCGAGCATTGGTTCGACGCCGGAATAATAGTACGCAAGGTCCTGCCGGTGCCTGATCTCCTATGTCGGTTTGAGGAGAAAAGCAAAATCAGCAACGACGAGCGGTATGTTTTGCAGAGCAAACTGAGCGAGTGCTTTGTCGTGCTTGTCAATGATGAAGAGGATCAGTCCGGACTGCTACTCATGCGATTTGTGGACGATGAGTGGAAACAGGAAGGCCATGCTGTTGTGAACAAGCTCTTTGACGACATCATACAGGTGGAAGACTACAGTCTGATACTGATTGGATCGCAATCGCTGGTGTGGACCAGCATCTACGGCGGCCCTAGCTTCTGGTTCAAGAACGAGGAAAGTGACTCAAACATCCCGGTTCTGTACTTTTCAGGGTGGAGAAAGCTGGGAAACGGCGACCTGGTAGCTGGAGACGCATTTTCAGGGTTGTATCTGTTCAAAGTCGATAGAAACGAGCGCAGAGTGTCAGCTGTCCCGGTTTTAAGAAACGTCATGGTCAGCGACTTCACCATATTCAAGCAGACTCTGGTTGTTGGGGACGTCATGGGCAACATCTTCATCATCGGGCTACAGAGTAAACCGGAAATGTTGTTTCAGGCCTACCTGGGCCACGGAGCCATAACCTGTGTGGAAGCCATGGACGAGCTGGTGAGAGTTGGAACCAGCGAGGGCATTCTCACAATTCAGCCGGGAGCCGGCAATTTTTCGAGGCCCCCACTCAATCTGTCGAGCCTGCCGCAGCCTGAATTGAACGAAAATCTTGTATTATAGAAATTGATAATAATATGGCATTTTAGATTTAATTTGATTATTTTTTTTTTTTGTTCGCGAGGCAACAAAGTGGACAGGAAAGCGTACTATGAGCACAACAACCAAACAGTATGGTGTGACAGCGCCAATATCCACGGCGGGACCAACTGCCAAGGAAAATGAACTGAACGACGCGATGATCGAGGAACTTAGAAGCCAAAACTCGTTTGAAAGCGAGAGCGAGACTCAGAAACGGCGAGAAGTGTTGGCCACGCTGCAAAAGCTCACAGAGGAGTTTGTCTACACCGTATCACGCCGCAAAAATATGAGCGAGGGCATGGCCCGTGACGCGGGAGGAAAGATCTTCACATTTGGTTCGTACAGACTGGGTGTTTATGGACCCGGGTCGGATATCGATACTCTTGTTGTTGTTCCCAAACATGTTACAAGGGACGACTTTTTTACCGTCTTCGAGGAACTGCTAAGAAAACGCCCAGAGCTGAACAAGATCCAGCCCGTTCCCGATGCTTTCATGCCCATTATCAAAACCGTGTTTGATGGTGTTGATATCGATCTTATCTGTGGTCGTTTGGATATTCCACAAGTCTCGCTCGACCTCACCTTGGAGGACAACAACTTGCTTAGAAACATTGACGATAGAGATCTGAGAGCACTCAATGGAACCAGAGTGACGGACCAAATACTCCAGCTTGTTCCCCAGAAAATGGTTTTCCGTCACGCCCTGCGAACCATCAAGCTTTGGGCCCAGAGAAGAGCCATCTACGCAAACATGTTTGGATTTCCGGGAGGTGTGGCCTGGGCGATGCTGGTCGCTCGTATTTGCCAGTTGTACCCTAACGCTGTGGGGGCAGTCATTGTGTCTAAGTTTTTCCAGATCTACTTGCAGTGGAAGTGGCCTCAGCCCGTGCTTTTGAAGCCGATAGAGGACGGTCCATTACCGGTCAGAATCTGGAACCCTAAGCTGTATGGCCAAGACAGACTCCATAGAATGCCGGTCATCACCCCTGCATATCCTTCCATGTGTGCTACCCACAACATCACCGCTTCTACACAGAAAATCATACTCAAGGAGATGCAACGTGGTCTGGAGATAATGAACGATATCCAATTCGGGAAGCGAACATGGAAGGATCTTTTTGCCAAACACGATTTCTTCTTTGCATACAAATTCTATCTAACTGTGATCACTGCCACGAGAGACTCTTTCGAGGCCCACCTGAAATGGAGTGGTATGGTGGAGTCCAAGCTCCGGCTTTTGGTGCAGAAACTGGAGGTTGTCAATGGTATTGTGCTGGCGCATCCTTATGTGAAGCCATTCTCGGCGTCTTACATCTGCGACACTGAGGAGCAGGTGTTCAAAATCCGTGAGCTCTACGGCTCCCTTGACGGAGAAAAATACGCAAAGGAAAACCTTAAAAAGGTGGAGATTGATGATGACACGGATATGGTGAAGATGGAGGAGGAAGTGAAGAAAGAAGGCAAGCACCTGGTGCATCTTCTGAAGCTGTACATTGGTCTTGAGCTAGATTTGAAGGGCCGCGACAAAAAAATGGATATCCAAGTTCCGTGCTCTGACTTTGACTCGATCTGCAGAAACTGGGTCAATTTCGACAAAGACGTGTACTCTCTGAGCATCAAGCACGTCAAATTATACGACCTGCCGGACGATGTGTACTCAGAGGACGAGCAACGACCAGTCAAGAAAGAGAGCAAGAAACGGAAAGGCGACAAGAACGGGACCAGCACCAAGAAGCTGAAGAGCGGAGACGACGCAAAGGTCAGCGCAACACTAAGCGCCGGCAGCAGTGCCAGCAGCGCTGCCAAGCCTCTTGAGGAGCCCGCTACAGCTTAAGTAAATATACAAATTGTATAAGATCGGATAACCCGCAACATGAAACTTTGTCGTGGTTGCGTCTGTCAAAGATGGCTTGGGTATATATTTTCTGGAGGGTAAGGCTTTCGCGGAATTTATTGAAGCCAGGAATAAGTTTGAAGTTAGACCCTTTTTTTTTGTATTCAAGCCAATTGAGTCAAAATGCCTTCCTTTACCTCCAAACTTCTTGGTAAGTACCGCTGGCTCCGGAATGGGCCATATGTCATAGCGAGACTAACATTCAGGCAAATCCGGTTCAGACAAGGACAAGCATCAGGAGAAGAACGTTTCCGATGACATTGAGGATATCGATGAAGTGGACGACCAGGGCCAGTCAATTTTGATGGGAATCATCTCGCAGCTGCGGCCCGGCTCTGATCTTTCTCGAATTACGCTTCCGACGTTTATTTTGGAGAGAAAGAGCATGCTGGAGCGGATTACGAACCAATTGCAACAGCCGGACATACTTCTGGCCGCACACTCTACAGCCGACCCGGTTGAACGGTTTGTCACTGTCGTGAAGTGGTACATGTCGTGCTGGCACATTGCTCCCAAAGCCGTGAAAAAACCATTGAACCCGATCCTGGGAGAGTACTTCACGTGTTACTGGGACCTTCCGAACGGGTCTCAGGCATACTATGTTGCTGAGCAAACATCCCACCATCCTCCAAAATCCTCCTATTTCTACATTATTCCTGATCAGAACATCAGAGTCGACGGAATGGTCGTTCCGAAGTCCAGGTTTTTAGGCAACTCCACCGCAGCAATCATGGAGGGTGTGACCAAGCTCTCCTTTTTGGATATCGTCGACGAAGAAAGCGGCGAATGCGAATACTATACAATGACGCAGCCAAACATGTATGCCAGAGGCATCCTATTTGGAAGTCTGAAGTTTGAGCTCGGAGACCACCTGATATTGCAATGTCCTAGAAACAATTTGATTGCCGACATTGAGTTTAAAACCAAAGGATTCATTTCCGGCTCCTACAACGTGATTGAGGGACAGATCAAGAACACCAAGACTGGCGAGGTGCTGTACGAATTAAGTGGAAAGTGGTCAGAAGAGATGTATATCAAAGATACCAAGACCGGCAAGAAATCGGTCTTTTTCGATTGCGAACACAGCTCTCCTTTGAAGCCGAAGGTGAGAGACATTTCTGAGCAAGGAGCTTACGAAAGCCGTCGACTGTGGAAGAAGGTGACTGATGCTCTGGCGCAACGCGACCATCACACCGCTACAGACGAGAAGTTCAAGATCGAGGAAGAACAAAGAGTCCAGCAGAAGAAGCGTGAAGAAGAGGGCGTGGATTTCCATCCCAAGCTGTTCAAACAAATGCCTGTTGCCGAAACCGCTCGCCATGGCAATGAAAACTTGGAGTATGTGATCTATAAAGACAAGGTGCTGAATAAAGATCTCAAAGCTCACAACGCTGAAGATTTGCGGAAACATATATTCGAGATCGCGCCTTTCCTTCCGGGCCAACAATTCAACCCAGAGTTTGAGATCCCAGCCTACAAGAAGTCCTAGATAGACTACCCGCTTTAATGGACCATATACGATTTTCTCGAGTTGCGAGCGGCCCCATATCTTATGTACAGCTGTTTTCTAATGAGCATTCCTTCGAATTTTTGCTTCAAAAGCGCATCGTTGTCCAGCGGAACGGGCTTTTTCTCGCTTATAAGCTGTCGCGAGCTGACGTCAATCATGTAATTTCGTTCCCGCTCAAAAGCGTCAAATTCTTGCTTATATTGGGAGCAGATATCCAAGCCCAAATGAAGTCCAAGGTGTAGCTTCACATAGTAAAAAGAGTAGCTAGCAGTCCTGATCCGCTCACCCCAGACCTCAATTTCCTGATATCTTTGTATCAGCTCTAATTCTTCGAAGTAATGCGGTGCCTCTCTCAGTTGACCACCTAGCCTTTTGAATTCATAAAGAAAATAATCGCTCTTTCCAATTAAAATTTCGAGCAAAGCCAGCCACATCGAAAAATCGCTAAGATGTGACTTACAGTAGTCCCATATCCTTTCATACAATGTCCCCAAAAGGCCTTTACATCGACAAACTGCCAGTAGTAAACGCAAGAACGAACATGCGTAGTAATTACGCGGATGTGAGGCAATTGAGAGGAGAATGAGATCCACCATTTCGTTTAGAGACGAGGAATCTAGGGTCTCGAGCTTTGCAATTGACATCTTTTTGAAATAAAACCATAGGTTTGCTGACTTATTGGTCTTTGCCAGATCGCAACTCAAAAGCGCACTCAAACAGTTGTAATGATAGCCAGCTGCGCAAGGGTCTTTTGATATGATCTTGTTTAAGACGGTTTCATTCAGTAAAACGGCACGGTGGTCCTCTGGAGTCGTGATTAAAACACCAATTGAAGCGTAATACAGTTTCCAGTCGTCAAAGTCTTTCCCTGCATCAAGGACTTGCTTGCAGTCCTTGAAAATACCGATTAGTGTTTTTTTGGAAACGAGAATCTCCAACATCCCCGTTTTTTCATCCTCAAAAGTTGCAATCGGGCCCCCACGGAAAAGCTCCGAATAAAGTTCTTCACTAGAAACCTGTAAACGCTTTTTACAGCTGCGTTTGCCAAGAAGATCAATCAATTGAATAGCTAGTTCCAATCCATCTTGCATGAAATTATTATTCATTTTTTAATATTAATATAGAGTTCTATGCCAAGGTGATTACGTCATCCCTACTCGTCCATTTCCGAAGGTTTTAGCAAACCGCCAACTAGACGCGCTTTCTCCTTCTCTTGTCTGTTCTTCTCCAACAGCTCTTGCTCTCTGTCGTCAGCAAACAAGTAATCTGTTGGATCTCCACCAAACTCCTTGATTTGCACCAGGAAGTCTCTGAGCGTTCCTCTGAACTTGTTTTGTTGGTTATATGAGGAGAACAGAGCCTGCAAAAAGTTGTTGACCTGCTCCTGGTTCAACTGAGGGAATACACTGATCAACATGTTGGCAATGTACTCCTTCAGATAGAGAGAATTGGGAGTACCCTCTGGAGCAGCATCCTTTTGATATATTGGCTCTGTGATCTTGTTCTCCAACACAAGTTCCAGAAGCTTGGCCAGCAGCTGAGACTGCAATCTAAAGCCCGCCTTATGATCAGAGTCTGTCAACACGTAGAAGATATCGCTGAGAATAGGGAAATAGAAATTCTTGTAGAATCCAATAGCAAAAGCGTTAGATCCCAAATCCTCAATATTCTTCAAGAGCTCGACACACAGAGTCAGACCGGTGTTCTCGACGTCTCTATTGTTGTGCTTGAAGGCCCACAATATAGCGTCAATGAAGGATTGGAAGGATTCCGGTGGGAATTGAACCAAGGCATTAAAACCTTTGAGATCAATCTCACGCAGCAGCTTGTAGAACTCAACTCTGTGTTCAGGATACTCGGTGAAGTCCTTGTTAATCATATCCAGTGTGACCTCGAAAACGTTGGCAAGAATAAGAACTATTTCGTCAGGAATAAGCTCTCCAACCTTTTCGACAAGCGTGGATAAACAGTTCAGAACCTCTGCATCTCTAGCGTCTGGAACATTCGTCTTGTAATCTTGTAGAACGGCCGATAGCAGATTTGGAACCAAATCGCGAACAACTTCCTCTGGATTGTCAGCTTTGGAAATATATGTTTCGATCAAAATCAGAATCTCCTTCTTAATCGTTCTCCAGCCCCTCACTTTTGGAGTTTTGGTGGCTATCAAGCCGTCACTTGCAACAGCGTCCGAGATCAGTCCGCTGACAGCATTGTAAAGGGACAACATGTCAACATAGATAAGACCCAGTTGGGTGTAGAAGCCAGGGCCCAATGGCGTACAAACTGCAACATTTGTTTTGATGATGTTAGCGATTATTTTGACAATATCTGAGTTTGAAAGAAGTTGTGGATCGTCGCCAGCTTGTTGGACAACGGCCCTCCAGGCGACATTCGGTAGATGCATAAGGTCGGAGAGAAGCTTGTTTCTAATTTGCGTGGAGTTCTGAGCGGAAATTATGGTAGCACAAGCTTCGTAGAAAGTATGCACTTGTTGAGGCTGAAGGTCAGATGTGGTTTCCTGGATGTTACGGATGATCTCGTCGATAAATGGCCCCGTCTCTCCTTGTTGTTGAACAACAAAGTGTCTTTTACACTTTTGGGTGATTTTAATAAACGTATCACAAGCCATATCCTGGACACCCTCGTGAGTCTCATGCATAAACTCAAAGAGTTTGTTGACAACCGTTTTCAGGAACTTCCAGTGTGCTTTCAAGAATCTTGGGTACTGTCCAACAATGTACATGATGTTAGAAGCAACAACAGCCTTGTTGTCCTTTCCCCTCTTCATTTCGGTAAGCGAAAGCAGATCCTTGATAACCGTGACCAAGAATCTTTTCTCGCGCTCTTCGTCCATCGATCCAGAGATAGATCCAATGGCCCAACACAAGGTATTGATGTTATGCCACGACCATTCTGAACCGTCGATCTGACTTGCAAGCTTGGCAGACATGATTGCCTCGGTATCATTTATATCCAGATGCGTCAAGTACACCAACACCTCCCTCATCGACTTGTAGAGTTGAATGGTGTCACTTTCCTTGACAAATTCTCTCACAATTTCTCCCTCATCATTTTCCACAACCAAAACTTCTTCAGGTCTAACCATGTTTTCAATCATGACAACTCTTAACTTCGACAAAATGTCACTGTAAATATTCTTTCTGAGATTGTAGTTTCTAAGAATTTCTGGATTCAAAGCACCACCTCTAGTATTATATTGTAGTTGCATTAAAGGTGATGCGTCTTGCAACGGGAGTGTTTGAATCTCTTGGTAGAGACCAGAAACGAGTTTCGACCAGTAGTCAAGACACGTTTTGAACAATTCTCTTTCCTCGATCCGCGAGAGCCCAACTAGGTATTGATGAGCGGCGAGCAACAACTCCCTAAGGTTGGTATTCTGTTCCAGTGGCTCTAAGTGATTCGAGAGAAACGTGACGAGATACATTGCCAGATCCTGCAAGAACTCCTGATCGGCGGAATTTGCGTACTTGTATGTGTTTTTGAGGTCTATGTCGATAGGGATGATCTTGAGCAAATTTTCCGTTGTAAGGGCAAACATGGTCACGAATTTGTCGTCGTATTGGTGAGCAATGAGCTGAGAGACTTCGGTCAGGCATTTCAAAGTGATGGATCTGAACTCCTCGACGGGCAAGAACTTGGTAGAGAGCAAATTGAGCAGATCAGTTTCGAAGATGTATCCCAGAGGGATCCACGGGATGTATCTGAGCAAAGACTTCAGCGTGGCTACTATGAGCGAAGGTTTAGATGCCTTGTCGAGGACTTCAAAGCAAAGTTTGAAGATTTCCGAAAACTCGTCGCACATTCTCGTTTTGAGAGACTTGGCTTTTGCCTGGGTCATTTGCTCCGCAGAAAAGTCGAAAATCTCCTCCGACAGCAATTTGAGGATCACCATATTGTTCTCGCACACATTGAATCCAGCACGGCTCGACTGCACTATCTCCGGAATGAAGTTAGGCCAGTTGGCAGGCCAGTCTTGCTTGATGATCTGGACCAGCGTCAAATCGCTCTTCTGGATCAGAGCTTTCTGGGAAACAAACTGCGCGTCGTCGTCGCACATCACAATGATCATGCTGGCAATAAAGTTACGGATCCCTAGTCGTTGCTCCTCGGGAAGGGCTTTCCACTTGGTCTTGATCAGATTATCCAGTATAGATAACGCGATGTACTTGGCCTGGGGATCGGACGAGTACTGAAGAATCTGGTCTGCGCGAGTCCATGCGTCCGGATGGTTCTGAAATTTGGTGAGAACTTCTTGTGCCTGTTTCTGTGTCTCACCCGATCCGTTGTAGAACGCGTCCACAACGGAATCAAGCAGCTTGATGTCCAATTCCTTACTGAAATCCAGAATCGTCTCCATTTTCACAGCAACTACCTTGTTGAAGTACGATCAACGTGAAGAGCAGGATTTATTTGAAGTAGACTTTATTTGTTGTTGTTATTTACAAGGGCAAATTCTTATTCGTTGGAGTAGCCTGGTGCACGGATGCCAGAAAAAATTATTACTCAAGATACTCCATCTCCATCTCCCCAACTCTTTTTCTTTCCGCTTCTATTATCTCGCCAATCTCTTTTTTGCTCAGGTCCCGCATCATATCGAGATCGAAAGCCAGCCGATTCGTCTGCTCAAGCCTGAGTTGCTCCTGAAGGGCCAATGCTGCTGCTTTGAGGTCATATCCGTTTGGCGACGCACTCGGACGCGTCTTGCTCACCTTGTTCTTGGTGTACATCTTCTTGCGGGCCACACATTCAAGAAGATACTGGATATCGTTCGTGGGGGTTTTTGTATACGACCGGTAGAAAAAGCCGTCGGGACTTAGCAGATTCCATACATACAGCAGATAATCTGCTGCAATGATGGGGTCCACGGTCGTATTATCGACAGTCCGCAAAAGTGCGTGTGTCAACATAGCCTTGGAGTTCGCCACTGTGGGCATCAACACTCCCGGAGTGTCGTAAATGTAGATCAGCGGGTCTTCCGAGATTTTGATCATCTCAGAGGTAACGCGGGTGGTTCCTCCTCCACGTTCCACTTTGGCCACATCCTTTTTTTTCCCTTGGTCAATGGCAAGCTTACGGCGCAGCTTGTTCACCAATGTCGACTTTCCCACGTTTGGCATGCCTGCAACTATGACTTTCATTCCTAGCGGCGGCGGAGGATGCATCAAGTTGTATTTTTCAGTTATCATTTTGGCAACATTGGCCGTGTGGTCGTATCTCTTCTTGTCAAAGAAGCTCCAGCTCTCGTTTCTCACATTCCATTTCTTGATAATCTTCTGGTTAATCAAGGATTTCTCTGCTTTCGTGTAAAGAACGATCTTTTGCTTTCCTTTGAATATTCGGTCGAGGAGAAAATTGGTGGTTGTGATCGGAGCACGCGCATCTCGCAGCTCGATCACGAGATCAGTTTCTGGCGCCAGTTTCCTCATTCTTTTGAGTGCCGTTACCTGGTGGCCCTGAAAGTCGGTCAGGGGGACATTATAGTCCGGAAATCGCACACGAGGCTTGAAATCGAGCACCTTCTCGATCTTCCTGCCCGAGAGCTGCTCATAGAGCTTCTGGACCTCTCTGACCGCCCTGGAAATGGCGAACATGGAATGCACAAACGTTTCACAAAAGTCGAAATAATTTAAAATATATATCAAAAAAATCAAAAAATATCAGAGAAAAAGGTCAGAAAAATAATAAAAAAAATAAAATGCCTCTGATTGTGTTTGCCGGCTACCCATCGAGCGGCAAGACTACGTGGGCAGTCAGGCTGAAAAACCAGCTCGAGGAAAAGATTGCCGGTCTCGAAAAAGGAGAGCCTGGGGCGAACCTCAAGGTGGTTTTGCACAACGACCAGAGTCTAGGAATTCAGCATGACGCATATACCGACTCCACCAAAGAGAAGGCTGCGCGTTCGGCCCAGATCTCTGCTGTGAAAAGAGACATTTCGAAGTCTACCATCGTAATTCTGGACTCAATGGCGTACATCAAAGGATTCAGATACCAACTGCACTGCGAAAGCAAAGCGTTGAGCACGCCGCACTGCGTGATACAGGTAATTACACCACTGGAAAAATGTCTAGAATGGAACAAAAATAGAGAAGCAGCAGAAAAATGGGACGAGAAGGTGATGAAAGAGCTTGTGCTCCGGTACGAGGAGCCAGACGGACAGAACAAATGGGACTCTCCGCTGATCCCTGTCGGATATGATGACCCAGAGCTGCCATTTGACGATATATGGGCTGCCATTGCTTTGAAAAAAGGTCCTCGGCCGAACCAGTCCACGGTTTCGAAACCAGCGATAGAAATCAACTTTCTCCAGGAACTAGACCGAGTAACTGCGCGCGTGGTCCAAGAGGTGGTCCAATACCAGGAGATGAACGGGATCGGGGGCGTTGTGCGGGTGAATGTCGAAGGTGGGGAGTGCGTGGTGGAGATGCCAACGCGCGAAGTCTCGATTGCGCAGCTGCAACGGTTCAGAAGAGCCTATGTGGGGCTGAACAGAATGAGAAACGTGGGGGTCGACAGAATCGGCGTACTTTTTGGCGAGTACCTCACCCGAGCAATGAACCAGTAACGCGGCTATGTTAGTCATTCTATTCGATCATCTTATATAATTTCAGCTCAGGATACTGTCGAACTTGGCGATGACGTCGTCGGTCACCTTTTTCTTGGAATCTGGGTCCAACGAGAACACAGTGATGGAAGAAGCACAGTTCTTGATGATCTCAAACTCAGCAGGCAGCGAACAATCACCAGCAGCACACACGTCAAGCACGTTGTCGTAGGAAGAGATATACTCGACCAGATTGGTCTCCTCGTTGACTTTTGCACTGTAGACGAAATAATTCGGGCCGGTCTGTCTGGAGTGGTAGAAAACTGGGTCCAGACAGTCGGAACCAACGTCAGAACCGGCTTTTGGATAGTTGACGTTCAGCCCGGTGGAAAGAGGAAACAGTCTTTCGTTGTCACCCTGCTTCTCAAACAAGGCGTCGAGCAGCTCGACGGACTTTTTGGAGTAGATGTTGGCCGAGTGGTTTGGATCGTCGTCCAGAGTATCTTTGAAAAATGAGTTGTTGGAGTTGGCTCCAGAGAACGCGATGGCGGAATACCCACGCTCTGTGGCGTAGTAGGCGGCGCCGATGGTTCCGGAAAGAACGAAATCCCGTTCTCCGAGGTTGGTTCCTTCGTTCGGACCACCAAGCACAACATCGACAGTCATGTTGTTGAAATAGGTGGGCAGAATGTAGTCCAAGGCCACCCCCACGCAAGCAGCAGGGGTGCCGTTGTAATACCACACGTTTAGGTCGTCCTCCTCGTGGCCCCACGAAGGAGAGCCCGCTGGAGGGTACCCAAATTCAGCGTCTGTCTCGAGCGTGTTGGAGGCTGCGAGCTGGAATTTTCCACCGTTACCAGACATTTGCACGGCAGGTGCCACCATAACGACGTTATGGCCAGCGGCCTTGAGGTCTCGGTAGAAAGCTCTGATATTGGTGGCAGCCCATCCGTCGTCGTTGGTCAGGAGAATGTTCTTGGCGGAGACAGCAGCCAGGGAGGTTGCAATGGCGAACAGAGAAGTGAATTTCATTGGGGACTGTGTTGGAACAGTGCATGGGGAATTTGTTGGTTATAAACCATTGGTTGCAATGCAATTAGGGGGCATGGGGGGCGAAAACGGAGCGGGATGCGAGTGCGGCACTGCGGCGCCACTCTTCTACCAGGAGGGAATGGAGATTAATTTACCGTCGTTCTGAGCAGCAGCACCTAATTTGTTCAGGATATCGACGCATTGGGAAGTCGCGAAACACATGGTCTCATTAAGGTGGTTAATTAGATGCGTCTGGCGCTCTGCGTAGCGCATCCGCTGACTTTATTCGTACGCACGCCCGTCGTTTAAATCCGCGCGCCGGATCGCCATTGGATCTTGCGAGTAGAACACAGCGTCAAACGCACCAGTCACTGGCGGTCCGGCGCCTGCCCCAAGGATGGCGGCCAATTGGCTTCGAGGACGCAAAAAAAAATGTTCTCCTCCGCGCGGCTATAGGACGCACGTGCCTGGGAGCCAGCGCCATCACTTCCCAAACGAGTGCGCCCGGAAAAAAAATAATCCCCGTACCAAGGACTCCACCACGTTTGTGCAATTTCGAGTAAATAGCATGCAGCTCTCTCCCGTTGGAGGCAAACCACCGTCTGCAGGGCCCCGAATCGCTTTATAAGTTCTCGAGATCCCGCAATGGTTCCGTGTCACAAATGCAATTCACTTCTCTGCTCGTCCTTGCAACCTCTCTGGTTGCAGCTTCTGCTCAAAACGTCCTTCTCACCAACGACGACGGATGGGCGGCTACCAACATCAGGGCCCTCTACCGCGACCTCAAAGCGTCCGGACATAACGTTGTCATGGTGGCCCCTGCTAGACAGTACTCTGGGAACGGAGGCAGATTCATCATCCCGACAACCCCGAACCTCACTGCGGCCGCGGTCTTCGACTATCCGCCAGCTGGGTCGCCGGCGTGGGGCCACGAGGAGGACGACTCGAATGTGTGGTATTTCGACGGGTCGCCGGCCGCGTGCGTGGCTTTCGGACTCGACTATGTGGTTCCCAAGTACTTTGACAACATGACCATTGACATTGTTCTGGGTGGTCCAAACGAGGGCAACAACCTCGGAGAAAGAGACTATGTTCTTTCCGGAACCATTGGCGCCGCCTACTACGCCACCGAAAGAGGCTATCCCGCCATCGCGTTCTCCGGAGCCAACTCCAACAACTCGTTCTTCAAGGACAACCTGGACGACGATCCGGACCACGCTCCCAACATCTACTCTAAGTACGCCGTCGAGGTGGTCGAGACGCTGGCAAAAAGCCCAGACGACCGTCTGCTGCCGGAGTCGTACGGACTGAACGTCAACTTCCCTGCCGCGGGCTCCGACATCGACGCCTCGTGCAGAGAGCTCACGTTCAGACACACGCGGTTCACCGGGTCAAAGAGCCTGGCGTACAAGGTGCAGTACGACGACACGGCGGAGAACATGAAGCAGACGACGCTGGCGACCGGCGCGGTGCAGAACTGTGCCGCCGGCGACTGCGAGCTGCCGGACGAGTTCACGATCATCAACAACGGCAACTGCGAGGGCACGATCTCCGTGTTCACGATCGACTTCGACGCGAGCGAGCCGCTCACCGCGCAGACGCTCTCGCTGTTTGAGTCTGTGCTGGGAAAATAGAAAATAAAATAAAATCAAGAAATAAAATAAAATCAATAACTATCGATTAGGTAATTTGCGTTATATTTTGTTTCACCACCGGACAATATATCAGCAAACTAATTTTGTGCCCCTGATAGTCCCGGTTATCTCTCGCGTGGTTCTCTCATGACTCCGCAGAAAGACGCTACCGAACATCCTGGGCTCAGATACGCGCTCCAGTACAGCCCGCAGCCGGGACGGACCCGGCCCGCCAGCATGACGGCCACTAAGCCGTCAGTGCAGCAAAAACGCCATAATTCCCAGAGCTACCTCAACCAGGGCGTATCCACCAAGCGCGGAGCGTACTCCACGGCCACCACGAAGCCCCAGTCGCGCGCCAAGGGCTCCAAAACCCCGACCCCGACCGTCGTGACTGTTGACGTGCCGGGGTCTCCCAGAAGCAAGGTGATTGGCAAGCTGATCGAGCCGGACGTGAGCGTCGAGAACTCGAGCGAGCTGAACGAGGTTCCGGCCACGAAGGAGGGCAACGCGGCGTCGAACTCGCCCGAGTCGCTGCCCGAGAAGGCGTTGCAGAACCGCAGGCCCAGCACCGACACAGTGCTGTCGCAGCCCCCCGTGGCGTTGCAGCTTCAGCCGCACCGGGCCATCACGGAGGAGGAGCACATCCTGGCCGCCAACCTCCAGGAGACGTACAAGGCGATTCTGCGGCTCGAGGTGGAGACGCAGCAGGGCTGTGCCGAGGTGAACGAGCGCCTGATCGAAAACGACGCCAGCACCGAAATCACGCCGCAGCTGTGGCACGTGTACAAGAACATCGTCCAGCTGCTCGACCACTACTACGACTTCCTGCTGTACGCGCTGTCGCCCACGTCTGCGCGGGCGGGCAAGCCGCTCGTGACCAACTACCGGATCCTGCGCCGAATGTGGGTGTACGGCGTGGTGTCGTTTCTCGAGGTGCTGAAGAACGTGGCGGCGATTTTCGTCGACCACGAGGTGTGCGGGTGTTTCATCGCGTACGCCTTCAACATCATCAGCTGTCTCACAGACTCGCAGCTGGGCGTCGAAGGCTGGTGGGCCGAGAAGCTCGGCGACCTGTCGCGGATGGCCATCGCGCTGTATCCGGCGCGCTACATGGACTGGAAGGTCTCGTCCGTGTACTGGTACCAGCTCGCGATGCGCACGCAGTTCGGCCACGGCAAGATCTACTACCACATGTGCACCGTCGAGAACGACAACCTGGAGGCTCTGGTGGACATCGGGAAGAGCGTCACGTGCCGCGACCCGTTCGTGCCGACTCTGCAGTATCTGCGGCTCATCGTCGACAACGTGTGTGCGCAGCGCAGCATTCTGACGTCTGTGGAGATGGCGATGATCGACTTTGTGAAAATCCACAAGATCCTGCTGATGCCCAACTACAGCACGAACCTGGAGATGGCCAACCTCGTCTCGCACTACTCTTCGCATTTCGGGCTCGACAGCTCCAGCACCGACTACTTCCAACTCAGAGGCGACCTGCGGTCGGCTCTCTCGACCGAAAAGCTTAATTTCTGGTTCCAGAAAGGAGCCAACTTTGCATTGTGCAACATAAACCACCTGATCGGGTTTGGCGACTGCCGCAACCCGTTTGCCAAGCTGTTCGAGCTTCCCGAGGCGCTCAAGCTGCGCAAGGACAAGAAGGACAAGCGCAGAAAGTCCAAGACGGACCAGACAGAGGACCTTGCCAAGACGCTCGACTCCGAGGCCATCTACAACTCCACCGCCGACGAGCAGGACGAGGCGTCCTGGTTCACGCTGCTGGACTTTGTCAACAAGGGCGTGATCGAGCTCAGCATGAAGATGCTGAAGAAGTACGTCATGGGCCCGCTCCCGTCGTCGACGCCGCACGTGATCGTGTGGCTGTACTTTGTCGTTGCCGTCGGCAAGGCCACCCGCAAGTACCCGGCCTCGCGGCCGCTGTTCACGTACTTTCTGGCCCGCTACATCCCGTGGATGCAGCTTGTGCCGTACCTGAACGACGTGGCGTTTCTGGTGGCCGTGTCGGGCGCCGTCGCGAAGGAACTGCCCGAGCACGCGGCAGACTTCCAGCAAGGCCGTCTGCACAGCGTCCTGGACCATTTCGCCGAGAACGAGACGCTCTGGGAGGCGTGGAAGTGCTGGGGGTCTGTGTGGTTCGACCAGGTCGCTCTCAAGGGCGACTACCAGTCTGTCGCCGAGACCGGCGTCGTTGGCGACATCTTTGACATTCCGACGGCCGGCATCAGGTACGACGCGCAGCAGGACGTGCATCGGTTTCTGCGCGTGTACTCTCTGGCGGCGTTCATCGCGTCCAGCTTCCCGGAATTTGGCCTCGTTCTGGCCGGCTCCGTCTTCAAGTACAGAGTGAACCCGGACGTGTCGCGGTACGAGCAGAGCAACACGAGCGTGGGGTATTTCTGCCAGGACCCGCGGCTCAAAAGCCTGGTGGAGCCGGCGAACGCCAAGATCTGCGTGCAACCGGGCGACGCGGTTGCGGAGCTGCCGGTGTCGTCGCTGCCGAGCTGGGACTACAACTCGCCCGGGTTCATGTCGGAGTATATTCACAAACAGGACCTGGGGTCCGTTTCCGGGTCTGCGTCGGAATACAGCTCTTTCATGGGCATGGACGAGCTAGACGAGGACTACGAGGACTCCTCGGGCGAGGACGTCTCGGACAGGAACACGACTCCGTACGCGCCGGCGGCGGTGGCCGTGGCGGGCAACCTGGGCGAGAAAATGGACACGGAGGTGACGATGATCTCGCTGGACACCAACACGTGGCTCAAACACTGCGGCAAGGTGTACAAGTGCGTGCGGTCGGGGCTGTTCCGTTTGGGGATCCCGCTGACGGTTTTCCAGGAACTGCGGTCGCTGAGACGGTCGGCGGACAACTCCGTGGCAGACTCGGCCACCAGGGCGGTGATCATCGTGCGGCAGCTGTTTGCAGACCAGCAGATCACCCCGATCAGGGCAGACGGCACGGTGGCCTCGACGCTCAACGAGACGCTGGAGTTCGAGCAGAACCAGAACTGGCGCAACCACACCGACGACATCATCATCAAGGCCGTCAAGCTGAGCGACGACAGCAGCAAGAGCGTTCTACAGGGCGAGGGCACGGCCATCAACGGCGGCGCGCGACTGCTGGACCGGCTCGAGGCGAGCGTGTTCCGCTACCACATCCTGGTGACCGACGACCGCAACATGGCGGTCCGCAGCAAGGCGATCGGTCTGACGACGTTTTCCAGCGCGTGGCTGTTTGACCAGCTGAACAAGATTGCCGACGGCCGCTGCACAGATTGACTAAATAAAATAAAAAATAAATCGCGAGCTGCATTTTTTTTTATCTCGTTTTCCAAAAAGGGAATTGGCGATTTGCTTATCTTTGTACCGCATCCGATGCACTATAAATAATCGTGAGAGTCTCCCTTGCGCCCAGATTTCTTCCCATGACCGTCGCTGTGGAATCGCCCTATCCCACGCCCCGCAAGGAGCTCGGCCACGCCGTCAACTACCTCTCCGGCAACCACGACTACGACGTTCCGCAGGAGACGCTCGACCTCGAGGTTGCTGCGTTGCGCGCGAAACTGGAGGCCAAGCCGACTTTCGACCCTCGCCTCAGGTTTGACCCGGCCAGACACCTTGTTTTCAAGCCCGAGTACTACAAAACCACGCAGCAGTTCACCCTCAGCGACCTGAACATCAAGAAAACCCGGGTCAAGCCCGTCACCGACTTTGCGGCCGCGTTCCCATTCCCGCTGATCTCGCAGGAGGCCGTGGACATGCTGCTGTGGGAGGCGCTGCAGCCGGAAGTTCTGCGCGACTACGCGCGAGTCCCGAACCTGTCCAAGGGCGCCAACAGACTGGACTTCCACGTTGGCGGCCACTGCTCCAAAAAAGCGCCGTTTTCCAACGCGCTGTTCACGGCGCCGGAGCTGCGCGAAATCCTCGAAGGCTTCACCAGAACAAAGGTCGAGCCCGTGTACAACGCCGAGTACGGCCACCTCAACGTGTCGCTGGCCAGCCTGAAGCCAGAGGACGCGGCACAGTTCGCGGCTTCCAGAGAGGAGCAGCTGAAAGTGTACGAGGCGCAGACCAAGGCGGGCGGCAACGACGTGCCCTCGACGCTCGGGCTGCATTACGACTCGTCTGCGTTTGCGCTGGTCATCATGCTGGACTTCGGCGACTCGGCTATCGGCGGCGAAACAGGCATCATCACCGGCCACAACGAGATGGTGCGCGTGCCAGACCCGAAGGTCGGCTGGGCCACGCTGATCCAGGGCATGGTGCTGCGCCACGTCGCCACAAAGCCCGTCACCAACTCCAACAGAATCACCTCTGTGGGCGGGTTCTGTCTGGCCGGGCCGGAACACCTCGACAACAACCTGCTCACCAGCACCAAGCCGTCGGTGCTGCCGCGCGCGCTGTACAACGAGTTCTACCGCGACTGGTGCGAGTTCCGTCTCAACAACCTCCAGAGACACATCGGCTACTACAAGGAGCAGCTCATGGCGGAGTTCGACTCGGGCAAGACGTTCGACCAGCTTGCGTTCGCGAAAAAGTGCCAGGAGATGGAGCGGTACCTGAGGAAGTCCTGGGACGAGATGGAGGCCGTGTACAACCCGCCATACCCGCCGGCGCAGTTCAGCACGCCGTACGAGGAGCTGCCCGACTACGAGGACTAGGCTGGAGTGATTTGACGACTGGGTAGCCGAATAAGATTTTCTTTATATACACCGTAGACAGACAAAGAACACAGACCGCGAGCGCGGCCTACAGAGCGACGCCGGACGAGGTGGCGAGCTGGTCGATGACCGGGTCGACCACGTTTTTGTTGAGGTCGGCGTTGGTCAGGCCGAGCTGCGCGTCGGTCCACAGGTTGTCTGCGCGTGGCACGGGCGAGCCGACGCCGCACAGACCGCCCTCGCGCTCCCAGTCGGGGACGCGCTTGAGGCCGATCCTGGTCCAGACGTCGTCGACGGCCTCAATCAGCGCGTCGGAAATGTCCTTTGAGTGGTGAGGCGACGGGGTGATTCTGAGCCGTTCCTCGCCGCGGGCAACGGTCGGGAAGTTGATGGCCTGGACGTAGATCTTGTGCTGGTCCAGCAGGATGTCCGACGCCTGTTTGGCCTGGCCCGCGTTGCCCACGAGCAGCGGGACGATGTGGGACGGGTTCGGGATGACCGGGATGCCCAGCTGCTCGAACTGCTTCTTGACGTATCTGACGTTTTTCTGCTGGCTGATTCTGTCCATGAGGTTCTGTCTCACGATTCTGATCGACGCGGTGGTGCCGGCCATCAGCGCCGGAGGCAGGGTGGTGGTGAAGATGAAGCCCGGAGCAAAAGAGCGGATCCAGTCGATCATCTTGGCCGACGCCGCAATGTACCCGCCCACCGTGCCAAAGGACTTGCCCAGCGTGCCGGTGATCATGTCGACGCGGTCCGAGACCGTCCTCAGGGCCGGCGACGCAATGCCCGCCTCCAGGTGCGCCTCGAAGTCCAGGTGCTCGGCCACACCTGCTCCGTGCGGGCCGTACATTCCAACGGCGTGCACTTCGTCCAGGAACGTCAGGGCGCCGTACTTGTCGGCCAGGTCGCAGATCTTCTCGATCGGAGCGACCGAGCCGCACATCGAGTACACGCTCTCAAACGCAATCAGCTTAGGCGTCGACTTCGGGTACTGTGCCAGCAGAGACTCCAGTTGCTCGAGGTTGTTGTGCTGGAAAACGTGCTTGCGCGCCCTGGAGTTGCGGATGCCCACAATCATCGACGCGTGGTTGAGCTCGTCCGAGAAAATCACGAGATCCTTCATCTTCTGGCCCAGCAGCGACAGCACGGCGTCGTTGGCCACAAAGCACGACGAAAACACCAACGCGCCCTCCTTCTTGTGCAGGGCGGCCAGCTCGGCCTCCAGCGCGATCGCGTGCCGGTTGTGGCCCGCGATGTTGCGGGTTCCACCGGCCCCGGTGCCGTACTTGAGCATTGTCCTGCTCATGGTGTCCAGAACCTCCTGGTTCTTGCCCATGCCCAGATAATCGTTCGAGCACCAGACGGTCACTTTGTCGTCCTCTCTGGCCAAGTGGGCCTTCGGAAACTCCCTGGCCAGCCGGTTGATGTTGTTGAAAAACCGGTACGACTTGTCGCGCCGCTTCTCGTTGACCTGCTCCTCAAACACCGCCTCGTAGTCGAATCCGGTCTCGTTGGACGAGCCGTGCAAAAACACCGGGCTGGCGGCGTCCGGAGCGACCGCCTTGGGCGACAGGGCGTCTGTGGCCTGCGCACCGACCGGCTTGGAAGGAGTGCTGTACGACCGTCTGGCCTCGAGAGCAGGGCCGACAACGGGACAGCCGTGGGCCTTGGCGGCCAGCGACGACGACTGCGCCATCTGTCTGAGCGCAGACGCAGATTGGTGTTTCATGAACGGGCAGATAGCCTTGGACTTGCGAGCTAGAGACTCCATCGCTAAAAGATTGAACGGTTATTTTGTTCTTTTTTGGCTGACGAATTTTTTTTTTTTCCTGGATCATGCACTACTGGCTCGGATTAGCTAAGGCGGGCCAATGATTGGTCCATTTGGGATTGGGAGCAGGGTGGGAGGGACGCAGATGGGAACAAGCGCGGCGATCGGCAGCGTGTTCGATGGGCCCATCCGGCAGCTCGTGGGACTGCACACTCGTCCCCAAGGACCAGCTAGCTACTTGAGGCTATGATTACGGTTCACCCCCACCAGCCACGCCAACTCCAAACCCCGTCGCCGCCACGGCCATTTATTCCAGTCCCCCCCTGTGGCTGTGCCAACTCCATGTCTCTCATCTTCACAGGAACAGGGCCCGTCCTTGTTACAGAGTCACCGTCAGAGTATCTCTGGACGCCGCAGGGCAGCGGGCAAGCCCCCGTTCCGCCGCTTCTCCAGGCCCCGAACATCGTTGTCCTCGACTCCGTCAAGTCGGGCAACAGAGTGTCCACCAAAGACGTCTACAAACAGCTGCTGTTGCCGCTTCTGGACAGCTGGAACCTTCCGCACAGCTACGTTGCCACCACATCGCCGGAATCCGTCCGCAGCGTCGCCGCGAGCGTCGGGACTACCCCCACGCTGCTTGTTCTAATCTCAGGCGACACCACTATCACGGAGCTCGTCAACTCCGTCGCCAGCACCGCCAGCGTGACGCTGCTGACGGTGCCAATGGGCACGGGCAACGCGTTCGCGCACTCTGTCGGGCTGTCGACGCCGCTGGCGGCCGTCCAGGCGCTCACAACGGGCACGGCGCGCCCGCTGCGGCTGTACGAGGCCGTCTTTGAGCACGGGTCGCAGCTGCTCGCGCAAGAGGGCGCGCAACCGGTGACCAGTCTGCGGTTCCTGGTGGTCGGGTCGTGGGGGCTGCACGCGTGTCTGGTGGCCGACTCAGACTCGCCCGAGCTGCGCAAGCTGGGCACCGAGCGGTTCAAAGTCGCCGCGCAGCGCGTTCTCGAGCAAAACCCAGTGTTCCACGGCTCGTTCCGCGCAGACGGGCGCGCGGTGGAAGACCACGCCGCGCTCGGCTATTTCGTCGTGGCTGCCGTGCCGCGGTTCGAGGCAACGTTTGAGATCTCGCCCGCTTCCGACCCGGCAGAAAATGCGCTCCACGTGGTGTATTTCCACCACCAGGCCCCGGCCGCCGTGATGGAGATCATGGGCCAGGCGTACGCCGCGGGCAAGCACGTCCAGGACCCGCGCGTCGGCTACCTCAAGACGCACACGGTCGAGCTGGAACTCCACGAGCAGGACGCGCGTCTGCGCCGCATCTGTGTCGACGGCCTGATCGTCCAGCCGGCAGGATCCAGGGTGCTCTTCCGCCCCGTCGAATCTACGAGCCTGCAATACGTATCGCCAGATAAGGAATTAATATTACACTAACTATCGGTCTTTGCCCGCTTCTCGTCGGCACGGTCGTCCTCGGCAGGCCGCTTGGCCTCCAGCGTCTTGACCTTCTCGCGCAACGACGCCAGCTGCTTCTTCAGAATATTCTCCTTGAACTCGGTCTCCTTGCGGATGGCCGCCGTGGTGTCCTTTTTCAGCTGCTCCTTCTCCTGCTCGAACCGCTTCAGCAGCTCGTCCGTGGCGCCCTGTTTCTGCGCAAACTCCTTCTCCAGCTCCTCCTTGCGCGCCTTCCACCGCTGCTCGATCACCTCGTTGATCTTGGCCTGCACGGGCGCGCGGATCCGTTTCTTGTGCGCCTCCAGCTCCGCGTCGCACTCCGCCTTGATCTGCTGGCGGATCGCAGCCTCGTCCACCGGCTGGCTCTGCTTGATCTCGGCCCGTAACCGGCTGATCTCGGCCTCCAGCCGGTTCACCTGGATATCGTAGTCGACCTTGATCCGCGAGCTGGCCGCCACCGCGTCGCGCACCTTCTGCTCCAGCTCGGCCGTGTCTGGCTGCGCCTGCTGCTCCAGCTCCCGGATTCGCGCCGCCAACGCGTCCTTCTCCGTGTTCAGGTGCTGCCGCGCCACACGGCTCTTGTTCAGCTTGTCCTGCGCCTCCGCGCGCAGCTTGTCGTACCGCTCCTGCAGCTGCCGCTCGCTCTTGCGCACCGCCTCCAGCTCGCCCTGCAAACTAGCCACCTCTGCCGCGCTGCCGCTCTCCTCTCCCTTCTCCTCCACGCGCTTCTTCCAGTACTCCATCTGCGAGACCACCAGCTGCTGCTGCGACTCGCGGATCTCCAGCTCGCTCTGTAGCTGCGCCACCTGCTGCTCCAGCGGACCGCACTTCTGCTCCGCCGCCACCGCGCGCTGCTCCAGCTGCTCCAAGCGCGCAGCCAGCCGCGAGTTCTCCTCGCGCAACTGCCTGTTGTTATCCTTGAACAGCTCCAGCTCGTGGCCCGTCGCCTGCATCTCCGCCAACACCTCCGTGTACTTCGTGCTCGACGCGGTCTCCTCTTGCACCCGCGCAAGCTCTGCCCGGGCCTCGGCCGCCTCGCTCTGCGCCAGAGCAGCAGCCTGCCGCAGCCGCTTCTCCTCTACGCGAGAGTACTCCAGCTGCTGCGCCAGAGAGTCCTTCTCTCTGTGCAGATACGTGATCAGACTCTTCATGTCGCCGTCCTCGCCCACGTCGCCGACGCTCACACGGCTCTCCAGCTGGTTGATCAGCGTGCGGTTCTGCACGTCCAGCTCCGTCACGCGCGCCTCCTTTGCCCGCAGCTCCCGCACAAGCTCCTGCTTCTCCTGCTCCAGCCGCTCCTCGGCGGCAGACACGTCCGCCCTTGCGCCCGCCAGCTGCGCCTCAAGGCCCTGAACACGCTGGTTCAGCTCGTCCACCAGTCCCTGCGCCTTCTCGCGCTCGGCAGCCAGCTGCTGCCACTCGCCCGTCTTGCCCGCCACCTCCTGCTGCTTCTCGCGCAGCACCGCCTGGACGCTGCCCATCTCGTCGCGCAGCCGCGCACACTGCGTCTCGTAGTCTTTCTTGACCGCGTCGAACGAGTCGATCGTCGCGCCCAGCTCGCCAACCTTGGCCTGCAGCTCTCTGTTGGCCAATTCCAGCTCCGTAACACGCGTCTCCAGCAAGTCCCGCTGCTCCACGGCCCGCGCCAGCTCGCCCTGCAGCTTCTCGTAATCCGCCGCCCGCGCCTGCTCGCGCTCCTCGGTCGCCTCGCGGAACTTCTCGTACGTCTCGTTCAGCGCCGCCAGCTCCCGCTCCGCCGCGTTCGCCACCTCCTTGTACTGCTCCGCGTTGGCGTTTGCCAGCTCCAGATCCTCCAGCGTCTGCGTCAGCTCGCGCTTGAGCGCCACCACGTCCTCGGCCGTGTCGCCGGACGCGCTGATCGCCGCCATTGCCGAGTTCTTGCGGTCCGAGATCTCCTGGTACTTTTTGTTCACCGTGGCCAGTTGCTCGCTCAGCTGCTCGACGCTGCTGCTCTTCGACGCCAGGCTCTCGCGCAGCGACGCCAGCTCGCCCGAAAGCGCGTCGATCCGTTTCTGGTACATCTGCGCGTCCGAGTTTTTCGAATGCAGTATCCGCTTGACCTCCTCGTTGCTGCTCTCCAGCTTGGCCCGCGTGCTCTGCAGCTCCCGCTCCACGGCGGCCAGGTTCGCGCCCACACGGGCCGTCGCCGCCTCGTACGCCGCCGTGCGCTCGTTGTCCAGCGCCTGCATCTTGGCGACCGTCGTCGCCAGCCGCGTCTTCTCGTCGACCAGACCGTTGATGTCGGCGCGCAGCCGCGACTCCATGCTCTGCCACAGACTCTTCTCCGACACCAGCGCCTTCACGCGCGCCTCCAGCCCGCTCTGCGAGCTCCTCGACGCCAGCAGCTCCTCGGTCAGCTGCTGGACTCGGGTCTCCAGCCGCGTCAGGTTCTGCTGCATCAGCCCGGCGCTCTTCTTCAGCTCCGCCGCCTCAGACTTCGCCAGCTCGTGCAGATACGCCGCCGACCGGTTCTGCTCGGCCAGCAGCTCGCACGACGACCGCGCGCGCGACAGATCCAGCGACAGCTGCAGCTTCTCGCCCGTCAGCTCGCGCACCTGCACATTCAGACTCTCAATCGTCACGCCGTAGTCCTTTTTCAGCGACTCCATCTGTTTCTGCTGCTCCTCGGCCAGCGCCTGCAACCGGCCCACGTCTGCGGCCGGACTTTGGTCCGCCGCACGGCCCTCCACCAGCTTCTGCAGCATGTCTCTGCTGTTGCTCACGGCCTCCAGCCGCGTCTCTGTCTGCTGGAGCTGCTGCTGCAGCTTCTGGATGGCCGCACTGGCCTTTTCGAGCGCCTCGTTCTCGGCCGCGTCCGCGTGGCTCTCGCCGCGCTCCAGCTCGCTGCCCAGCCGTCTCGACACCGCCAAAAGCTGCCGGTTCTTCTCCAGCAGCTCCGGGATGTTTCTGAACGTCGAGAGCCGCTCCGTGATCAAGCTGGCCGTCTCTGTCTCCTCGACACGCTCCACCAGATCGCCCAGCTGCTGTTTTTCCGCCCTGCTCAGCGGCTCCGCGCCGGAATCGCGCAACGTCACCTGCGCCAGCAGCACCGCCACCTGCCGCTTCAGGTCCGTGTTGTACTGCGTCAACTCGCGCACCTGCACCAGCGTCTCCTCCTGTTTCCGGCGCAGGGCGTCGTGCTGGCCCGCAAGAACACTGTTCTCCTTCTTCATCGAGTCCAGAATCGCGCTCAGCTGCGTCTGCCGCGCCTCGTACTCCTCGCACTTGTCCTTGTACGACTGCAGCAGCGGCATCCGCGCCTCCAGCTCCTTGAAGATCGCCCCGAGCTCCGACTCCACCCGCGCACGCAGCCGCTTCTCCTTGTTCAGCTCCTTGCGCAGCCGGTTGCTCTCCGAAACAAGCTCCGTCACAGAAAACGTCTCGCCCATGTTCTTCAGCACTTTCTGCGTCGACGGCGTCAGAACAACGCTGTTGCCCCGGCCAAGATCGCCCAGAACGTTGGTCGTGTCGTAGCCCGACTCGTTGCCCATCGTGGTCTCTATCTCGCGCAGCTCCGTCTCCTTCGCCGTCAGCTGCTCCTGCAACGTCTCGCACTGCTGTCTGTATTCGGCCTCCTCCGAAGCCAGCCGGTCGCTCAGCTCCGCGCACATCTTCTCCAACTCCTCGATCCGCTGCTTGCGGTCGTTGGCAGACTTCTCCAGCAGCTCGTTCAGACGGTCCTTGCCGGCCATCTCCTCGGCAAACTCCTGCTGCTGCACCGCCAGCTTATCCCGCAGACTCTTCACCTCCACCAGCGTCTTGTTGTGCTTGACGCTGATCTCCTGCAACGAGTCGCTCAGACTCTGCACAGAGCGCTTCGCCGCGGCGTGCTCCTGCCTCAGAGTCTCCAACTCGCTCTGTAGAGCCGTCTTCTGCGACCGGCTCTCCTCACGCAGCCGCGCCAGCTCGTCGGCCGTGCGGTTCAGCTCTGTCTCGAACCACGACGACGTCTGCTTGGTGAGCTGCAACTCCTGCTCCAAGCGCGTGGTCTCGAACTTGGCCTTCAGCGACTCCGAAACAGCACTCTCCTTGGCGCTCTCCAGCCCAAACACGGTCTCCCGCAGCGTCTTGTTGAGCTCCGACAGCCGTCCGATCTCCTGCCCCAAATCTATCACCTCCTGCTGCTTTTTGTCCAGCAATTGGTACGCTGTGCGCTTGGACTCGGCCTCCTGAGCCGCCCTCGCCTCCAGCTCGCCGATCTTCTGCGCCGTCTCGCGGCCCGTCTCGACGACCTGTGTTTTTTCTTGTTTCAGCAGGTCCACCTGTTTGCGCAGCTCCTCCGTCTCGCGGGCCTTCTTGTGGCCGTCCTCCACAAGCTGCTCAATCCTCTTGCTTGCCGTGTGGCGGAACTGCTCGAAATCCAGCTCCAGAACCTGCTTCGAGGCGCTCAATTCTTGGAACTCGTTCATCCTGACCAGCAGCTTGTCGACCACGTCCGGCCGCGAAACCGTGTCCGGGTCGAGCTGGAAAAACGTGCACACAATCTCCACGCTGCCGGAGTCCGCGTCACCAGCCGACGACTGCGCCTGTGCGGCATTCAGCTCATTGTCGCTTGTGGTCTCCATGCTAAAAAATAAAATAAAATAAAATAATAAAATAAATAAATGGCTTGACTCGGTGGGAGGTGTCTTTTTCAAACGATATGGCGGAAGACGGTAAGTTCCACGCGTTTGGCTCCCAAACCTATTCGAATCTAACGTAGACCTTTCCGACCTCGAGGATAAGATCCTGGACCAGCTGCACCAGATCCGCACGCTGAAGGAGCAGAAAAAAGCCCAGAGCGCGGTCGACTCCGACGAGGAGGATCCGCGCGAGTCAGCCCAGACACCGTATTTCCGCAAGCGCCGCGCGGCGGAGAAGAAGATCCTGAGCCGCGTCAGCACCGCCAGGCCCGAAACAGACTCGTTTGCGCAGCGACTCGACACTTTCAACCAGCAACTGTCGCACGAGACAGAAAAACGACGCAAGTTCCAGCAACAGATCCGCGAGTTGCGCGTGCTCTCGTTCGACGAGGAGCTGCTGCGCCGCAAGATCAACGACCCGGTCGACGACGTCGACACCTACTCCAAGAACAGGCTCTCGAAACGGTACTATTCGCAGGACACGCTCGAAAAGCTGCTGAAAAATATCGAGCCTCTGCGTGTCCACCACGCGCTGGCCAAGATTCACGCGCCAGACTTCGAGCCGCCGCAGTACGCGAATTACGCCGTTGTGGGCGTGGTGGCGGCGAAATCAGAGGCCAAACAGACGGCCAACGACAAAACGAAATACATGTCCGTGCAGCTCTCCAATTTGAAGCAGCAGCTCACCCTGACACTGTTCAACAAGGCGTTCAAAAAGTACTACAAGCTGCGGCTGGGCGACGTTGTGGCGGTGCTGAACCCGCAGATCTGGGTGCTGCGCGAACGCAGCGGGTTTGCGCTCTCGCTCAAGGAGGACTACGACTCGATCCTCGAGATCGGCCACGCACGTGACTTTGGCCTCTGCAAGTCGGTCAAAAAGGACGGTTCTGTGTGTCTCGCGCCGATCGACCTCTCGAAGACGCAGTACTGCGACTACCACACCGAGCTCAGTTTCAACCGGACCGCGTCCAAACGGCTCGAGCTCACGGGCAGCTCCAGGATGTTCACGCCGACGCAGGACGGCGTGAAGCAGGCGATGTACATGTCCACGACGCGCAAGAACGGCCGCGAGCAGCTGGACGGGCTGATGGTCGCCGACGCGTCGGTCCCGAGGGAAGACGCTGGCCGGCTCTACTTCTCGAACCCGGACGCGTCGAAGGCGTTTTTCGACGACTCGTACTCCAACCCAAAGCTGATCAACGATCTGCAGAGCGCGAAAGCGCGGCTCGCGCGCGTGAAAACCGAAAAACGTCTGCGCCAGAAGCTCGTCGCGCTCGCCGACGGCGACACGCTCAAGGACACGAGTCTCGACACGCCGGAGACCCGCGAGAGCCGGCAGAAGGCCACGAAGGCCGCGTTCGACCCGCAGACGATGGTGCGCATCGGGTTCAACCCGACACAGCGCATGTTCCAAAAGCCCCAGGAGCAGGGCGGGGCGGCTGCGCGGTCGGAGCGCGTGGCACAGCTGCTGAGCACGGCAAAGACAGAAAAGTCGCTGAAAAGAACGAGGGAGGAAACACTACGCAGACAGCGGATCTACGGGAAGCACGAGACGGCCACAATGGTGGAACTAAGTAGCTCGGACGAGGAATGAATAACAGCGTTAGACTCTATGGTTTTTCGTGCTCGGCGGCGCCGAGGCTCGGAGACAGCGTAGGACAGAAGTCGCGCAGAATGCGCCGGAGCACGCCTCTGCCGATCGGTTTCGACATGAAGCCCGACATGCCCACCTTGAGGCAGTCGTCCTTGTTGCTCTGGTCGGCAAATGCCGTCAGCGCGACGATCGGCCCCGTGTACTTGAGCTCCTCGCGGAAATATTTCGTTGCGGAAAGACCGTCCATGTTGGGCATCTGCACGTCCATGAACACCAGGTCGTACGTCTCGTTGTTGTCGATGGCCTCCGTCATGAGCTCGCTCGCCTCGATCCCGTCGCACGCCATCGTCACGTCCGCAATGCCCTCCAGCTTCAGCATCCGCTTGATCACCTCCTGGTTCACGAGGTTGTCCTCGGCAATGAGCACCTTGAGCGGGCTCGTGCTGCTCGACGACGAGCCGCCGCCAGACACGTTCGAGCTGCTGGACGCCTTCCTGTTCGACGGCGCCGTGCCCGTCGACGCTCTCGTGATCAGGTCCGGCTTGCCCATGTACGCCGACTCGACCGTCGGCATCTCCGGCACCGGCGTCGACTCGTTAGCGAAGCTGACCCGTTTCAGCTTCGGCTCCTCGTACGCGCACTCGCCGACCTGCGGAACAGGAATCGTGAACGTGAACGACGAGCCGTGGCCCACCTTCGACCGCAGCGTCAGCGTTCCGTGCATCATTTTGGCGAACTGCTTGCAGATCGACAGCCCGAGCCCTGTGCCGCCGTACGACCGCGACAGCGTCTGGTCGCCCTGCACGAACGCCTCGAAGATCTTCTCCTGCAACGACTCGTCGATGCCCGGCCCGGTGTCGGTGATGGTCAGCTCAAACACCCACTTTATCGGTCTGCTGAACTTGCTGTACGTTTTTTTCTCCTTCTGGCTGTCCAGGTACCCGTCGTCGTCGAGTCCGGACGTGAGCGAGTCGACACTGGCGCGCAGCTCGGTGCCGTAGTTGTACGACTCGGCCAGCACGCCTCTGTAGCTGCCCGACGCCATGGTGTCGACGCTGGCGGCGTCGGAGCCGGCGGCCGCCGCAGACGAGTACGCCGCGTTGTTTTTGATAAATACGCTCTCGTAGTTGGCCTCGCGCGACCGCTGCGCGTCGTACTCGCCCAGAATGCGCATCGACACCGTCACGACACCGTCCTCGGGCGTGAACTTGAGCGAGTTGCTCACGAGGTTCATGATCACCTGCATGAGCCGGTTGGAGTCGGCAAACAGCACCATCTCGCGCAAAACAGCAGGCTTCACCACCAGCTCGAGCCGCACCTTCTGGTCGATCGCGGTCTTGCCGAAGATCGACTCGGTCTGCGACGCGAGCTCCGAGATCTGGAACGTGCGCTTCTGCAGCTTCGACCGCTGCAGCTGGTTCTTGCTGAAAGTGAGGAGCTGTGTAAGGATGTGCAGCAGCAGCTCGCCGCTGCGGAAAATGAGCTCCAGCGACGAGTGGATGCGCTCGACGTCGGTCTCGGCCATCGCCACCGACGTCATGCCCAGGATGCCGTTGAGCGGCGTGCGCAGCTCGTGCGAGATGTTGGCGATGAACACCGTCTTGGCCTCGTTCGCCGCCTCCGCCTGCTGCCGCGCCGTGTCGGCCTGGATCTTGGCCACCTCCAGCTCCTTGGTCCGCGCCCGCACACGGTCCTCGAGATGCGCGTACTGCAGGTCCAGCTCCTCGGTCATCGCGTTGAACGCCTCCGTCAGCTCGCTCAGCTCGTCATAGAACAGGCCCTTGCCCTGCACGATCGCCGGCGTCGGCACGCGCCGCCCAACCACCCAGTCGGGGAAGCTCTCGTGCGACTGCGGGCTCGTCACGGTGCGGCCGACGCTGTCGAACTGCGACTCGTCGCGCGTGTGGCGGTGCTCGTCGTCCAGCTCGCGCGCAAACAGCTTCTCGTCGCTCGTGTCGCTCGACTCTGTCTTCACGTGATCTGTCTTGTCGACGTCCTTGGGGGTCACCAGCCGCTGCAGGTTGCCGAGCGACTGGAACTTGCTGCGGTACGTGGGCTGGCCGCCTGCGGGCCCCGGAGGCGGCGGCGGCGGCGGCGGCGGCGAGTCGTCCGTGCTGTCCTTGTTTGCGCGCCGGCCGCCGTCTCGGCGGTCAAAGGTGAATATGGCTCCGTTCTTCTTGCGTCGTCTGTGCATGCGCAGTCCGCGGCCCTCCGTGACCTGCTCGGTGGCCTTCTGCAGCTTCAGAATCGGCCGCACGCCGTAATGCGCAAGCGGGAACGTCACAAAACACATGAACGCGGCGATCCCGATGCAGACCCCGACAATCAGCTTCGTCAACTTGACCGTCGGGCCCATGAACTTGCCGCGGCTCTGCTCCACAGAGATCATCCAGTCGGCGTACGTGAGATCCACCTTGGCGTAGCCCACAGAAACCCGCTCTCCAAACGGGTTCCGCATGTCTGTGTAGTGGCCGATGTCCTTGTTCTGGATGTAGACGGCCTCGGCGGGCGGATACGACGAGATGTTGTACTCGCTGTCGCTGGGCCCGAAAACGTACGAGTACGTGTCGGTGAGGGTCGCGTTGCCGGTGGTGTTGTGCGGTTTCAGACAGTAGATGCCGGCGTAGTCGTCGGTCGACGCGGTCTCCGTGACGTCCTTGACCGAGTCGACGTTGACGATGACAGAGATGTAGCCGCTCAGGTTGGGCGTCGAGAGCAGCACGGACGAGTTCGTGTACACGGGCAGCGTCAGCGACATGAAGTATGTTGTGTTGTAGTAGATGGGCCCGGCAACGTAGCCGGCCTGTTTGGCGAGCTGGTCGGTCACCTCCGCAGAGCTGTTGTGGCCCAGAATGTACAGGCGTTCGAGCGAGTCGGCAGCAATTCTCGCGGACGCCTCGCTGTTCGACACGTTTGCGATCAGCGACAGATCGATGTCGTACAGCCGCGCAGCGTTCAGCGAGGCCGAGGAGTCGAGGGTCTGCTCGATCGTCTTGATGGCGTCTGCAGTGACCGAGTTGGACGTGTTTCCGGCCTTGCGGTAGCTCAGCGCGTCCTCGAGCGTATCTCGCGTGCTCAGAAAGTAGATCTGGTAGTAGTAGTAGATGAAACTCTGTTTTATTTGGGCAGCCTTGAGTTCTGCCACAACCTGGAGTTTCTCGACTCGCGCCGACGTAAACACCGACGTGAAGTACAAGCCGGACACGACCGCGAGCACAAACAGCGAGAACAGCGCCACAAACAGCACGAGCGCTATTAGCTGCGTCCGGATAGAGATCCGGATCCTATGCCATCGCATGACAAAAGAAAATAAATGAAAAAATGTGTCTGGGCTTACATAACAAAAACATTAACTTATCTTTTTTAGAATGGGCTCTGCGAATTAAGACATGTCCGAAATCCAGCTCTCTGTGTCCAACAGAAACAAGAAGGCGTAAGTGTGGCGACGGCACGCTCTAACACCGCAGCTGCGACTCGTGCAAACGGCGCAAGAACCGGTGCTCGGGCTCAGATCCGTGCGAGCGCTGTCTCAAGCTCAAGATCCGGTGCGTGTACTCTCCGTACGAACGACGAATCTCCGTGCTCCACTCCAAGTACCAGGAGATGCTCGGCACGATCGAGCGGCTGCAGCACGAGCTCGCGGTGGCCCGTTCTGCGCGCGAGCCAGGCCCGGCGCCGTCCTCAGATGCCATCGGTCCTATTTCCTCTTTTAGAACACGACTCGAGAGTCTGGACAAAACCAAGATCCGTCCGCTGGAGCCCAACCCCGCGTCCAGCCGGCTCCCACTACCCGACAGGGCGCGCATCGTGCGCTATCTGGAGGCCCTCACGTTCCAGGAGGCCATGTTTCTTGTCGACCGCTCGCACTTCTTCCTCAACGATATCTATTTCCCGTACGACGTCGATCTGCTCAAATCCCGGCTCGCGCAGACTTACGACCCGTCCGCGCGGTTCGGCACTCTGGCAGACCACGCCTCGACCCAGTTCCGCGCGCTCTGCCTCGTTGTCATGGCCCTCGGCACAAAGTACACCCGCAGCTCCGACCCCATCACCGGATACTTGCTCTCCAGCGCGCTCACCCTGGTGCTGCCCTGCACGCAGATCAAAAACGAGCCGGAGAACTACGTCGCGGTCGCGACGCTGACGCTGGCGAGCCTGTTCTTCCGCTCGCTCGGCCGCGACGACGACTGCATGCTCTACTCCAACATGGCGATCCAGCTGGCCAGCCACATCGGGCTCAGCAAATGCGGGCCCGCGCACGCGCCGCACGAGACAGATATCCGCGCGCGCGTGTTCTGGGTCTCGTACGGGCTCAACAAGACGCTCGCGGCGAAAATGGGCGAGCCGTCGCTCCTGCAGTCCAAAGACGTCTCGTGCCCGCTGCCACAGATGCTGTGCAAGGATGTTCCCAACACGACGGCCGCCGCGCGGTTCGCCACGTACATCCGGCTCAGCGCCATCTCGGAGGACATCTTCCGCGCGATCTACCGGCTCGGCAAGACCTCCGACTGGACCAAGACTCTGGGAGGCATTATCCAGCAGCTGGTGCGGTGGAACGAAACGCTGCCCCGCGAGCTGCAGCTGCAGTACAACGCCACGTCCAGCGACCTCAAACACAAGCGGCTGGTGTGCTCGCTTCATCTGAACCGCTGTTTCTGCATCCACCTCACCACAATCCCGTTTCTGTACAGTCTGGTGGAGATGAAAAAAACAGACCCCGGATTCGAAATCAGCACCGACGTGTGCGAGCTCCTCACGATCTGCCTCAACGCCGCGCAGATGACAGTCTACATCGCCAACTCGTGCGCCAACGAGGGCATGCTGGCAACCTACGGCGTCATGGACCTTGACTACATCTACAGCGCGTGCCTGACGTTCTTCATCTGCGGCGACGTGCTGCGCTTCAACACCGACGAGTGCTCGCGGTTTCTGGACTCGTCGCTCGCGATCGTGGCCAAAATGGCCGCCGAGGGCAACCACGACGCCACCGTCAAGCACGCCAAGGTGCAGAACCTGCTGGCCAGCTACCGGCCGCAGCTGCCAGACGTCCCGTCTCCCGGGCTGGATCTCGCGAGTCTGGACGTTCCGGACGCGCTGTGGACACAGAACCCGGTCGAGACGTTCCAGGCGCTCGCCGGCCACGACCTCAACATCTGGGAGTACGGCTACAAGTCGTGGCAGCACGTGGACGAGCTCTGGGACGATTTTGCGGAAACGTACAATTGACAGCTACATGCAGGACATGAGAATCTAATTAGGCACTATCCCGTGCGACGCCAGGTACTCGGCAATGGCGGTGATGCACTCCTCAATGCCGGTCGTGCTGGTATTCAGGTGGATCTCTGGTTTTTCGGGAGCCTCGTACGGGTCGTCGATACCAGTGAAGTTCTTGATCAGCCCCTCCCGGGCCTTCTTGTACAGGCCCTTGGGGTCTCTCTTCTCGGCCACCTCCAGCGGCACGTCGACAAACACCTCGACAAACGGAAGACCGGCCTCTTCGTGCAGTTTCCTGGCCTGTGCTCTGTCACCTTTGTACGGAGAAATAAAAGACGTGATAGCAATGGCCGACGAGTCGGCAAAAAGCTTCGAGACCTCGGAAATACGACGGATGTTCTCGGCACGGTCCTTCTCGCTGAAGCCCAGGTCCTTGTTGAGGCCGAACCGGACGTTGTCGCCGTCCAGTCTGTACGCATTGATTCCCTTAGTCAGCAGCAGTCTCTCCAGACCGCACGCAATCGTGCTCTTTCCCGACGCACTGAGCCCGGTCAGCCACACAGTGGCGCCCTTCTGGCCGGTCAGTTTGTTGCGCTCCTCTGTCGTCAGGTTGTGGTGCCAGGTGATATTGCTCGACATGCTGCGCTCAAGATTTTTCACCAACTTTTCGTCCTCCGGCTCTTTTTTTTTTTTTCGTGCGCTTGTGACGAGTCACGTGACTAGACCGTCTCCACAGTTTCTGCCAAATGCACGAGGGTCGATAACACGTTGCTCTGGAGGCCTTGGCGCACGTCGCGGTTCTCCTCAACGAGGTCGCCGTAGGCTTTCATCGTGTCGGCGATGCGTCTGTCCGCGCTCTTGGTCACGAGACCCGCGTCGACCGCTCTTTTGCGGATGTACTGCGCCAGTTGCACGTCGTTCTGGAGCAGCGTAGCAAGAACCAGACAGTACACCAGCTGGCTGCTGGTGTGTGGTTCTGCGCCCCACTTGGCGATTGCGGCGTTGTACTCGTCCAGCGCCTCGTCTTGGCTGCCGGTCCACGCGTGCTGCAGGATTTTTGCGCACGCGATCTGCGGGCTGGTCGTCTCGACAAAGACAGGCTCAGCTCCCGTGCGCACGGTCTCGTGGGCGCCGATGAGGAAGTTGAGCTCGTCCAGACGGGCAGCCAGCGGGTCCGGAGACTCGGTCTGTGCTTTGTCCAGGAAAAATCCGCGCGCTTTCGCAATGGCAGCGGCGGCCTGGGGCAGAGGCTCGAGAACGCTAATTAATTTCCAGGCACTTTTTTCAGGGTCCAGAGACGGCAGGAAGCCGAGTTTTTCGTGCATCTGTTTCTCGTTTTCCGATGGTTGGAGCTTTCCTGCGCCGGCAATGGGCACGAGGTTCTCTATGAGCACTGAATCCGGCAGATCCAGCGTCAGCAGACTGAGTCGCTGTTTGGGTGTGAGATTTGGCAGCTGCAGCAGCTTTGTTTTCACATCGACGGCCAGCGGCAGGACAGCGATATAAGAGTCCAGCTCAAGCGCAAAGAAGTCGGTGACCAGCCGTTTCTGGGATTCCTCCTCCAAGCGGGCGAAACTGTCCGCCGCCAGCTTGAGGATGTTGTGCGCCTTGAAGAAAGAGATCGCGATGTCTTCTGGCTCTGTGTCGGCTTTTTCGCCGTCAACGAGGCGTTCCAGCACGATATGCTTCACTTCAGGGTCGGACGTCGGGTTCTGTTCAAAGATCTCGTAGCTGGACCACCTGCGGCCCGGATTGGCCAGCAGGACCTCTTTGAGAGTGCTGGGCTCGAGCTGGCCGCCGATTTGCGCCAGCTGCGGCTGCGTGCTGGCGTAGACGCCGAAATCAAGCCGCACAAAGGTCCGGATCAGCTCGTTGTAGTAGCGAGCCTTGGTTTCCCGGGGAAGAGCTGCCTGGCGTGTCAGCTTGCCAAAGGCGGTGTACAGCTCGCGCAGGTCGCAGGTCTGCTCGCTCGCGGGGTCGAGCCCGGCATGGTACCGCACATGGTCTGTGTAGTACGCGGGATCGATTCTGGCGAGCGCGGCAGCCGACTGCTTGACAGTAGGGACGAGAGGCCGTAGACGAGAAAGCATGAAATAAATTTTTTTGCACAGCCCGAGAGGTAGACACGCAGGCGGACCTGAAGAGTTGACAACTTTGGGCTCTGCACGGGAGACTTGGAGCAGGCTGGAGCAGGCTGGAGCAGGCTGGAGATGGTGGTGTAGGGGTTGTATAAGGTAGCGGAGCTGGATAGAGAACGCGATTTTGCCAGATGGACCGCAAGTAGACGTCGCAGCGTCGGAGACGCCTGCCAGCACCCTCCCAAACAGCTCAGGCGCAAGCTGGCTTTCGCTGGTTTCATGGCCAGCTTAATAAAATTATCCAGCCGACTTATTCTTTCCTTGCCCCTCAAGTTTTTTTACAAAAAGTTTATCACAACTAAAATGGGTAACGAACCGTCTAAGCCCAAAAATCCGCAGTTTTCCAGGACAGACACATCGACCTCCGCGAGGAGCGCCCGCTCAATTCGGTCGCGGCGGTCGGCGAGCGAGACCGCCAGCTTCAAGACGGTTTCGTCGTCCCCCATAATGAACAGACGGGACTCGTCCAAGAGTCTCACGGAGCTCACCGACGAGATGGAGAACCTGAACATCGACATTCCGCCCAGCATGCTGTCTGTGCCGCCCAAGTCGCCGATTCTGCGCGTGAACTCGTCCTCGTCGCTCGCCTCGAACGTGCCCAATCAACCACAGTCCATCGACATTCCAAACCCGCAGGTATCGCCAATGGCCACCTCGTTCAAGTCCGGCTCGTACAGACCCCCAGAGGTAGCAACGACACAGGACCAAGGCGTGCTGGACATCGAGGACCTGATCCAGCGGCTGCTGGACGCCGGCTACTCAGGCAAGAGAACCAAGGCGATATGCCTCAAAAACTCGGAAATCCAGATGATATGCTCCACGGCCAGAGAGATCTTCCTGAGCCAGCCCACGCTGCTGGAGCTCAGCGCGCCCGTCAAGATCGTGGGCGACGTGCATGGTCAGTACAGCGACCTGATCCGCATCTTCACCAAGTGCGGGTTTCCGCCGGCAAGCAACTACCTGTTCCTGGGAGACTACGTGGACCGCGGCAAACAGTCGCTGGAGACCATCCTGCTGCTCCTCTGCTACAAGATCAAGTACCCAGAAAACTTCTTCCTGCTACGAGGAAACCACGAGTGTGCGCAGATCACAAGGGCCTACGGGTTCTACGACGAATGCAAGCGAAGAGCGAACCTCAAGACATGGAAGATCTTCATCGACACGTTCAACACGCTGCCGATCGCGGCGATAGTCGCGTCCAAGATCTTCTGCGTGCACGGCGGGCTGTCGCCGGTGCTGAACTCCATGGACGAAATAAGAATGATCAAACGACCAACAGACGTGCCGGACTTTGGTCTGCTGAACGATCTGCTCTGGTCGGACCCAGCAGATACCCCGAACGAATGGGAGGACAACGAGCGAGGAGTGTCTTACTGCTTCAACAAGGTGGCCATCAACAAGTTCCTCAACAAGTTCCAGTTCGACCTCGTGGTGCGTGCACACATGGTGGTCGAGGACGGATACGAGTTTTTCAACGACCGGTCACTGGTGACCGTGTTCTCTGCGCCGAACTACTGCGGTGAGTTCGACAACTGGGGGGCCGTCATGTCTGTTTCCGAGGAGCTGCTGTGCTCGTTCGAGCTGCTCGACCCGCTCGACGGCGTGGCTTTGAAACAGCTCATGAAAAAAGGCAAACACGAACGTCGCACGGCAATGACTTACGCAAACAGCCCCAACGTGTCAATATAGTCATATACTCATTTTACCCATCTATATCGGCTCCACGATTAACCACCAGTTGTCTTTCTCATAGCCGCTCTGCACAACTCTCCCTCCAGCGGCCACACAGTCCTCCTCCAGCTCGCCTTTCTTATATAAATGATAATATCTCATCCGAGTTGTTCCATCTTTCGTCACCCACGGCACCAGTATGTCCTGCTCCATGCCCTCTCTGTACCCGCGGCGCGAATTCTCCTGCTCCAGAGCCCAGCAGTACACCAGGGCCCGGCCGCCGCAGCGCACCACCCGTAGAATCTCGCGGATCGCCGCCACGCGCCTCCCTTTCGTGCTGAAATGGTGCACCACGGCAATCGACACGGCAAAGTCAAACCGTCTGGACTCGTGCGGCAGCATCATCCCATCTGCTACCACCAAATCGTTGAATTCTTTCTGGTGAAGCTGCACAGCCTGGTCGAGCAGACCAGTCGAGTAATCCGACCCAACAATGTACAGTTTCGGGTTCACCGTCAGGTACTTGCCGTTTCCGCACCCGACGTCCACTCCAAGCGAGTAGTCGGGGATGGACCCAAGAAACTGGGCCACCATTGGCCACGGCTTGTATCTGGTCTGCGAGAAGTGCTGCGCGATGTCGTTGTACACGCTGTGCACATATAGACGTTCCTGGAGCTCGGGCGTCGCCGTGCTCTTGAACCTGCGTGTTTCCAGCTCGATCTCCTCCTGGGAGGGCTGTATCTTGCCAGACATGAATTTAGAGATAAAAAAAAAAAAATTAATTCGAGGAGGTAATCGTAGAGGGGAGGGATTCAAACCAACAATGGAGTAGTCGGCACTTGAAAGAGACCGTGTGAGAGCTGAATTTTTTCTCGTCACCGTCGTCCTTCTCCGGTCTCCATACCGTTCCAAACGCCCAAGCTACGCTACGCCTGGCTACGGTTCATAATCCGGCTGTGCTGCGAATTTTTTCACCTATTTTCCATGAACGCGGCTTTCGTTTCCAGTTTCAACTGCAACGACTGGGCGCTGAGTTTGGCTGCTGTGGCCGACAGCGTTGCTGTTGCAGCCGCCAACGGCAAGATCCACCTCCTGTCCAAAAGTGTACAGAACATCGGTACTCTCTCGGCACATTCTCGCTCCATCAATAAAATCAAGGCCGTGGACCTACACACCTTTGCAAGCTGCTCGAACGACGGCACCGTAAAGGTCTGGGACGCGAGAACCAACAGCGAGACACACAGTTTTTCCAACGCCCGCCAGCTGCCGTTTCTGTCCCTGGACACCAGCTACAACATGTTGGTAGCAGGAACAGAGCTCAGTGGGTCCGACTCGGAGCTGATTCTTTGGGACCTGCGCAAGCCGGCGCAGCCGTTCAGGACGTTTATAGACTCGCACAACGACGACATCACCGAGGCGCGGTTCCACCCGTCCAACAGACAGCTGCTTTTGAGCGGGTCGACCGACGGCTACGTGAACATCTACGATCTTTCTGTGCCCGAGGAGGACGACGCTTTGCAGCAGGTGATCAACTTCACCTCGATCCACTCGGCGAACTTCCTCTCGCCAAACAGAATATACACTCTGTCGCACATGGAGACGTTTGCTGTGCACGAGCTGAACGACCACCGCACCGAGGAGCACGTCGAGCCGCTGCCAAAACAGTTTGGCGACGTTCGCGAAAAATGGGGGTGCGAGTACGTGGTGGATCTGCAGGCTCCGGGCTACGTTTTTTGCGGGTCGAACTCGAAGCACGAGCTGAAGATGTACCGTTTCGACCCTGTGGTGGAGAATTTCGACTTTGCGGCCGAATCGCCGGTGCATTTCCCCAACGCCCACGGCGAAGAGGTGGTCCGTGACGTGCTGGTGCTGGATAATATGGTGTACACTGGCGGAGAGGACAATCTGGTGAAGCTGTGGAAAGCGCCGTGCCATGTGGCCGACACGAGCGCGACGTTTTTCAGCAGCGCGCCGCAGCCCGTTGAGACGGCGCCAAAGGAACTAAAGCCCGAGTCGGGCAGAAAACACAAGAAAAAGAAGCACAAGAAGGACTCCAAGAGGTTCAAGCCGTACTGAGAAAAAGGTGTGTGCGCGCACGACTTTTCCTGAGCTGTTTATAAAATATTAAATAAAACCAGCTGTACATTAAAGGTGGTTGAGGCTGCAAGCAGACAAGAGGGAATTGCCGCTTGCGAACCACTGATTCAAACTCATCGAGGCGCAAGAACTACACGGCAGCAGCCAGACGCCCACAGCACTCCTTTTGACACATTTTCCAAGTCTTGAATCAGCCTCGAACAGCCATGACCGCCGGAGCCCCGCCTTCGGTGTACAAGCCGGGCACCGTGTTGACCGTGGGCTCGCACAAGGTCGTCATTGAGAAGTATCTGTCCCAGGGAGGCTTTGCGCACGTGTATACGTGCCGCATCAGCCCGGCCTGGCAAGATCAGAAAATAGCATGTCTGAAAAGAGTGGCGGTGCCCGACAAGCCGACGCTGAACGTGCTTCGCCAGGAGGTCGACGCCATGAGACGGCTCCAGGGGAAAAGCTGCATTGTTTCGTACATCGACTCGCACGCTTCGCGGATGGCCAACGGGGTAGGATACGAGGTGTTTCTGCTGATGGAGTACTGTTCTGGCAACGGCCTGATCGATTTCATGAACACGCGGCTGGTCAACAAGCTGAAGGAGCCGGAGATCCTGCAGATTATGGGCGAGATCACCGAGGGCGTGGCCCACATGCACGCTCTGAATCCTCCGCTAATCCACAAAGACATCAAGATCGAAAACGTGCTGCTTTCCAGCGACAGACACTACAAGCTGTGCGACTTCGGGTCTGCGTCGCCGCCGTTGAGGCCGCCGCGCAACGTCGAGGAGTTCGAGATTCTCCAGAACGACATAATGAAGCACACCACGCCCCAGTACCGCTGTCCGGAAATGATAGACCTGTACAAAGGACAGCCGATCGACGAGAAGTCGGATATCTGGGCGCTGGGCGTGTTTCTGTACAAGCTGTGCTACTACACGACGCCGTTCGAGCAGAACGCCATCAACGGCAACGGCAACGGCGGAGGCGGCGAGTACGCCATTCTGCACGGCCTCTACTCGTTTCCTCCGTCTCCACCGTACAGCACGAGACTGAAGCACGTGATTGCGAGGTGTCTGATGGTGGACCCGAAGAAGAGGCCGACCGTTTTCCAGCTTCTGGACGAGGTGTGCCAGATGCGCGGCGTTCCGTACCCGAACATCGCCAAGGCCACGGACCAGCCGCCGCCTATGCCCCGCCGGCCTGCCACGACAGAGGAGTTTGTTGCTCCCTCGCTCAAAAGCGACGTGGCCAAGTACTCTTCCAAGGAGCACGCGTTGCAAAAGTCGTACTCCGAAAAAGTCATGGCGCACCATTTGACCGCGCAGGACCCGTTTGCCCAGCTCGACAAGACCAAGTTTGTGGCGCCGTCCAACAACAAGTCCACGTCGGATCTCACTCACTCGTTTGCGCGTCCTGATTTCACCAGACGGTCCTCTTCCAAGTCGCGTCCGCTCAGCATGTCTGCCGCCACTATCCACAAGCAGGCGTCTGGCCCCGTGTTGCACGCCGAGCTCATCGACGGCATGACCAGAGAGGAGGTGGTTGAGCTGTCTCCGAACCACCACAATAATATCAACAGCTCTGTCGACTTCATCAAGAGCGCCACTCCACAAAGAACAGGCGACAGCTTCAGGTCGCGGTTTGCGACCCTGAAGGCGTCCAACACTGGCCACCACAAACGGTCGAGCATTTCGTCCATCAAAGACCTTCTTACCGGGGGAAGATCGCGCGAATCGAGCAGAAACCCGTCCTACTCTTCCGTCAAGAGCAGAAACGCGTCAGGCTCGAACCGCAGCACGGACTCGCTGCACGAGTTCACGACGATCTACCGCGCGGACTCGAACTCGAGCTCGTTGGCGTCGGAAACGTTCGTCGAGGACGACCAGACCACGCCGCGCGCAGAAAAGCCGAGCGTGCCCGAGCACCGGCCGCCCAAACGGTCGAACTCGATCCAGCGGAGAGTGCAGATGCTGCTGAACCGCAAGCCGTCGCCGCCCCCGGCGAAAACGGCACACGGGTACGGGAAATACACCGACGACAAGAGCATGCCGCCGCCGGCGAAGCCCAAGATCAACAAGATCCCGATCAAGGTGATCACGCCGTCGAGAACGACAAACACGTCGCCGCCGCCGTTCGCGACGCCAAGCTCGACAGCCACGTCGCCGTACTCGGCGCTGTCTGCGTCGTCGTCCTACAGAGACGCCGGCGAGAGGCTAAACTACCAGGACGCGGTGCTGAGTCGCGTCAACAGCGTCGACTCGTCGACGCCGTCGACGCCGGTGCGGAACAGAAGGAAGACGGGCTCCAAGAAACCGCCACCACGGCCAAAGAAGCCAGAGCATCTGAGCTCCAACAAGTCGACGCCCCAGAAGCCGCCGGCGCGCAACAGCTTCAGCGACGACGACGTCGAGGCGCTCGAAAGACGCTTCTACGAAAAGTTCCCCAGTGCATTATAGAACAGAAAAGGCATACCCACTTTCACTCGCTATCGCTATCGTAGTCCTCCAACGAGTCCTGAATGAAGTCGCAGCCTTCCTCCAGCCTCTCCTCGATGATATTGTCCAGTCCTTCCACGTCGGCGCGCAGAACACGGCCGTACTTCTTGCGCGGCCGCTTGCTGCTCCCGTTCTTCTCCACGTCGCCCCAGCACGGGTGTTTTGTCGCCGTGAACACGAGCGAGTTCTGGTAGAACCAGTCGACCACCGACTCGTCGATCGACGAGACGATCGCGCGCAACGCGGTCGCACGGTCCAGATAGTTCACCGAGCACTTGACCAGGCCGCGCACGTCGCGGTGGCCGCACAGGTGCACCACGCCGTTGTATGCGTCGCCAACACCCACAAACGCCATCTTGCTCACCTTGAAGTACTGGATGTAGTGATCCCACAGATACAGCAGCACGTCCTGCGCGGAGCTGATGTTGTTGTACTGCGCGTCCTCGGCGCCAGAGATGGCCAGCGGCACGTTGATGTCGACGACGCCGTAGTGCTGCTCAATCGCCCAGTCCAGGAACCGCAAAGACTGGTCCACCACGACCGCCGACGCCGAGTCCAGCGTGCCGGTCACCGGGTCTCTGCGGGCCCACACGCGCGCCGAGTCGTGCACAACAACCACGAGCTTGTCTGCCTCGTAAACGTCGGGCGAGCACAGCGCCAGGTCTCTGAGCGAGAACGAATGCGGCAGTTTTTCGGTGAGAACCGGAAGCGGCACAAAATGTCGTTTTTCGAAAAGCTCCTCCTTCTGGTACGCGCGGATCGCGTCGCTGACTTTGAGCCCCTTGCCGGCCATTTCCTCAAACGACACCGCGCCCAGCTTCTCCACGAGCCCGTCGTAGTCGCCCATGATATTGGGCTTCGAGAAGTCCTGGCCGTCGTAGCCCGGCTTGAGCGTCTTCCAGTACTGCGACTGGATCTTGATCACGTCGTCGATCACCTCGATCGTCTCTGTTTTCAGCTGCACCGACCTGAGCTCCTCGGGCGGCTCGCCCAGCAGCACCTTGGCCACGCGCAGCGCGCTGCTGGCGATCGCGTCCAGATTGTAGCCTCCTTCCAGAACGACGCACAGATTGCCCTTGGCGAGACTCTTGAGCGCGTGGGTCATGTGGCCGTACCCGGCGGGCGACACGTGACACCCGCCGATGATGTCGCCGTCGGCCGCGTCGAAGCCAGACGAGATGATCACGAGATCGGGCGCAAACTCGTGGCACACAGGCATGATCACCCTGTTGAACGCGTAGATGTAGTCTGCGTCGCCGACGCCGCCCACCGGCCACGGGATGTTGACGTTGAAGCCCTCGCCCGCGCCAGAACCGACCTGGTCCGCGCCGCCGGCCTTGGTGCCCGGGTAGTACTTGCCGTGCTCGTATCTGTGGAGCGAGATGTACAGCACGCGCGGGTCGTCGAAAAACGCCTTCTGCGTGCCGTTGCCGTGGTGCACGTCCCAGTCCACTATCACGATCCGGCGCACCGACTCTGGGTAGCTCGCGAGAATGCTCTTAGCGGCGACAGCCACGTTCGAAAACAGGCAGAACCCGCCCGGCGCGTCGGGCTCTGCGTGGTGGCCCGGCGGGCGCACCACCGCCAGCGCGTTCTTCACACGGCCCTCCACCACGGCCTTGCACGCCTCGATGGCTCCTCCGCACGAGAGCTTGGCACTCAGCAGCGAGTCGTTGTTGAAGTAGACAGAGTCGCCCTTCTCCGTGTGCGCCATGAGCTCCTCCTTGGTCATCTGCTGCGTGCTCTCTATGAACCGCAGATGCTCCGGCGTGTGCACAAGCAGAATCTCCTCTGCGCTGGCCTCGCGAACAGGAATTTTCACCATGAGATCTCCTATCTGGTCGCGTCCCGACAGCGTCGGGTCGGTGATGAGCCCGTTCTCGGCCAGGATCTTGTATATTCTATAGATCCGGCGCGGGTCCTCCGGGTGCGGGTCGATGTACTCGAAGTAGGACGTGAATATCTTGGCATGGTACCGCATGCGCACGTCGTAGCAAAGACCCGTTTTCAGGGGCACGTACGCCAATTGCGGCTCGCGCTCCGGCACAATGACCAGGCTCGCGGGCACGTCCTCGTCCTCCGGCTTGATGCTCTCGAGCGGCCGTTTGCGGTCTCCGTTGAAAGCTGTCTCCATGGGATTAAAATAAAGAAAATATTGTTTTGTGTGTTAAATCTCACGATACTACACCGCCTGGGAAAAAAATAAAAAATAAAAAAAAAAAAATATTTCGGTCCTTATGAAGCTCTACTACGAGGCCTCGCGATTTCTGGACGACTCCAAGAGCGGGTCGCTGCAGAACCGCGTTTTCGCCGCCGCCCGCGACCGCAAAATCCAGTCCGACCCCAAACACGTGTACGCGCTCGTGCTCTCGACGCTCAAGTACCGGCCGTTTCTGGCGCAGATCATCCGCAAATGCAAGCTGCTGGAGCTCGAGAAAAAGAGCAAGCTGACCGAACCGCTGGCGTTGCTACTGGTCCACGACCTGCTTCTGTCCAAAGGCGGCCGAATCCACAGCAAGCACCACCCACTCAAGGACGCCGTGATCCGCAACAAGACCAGACTGCATGCCGAGCTCACAAAGCTCAAGTTGAAGCACGGTGTGCGGTCCCTGGAGGGTCTTGTCGAGGACGACGACACGCCTGTGCGGTGGTTCCGTGCGAACCTCGCGCGCACGACGAAAGAAGCCGTGCTCGCTGCCCTCGAGCATCTCCGACGCGTCGATCGCGTCGCCGACATACAGAAGGGCACCATCTACCATGACGAGTACGTGGCGGACCTATTTGGGATCCACCCGCGTGAGACGCTCGTGTCGCTGCCATTGTACCATTCTGGCGATGTGATTATCCAAGACCGGGCGTCGTGCTTCCCGGCATTTATTCTGGCTCCCAAGCCGGGCAGGGACAAAATTATCGACGCGTGCGCTGCTCCAGGCAACAAGACTACGCATCTGGCCGCTATTCTGGGGAACTCGCCGGACTCGGTCGTCGCTTTCGAGAAAAACCCAGACAGAGCCAAGACGCTGCACAAAATGTGCGAAAAGGCAGGAACGTTGGGGTGTGTCCGGATCCAGCAGGGCGATTTCACGAAAACCGACCCCGGCGAGTATCCAGACGTGACGGGGCTGCTCGTGGACCCGTCGTGCTCGGGCAGCGGCATTTTCGGCCGCGGGTTCGAGGAAAACGACACCGAGGAGCATACGCAGGAGCGGCTGAAAAAACTGGCCGGGTTCCAAGTGGCCATCATGAAGCACGCGATGCGGTTCCCGAACGCAAAGAAAATCGTCTACTCGACGTGCTCGGTGCACGCGCAGGAGAACGAGCAGGTCGTCGTGGACCTGCTGCTGGACAGCACGGTGCAGGCACAGGGGTGGCGCATGTGTAGCAGAGAAGACGTAATTCCGTCGTGGCCGCGGCGCGGGCTCGTGGAGGAGTTCGCCGCCGTGGACGACCCGCAGCGGTGTGCAGACGGCTGTATCCGCACGGTGCCGCGGCAGGACGGCGGGATCGGGTTTTTCGCGGTGGCTTTTGAAAGAGACTAGCAGTATATTTTATCTAGCTACAATCTTCTGATCACGTCAGCAACAACCTCCTGGGTAGAGCTCTTTCCGCCCAAGTCTGGCGTCTTGACGGCGTCCTCCTTCAGGTTGGCGTCGACGGCAGCGTAGATCTTGGCAGCGGCCTCCGGATAGCCCATGAACTCGAGCATCAGCGCGGCAGACCGGATCGTGGCTATTGGGTTGGCAATGCCTCTGCCCTCGATGTCTGGGGCCGAGCCGTGGCACGGCTCGCCGATGGCGAAGTTGTCGCCGACGTTGGCCGACGGAACGACTCCCAAAGAGCCCACGAGAGCAGCAGCTCCGTCGGATAAAATGTCTCCGTACAGATTTGGAGCCACAACGACGTCGAAAATCTCCGGCTCTCTGAACATTCTGTACACCATCGAGTCGACGATCTGCTCCTTGTACTGGACGCCAGAGTACTTTGCCGGGTTGTTGTCGTACAGTTTTCTGACCGTTTCTCTGAAAAGCCCGTCAGACACAGACAGAACGTTACTCTTGTGAGTCACAGTCAGCGTAGGCTGCGAGTGCAGACTGGCGCCGCCAAGCTCTCTGACGGCCTGTCTTTGCAAGGCGATCTCCAGCGCAATGGCGCCGATCTTCGTGGTGGCCCGCTCGGTGATCCGCTTGATGGCCTCGGCCACCTTCTGGCCGTCTTTCTCGTACAATTTTTCCTCCTTGATATAGAGGTCTTCGGTGTTTTCTCTCACGATGACCATGTCGACGGGGCGGCCGATGCCCTCGACGCTCTTCACGGGTCTCACGTTGGCGTACAGACCGAGCTTCTTGCGCAGAGCCACGACCGGCGACGAGTAGCCCTGCACTTTGGTCGTTGGAGACGAGACTGCTCCGAAAAGTGCGCCATCGCACGAGTTTTGCAGAGTCTCGACGGTCTCGTCAGGGAGCGCCGTGCCTGTCTGCTTGAACAGCTCGAAACCGGCCTTGAGGTCGACGAACTCGAACTTGAGACCGAGATCCGATGGAAGAGCCTCCAACACCTGTTTTCCAGCAGGAATCACTTCTCTGCCGATTCCGTCTCCGGGAATCAGGCCTGTGATGTTAGCGGGCGGCGTTTGCGTGGTACGTACCGATTTTCAACGCCTTGGTGGCGTAGGTGCGGGCAAATTGTTTGGACAGTGTTCTGGAAGCCAGCATGATGAAATTAATTATTTTTCACCACTTTTTTTAAAATGTTTTCTTCCGTCTGCTACGCTGCAGCGGCCATTTTGTTTGCCAATTCCGCATACTCTTCGTACCAGTTCCACCAGCTGGGCGACGCTCTGCCGCTGGACGTCCAGCTGGAGGCCGGTTTGGCGTGCGTGCTTGTTCTCGTGGGCTCTCTGGCCGGGGTGCCGCGTCCAGCGCCCAAACACGACATCGTCACAGGCAAGGAGGTGAGGGGACACAGCCAGGAGCCGCTCAAGTACATTTATATGGAGAAAGCAACAGAGGAGCTGGAGGTGCAAGGGGTGGCGTTGTTTGAGGAACTGGTCAACCGACCAGGATACCTGACATTAAAACAAAAAAGAGACGAGTTCGCCAAATGGGCAAACCAATGAGCGCCATCGGGCACAAGAGCAAAGCCTAAAAACACGCAAACAACACATCGATACGCCACTATTTGAAGAGCGAGCGCAGTCGCGCGAGAATCCCGTGGCCGCTGGGCTCGGACATCGGATACTCGTCTTTCAGCGTGACCTGGGTGGAGCTGCCCAGGTCCTCCTGGTCGGGGGCCTCGCGCTGCTCCTGCCCCGCGCGGCCAGCGTCGTCGCCGTCTGCGTCTGGGTACGAGATGGCGGTGAACTCGCTGGCGCCGTCCTCGTTGTCGTATCTAATTAAATCGTCCGGATACAGCACGTTGTTGAGGTTCCCGCACTCGTCGTACTCCTTTTTGTCGTTTTCAGACGTGTACCACTGGTTGTCCACAACAAACTTGAAGACGATTTTTTCAAAGGGCAACTCAACAACCTTGGCAAAACCCACGCCTGTTTTGTCCAGCTGGCACGTTTTGGACCAGTTGTCGAACGAGCCGGTGACGTACACCTGTTTGGCGTCATTAGAGAGCCTGTAGATGGTTAGAAGTCGACATGTTGATTTGATCAGCTGTTATCAGACAAGATCAACAAAGGGGGAACAAAAGTGGAATCTGGCTGAAAAAATGCTGATCTGGTGTCTATTCACGCACATACCATTCGAACCTGTACTTATACACAGTCATTTGCAGTCTGGAAGAACAGAGGTCGTTATTATTAGTGCCGATGTGCACGGTGGGAAAAAAGATCGGGCTCCTTAAAATTGCAGAGATACCCACTTAGGAAAATTTTATATATATTGTCCTAGCATCTATTCGTTCCACGCAATCAGAAACATGAAGCCGATGCCCACAAAGATGAAGAAGATTTGGCTCACAAACTTGCGCAATTCCTGTAGTCTTGTAGTGCCCTGGCCCAGCTCCAGCAGCTCTGGCACGACGCTGAAGCCGATGTACAGGAAGCCGCCTGCTGTGAACGGCAGAGTGAGGTCTTCAATCTGGACGGTGGTACCAAAGAGACCCGAAGATTTGAGGGCTGCCAGCTTGTTGGCGTCGCCCGACATCGTCTGGATGCCAATGCCGATCAGCGTGCCCAGATAAGCGCCGATGGCGGTCACAAACTGCGAGCTCATGGCCTGCCATTTGGTGAATCCGCCCTGGATCAGAAGCGCAAAGTCCCCCACTTCATGTGGGATTTCGTGGAAAAACACAGCCAAGGTGGTAGTGCAGCCCACAGTCTTGGAGATGTAGAACGAGGCCGCGATCGCAAGGCCGTCGGTGATGTTGTGCGTGAAGTCCGAGATCAGGTTCAGGTACGCAGACGTCTTGACACTGGCGCTCGGGTTCGCCACCACAGGCTCTGCTTTGGTTTCCGTATTCTTTTTTCCCTTCTTTTTTTTCGACTTTGGTTTCTCCACCGGCTCTGCGTGGGTGTGCGAGTGTGAGTGGGACGACCCGTCCCCGGTGTGCTCGAGAACCCGCAAGCTTTTGTCGATGACAAAGAAAAACAGAAAGCCGACAAAAATGCAGAACCCAAGCACACAATTGCGTTTTCCGTCGACTAGAACAAAGGATGCCTTGTGTTCCAATGGCTCGCCCAGAAACGTCTGTGGCAAAAGGTGCAGAAAAACGTCTCCCAGCAGTCCTCCGACGGCAAAGCTGACCAGAAGCGATAAGGACGAGACGTCGATGTTGGCTGGGATCAGGGCGAGAATGAAGTTTGGAGGCCCCGAGATGTACGTCGTGGCCAGCAGAGCGTTTCCTGCGGGGCCGAATGGAAACAGTTTGGAGAAAACGTACTCTGCGTAGTTAAGACCCTCTTCCTCTTGGTCAAAGTGCTGGTTCAGCTCCTGGACCACTTTGCATTGGTCCAATTCCTCGTTCAGGGTGTCCAAATCCAGCACGCCGTCCTCATGGAACAGCGGCCTGGAACGGAGTGCCGGCTTGGAAAAGGAAAATGCCGCTCCAAGGGCCAGCAGCGTAAACACAGAAACTAGTCTTGAACAAAGCATAAATAAAAATAAAGGAAAAAAACTGTAAATTATTTTACTAAATGTTGCGCAGAGAGCCCACCACCATTAAATTGACTCCGGACGACGTGAAGGAATTTTACCGCGAACAAACGTACAACACGATTTCGGGGTCCTCGGAGCCGGCAGAGAACCAGAACCTCGCGACGGAGACGCAGCAACGGTCGATCAAAGAGCGCATCCTGGGCGAGCGGGGGCGCAGCCAGTAACCACGGCACGAGCCATCATCCCGCGGCCATGCTCCCGACACCCATCAGCCTGCGACATGCCCCATTTTCAAGTCTCTGCTTTGTCGCAAATATCCGCTATATAGCGGTTTCTGGGTGTTTATATTTATTCCCCAAATTCTAATTATTTTTTTTTTTTCGCGTCATGTCTACAAGAAGATCCACCCGGCTTCAGGCCCATCCCGACCGGTCGCTGAACTACTCGGTCGACCTTTCAGACAGCGAATCGAGTGGGACAAGCGAAAAGGAGAACGAGTACCAGCCAAACAAGCGTGCTGCGCGTAAAACAAACAAGACTGCGCGCGGCCCCAAGAGACGCAAGACCGTGCCAAACAACATCGACCAGCTCGAGAATTTCCAGGAAAACCACATCTTTGAGACTCTGAGCCACGCAGAAGTCGCCGTGGCCGACCTCGCCGCCTCGTGGCTTGACCAGTTCGAGGAGGACAAGTACGACGCGGTGAAGGATATGCTGAACTTTGTTTTGAGGGCGTGTGGGTGCGTGACGCTTGTGGCGAAGCACGACGTGGCGAACGCAGACTCGTCCAGGGAAACGGTAGCAGAGATCCAGGCGATGTTTGAGAAACAGGGATCCCACGAGTATCCTCTGGGTCTTGCTGGCAACTCCAAGAACGCCAACTGGAGGGATTTCAAAAAGAGGTGTCTGGAGTTTATGGACCAGGTGCTGGTGGCGGCGAGCGAACAGGGCGTTTTGTATGAGGATGACGAGCTGGTGGAGCTGCTGGTCGCGTGGCTGGGAGCTCTGACGACCTCGAACGCGCGGCCTCTGCGGTATGCTGCCACGCTCCTGTGTCTGCAGATGGAAACGACGCTGTGCTCGCTTGTGGCGCAAACCTCTACAGCTGTCAACCGTGCACAGCGCCAGCTCACGAACGAACAACGCAACATCGACAACCTGCTGAAAAAAGCCCGCTCGGGCACCAAGTTGGCCGCGGCCAAAGACCGTGCTGCGCAGATTGAGCAGAACTGCCAATTATACAGCGAGCACAAGACCTATCTGGAAACTTTTCTCCAAGACATCTTCAACACCACCTTTGCTCACAGATACAGAGACACCGATGCGCAGATCCGCCAGGAGTGCGTGAGACACCTGAGCTACTGGATCGACGCGTACCCAGAGTTTTTCTTTGAGAGCATATATATCCGGTATCTGGGGTGGCTGATGACGGACCAGGACGTGGCGGTGCGGCACGAGGTGCTGCGCGTGGTGCTCAGACTGTACCAGACGCAGTCGATGGTGGCAGCTCTGCGACAGTTCACCAGCCACTTCAAAGACAAACTCGTCGAGATGGCCTTTTACGAGGCAGACACGCGGGTCCGCAGCAGCTGTGTGCAGGTTCTGACGGAGATCTCCAGGATGGGCTTTTTGGACACAGAGGAGGTTGTCAAGGTTGCCAGTCTGATTTTCGTCGACGACGAGGACCTGGTCTTCCAGAAGGGCAAGTCCGCGTCGCGTCTTTTCAAGGACCTGGCCAAGTTCATCGCCACAGTTGAGGCGCAGTCACTGGCCGAGTTCATGGAGTCCAACAGTGCGACGGTGGAAAAGGTGGCTGGCTCCCTCGAGCTCGGCATCAAAGACCTGCTCAAGTTCCACGGGTTGTCGCAGATGCTTGTGGAGGCAGAAGCGTATTATAGCTCGGCCGTGGCCACCAAACCGGTGAAAATGCGGTCGTACAACTCGCGGACAGCCAAAGTCGCCCGTGTTTGCCAGAACCTCTTTGCTCTGCCGCGGTACCACGCGGACGGCGCGGTGGAGACGCTATGTGGCTACGTTTTGTACGATTTCTCTGCCAACGCAGAAATCGCCAAGATCCAGCACAGCGTCGAGCTGTCGCACGCACAGACGTTCTTCGTGCTTGGGCTGATTTCCGCGGCAGCCACCATCTACTGCGAGGCAGACGCGAACGAGTTCCACCAGCAGATGTTCCCCAAAAAGCACGACGACCAGGCCAACGATAGAATGCTGTATTTGGGCAAGCTGGTAGCACAGCTGGACTCGCTTTTTGACGTGTGCAAGAAAACACACCTGGCAGTGTTTTTGAGCTTGTTCACGCAACTGGCCAAACACAGGGTCTGCGAGACGTTGGACCAGACAGCAACAGAGACAAAGATCACGGCACAGCTGCTGAAAACGTTCAGAGAAGACCAGCTGAGCTCGTACGCTCCAGAGTCTCCGGAATACTACAACTCGATCAATTTCCACTTTGCGCAGCTCTTTGAGCACATTAACACCGACTCGGTAGAGGTCTCGCTGAAGGTCGACGAGGTGACCCGAGAACTAGCCGAGGAGCTGAAGCTGGCGCTCAAGGACGCCGATCGGGTGCAGGTTGGTAGCACGCTGTGCAAACTGATGTTGCTGCGTGGCTCGGCCACCAAGTCCCGACTTTTGGCCCAGCTCACGCCGCTGATCGACGACATCTGCTCGTGCGCCGCGTCGCTGCCACTGTCAGACGAGCTGGACCAACTGGTCGCGTCCAACAGGGCAGCAGAGTATTTTTCGTGTCTGCTGTTCCTAGTGTCGGAGAACCTCGAGACACTCACCAACAAGCTCAAGGTCGATCCCGACGCCGAGGTGCTCGACGAGCTGCACCGCCACCTATCGCCGTTGGCGCCTGTCAAGCGTGCGTTGCTAGAACTTGTTGCGTCACGTGCTCAAAACATCGATTTCTGGTACGCCGTCTGCAGCCTGTATCTGGACGTGTTCACCACGCTGAACCTGCTCAAATACTACGTGGGCCCGCACAGAGACGTCCTCGACCACTTTTTCGACACAGAGATGTCTGCCGAGCCGCTCTCCAGCAGCCAGGAATGTCTGCTCCAGCTGTTTTTGATTTTGGAGGCACAGGTTGCTTCCAACAAGCAGGTCGAGCTGGACCGCACAGAACACGAAGACGTGAATTTCGAAACTGCTGCGGTGGACGACTGTGAGCGCAAGCTGTGCACTTTTGTTGCCAAGCTGATGCTGCTCGACAAGACGGTCGGTCTGGAGCCGTCCGTTGTCAGCAGAGTGAAGCTCAACAGGGCAGTTCTGGGAAGTCTTTTCAACGAGGTTTTGGATTACGAGCAGGTAGAAATGAAGGAGGAGGAGGAAGAGCTGCCAAAGGAACAACCTCAAGTGCAGCAGGAGCAACAGGGGCCCCAAGAGCTCCAGGAGCCTCTAGAACAGTCCTCCGACCAGTTCTTGCACACCAACACCTCGGTTCCAAACCTGCTGCCCGAACCGGTGCCTGACCTCGTTTTATAATCGCTAGCTACATATTTCTCCGTGCGTGCACAGCTCGCAGCGGTCTCATTAATCATATAATATATGCAGATAGGGTCTATTTATGCCTTTGCAGACACTCCTATTGGCTGGTCCTCGGGCGCGATGTCAAACTCCTGGCGCGAAGACGGCGACTTGATCACCTTGTTGGTGGCCACCTTGGCCTTGTTGATCGCCTCGCCCCTCACAACCTTCTCCATCTCGTCTCTGGTCAGAGTCTCGTACTCCAAAAGTCCTTCGGCCAACCGTTTCAGCTCGACACGACGGTCACGGAGCAACTTCCGAGTCCGCTCCTCAGACTCCAGCAGCAGCTTGCGTGTTTCCTGGTCAGCCATGTCCCTGAGCTTCGGCGACCACGACTCCCATTGGTCAGACAGCTTGACAGGCCCTATTTTGTCAGACATGCCGTACGACGTCACCATGGCTCTGGCCGTGCTTGTGGCCGACGACAGGTCGGAAGAACAACCGCTCGTGACGTTGTTTGGGCCATACAGCATCTCCTCGGCAATCTTGCCTCCCATGCACACATCCAGCCGAGCGCAGCACTCGTTTTTCGTGATATCGTGTTTGTCCATCTCGGGAAGCTGGAACGTGACACCAAGAGCACGGCCCCTTGGCAAGATCGTCGCCTTGTACAGAGGCGTGGCGCCGTCGGTGAACATGGCCGCGATGGCGTGGCCGGCCTCGTGGTAGGCGGTGTTTCTTCTGGTTTCCTCCGTCATCACCATGGTCTTTCTTTCTCCGCCCATCAACACTTTGTCCTTGGCCCACTCGAGATGCGACATGTTGACGCTCAGCGCGTTCTGGTGCGAGGCGTACAGAGCAGCCTGGTTCACGAGGTTCTTGAGCGCAGCACCAGACATTCCGGTCGTTGTTCTGGCAATCACGGACGGATCGACCTCCTTGGAAACGGCAATGTTTTTCAAATGGTGTTTGAGGATGGCAAGACGGCCTCTGACGTCCGGCAGATCAACGTTCACCACCTTGTCGAATCTCCCCGGTCTGGTCAACGCCTTGTCCAAAGAGTCTGGGAAGTTGGTGGCTCCGATGATAATGATTCCCTCGGTCTGAGAAAAGCCGTCCAGCTCCACAAGCAGCTGGTTCAACGTCTGTTTGGCGTACGCCTGGTCTCTGCTTTTTCTCTTTCCTCCGATTGCGTCGAGCTCGTCGATGAAGACAATGGCCGGCGCCCTGGCACGAGCTTTGCTGAACAGTTCTCTGACCCTCTTGGCACCCACACCGACATACAGCTCGTCAAATTCGGATCCAGACATGAAGAAGAAAGGCACACCAGCCTCGCCGGCCGTGGCCCGCGCAAGAAGCGTCTTACCAGTACCAGGAGGCCCGGTGAGCAAAACACCCTTCGGAAGCTGTCCACCAAGTCCGGTGAACTTGGACGGATCCTTCAAAAACTCAACGACCTCCTCGAGCTCGGCTCTGGCCTCGTCAACACCACAAACATCGGAAAACTTCACGGTCGACTCGCTCACCTCGACACTCTTGTCCTCGACGCTCGAGCCCTTGATGATCGAGCCGTTCTCAACCAAATAGTTGAACAGCAGATACGCACCATAAGATGTCAAACCCACGGGAATCAGCCATTTGATCCACTTGGAAATGGTAATTAACGGCGACTCGGTCACAATGACGTGGATCGGATCGGTTCTCGTACCGTAGCCAGACTGTCCAAAGCCAGCCCCGTAGCCACCAGAAGGCGCGCCAGCATTGACACTCAGGCCCAAAGAACGAGCCACAGCTTCAGCCTTCTGGTAGTCTCCCATCTTGTATAAGGCGTCGATATACAGCTGGGAACACTCTGGCGAGGTCGCGATACCAGGAGTCTCGTACCGCGAAACAACAATGTGCGGGTAGTTGGCGTTGATCAGCGCTTTGTAGAAGGATGCTTGCACTGCCGGATTGGAGAGTTCACGGTTGGCTGCCTGTTCCTGAGACGCGAGAGACGCGACGGAGTTCGAGGAGAACCTAACGGCGGAACTTTTCAGCGCGACAGGCCTGAACAGACGCGGCAAAAGGGGCCGCATCCACACCCTGGGTCTCGCAAATAACATGGTAAAGTTACAAGAGGTGACTATTTTTCCACTTTTTATTTTGGCACACTGGCCTTTCTTTTTGCCATCAGCGCAATACCCGACACCCGTGCACCGCCACTCCAGAAAGGTGCCAGTGAAATTTTTCTCGCCGTTGGATCGCTCCGGCGAAAAAGAAATAAATTTTACCTGGAAGCTCGTAGAAATTGGGGAGCCGAGGATGAAAACTGGGGGTGCACACCCTTGCACCACTGCGGAACGGCAGGGAGCACGAACCAGCTAGGGACAGGGCTCGGCAGATCAGGATGTGCGTTCAGTGGACAGCAGCACATACAGACGAGGCTGGACGGCCCCAAGAAGGTCCGGATCAGGTAGTCCACCCCCCAGGGGCACGAAAATATATTCCACCAATAATATCCGTGCAAATTGTCAAGGGTGAGAAAAAAAAAATCATTGTAACGCTAATTCTCCCAAACGGGACCAGCATACAAGCATATATAAATAAGTAATTCCCAAATTTTCCACCCATCCATTATTTATAACATAAACTGAAAATGCCAGCTCCATACGAAAAAGGTTCTGCTAAGAAGGGTGCTACCCTGTTCAAGACCAGATGTTTGCAGTGTCACACCGTTGAGGAGGGTGGACCACACAAGGTCGGTCCAAATCTTCACGGTGTCTTCGGCAGAAAGTCTGGCCAGGCCGAAGGCTACTCATACACCGACGCCAACAAGAGAAAGGGTGTCGAGTGGACCGAACAGACCATGTCCGACTACCTGGAAAACCCAAAGAAGTACATTCCTGGAACCAAGATGGCATTCGGTGGTTTGAAGAAGGCAAAGGACAGAAACGATCTGGTCACCTACTTGGTCGAAGCTTGTAAATAAATCATATGATCGATGTAATAAATTATAATAGAGGTGCTCTAAAGGTTGCTTAGACATATGTAGCCAATAGTAGTCCGATGAATAGCCCTTAGATGCCTGGCGTCGATCGACGCGTCGCAACGCTGTAGATCCGCACAGAGCAGTCGCCGCTTCCCGCCGCCAGCAACAGCTCGTCCGCGCTCTCCGGCTTCGGACACCAGCTCAGCCGCGTGACCTTGTCGTCGGGCACTTTTTTCCCGTCCAGCTGCTCCACCAACTCGAAACCGCCCTGCGTGTCCACCGTGTACGTCGAGATCTGGCCCTTTTCCAGCCCCACGGCCACCAGAGCCGACCCGTCGATCGTGCGGCTGTAGCAGTCCAGCGCCGTCACGGCCGCCGCCAGCTTCACGCTGCCCACCATCTCGACCTCTCCAGCAGATGCCACTCGCCACAGCTTGACCGACTTGTCTCGCGACCCTGTTGCGAAATACGCCGCGTCGCCGTCAAACGGCAGCCAGCACACGTCCCAGATAATCCTCGAATGCGCCTTCTCGCGCTTTTCCGCCAACTCGTACCCAAACTCACCACTTCGTCTCCACAGGGTGTATTTCCGGTCACGTGACACGCTCACCAGGTAGCCACCATCGGGCGAGAAGCGCAGTCTGGTGATGGTGAGGTCGTGGCCGGCCAACGGCGGCGTTATCTGGAGCCAGGAGTCTGTTCTGAACAGCCTGATAACCGCGTGGGACGGCACGTTCGACCGGCACGCCGACGCTATCAGTTTTCCGTCCGGAGACACATCCAAGGTGGTGATCTCGAACCCGTGGCCGTACAGCTTCTCGATCTCCGGCCAGAGCGTGTGTCTTTGGAGAATGTCTTCTAGAGGCGGCGTTTCCAGCTGTCCCAGTAGTTTAGTTGACAAGTTAGCTGTCTGGGCCCCGTTATCTGCTGTCTCGTCGTCGGAGGTTGGTTCCTGATTTTCTGTCTCTGTCTCTGCTTTATTGGACAGGCCGAGCACCGGCAGCGACGCGCTAGGCGGCATGGCGTCGACGTCGGCGGACGCGACGCCGCACAGTCTCTGGAGCATGTCTGCGACGGCTTTAGGCTCGTCGAAGGACCGCATGATTTTCTCGTCGCCGCCAGAGACGAACCTGGAGTTTGAAATCGGTTTGACGCAGATCATGTCGTAGCCGTGGATCTGCGGTCTCGCGAACTCGTGCCAGGTGCCTGTTTGCAGCCATTTGGCATAGAGTCGCGTGGTCTGGTCGAGCGAGGTAGCAAGAAGATATTTGCCTGAAGGAGACCAGCACACGTCTGTGACCTCTTTCATCGGGCCGGTCAGACACGGCTGCTGGTCGTACTGGCCGTCTGAGCCGTGTTCTCGGGACCAGCATCTGAAAGAGCCGGTTTTGCCGTTTGCAAGAATAATTTCTGTGTCATTTTCAAACAGCCAGAGCGCACTCCAGAAACCGCCAGAAGCGCCTGTCGCAGTGGACGCGCCCTTGATGCTCATCTCTCCAAGACGCATCGACGACACCCAGACACCGCTGCTTTCGTCCGGCTCCCAGATCATGACCGACGTGTCTGCAGACGAGGACAATAAAACGGTTTTGGACGGGTGCCAGACGAGACTCGAGATCCAGTCGTCGTGGCCCATGATGATGGCGTCGAAGTTGATGGCGCACCTGGTTGTGTCGTCGATGTCGAAAAAGTGCTGTTTGTTCATCAGCAGCCCGAGCTGGCTCGAGGTGTCGACTCTGGAGATGGCGTCGTTCAAACACAGCTTCCACAGCCGGATGTATCTGTCCTGGGAGCCAGAAGCAACAAGAAACTCGCCGGGACCCTGTTTTTTGACCGCAATGGTCTTGATCCAGTCCTCGTGGCCGGGCAGAGTGGCACGGTGTTGCAGCGGGCCGTTTGCGACGAGCGAGAAGACATGGAACTGCGGCTTGGACCCTCCGGCGAAAAGGACGTGCTTACCTGGCTCCACGTCGACGAGCGCGAGCGAGAGCGGGAAAAACCCGGGCATCACGCTCTGCTCGGCCACCAGCCGCACGGCGGGCCCGTCTGCAAACGTCCAGACCTTGATCTTGCCGTCTGCACCGCCGGTGACGAGATATTCCTTGGTCACGGCCAAAGCGGTGACACTGGCGTCGTGGGCCGGCAGATCGTGGACCACGTCCAGCTCTGTGGTCTCGCTGCTGAATCTCCAGATCTTGACGCTGTGGTCCTCGGCCGCGGACACGAGATACGGCGATTCGGGCACCCATTTGACGGCGACGACGTGAGCCGTATGGGCCTTTGCCGTGGACAGCACGCCGCGGTGGGTCTCGCTAGGCCGCCACAGGGCGATTGCGTTCTTCGCGCCGAACGCCACAAGCCTGTGCGCCGGACTGTAGTCGCTGATTTGCAGCTCTCTGTTGCAGCCCACAAAGACGGTCATAGCACAGCCGTTGAGATGGAAAATAAAAAATAATTTGAAATAAATGGAAAATAAATGAAAATAAATGAAAATAGACTGAAATAAATTAAAAAAATAAACCACAATGATCTAATGCTACCTGTTGGTAGCCGCGATAGTGTAAATAAACGCAGCCTGGTGTGTGGCAGCCGGCAGTTGCGCTCGTAAATTTTGTAGTAGCTAAAACGATTGTCCTGATTTATGTTTTTTGAGCCCGGCACCCTGTTTTTCCTGTATTTTTCCACTTTCTTTATGGGGAAGATAACGAGGTCGAGAAAGGGGTGTTTCACGTGCAAGCAGCGGCGCCGCAAGTGCGACGAGACAAAGCCCAGCTGTCTCAACTGCGTCAACTCGGGCCGCAAGTGCGCCGGGTACGGGCTGCGGCTGGTTTTCGACGTGGACGACAGCCGGAACGAGAAAGGCAAGGTCAGCACCGACGCCAAAGGCCAGCCCAAATACGGGTTCCGGGGGCGGCCGCGGATCAACAACGGCGATTTGAAGCTGGCAGTGAAGAATTCCACGAGCTCTGAGCCGGAGACAGTGCAGTCTGTGGAGCCGGCAGCGCAGCCGAAGCCAGAGAGTCAGCCGTGGCCGTTCTCGCCGAACGTGCATTTTGACGACGTCGTCTACAGCGGGCTGGACTATCTCCTGTCGACGGCGGACGACCTGAGTCTGTTCAGCTCCGAGCAGGCGCACCAGCAGCAGCAGTACCATCTCCAGCAGCTGGAGCAGCAGCAAGATCAGCTGCTACAGCAGATCAACGCGCCGCAGTCTGTGAGCGAGAGCGGCGCGTACCCGTTCTCCCTGGACAGCGAGCTGACTTCGAACCCGTCGGAAGACAACTACATTCTCAAGCATTTCTTCGACAAGACGATATTTCTGCTGGACGCGCAGCCGTCGGCTCCCTGGCCGGAGCTGATGCTGCGGTTTGGCAGTCTGGAACTGGCCAAGTCATGCTTCCTGTCGCTGAGCTCGATCCATCTGTATGTGAACAACGGCAGCAACAAGTTCTACAAGAAGGGCATACTGCACATCAACAACACGATGGAGTACCTGATCAAGTACGTGCGGACCAAGGACACGTCGCGGCCGCAGCTGAGCGAGGAGGACGGCGCGGGCGCGCCGCTGAACGTGGACAGCATCGTGACGAACCTGAAGAGCGAGAGCACGGACCGGAAGCAGGGCAATTTTTTCGTGATCCTGCTGCTGCTGTACGTGCACCTGCTCTTTGCAATTCTCGAGAGCGGCCGGTCTGCTCTGTCGCGGATTTTTCTCAAGCTGTTCAGCACCATAGCGAGAGACCAGCAGTTCAAGTCTGCGCTGAGCCGCATCGACCAGTCGCAGACGCTGATCTGCATTCTGTCGTGGTTCGACACGGTCTCGGCGCTGGTGTCGCCCGACTGCCGCGTGCCGTTCTGCAGCCCCGAGTGGTACGGCACGAAGCACGACGCGGTCTCCACCGCGCGCATGAACGGCTGTCCCGGCGAGATCTTCCAGGTGTTTGCCGACATCTGCCACCTGCGCCACCGCCTGCACAGCCGCACGATCTCAGGCGACGAGGTGGCCGCCGTGCACGGCGAGCTGCGGCAGCGGCTCGTCAACTACCGCGACTACGTGCCGCTGGAGCTGGCGGACTCGTTTGCGTACGAGGAGCGGCTCAAAGCGGCGCAGTGCTGGGCGATCTCGGCGCTGATCAAGCTGCTCGAGATGTGCGAGCGCGGCCCGCACGCGCAGGACGTGATCGAGAGCCTGACGCTGGAGTTCATCCACACGTACGAAACGCTCCCCACGACGTCGCCGATCGTCACGCAGATGGTGTGGCCCGTGTTCAACATCGCGCTGCACTGCAAAAAAGAGAGCTCGCGACGCAAGCTGCGGCAGTTCGCCCAGACGCTGTACAAGATCGTCAACATGGGCACGATCAAGACGGCGATGCAGCTGATCGACGAGGTGTACGAGACGGGGTGCAAGGTGGAGGAGATTCTGCAGACGAAGGAGTGGCTGGGGTCGGGCATCGACTTTCTGCCGTGCTAGTGTAGTGTGGTCGATTCTGGCTAATATTGGTCGAATTTCTACCTATTAATTCTACTTACAGCTTCTGCATGGCAGCAATGTCAGTAGACTGGACGTAGTCGTCGAACTCCTCGATCTGGCCCTGGAGCTCGTCGATGGAGACCTTCTCGTCCTCAACAACACAGTTGATCTGGAGCTTCTTGATACCGAATCCAACAGGAACCCATTGGAATCCACCCCAGGTCAGACCGTCCTTCTCGATGCCCTTGACGGAGGCCAGCAGGGCGTCGAGGTCGGTCTCGTCGTCCCATGGCTTGACGTCGATGGTGACAATCGACTTCGAGGCTGGCTTAGGGCCCTTGGCGGCCTTCTTGGCAGCGTACTCGGCGAGTCTCTGTTGCTTCAGCTTCTCGGCCTCCTCGTCGACCTCCTCGTCGTCGGAGCCGAAAAGATCGACGTCGTCGTCGTCCTCGGCGGCAGCAGCAGGAGCCTTGGCCGCTGGCAAGGACTCAAAGTCCTCGGTGAACGAGGCAATGTGGTTGAACCATCTGCTGAAGTCCGGGTAGGCAGATTGGAAGGCCTTGTAGGCAGCAACGTCGGCTTGGGTGGCGGAAGTACTGCGTCGTTAGTATTTGTAAGATTTCCCTCAGTCGCCCGCCCGTAGACGGATCTTGTTTGTCATTCATGCGGCGGGTCTTGAGGCCGCCTCATAAACATGGACCAAAGAATGTAGTTCATCAGTGGAAATTTACTTACCCTTCGATGTAGGACTTGTCGGCCAGGAACTTGTTGAGCTCGGCAACGGTCTCGATCTTAGAGAAGTCGGAGAAAGACATGATGATTTGGTAGGAAGCTTTTTCGATGAAATAAAAAAATTTACTTCGGCACGCGTGCACGACATCTACGGGTGGGGTTACCCGGACACAGCACAGACGCCGATCTGGGGGCGGCCCGAGGCCTGGTGCTGGCGTCAGAACGCCCTGGACGGCCTTGAGCTGTGTACGGAGTGCGGCCGCGGATGCCACTGCCGTTTTCACCGCCATTTATATATTTTTCCTCGACCCACCCTGGTTCGCCGTACTTGTGTAGTGTATTCTACTACTTTATTTTTATTTATTTCTCTAACCCATGGACAGGCCAATTTATCCGCAGGCGCTGTCGACGTCGCTCGTGGCGCGGCTGAAAAACGTGCCGAACCCGCTCTTCATTGCGTCGCTGCCCGCCAGAGGCTCCAAGAGGGCCGCCTCGACCCGTGTCAACTACGCCGAGGACTTCGACATGGAGCTCGAGGACGACCAGGACCAGGACTACGACGAGGACGGGGCCCTGGTGTCCCGGTCGCACGCCAGCGGCCCGGGCGTGAGCATGGCGTTTCTACAGGGAAAAGACGCTCCCAGAGAAAAGTACAAGACGGTGTTCAGCGAGGCTGAGAACCTGGCCAACTGCTCCGTCCCCGAGCAGATGGTGCCCATCAAACTGAACATCGAGACGAGCGGGACGCGCGTGAACGACATGTTCATGTGGAATCTGAACGAGTCGCTAATCACTCCCGAGCTGTTTGCCACTATCATGTGTCAGGAGCTGGATCTGCCGAAGTACTGCGAGGCCACGGTCGCAGGCCAGATTCGCGACCAGCTGGAGTCGTATCGCGCGGTGGCGACCATGCCGATGCCGCAGCTGTCGCAGGAAAAGGAGCTGCACGCGATTCTGGACATCTCGATCAGCCTCGACAACACGCTCTACGAGGACAAGATCGAGTGGGATATCCTGAACAGCGCCATCACGCCGGAGGAGTTTGCGCGCACGGTGGTGGCGGACATGGGTCTCCGGCGCGAGTTCCAGAACGCGATTGCGATCTCGCTGCACGACGCCATTTTCAAGCTGAAAAAGGAGTTCCTGGAGAACCCGCAGCAGATACTGTTCAACAACGAGAGTCTGCCGCTGCTCAACAAGGTGTACCAGCCGCCGGCACCAGACACGGGCAACGGCTCGCCCGGCGTGGTCTCGCTCGAGCTGCAGGGCCTGCGGTTCGACAGCAAGAAGTACGGAGCAGACTTCAGTCCGCGCGTGGAAACCCTTACACCGTGGGAGATCGAGAAGCGGGAGATCGAGAGAGAGCGGAATATCCGGCGTCTCAAGCGGGAAACGATGCGTGTGAGCGGGATAGGGAGTGCGATGATGGCTCCTGCGCCTGCGAACGACAGAAACGCCAACTCGAAGCGCAAGTACGACGAACTGGAAGGAACGTGGAAGTTCGACAAATGAATAAATAAAATAGATTATGTAAGGGCGAAGAATGGTGTATTTTTAAAAATTCATGTCAGTTACCGATGTCCCGGTGCTGAAGCGTGCGCGACTCTACATGGCGACGAACCGCCGGCTCGCGGTTGTTCTTGTTGTGCTGCTGTACTGGGTGGTCCAGAACGTCTGGACGTGGAGCCCCGGGGCGCGCGATTTGGCCCAAGTGGACGCCAAGATCGAGGCCGAGCTAAGCTCGAACCTGCACACTTTTGGAGCGCATTTGCGCCACCTGAACCGGCTTCCGGCAGCGGCGACTCTGCGCGAGAAGCTCACGTTCTACTTCCCGTACTACCCCGAAAAGCCTGTCCCGAACCAGATCTGGCAGACGTGGAAGGTCGATCTCGAGGACGCCGACTTCCCCAAGCAGTACAGACGGTTCCAGAAGACGTGGGTCGAGAAAAACCCGGACTACGTGTACCATCTGATCCCGGACTCTGTGATTGAGGACTTTGTGGCGAGTCTGTACGCGAACGTGCCCGAGGTGGTGAGAGCGTACCAGCTGCTGCCGAAAAATATTATGAAGGCGGATTTTTTCCGGTATTTGGTGGTCTACGCGCGCGGCGGCACCTACTCGGACATGGACACGGTGTGTTTGAAGCCGATCAAGGACTGGGCCACGTTTGACCGCGACCTGATCCACGCTGCCGACACCAAGGCGGATCTGTCCCAGATAGATCCGGACGCAAGAACCACGCCTGTGGGGCTGGTGATTGGCATCGAGGCCGATCCGGACAGGCCCGACTGGCACGAGTGGTTTTCGCGCAGACTGCAGTTCTGCCAGTGGACGATCCAGGCGAAGCCAGGGCACCCGCTGCTGCGCGACCTGATCATCCGGATCGTGGAGGAGACGTTCCGCAAACAGCACATGGGCGTGCTGAAAAGGGTGGAGGGCAAGGACTCGGGCGCAGACATCATGCAGTGGACCGGGCCGGGGATATTCACCGACACTCTGTTCGACTATCTGAACAACGTGGCGAGCGACGGCAAGCTGGGCGACGGGTACGGCGTGGGGTCTTTGTACTGGCGCAAGCACGGCAAGTACAAGCTGAAGAAGACGGAGGTCGGCAAGAACAACGAGCCGTTGCACTCGGAAGACCAGCTGATCAACTGGCGGACGCTGACCAACATGGACAAGCCAAGGATCCTGGGGGACGTGATGGTGTTGCCGATCACGAGCTTCAGCCCGAACGTGGGGCACATGGGCTCAAAGAGCAGCTCCGATAGGCTGGCATATGTGGAGCATTTATTTTCTGGCAGCTGGAAGCCAAAAAATAATTAGGAAAATTAAATAATTAGCTGCATTTTAGATATTTCCTATGAGCCGGCACGAGACGTATTTGAAACTGATAAAAAAGGACCGGCCTGCGTTCAGTGTTGGCTATGGCGACGATATCAAAGACAGAGTCACCACGCAGCAGGAGCTGGAGCTCATGGCGAAAGTGGACCATCTGGTGCTCAACTATCTGATATACGAGGGCTACATCAACGCGGCGCGCGACCTGGCCAAGGAGCTCGGGTTTGACTTTATCTCGGACGCATTGGAAAAGGACGTTTTGCTGCACCCCATTGAGACGCCGGAACTGGGCCCTGACGACGATTTCGACGTGGAGGCGTTCTTCTCTGCGAACGAGATCCAGAAAAACATACACGACTCGTACACACAGCTGATAGGCCACTACGACGACGACCCGGGCCACGACCTCGCATTCTACAAACGGCTCAGTTTCGGGCTCTCGTCGATCAAGGCCAGAAACGAGATAAAACTGCACATCCTGAACGGACAGATAGAACAGGCGGTGGTGCTGATCAACAGGAATTTCCCCAGTTTGTTCGAGAAAAACCAGTTCATCTACTTCAAGCTGCTGCATCTGAACCTGATCGAGATCATCCGGACCCAGTTTGCCGGTCCTCCCGAGAAGTGTCTGGACGAAAAGCATTTTCTGGACCGCGTGCTGCAATTCATCTCCAGCAAGCTGTCGACGCTGAAGATCCTGCAGAACAAGGACTTTGTGCAGGAGCTGGAGCTGACTATGGCACTGCTGTGTTTCGGGAAGCGGCTCCGACAGCCAGACATGGAGGGCGTTCCGGCCAAACTCAAGAGCCTGCTGGACCTGAAGGTGCGGGGCAAGGTGGCAGACCTGGTGAACAAGTCGATCCTGCTCAACGTGAACAACTGCGATCTCGACGCGCTCAGCCAGGAAAACCAGTGGTATCTCACGAAAATCGGCGACAAGAAAAACGGAGTCGAGCCGGCTGCGGCTGAAGCACTGGACTCGCGGTTCGAGCAGGTGGAAAACTCCAAGCTGCGGCAGCTGGTGTCTGTTGCGTCCTGGCTGTGCGAGGTGAACGACGAGGACTTTGCGGGCCTGGTAAAGGAGATGTTGGATAAATAGGTAATATTCGGTAGGAAGGAAAAAAATGACAAGAAAGGTAAAATATTGGGGAGTTCGAGTGATCTAGTCACTGAAAAAAATAAAATAAAAAATTAAAAAATAGAAAAAATTATCTGAAAAAGCACAAAACTTGCCATGACCGACAAGATAGACAAACACTCGCTCGAGTACGTGGTACGAAGCGGGATTGCCGGGGGAGTGGCGGGAATCTCCGCCAAAACGCTTATAGCGCCCCTGGACAGGGTGAAGATCCTGTTCCAAACAAACAACCCGCACTATCGCCATTTGGCAGGGTCGTTCCGGGGCATGCTCAAGGCCATCCAGCTTATCTACCACAACGACGGGTTTATGGGCCTGTACCAGGGCCACTCAGCCACGCTGCTGCGGATTTTCCCCTACGCAGCTATCAAGTTTGTGTGCTACGAGCAGATCCGCACGTTTCTCATTCCGCGGGACGAATATGAGACGGCTGGAAGACGGCTTCTGGCGGGATCGTTTGCGGGCGTGCTCAGCGTGGCGTTCACGTACCCGCTGGACCTTGTTCGTGTGAGATTGGCGTTCGAGACGTCCCACAGCAGGATCCAGCACGGACGCGGGAAGATATGGCACATCCTCAAGACCATCTACTACGAGCACCCGCGCTACAGCTTCACCACCGGGGGTTACGTGGCGGACAAACCCCCACTTATGCGGCTGCTGCACCGCATCGTGGACCGCAACGTGCACGTTTTCCAGGCCATGACAAACTTCTATAGAGGATTTGTGCCAACCATCATAGGCATGGTCCCGTACGCGGGGGTCAGCTTCTACTCGCACGACATGATCCACGACCTGTTCCGCCTGCCGCACATTGCGCCATACACGGTCATCGACGACGACGCGACGCTGGAAACCACAAAAGTCAGATCCGAGTCGTCGTTCGACACGCGCAAGCCGCTCAAGATGTGGGCCCAGCTGCTCGCGGGCGGCGGCGCCGGAATGCTGGCGCAGGCGGCAGCGTACCCATTCGAGGTGATCCGGAGACGGATGCAGGTCGGTGGGGTGGCGAACCTGGGAGGCCAGTTCTTCTCCATCGGCCACACGATAGTGATGATTTATGCGGAGCGCGGGTTCAAAGGTTTTTACGTGGGGCTCGGGATCGGGTTCCTGAAAATCGTGCCGATGTTTGCGTGCAGCTTCTACGTTTACGAGAGATGCAAGCACTATCTTCGGATATGACTTATAGACTAAGCAATAGAGATGTGGACGGATTACGCGGTTTTGGCAGCCTGTGCCTGCTCGATCTCGGCGCCGCCGATCCTGCTCTTGTCGCACATGGAGCGGAAAATCCCGCCCGCGCGGTACAGCTCGATTGGCGTGCCAAACTCCGCCACGCGGCCCTTGTCCATCACAAGGATCTTGTCGTAGTTGACGATCGTCTTGAGTCGGTGCGCAATGCACAGAATCGTGCAGTGCGCAAACTCGCGGACGATCGTCGCCTGCACGCGAGCGTCGGTCTCGTAGTCGACGCTCGACGTGGCCTCGTCCAAAATCAGCACCTTGCAGTCGCGCACAATGGCTCTCGTGAGCGCGAGCATCTGGCGCTGGCCCAGCGAGAAGTTGGCGCCGTTCTCCTCCACCGCGCTGTTCAGGTGGAACTTGTGCAGGTCTGCTCCCGTCTGCTGCTTGACTTCGGGCAACTCGTCGGGCAAGATGCAGCCCGACTTCACCAGCGCGTCGTATAGCACGTCGTCAGACAGCTGCGAGAAGGGGTCCAGGTTCAGGCGGATCGTGCCGCGAAACAGCACGGGGTCCTGCGGGATGATCGACAGCCGCGAGCGCAGCTCGTGCAGGCCGATGTCGAGGATGTTGACGCCGTCGATCTCGATCGTTCCCTCGGGCTCGCTCAGCCGGTACAGGGCCGTCATGATGGTGGACTTGCCCGCGCCCGTGCGGCCGCAGATGCCGATTTTCTCTGCCGCTGCGATCTCGATGTTGAGGTCCTGGAGCACGAGCGGCAGGTTCGGACGGTACCGCAGGCTTACGTGGGAGAACTTGATTTGGCCGTGCTCGGGCCAGGATGGGGCAGGTTTTTTCGCCGGGTCGGTGCTTTCTGCGGGAGCCTCCTGCGGCAGGTCAATCGCGTACTCGCCGATTCGCTCGACGCTGCTGAGATTTTGCTCCAACTGGCCCATCGACCGCGACGTGGTGATCAGCTGCATGCTGACACTGACGAGGTACGAAATGATCAGTCCCGAGCTGGCGGCGCTGATTTTGAACGCACGCCCCACGCAAAGCATCGAGATGAGCAAGTTCAAACCGGCCGCACACCCGTGCAACGACACGGCGAGCCACCGTTGCAGTGAGTTGGCCAGAAAGTACGACTCGTTCATTCTGTTGATCAGCGTGATGTTCTTGTCCAGAAACTTGCCCGTCAGGTTGTACAGCTTGATCGTCTCGTTTCCCTGCAGCACCTCGTCGAAGTTGGCGTAGACGATCGACCGCTGCACGCCCTCGATCCGCTTCACCTCGCGCGCGGACGCCTGGTAGAACGAAAATAGCATCGACACCGCCAGGAAGATAAACGGCACGCACACGGCAAAGTACGGCATGTAGATTATGCACATGATGTAGATGCCCACCATATTGGAGAAGCCAAACATGATGAGGCGGAACTGTTCCGAGATCTCGTTGTCCAGCACGTCGGTGTCCTTGGTGAACCTGTTGAGAATGCGGCCCATCGGCGTGGTGTCGAAGAAGGACATCGGCGCACGTAGCACGCGCTCGAGCGCGCGGATGTTGAGCCGCTCGGACGCGTGGTTTGTCACGTACACAATGCTGCAGAACTGCCACGCGGTGCATGCCACGTACAGCAGTGCAAACATCACGTACAGCCCGATGTAAAAACCGTCGGAGCGGCCGGGGAATTTCTGCGTCGACCAGAACGACAGCCACACGTTCTGGAACAACATGCAGAACGTGGAGCACGCCATGCTGGCGAGGATCATCGGGAACATGCCCGCGATGCCCAGCCGCCCGCAGCCGGACCGGAAATACGACACCACGATGTGCATCGGGATGGCGTCCTTTTCGCGGTGCTCCTGCTCGATCAGACGGCCGCGGTCTTTTTCGTACTCGCGCTGCGTCGTTTGTTTTTGCACCAGCTTGAGCTCTTCGTCCTCCTCGTCCTCAGCCACTGTATCGGGCAACTCCGGCTCGTCCTGTTTGGTGCCCTCCTGCTGGAACTCCATCAGCTTGGAAAAGTGCTCGTTTTTCGCCAGCAGCCGCTCCGGCGTGTCCACGTCGACAGAGCCGTCCGGGTTCACGAACATGATGCGGTCTGCCGCCTGGATCAACGACAGCTGGTGCGTGGCGAGCACCCGCGTGCGGCCGCGGAGCAGCCCGAGAATGCAGTCGTCCATGATGTGGCGCCCCACTTTAGCGTCCACCGCGCTCAGCACGTCGTCCAGCAGCAGAATGTTGAAGTTTCTGCTCAGCACCGAGTACACGGCGCGCGCAAGGTTGATGCGCGCCTTCTGCCCGCCCGAGAGGTTGACGCCGCGCTCACCGATCTCCGTGAGGTCGCCCGCGGGCAGCATCTCGAAGTCGCTCTCGAGGCCGCAGCTCCGCACGATTTCCGCGTACAGCTGCTTGTCCGGGTCGCACCCAAAGATGATGTTGCTGCGCACGGTGGCGTTCTGGATCCACGGCTGAGCACACAGCAGCAGCTGCCCAGCAACGGTGACAGAGCCTGTCACCCGCGGCATCAATCCGCTCAGGGCGCACAGCAGCGACGACTTGCCCGAGCCGATGGGGCCGGTCACCACGACAAACTCGCCGTGCGCGAGCGAGAACGTGAGCGGCCCCAGAGCAGGCCGCAGCGACACCGCGCGCTTTTCCGCCAGAGGTGTCTCCTTGTCGCCGTCGGCTGGCGTCAGACGCTCGTCCCACGAGAACGACGCGTCGATTACTCTCACCGCCTCGGCAGCTTTCTCCACGCAAATATAATTTTCGTCGGGAACTTCCTCCGCGCAAAGCAGGTACGCCTGCACCCGCTTGCACGCAACGTACGCGTCCGCAGTGGAGCTCAGAGCCAGCGGCATCAGCGCAATGTGGCCGACTAGAATGTTGAATAGCGCCAGCGACGAGAAAACGTTGGCCGCGTTCCGCAAACTGCCCCCGTTGTAGCCGTACATGGACAAAAATCCGATCATAGACGACACACTGGGCAAAGAAATGGCCACCGCAGTGACAAGGTTCCGCAGAAACTGGATGTGCAGCATGTACGACATCTCCCTGGTTCTAATCGCCGACACCAGCTTCAAATACGCCGGCTCCCACGAGTAGTACTTGATAATTTTCATGCTGTTGAGCACCTCCTTGACAGCCTTGACACGGGCGTCCGTGTGGACGTTGATTCCGCGCCGCAGCCGCATGAGCGGCCGCGTGCTGTATACGATGCCGCACGCGGCCAGAATCAGGAACCCAACGCCGCCGATCGCTGGCCCGCCCATGTAGATGGACAGCAGCACCAGGGTGATGGCCACCCCGATCGGGAACGTGATTATGTAAGCAAAGAAACTGGCCGCCAGGTCGATGCGGGAGAGGTCTGTGCCGAGCAGCGAGGTGATGGCGGACGGCGTGAACTGTGCGCGCGAGCGTCTGTTGAGCCGGAACGACTTGTCGAGCAGCACTTTTGTGAGCAGGGCCTTGACCTCGCACCCCACGAACGCCGAGTCGTGGAAGTAGTGGGCGATACAGATGCCCATGCCCAGCACGAGCCCTGAGATCCCGAGCGAGTAGCCGTAGCCGCTATTGTTCACGGGGACGCCAGACGCCTTTTGGTGAACGTATGCGATTAGGGCGCGCAGCAGCAGCGGGTTGAGGCCCATTGCTACGTCCCCACCAATTTTGTAGAGCACGCTGAGGGTGTACTCCCACCTAAAGGTTTCAAACAGCGACGCAAGCACCAGCAGCGACGAGTAAGAGAAGTCGGGGTCCGTGGCCAGCGCCCTGCGTGCGTGTGGAGTGTCTGGGATGCCCTTTTTCCTGAGATACTTCTGTTCAGCCTTGCGCTTGCGGGCGGTGAATTTCGCGAGGAGAGTCTTGGCACGCACATCGACGTCGAGATTCGACCCGCGGCGGATCGCAAAGAGGTCCTGGGGCTCGAGCGTCCTTTTGTAGCCGACTCTAAGTATCGGGAGGACCCACGAAAAGAAGAGGTTGCTGAGAAAGTTGGTGTTTCTGAACGGAAACTGGGGCCGCTCCTCGTCGGACGGGAGCGGGGGCACCGCCTTGTTCCACAGCAGGAACGAGTACATGCGCCTTGCGGGCGTCTGCTTGTCTAAAGGATCCTCCATGGCACCAAAAAGTGGAAGAAAGAGGTGAGTGAAATTTGTTGCAAAGCGGACGAAACCCGAAAACGGTATTTTTCCGCGCAGACTGCACATTTTTTTATTTAATTCCTTATCAGATTGTACAATTTGGCAGCAATGGCGAGAGAGTACCCGCTCAAAAAAGATATGGCGAGCGTTTGAGGGTACCGTCGCTTGCGCGGGGGGTCCTGTATCCTGGAGAGCAGGGCAAGTTCCTGCAAGAGCAGGTCGGTGTTGATGCGCGGCTGTTTCCTCCTATTTCTCCTGACGCGCCCCAGTTTGGGCCTATTTGGTTTACGGACCCTCCGCAGCCCCACGGGCCTGGGTTTGACGGTTATAGAAGCCATAGCTATAAAACCAGTATTTGGTCCTATTTATATATGTTTTCGGGTGTGATACATCACATTACGCCCTGTGTGCATGATGACTGTGGCTTGAGCCTCTTTTGAAGATATCCATGAAGCCATCTCTTTTCGTAAACGAGCTTTTCTGAGCCTCGTAGTTGCACCCCACGTCGACGTCCGAGTTCTGCACGTACGCGTAACACGTGGTGCCAGCAGCACACTGCATCTTGACCCACTTGCCGTAGTTGCAAATGGCGAACGAGCCGTCTGAAGAACAGGCAATCTCTCCCTCCGTGGAGCACGAGTCAGGTGACCCGTTGAACAGGCCGTTGGCAAAGTTTGCATTCAGGCACTTTGCTTTTGCCAGTCCGCTCAGCGACGAGCAGTCGGTGTACGTGGCGCTTGGCGCGGCGGTGGCCGAGCTCGTGCTGCTTGTGGTTCTGGTTTGGAGGGTGGTCGAAGGTGGGGTAGGCTGTGGTGTTTGTGTGGAGGTGGCGGTGACGGAGGAAGAAGAAGAGGCAGAGCTCGAAGCAGAGCTCGAAGCAGAGCTCGAAGCTGCAGCACTTGACTCGGAGGTGGTTGGGGTATTGGTCGAGACAGAGCTGGAGCTGGAGCTGGAAACAATTATAGAAGTTGGAACACCTGAGCTGGAGACACTTGAAGAGCTGCTAACACTGGAAGAGGTAGAGGTGGAAGTTTTCTCTTCAGACGACGCGGACAACGTGGACAAAGAGCTCAGAGACGTGCTGGAACTCACTGTGGCAGAAGTCGAGCTACCCTGGCTGTCCGTCAAGATGCTCTTCATTGCCTCGGCGTAGTTTCCGCCGTCAACCTCGTTGCTGAAAGCCTGCGAGGCGTCCCAAAGCATGATTCCTCCCAGATTTGAGTCATCCATGCTCTCGAGCGCGCTCTTCACGGTGCTGACGTCCACGTAACCCGTAGAGGCGGCCGTGCTGGACCCTGGCAGTCCCAGGAACAAGCTGATGTCCTTGTTCGGAGACGTGCTAACAGCGAATTCGGCCCAGGTACCCCAGTTGAACTCCTTGTCGAGGTTGCAGTAGTTGTTGTAGAATTGGATAAAGGCAAAGTCGACGTCGGCATTGGCAAGCATGTCGCCAATGGAGGCATCAGGGTAAACACATTGAGGAGCAGCAGAAATGTAGTAGTCCTTGGAAGTGTCCTGGCTGTAGTACTCTCTCAATTTTGTTGCAAGAGCGGCGTAGCCGGTAGGGTTGTTGTTCTCGATATCAAAGTCAAATCCGTCAACAACAGCCTCGCCAAAAGGCCGCTCGTCGGCGTCTCCGCCACCAAACATGTTCCAAAGCGTGCCGGCAAACTCCTCGGCAACAGAATCGGAACTAAAGCCGTAGCTACCGCTGGCTCCACCGAGCGAAAGCAGGACTTTTTTGCCAAGACCCTGACAGGTCTGGATATCCTCGGCAATCTGATCGCACTTTAAAAGTCCGTCAGGGAACTGGTCGTTGCAGGCATTGGCAAAATTCAGAGTCGGAAGAGTGTCCGCGTCGGAGAACGAGGTCATGAACGAGAGCAGGAAAATGTCAGCAGCAGCGCTCTCGCAGTAAGTGGAGAGTCTCTGCTGAGTGCCGGCCGAGTTCTGGCCCCAATACAGAGCCACGTTGGTCTTGGAAGCAGCATCAAAAGCCTGGGCTGTGGAGAACAGGAACAAGGCAGAAACCACCTGTTTCAAAACAAGTGTAGAGATCATAGCAGCTAGAGTGTAAAAGAGTGACTGAAGTGGGAGTGGATGGGTTTCACACTGGGCCAGGCTCCATCTTTTATATTCCGAATGGCTTTCGAAACATTTCCGTTTTCGAACCGGAGAATTCTCACTAAGCCCAGCCCCACAAAGGTCGTGTGCATGGCCCAGATGTATATCGGCCGGGCGAGTTTTCGTTTTGTGGAAAAACTTTATAACCTTATTCCTCGTCTACACCTCGCACCAGCCGCATCGAGTACCTGTACACGCGGCTGCGCAGCTCTGCCGTGGCCTCGTCCTTGTCGTCCTTGAACAGCGGGGACCACGTCTCGATTCCGTCGTCGAAAACCTCGAATCCGCACTCTTTGGCTAGCTCAAAGAAATTGAGGTCCGCGGCAAGCAGCTTGGGCCGGTGAGGCGAGAATGGGACGAGCACACGGCCCGTCCGAGGCGTCACCAGCAGCTTGCAGCTCTGCAGGAGCTTTCTTTGTTCTGTATGATTGAAGATCACGTCGCTCAACAGAAGCACGTCGAAGGTTTCATGACCTTCAGGCAGTTCCTGCGTCAGTTCTTCCACGTCGTTCCCCCATATGTAGCCCTTGGCAACACAGTTATGTAATTTATTTTGTTCAATGTTATGCTGTATGTTTGCTACGAGGTCGGGGTCTGGATAGTCTGTGGCGAGAACTTTCTTTGCGCCCAACTTGGCGCACAGCAGTGACGGCAGCGCTCCGCCGGCTCCAAACTCCAGCACCGTGCGCCCAACCACCAACTGGGGGCTGTTCTCCAATTGTTTGGCTAGCGATTTGCATGCATTGGTCAGGATATGACCATACAACGGCGACGATCCCACAAGCGTCACCAGGATCACCTCTCCATTTTTCCGTGTGTACTCGATTGTAGTTTTCGGTTTTGGAGGCTCCTCCTCCGTGGTAAAAAGGTTGTCAAACAGAGACATGGAATTAATTATTCAAAAAAATAAAATAAAAAAATAAATAAAATAAATAAATCAGATCAGCCAGATCTACCAGATCAATCACCCCGTATCGAGCCAGCACCCTCTGGATTATGTCAAAACAAGCCTCATTCGCCTCCGAATGGAGTTACCTGCTCTTGGAACTGTGAGTATCCGTCTTTTGCGCCTAACATTAGCCGAGTCGTGCCCTCTGTTGAGCCATTTCCTGCTCTCGACGCCATCACGTGGAAATCCCTCATCTACAAAGCGCTCTCAAAGCTGCACGGTATAACAGGCACCGCAGTGCAATACGACATCCTTAAAATTCAGGACCAGCGCGTCTACATCAGAGTGCCCGCAGACGAAGCCCACCTTCTCTCCTCTGCCCTCACAGCTAGCGCGCCGGACCTCTCGCTCTTGGATGTCGGCCAATCAGCAGCATTCTTCAACATCCTCGCCACAGGGCCCACCCTCATGGCCATTGCAGGCCCTGACCGATTTTCCTGGTGCGAGGTGTAGCAGATTATAGCTGGTGGTTATGAACACAGAAAAAAGTAACAAAGGCAAAGTCTTGAATTTAAACACTTACAAGGAGCACTTTCAGTTTGAGTCTACGCCAACCAATCACGCTCAAACCTGCTTGGGAAGACCATTGCCATATTTTAGAATGAAGTGGTCAACGTTGCTGTTTCCCGTCCTGGCTCTTGTGAGTCTTGCTGGGGCTGCGGACTGGAAGCCAGCAGTCTCGAGAAGAGAGTTCACCGCGGGCTACCACGTGACGTATTTCGACGACTCGCCCGTAGTGCTTATTATTGAGGACAGCAGCATGTACATGTCGGAAGACAACGCCAAAAACTGGAATAAGGTGGATCTGAAAAATTCCGCTGGACAAGAGGTCAATCTTACGAGTATTCACACCGTGGACTATGCCAAAGAGCTGGGTTTTGCGCTTTCGACCTCCAAAACCCAATTCTACACCCGCGACCGCGGAAAAACCTGGACACCGTTTGAAGTCGACCACAGTGGCAACCAATTCAGCTTGGGACATGTCCAGGTCAACTATGCCAACCACGACTATCTCCTTTTCAATTTTGAGGACTGCTCGGAGGGCGCGCAATTTCTGTTCGAGTGCAAAAAGACCTGGTATTTCAGCAACGACGGGCTGAAGACGCCTCCCAAAAAAGTCGACCACGACGGCCTGGACCATTGTCTTTTCGCCAAGAGCAACAAAGCGTTCACGGCAGGACCGGACGAGAAGATCTTATGCTCTAAAGTGGACGGAGACCACACAGGTGCTGACAAAAAAGGCAGCCTTTTGACAACCAACGACTTCTTCAAGACCGTCTCTTCACCGTCGGCAGAGTTCGACAGGATGAATCTCGTGAAGATCCAGGTGGTCCAGTCGTTCATTGTTGCCACCGTTTCTATTGACAGGTACACTCCCGACGCCGAGATCATTCTATTTATTTCCAAGGACGGAGAAACGTTCAGACGGGCCTTTTTCGAGGACCAGCTCAAGTCGTGGATGTTTAGAATACTGCCCTCCACGCCGCAGTCGCTCTACATTGCCATCCAGGGCCAGCGCCAGGCAAGCAACGCTGCACTGGACGCAGACTTGTACAAGTCGGACTCGTCTGGACTCTTTTTTGACAAGATCTACGAGAACTTTTTGGCAAACGGGCTGGGATTGTCGGACATCACAATGGTCCAGGAGGTGGAAGGAGTCATTATATTGCTGAACCACGAAAATGCCAACCAGGATCACGCTTCTCCGCTGGCCAAGTCCAAAATCTCGATAGACGACGGAAAGACATGGCATTATCTCAAAACCGCCGATGACGACGACTGCAACGGCGATTCCGAGTGCTCGCTCAATTTGATGTGGACCACGATCAGAAACACAAACGGGAACTTTGTCACCGGCCCCACGCCAGGAATCATTGTTGGAATAGGAAACACCGGAAAGTACCTGACGTCTGACCTAAAGGACCTCAAGACGTACGTTTCCAGAGACAACGGTCTGACGTGGAAGAAAGTCGCCGACACGTCATCTGTATTCACGTTTGCCGACCTCGGAAACATCATCGTCGCCATTCCGATCGACATGTCGCATCTGATGGACGCGCGGATGGACCCAAACACTCTTCCAAACACGTTCCTGTACTCTCTGGACCAGGGCGACTCGTGGACAGAGGTGGAGTTGGACGACCATATACTGCCGCTCGACGTGTTCACGTCTTTGGACGGCAGCACGCAGCATGTTCTTGTCGCTGGCGAGGACTCCTCGTTTTCCAAGGTCATTCTGTATGCCATAGACTTTACCGGCGCGTTTGAGAGAACGTGTTCTGACGACGATTTCGAGGACTGGTACGCCAGAAAGCTCCCGGATAGCGACACTCCAGTCTGCGTGCTGGGCCACAAGGAGAAGTTCAGAAGACGGAAGCAAAAGGCGGACTGTTTCGTGAACCATCCGTACGAGGACCTGAAAGTTATCGAGGAGCCTTGCACGTGTACGATTGACGACACTGAGTGCACTTTTGGATTCATTAAAGGCGAGAACGATGTTTGTGAGCCGGTGGTGGAGGTGTTAGCTGCCAACCAGTGCGCCAACCAGAAGGGCAAGATCAAAATCACGACGAGACAGATGATTCCGGACGACACGTGCGATCCAAAGGGCGGCTACGAGGTCCAGAAGGACGACTTTATTTTTGACTGCGAGAAAGATCTACAGAACATGACGGCTCCCGTGAAGGTCACACACATTCCACTGGGCGAGAGAATCGCCGAGTATTTCTATCTCAACTACGACGCCGACGGGCTTCCGGACGAGACGCTCTTTGTGCTCACCGAGAACAAGGTTCTGTACATCTCGTTTGACGGCGGCTCCTCGTTCGGCAAGTTTCTCGGCGGCAAGCACATTGTCACCGGCGTGTACAGCAACCCTTACAAAGCAGACCACGTTTACATTTTGACCGACGCCGATACGCTATTTTTTTCGCCCGACAGAGGCGTTTCCGTCTTTGACCGCACGCTGCCGGTCAGGGGCCGCGAGTTCGACAGGCTCTCGCTCACTTTCAACAAACACAACGCGTCTGAATTCATTTTGCGTGCCGAACGGAGCTGTGCGAACCTGTTTTCCAGCAGCTGTGTGGTGGAAACGTACCACACGAAAAACTTCGGCGAGTCGTTCGAGCGTCTGGTGGCCGATGCCAACACGTGCAACTACGTGGGCTCGCTGTTCGACGACAAGGAGTACGCCGTCAACGAGACGCTGATAGTGTGCGACCAGTTCACCGAGGACCGCCAGGCTCTGCGACTTATTTCCAGCGCAGACTATTTCCAGAAAGATAGCAAAACGCTGTTCGACAGGATCATCGGGTTTGCCCAGACAGGCAAGTTCCTGGTGGTTGCGCGGCTGGACGACGACAACTCGCTGACGGCGTTCGTTTCTGCCGACGGCAAGGTCTTCGCGGAGGCCAAGTTCCCCAAGGACGTCATGGTCACGCGACAGACAGCGTACACGATTTTGGACGTGAACTCCGACCAGATTTTCCTGCACGTGACCACGCACTCGGCGGCGCAGCGCGAGTTTGGTGCGCTTCTGAAGTCGAACTTCAACGGCACGCTGTATGTTCAGTCGCTGTCGCACGTGAACCGCAACGAGTTTGCGTTTGTGGACTTTGAGAGCGTGCAGAGTTTGGAGGGAATCGCCACGGTCAACGTCGTGGCCAACTACGACGACGTGGTGCGCAACGGCGACGAAAAGGCCGTCAAGACCATGATCACCTACAACGACGGCGCCGAGTGGGACTATCTGGTTCCGCCGGCTGTGGACTCCGAAGGCAACAAGTACAAGTGCAGCGGCAATAAGGAGTGCACGCTGAACTTGCACTCATTTACCGAAAGAAACGACCCGTCCAGAGACACGTACTCGTCGGCCTCGGCCGTGGGGCTGCTGTTTGGAGTTGGAAACGTCGGCACGGCGCTGCTGCCGTACAGCTCGCCGGAAACGGCCACGTTCTTCTCGAACGACGCGGGAGCAACATGGAAGGAAGTCAAGAAGGGCAATTATATGTGGGAGTTTGGCGACCAGGGCACGATTCTAGTGCTGGTGAAGCAGGGACTCACAAACTCCGTGTCGTACTCTCTTGACGAAGGCCAAACGTGGCAGGAACACGAGTTTGCAGAGTCTCCAAAAAACGTCTGGGACATTGCGACGGTTCCCTCCGACACGTCCCGCAAGTTCATTCTGCTGGCCAAGGACGATGCCGGCCGCGACGAGGTATACAGCCTGAACTTTGCCGGTCTCCAGCAGCGACAGTGTGAGCTGGTGGTGAACGACCAGAACGAGCTGGCCGATTTCAAAGACTACGAGTACTGGTCGCCCAAACACCCGTACCAGTCGGACAACTGTCTGTTTGGCCACGAGGCCCGGTATCCAAGGCGCAAGGCGTCGCGGCTGGACTGTTTTGTCGGCGCTGCGCCGCTCAACAAGCTGTACAAGAAGACGAAGAACTGCAAGTGCACGCGGCACGACTTTGAGTGCGACTATAATTTTGTGCTGGCCGCCGACGGCACGTGCCAGCTGATCAGGGGCCTCAAGCCCGTGGACCCAACCGAGTACTGTCTGCTGAACCAGGACCAGGTCGAGTACTGGGAGCCGACGGGATACAGAAAGATTCCAATGAGCACCTGCGAGCAAGGACTGGAGCTGGACAAGTGGATTTCGCATCCATGTCCAGGCAAAAAACAGGAGTACAACGACAAGTACGGCGCGGGCCTGCACGGGGCGGGTCTTTTCTGGGTGATTTTCGCGCCGATTGCCGCGTTTGTGGGAGCAGCCACCTTCGTCTACGACAGAGGAATCCGTCGTAACGGAGGCTTCTCGAGATTCGGAGAGATCCGTCTTGACGAGGACGAGGAACTGCACCTGATTGAGGAGACGCCCGTGGACCGTGCTGTGAACAAGGTCGTGAGGAGCGGTCTTGTGTTTGTGAGCGCCGTGGTGGCGTTGCAGCACCGGGTCTCGAGTTTCCTGAAGAACGGTCTCTTTTCGCGGTTCAGAAGGGGCGGCCTCGACAACTACGAGCGGTTTGCGTCGTTCAACGACCGCATCATCGACGACGAGGACGAGTCGCTGTTCGACGTGAACGCCAACGACGACGACGCGCGCGAGATCGACGACTTCCTTGACGAGGACCGGTGAGGTGCGCGCGCTTATGTAATCGCACAAAAAGATGCCAAAAAATATAGAAATTATCAAGAGTGAACTAAATTTATTCTATATGATCCGCGCCTTTTTGCCCGCTCTTCGCCGCTACAGCACGTCGCCGATCCAGCGCCCGTCGGCCGCGTACTTCCAGCAGATGGGCCACCAGCCAGACCCAAACCAGAAGGGCGGAGAGTCCAAAGACGAGAGCGAGCTCAAAAAGACGCTGACGAGACGGTCGTTGCGGATGAGCGTCTGGCAGATGTTTCTCATCACCTTGGCCGGGTCGTCTGTGCTGAACATAATGAGAGAAAAAAACCACATTGAAGAGATGAACGACAACTACCAGCAGCGGTTCAAGAAGTTCGAGCACATCATTGAGGAGCTCAAGAAAGGAAACATGCGGGTGGAGGACGTGGAGAGCGAGCTGGCCGTTCTAAACGAGCGGTTTGAGTACTTTGGGCTTCCGAAGAGCGAGTTCACGGGAATTCGCGGAACCAAGAAGCCTGTTCAGCAGAGAAAGGAGGACGTGGATGTGAAGAGCTTTTTGTGAGGCTACTGAATAATTTATTATGATATTTTTTTAGCCGGATGCTAATGTACATAGGAACGTTTATGAGGCCTCGCATGCTATTTGTCGCTCTGGTCGGCGGCCCTGTCGCTCCGTTCGCTTTGGGACGTCTCCGACTGCGACTCGCCGTCCACCTCTGTCTCCACGGGGACTGCCGTGGACGGGTCTTTATATTCGCCCATGAGGCCTGGTATATTTTTGATCAGTCCGTCGATCTTCGACAGCGCCTCTCCGGCTATGTCGAAGCTCTTGCTGTTGATTTTGAGAATCCACCGGTAATCGAAAAGCTGCTGTTTGAAGCCGTTGGCCTCCTCGGTGGAGTCGCTGGTGACGTACAAAATGGTAGCAAAAATGCCGATCAGGGCGAAATTGTTGACTGCTGCCGACTGCCAGAACGACTGGATGTGTTCTGGCTTCAGGTTGCGTGTGAACTCGATCGACGCTGTCAGACGCGCCTGTGCGGCCGAGCGACAAACGCGCACCAGCTCTGGCTGACACTCGTCTTTCTGGGCGTGGAGAGCGGAAATGATGCGGCGGTGCAGGGTGATTTCCGTAGCAAAGTACGCCAGCTGCAAGTAGCCGTTCGAGTTGAATTTCCGCGGCTTGAGCGTGTTCATCTGCAGCGTCTCCGGCAGCGAGTGGTACCAGTTTCTGAGTTTCAGCTGTAGCGGCTTGGCCAGCTTGAGCACCTCGTCGATCGTCGTCACCGTCTCTATGCTGTGCATGGTGTAGAAGGCGTCCAGAATCTCGCTTAGAATCTGGCTCAGCGTGATCAGCTGCCGAAACAGCGCCTCTCCGTTTTCGTAGTCGGCAGACCCGTCTTTCTGCTGATCCGCGTCGCCCTTGTCGGGGAAATCCTCACTGGCCACCATTTGCACCTGCCAGTTCTTGCCCTCGATGATGTGGCTCGGCCGCGACTCCACGAGCGACGACCACTTGTCCTGGACGTACACGGCCCACGCGAGCCGCTTGCGCAGTCCCCGTTCCCAGCGCGGGAGTCTCCAGTTCGCACAGTCCAGCCCCAGCCCCAGTTCCTCGGCCAGAGCCACCACCTGCGAACACAGCAGCCAGTTGTTGTCCTGCGACCCGCTCGACCGGCACTGCAGCAGCAACAGGCCCGCCTGCACGGCACTGAGCTTGGGCCGTTGGATGACGTCCGAAAACGTCTTGAGCGCAAACTTGTGTAGCGACACCACGTTGGGCTTCGGGAACTGCGACAGGTGCGGGTCGTAGTCCCACCATTGGATGGCCAGACAGTAGAGCGCAGCAAGCAGCGGGGCGCCGAACTCGCGGTGCGTGCGTGAGTACTTTTCCAGAACGACTTTTTTGTGCAATATCGGAAACGACGGGTGAACGGTGCGGAAGTACAGGTCGATGAGCTTCTGGCCGTGCGGCGCAACGTACCGCTCGACGCTGTCGACGTCCCACTCGGACTTCTCGTACAGGTCCTCGGTGAAGTCGTCGCGCAGCGTGAACTGGACGTCGTTGGCGACCTTGCGGATCGAGTAGGCCTTGTTGAGCTGGAACTGGTCGATCTTGTCCAGCACAACGTTCTCGAGGAACAGTCTGTCGTAGATCGACGTCGGCCCCACGTAGAAACTCGAGCGCGGGTACTGCAGGCTGAGCGTTTTTTTCAGCAGCGAGTGGCCCTGCATGGTGGCATAGTCCTTGATCGGCAGGGTCTCGCGCAGCGGCACGTTTGGCGGCGGCACGATGGACGGGTCCTCGAACTTGTGGCGCTTGGCGTCGTTTTCCGGGCTCGAAAACGAGCGTTTTGTGCCGCCCGTGCTGGCATCGATGAACGTGCACTTCATCCCTTTATTCTGGCACATCTTGCACGTGTTGGAGTCCGGCACCATCACACACTTGATCTTGCGCCGCCGACAGTGGTCGCACGGCTTGACCTTGGTGCGTGGCTGCGGCGGCTCGCTCTTCGCGGGAACAGGATACGGCATCGGCATCGGCTGCATGGGATAGGGCCCTGGCATGGCGCCCGAGTACTGGCCCATCAACGCCTGCGGGTTCATGAACGGCGGCATGAACGGCACAAACTGTCCGGACCCGTTCGCAGCGCCCGGCGGCGGCCCGCCGGGAGCCACAGACGCCGCGCTCGCGCCAGCCGTTGAGGCATTATTCCCGTTTTCTGTCTTCATCCCCTGCTCCAGCATCATATTTTGGTACTGCTGGAGGTGCATCACGTACTCGGCCGGCGACGCCGGCGTGATCACCGACCCCACGTTGGCCGGCGACATCATGGCGGACTGAGACGTGTGAACAAGGGGCTGCTGTGTGCCCATGTCAAGCTGGAGATTGTTGTCTGTGTAGAAGTTGAACTCGCCGTTGTCGCGCCAGTTGGAGTACTCGTACGCAAATTGGCCGCTCGAGTTTGTTCCGGGCCCAGATCCAGACCCGGGATCCATGTCTGTCACTTTATCCACTACAGGATCTTGGTTTGACATAGGAGTGTATACTTTGCTCTGATGATCGTCCGCGGTGGCCGGCTCTTTTTCCATGCAAATGGAAGACAGTCTGTGGGTTTGGCGGGTGTTCCAAACTTGTATTCAGGAGGTGGCCGTGCGCGACAGTGCGAAAGATGAATATTTTTGTCCTGTCACTATCGTACTGCCTTATTTTTTTTCAGATATGAAGGTCGTGTGCAGCACAACAGGTATAGCGCAAACACTGAAAAATATTGAAAATTAAATACTCCATGCTGCTGCTCTGTGCCAGAAGGGCCCTGCTGGCCCTCTGCCGTTCGCGCGTCCGCGCTGGCGTGCGCCTGAACTCGTCCGACACGCCGTGGTATCTGCGCCAGACGCCACAGAGGCCCGCCGTGCTCAACCAGACACCCATCCCCGAGCTGCCTGCCAACTCGCCAGACACCCTGCAGCCGCTGCTGGAGTTCGTGGCGCAAAAGCTTGGCATGACCGACATCGAGGTGTTCGACCTGCGCGGCGCAGACGGCGAACAGACCACCAACGAGGGCGCCCAGGAGGTCGCCGACTTCATGATCATAGCCACCGGCAAGAGCTCCAAACATCTGCAAAAGGCCACCTTCGAGCTCAACTTCTACGTCAAGCACCAGCTCAAGAGCCTGTCGACGCACGAGGGGCTGCTCACGACCGGCCAACTGGCGAAATTCCGGCGCAGACTGCTCAAGAGAGGCAAAAAGGGCCCCGGCTATGCGATGAACGACTATGGCGCGGAACCGAACAGCTGGGTGATGGTGGACTGCAAAAAGGACAATATTTTCGTGCATTTCATGACGCCCGAGAGACGTGCCGCCATGAACCTCGAGGCGCTGTGGGCCAAGGACAAGGAAAAGTACGAAAACAAGGCCCCGGCAGTGGAGGACGATAGCATTTTTTCGGGCTTCAGGTTCCTGCACACCATGCGAAGACCGATGAGTGCTGTGCAGATTCTGACGCAACTCTCCCAATTTTCCAGAAGTTCGAGCACACAGACAGCGGGCCGGTTCCAGCAACTGAAAGAGCAGCATCTCGCAGACCCTGCCAGCTGTCCATTGGATCGTCTGGAAAACTATCTCAAGTCCAAACAGGCCAACGGCCGACTCGTGACCGCCAAAGAAATCTCCAAGCTGGTCGAGGTCGTGCTGCAGTCGGCCGAGTTCCACGAGGGACTGGAAACAGACACGGCAGTGTTCAATAAACGGTACGCTCGTATCTTTTCCATTCTCGAGACGTTCAGCCCTGTGCTGACCGAAAAAGACGTGCAGGAGCTGTTACCCGTGCTGGTGGTCGCCGGGTCGCAGATCGATGCTGACGGCTTTGTCACGCTTGCCTCCACGGCACAGGACACGGACGTCCAGTTCAGATACTCGCCGATGGTCCACAAGCTGTACAATCTGTGCCACAAGCTGTACCAGAATCGCAGGGACGCTGCGTTCGTGACAAAAATGGACCTGCTGTTCCTCACCATCTTTGCCAACCGCGGAAACTGGGTTTATATGAAAAAGGTGCTCGAGGCGGCACTTCAACGCGAAGACTTTGTTCCTCTGCAGGCAGCACTCAAGTTCCTGTCTATAAAGGGCACACCAGCCCAATGTCTGAATTTTGTGGACAACTACCTTCCGTACCTGAAAATGTGGCCCTCATTCGATGCCTCCGCGCACAAGACGGAGCTGGACGCGGTTCTGGCCAAAGCCGGAAACTAATGTCTCATGACTTTATACCAACGATAATAGCACTTGATTTTGGTTCCCTCGAACCAAACGTAGTAAAACGCGGACCCCAGATGCACGTGATCGTCCTCCCGGAGCTTGATATTGAATATGGGCTTGAAACACGCCAGAGCCACCACTTTGTCCTGGTCGATCTCGACGAGCCTCAGCTGCGGCGAAACCTCGTTTATGCGCGAGATCGTGACGGTTGGCAATCGCTCCTTCGAGATCGGCTGGTCGTACCCCAACACGGCGTTCGCAGAATGTATATTTGTCAGATAATCGTTGAGCTGATCGGTCAAGATCCCCGAAAACGTGCCGCTGCGCACCGCGGTGGCCGACTCCTCGTCGGAAGACCGATGGCGCAGGCTGATCTGGCGCGTGATCTCGTCAATGCTGGATTTCGTGCGTGTTTGTGTCTCCTTATGGAGATACGATCTGGTGAGGCTTGCCACGTTGATTGAGCGATTCGCGCTCTTAGAAGGCTGGATTCTAAGCTGGTTAGGCTTGAGCACACGGTGCGGCCGTCTGTTGAGCCCCAATTTGCCGGTGATCTCGCTCAGCGGCATCCGTTTACCCCCTCGATCCATTGTTTATATAAAAAATAATTATTTTATTTTCAGCTCAGTATATAATTTTATTGTTTATGCCTTGTTTCCCAAAGCAACCACACCTGGCAACTCCTTACCCTCCAAAAGCTCCAGAGAAGCACCTCCACCAGTAGAAACATGGGACAGCTTGTCTGCTCCACCAAACTTCTTGGCAACAGTGGCAGTGTCTCCACCTCCAATGATGACGGTGTTTCCAGCCTGGGCGCTCTTGACACAGGCCTCCAGCATGGACTTGGTTCCCTTGGCGAACTTCTCGAACTCAAAGACACCTGGTGGTCCGTTCCAGACAATGGTCTTGGCCTTGGCAATGGCGTCGGCGTAAAGCTTGCTGGACTTCTCGCCAGCGTCCAGTCCCTGCCAGTCGTCAGAAATACCTTCCTCCAAAGTAGCGTAGCCGGTCTTGGCGTCTGGAGAGAAGCTGTCGGCAGTGACGAAGTCAACAGGAAGAATGACCTCGACGCCATTCTTCTTTGCCTTCTCCATCAGTTTAGGAACGATCTCTGCACCGTCCTTGTCAAACAGAGATTTTCCAATGTTCATGTTGTTGACGATCTTGTTGAAAGTGAAGGCCATTCCACCACCGATGATCAGGATGTCGACCTTGTCGAGCAAGTTGTCGATCAATTGGATCTTGTCGGACACCTTGGCACCGCCCAAAATGGCCAGGAATGGTCTGACTGGGTTTTCCAGAGCCTTGGAGAAATACTCCAACTCCTTGGCCATCAGGAAACCTGCAGCTCTCTCGTTGAGCTCAAAGCCAACCATGGAAGAGTGGGCTCTGTGGGCGGTACCGAAAGCGTCGTTGACGTAGACGTCGGCCAAGGCGGTCAGTTGCTTTCTGAACTTCTCAACGGCCTCCTTCGAGGCCTTGACCTTTCCTTCTGGCGTCTTCTTCGAGCCCTCCTCCTCAATGTGGAATCTCAGGTTCTCCAGAAGAATGACAGCACCGTCGGTGGCGCTGTTGACAGCAGACTCGACCTCAGGTCCAACACAGTCTGGCAAGAAAGTGACCTTCTTACCCAGCAGAGACTCCAATTCGCCGGCAACAGGCTTCAAGGTGAACTTCTTGTTGACCTCACCGTTTGGTCTGCCCAAATGGGAAGCCAAAACGACAACCTTTGGCTTCTGATCCAGGACGTACTTGATGGTTGGCAAGGCAGCAACAATTCTCTGGTTGTTGGTGATCTTGTCTCCATCAAGAGGAACATTGAAGTCCACTCTGATGAACACTCTTTTACCTGTGAATTGAAGGTCCTTAACGGATAGCTTGTTAGCAAGAGACATTATTTTTGAATATTCGAAACGATGTTTTCCGAAACTTTTAGGGGGGTCGTGACACTATTTATACAAGGTGGTGGCAGCACGTCTCTTCTCCGAGACGGTGCAAGGGTGTTCTCTAAAGCAACCACCAGGGGTGGATCTGGTGCGCGGACTGCAGTGACGGGGGCCGTACGCTTCTCGCGGGCGACCTGTTCTACACTAATCCCGGTTCAATGGGCACGCCGTTGTCCATGGACGCCCGAAACGCTCGTTTTCCAGCACCACAAATTATTTCGAGCAAATCTGGTGATTGCGTGTCTCGGAAATTAGACGGGTGGGCGGGCTTGCACAACCACACGGTTAATAAATAAGGAGAATAAATAAGGTGATTCATGCAAGGCCAACTAAACCAGCATTGCCAAACCGCTATTTCGACGGGTCGTTGCGCTGGTAGCCCAGATATCCCTGTGCGCGACTCTCTGGCAGCAGGTCCAGGTATCTGTTGGCGAGGTTGCGGCACTCCTCGTGTGCGTTCGGGCCGTTGACTCTGAAGCAGTTCTCAAGAGCCTTTCTCACGATCTTCAGCACCTCCACCTTGATAAACTGCTCTCTCATGAGCGACTCCTGGGCCTTTTTCAGCTCCAATGGGTCGCGGTAGTCGATGTCGTCGAACGAGACGTCTGGGCTTTTCTTGAACGGTTTGACTGGCATTAGATCGTAGCCGACGGAGACTTACCTGCCATATTTGAGGGGTAAAAGTAGTTATTCCTCAAAATATTTGACTACACTCGTTCTGTGCAAGGGTGTATGTCTCTCTCGATCCAGGGTATATTTTTGTTTTTCTGTTCAAGTGTCCAACTTTCTTTTGTAATGGCCAACTCGTCTGCTGCCCAGCCGTTGTTGAGCTTCAACGCACAGTTCATTGCTATAGCTCACACGGTGTGCTCTCTGGCCGCTTTTCTGGCAGCTCTAGGTGTTGGTTATTGGCTCCATTTCTACAAGATCGTCCAGAACGAGCACTACGGTTATCCCGATGAGTGGTTCCCCAGCGTGTCTGCCACCATCGGAGACCGGTACCCGGAGCGGTCTGTGTTCCAGATCCTGATTGCTCTCACGTCTGGGCCGAGATTTCTGCTGCTGTTGATCGGCTACATCGTCCTCTACAAACAAAACTCGATCTACCCGATGCTGGGCCTTGTCACCGGTCTGATCAGAACCGTCACCTGCGGAGGATGGGTCTACATCACCTCTACAGATGACCACGACTTCCATGATATCTTCATGATCTCGTATATCGTTCTAACCATTCCCTGGGACATGGCTGTCACCAAGCTGTCACCGGCCGGCTCCAAGATCAGGAGATACAGAAAATACACGGCATTCACCTTTTTCTTCATGCTCGTGCCATTGATCTATCTCTTCATTCAGCACAAGGTGCATAAGGTTCCGGGAGCATACTCATACTACGCCTACTGCGAATGGTCGCTAATTTTCCTGGATATCGGATTCGACGCCTGGTCGATCTGCGACTTCAAAGACCTCACCATTGAAATTGTTTCCTCGTCCAAAGAGGCTACCATGTTCTCCACGAACTTCAAGGTGTCAACAGCTTCTACCAAAGAGCCTAAACTGCTTGCCAAATCTACTCAGCAAGACGCCTCTCTGTTCCAGCTCACAGTCGACGTTATCAACGCGTTTATTTTCTGGTCCATGTACTCGTCGCTGTTCCTGTTGATCTGGTACTTTCCTCTGTGGCACATGGGAATCTCGGGCTATGAAACTGCCTGTCTAACCCTGCTATCTCCCATTCTTCTCTCGATCCCGGGAGCTTCAAAACTGGTGGCCACTTATCCTCAGATCTTCAAGGCTTTTTCGTGTCTGCTTGGCGTGGGCTCCTACTTGGTCGCCGATCCAGCTTCCAGACTGCTCACTGCTGCTGCTGGCATTGGTCTGGCCACTATCTCGCTGAGCTGCGACATCTGGACGCTCGGAAACCAGAAAAACACTCTGGCCATCAAAACTTACGCTGCCACCTTTGTGCTTGGCCTCATACTCTCGGCCATTGCAAAGTTCGCGTTCTGGACCAACAACCCAATCTGGCCCATCATGAACAAGAACACCGGGGGCTGGAATCTGACGGGTCTGATTGTGGGCGTGGTCTCTGCACTTTTCACCAAACTGCCTAATGCTGCTCCACCCTCGGAAAAGGAAATCAAGACCAAGCAACCCTCGTTTCTGCTCACCGCCATGGGTTTCGGCTCGCTGATCTACTCCATGAGCGCCATGCTGACCGACTCGTCCACCATCATTCTCTGGAACTGGGAGGGCTATCCTATCCGCGGACCTATTCCTGTTCCCCACGGAGCCATCACCCTGATCACCATGTGTGCAGGTATTTTCTTTGGACTCTACAAGAATCAAAGCTACAAGAAAGTCACGTATGCCGGTGTGCTTGGTGCCGTCGTGCTGTACGCTTTCAACGGGTGGCTTGGTTACATTGGGGGAATGGCGTACGCCTTCTGGTTATGCTACATAACTCCGTTGTGTTTCCACCATATCTCGAAGCACACGTCCTTGGGTGCTATTTTCTGCATTTCTTTTCTCTTTACCGTCATTCTCTCGCTGATGCACGTTTGGGTTGTTGCATATGCCTTTGTTCCTGGCGGACCGCTGCTGCGTGAAAGATCCGACATTGTTCTTGGGCTGTCCGTCCTGATGATTGTGGGGCTGGTGTATGACTACCAGCCGCTTGAGATCAGCAGCAAGCAGCTGCATTCTGTTTTGAAAAAACTGGCCAACCACCTGGTGCTGCTGACTCTGCTTTCGTGCTGGATCGCGTTCGCTCGCTCCCAGTTCGAAAAACCACAGCCGTACCACCCAAAGTCGAGACTCATGACAGCAGGTATCTGGACCATCCACTTTGGTCTCGACAACGATATGTGGGCGTCTGAGCACCGGATGCGCGATCTGATCAAAGACCTCGAGCTGGACGTTGTTGGTCTGCTCGAATCAGACACCCAGAGAATTATTATGGGTAACAGAGACCTGACTCAGAGAATTGCAGAGGAGCTCGAGATGTACGTCGACTTTGGCCCAGGACCAAACAAACACACCTGGGGAGCTGCTCTGCTGTCCAAGTTCCCTATTTTGAACTCCACCCACCACTTGCTTCCGTCGCCTGTCGGAGAGCTGGCTCCGGCCATCCATGCCACGCTGGACTGCTACGGCGAGCTGGTCGACGTGGTGGTGTTCCATTCCGGACAGGAGGAGGATGTTGAGGACCGCAGATTGCAGAGCCTTGCCGTGGCGGACATCATGGGCAGCTCGGACCGGCCGATGGTGCTGTTGAGCTACCTCGTGACAGACCCGCTGAAAGGAAACTACAACACATACGTGAGCGAAAAATCAGGCATGCACGACATCGACCCGACCGACGACGACCGTTGGTGCGAGTACATTCTGTACAAAAAGATGAAACGCACAGGCTATGCGCGAATCAGCAGGGGCACCATCACAGACACGGAGGTGCAGGCCGGCAAGTTTGTGATACCAGTGAACGGACACTACGACGAGATGTACTCACAGAAACGAATCAACGAGAAGGAAGTCCCGCCAGACATGAGGTTCCCGTCGATCTTCTATGGCGACGGTGTTCGCGAGCACCGGTTCCATGTCTTTGACGAGCCAAGATATTTTACATAGACTAAATTAGTGATAATAAAAATAATGGAAAAAAAATCAAGCTAATTTTGAAAACCGTTGCAATTTTCCCGGCTGTGCTCAGACCATAAACCAGCCATCTACATATATAATACTGTGACGTTCAGGCTTCGCATCCAGTTTCGCCATGATTGAAATTGACCATACAAGCCGTTCCGACTCCAGCTACGATACTGTGGCCTCAGAAATGCTCGTTGACAACCGGAAGGCGCTCATCAACGACGCCCAGAGTGTCAGCTCCTCAAAGTACGACCAGTCGGTCCATGCTCTACACACACACAGAAAGACTCTATCCAGTGCAACGACCTTTTTTGATAACCCATACCTGCGCTCCAGGTCTTCGATGCGCTCCAGCAAACACGTCACGCTGACGTCTACGTGGGGAGTAGACAGTTCACAGAACGTTCGCAATAGCCAGCTGCTCCAGCAGCTCATGGAGGGCTATGAGAGTGCTGCGTCGAACCACACTCGAGAAAAGTCGAGTGCACCCTCCCAGGACGCCGTGGCCCCGTTCGAGCCGTCCAGACAGCCGTCTTTGCGCCGCCAGCTGACCACCCGATCAGTCAAGTCCACGGGCACTCTTAGGAGATCTAACGCTGTCAGACGCAAGGTCGGGTGGCTGACAGCGCTCAGACAGCTGATTCGCAAATGCAAGAGACGCGCCGCCCAGAAATGGCGGAGCATCCGTCAACGGCGAGTGTTTGGCGGCCGCAAGAAGCACACGAAAACCTGGTCACTCACGATCTCGTTGCCACTAACACATCCAGAGGCTCCGCAACTGAGCCGCACACAAACTGTCCAGAAACTGTCCCGTCCATCCAGCATCTCCGGCTCGCAAAGAAAAGCTGCAATGGACAGGCTTATCAGAAAAAGCCAGGAGAACCTGATCGACCCGGGCCACGAGGACCTGATCGCGCTGTGGACGAGCTATCTCCGGTCGACCGTCGCCAAGCGCATCCAGCTCAAGCTCAACATTACACAGCTCGCAAAACCAGCCGCCACGCACGCACGCAAGGAAAGCCTGCTCGACTCGATCCTGTCCGATTACGTCAGCACAGACGATAGCGACGCCAACAGCATGGCTTCTGAGTGGAGCTCGATTTCGACGGCCGAGTCCTCGGCGATGGACGTGCGCGAGATGGTCGACTATATGGGGCGCAAGGACAGCATATTCAGCAGTGAGTCGACGACGCCGATCATAGTGAGGCAAAGCAGCGTTGCGTTTTCATTTGCTCCCTCGGTGTTGAGTAAACCCGAATTTTCGGGCCGAGGCGAAATTTTTAGTACTTAAAAGACAGGGTCCCTAATTTATGTCTGCAATCGCCGATATGGGTATATTATATTCCATCGCGAACGGCTTCTCGCTGGGGCTTTTCGACAAAGTGCGCAAGATGCTCGTTTCGGACAACGCTGAAGTTGAGATTTTGAGTTTCTCTGACTTTGAGCAGGAGAGCCCTCAAAGAACAAGACTGTGCCCCGTGATGCGAATGGGCGCCGTGCAACGATCGCGCACTAAAGCCTTTTCGGCCATGAATACGGGTATCGACCTGCCGGAAAGTGGACGATCGTCGCCAGTCGACTGCAGCAGCATAGCAGATGTGCAACGCTATCATCCTAGGCGATCGAGCTCTTCCGTGCAGGGCATAACGCTCCCGGAGCTATCTAGGACGGTCTCTGATATCTCCAACCAGTCCAGCCGCGCTGACACTTCTGAGTCCATTGCTGCCTTTCGGATCGTGTTTGACGACCATATTATGCCAGGAACGGTGGCACGCTAACTACTACGACTTACAGGGTCTATATGTGCTTATAGAATCCATGATCCTTCATTAATGTACATGCTGAATAAAATCGGTCATTAAGCGAACTCCTCATCGACAACGTCCTCAATGGTAGGCGAGTAAGTTTTTGGGGCGAGGCTCGTGTGACGCTCCATAGTGGTGTAGTTTTTCTTCAGGTCTGTTGCTGGGCGAACGATTTCCCGCGGCACGACACGTGCCACTGGCTCACTTGGCCTGGTTGTCTCGGACACTGTCTCGCTCTGCTCTTCTTGCGACGTCTGGATAGGAATGCGTTTCACGTGCTCTGGCTGCTCTGGCTGCTCTGGCTCTGATAAGCTTTCTGCGTGTTTCTTTGGGCAGTGTCTGTTTTTCCCATTGCAAACAGCAACAGGCGACGCCGTGAAAGAGTCGTCAAACGTGTTGAAGGTGATTCTGATCGGCCTCCTCTTAGGGATGGCTACCAACAGTGCGCCGTTCACCATGCGCAGGTCCATATCCCGTCTTAAGTCTGCGTCATCCGGCAAGTCGAGCACTTTGTAGAAGTCGTCCTTGTCACAGCTCACAAGCAGCTTTCTGCCGCGGATCTCAAACACGTAGTCCTCGAAGAAAGGTCTCTGACAGGTCTGTTCGAACACCAGATAATAGTTGTCGTCATCCTCGAGTCTGTGGATAGCAGGCGTCACGCGACGCTGAACACTGAACACGGGGTAGTTGGCGTAGTTGCAAAGCTGCGGAGAAATCAGAAGCATTGATAAGAAGACTGCTGACCACAAGGCTTTAGGCACAAGGCTTTATACTTAAGCGAGCACAGCCAAGATCTTGACCCAGATTTTTCTGGAATAAAAAACAGGAAAATATTTATCTAGAATAATCTATGAATTTGTAATCAAGCTACAATATCCACGAAAGCGCAGTGTCGTACCATTTGTCGCTCTGGGTATCTTTCTCTAGAGCAATGGCCAACTCGTGAGCTTCGACCTCTTCCAAGCCCGACACCAGGTCGACGTCCCTGGACTTTATGAATTTGGTGCGTCTGAACAGCTTCCAGAAAACAAAGAGTCCAATGTTGACAAAGATCATCAGGTAGTAGAAGAGGAAGTCGGACACCTGCCACCAGCCAGGCAGGAAGACGGTGTATCCAATGACAAAGATCTGGATCCACACAAAGAACGTGACAATATAGATCGAGTACGGCTGGAACCATGATCTGTATGGCAAGGAGCGTCTGTCGAAGCCTTGTGCTTGCACAGCCCTATAGAAGCCGATGTAGGTGATGGTCATCCAGCCGTAGTTGATGAGTTGCGCGCCAGTGCAGAGGTTGACGATCCAGTTGAGCACAACAGCAGAGCTTTTTCCGAGTTGCAAAAGAGACAAAAGAGCGAAAACGGTGGTGACGGCAACAGAGAAAATGGGGATGCCGTTGCCGTTGCACAAACAAAGGAACCGTGGAGCAAATCCGCGTTTCGCGAGAGAATAAAGTTGACGAGATGCACAGTAATAATATGAGTTTCCGGCAGAGAATGCGCTGAGAATGATCACGACGTTGATGATATGCGGTAGAACCTTAATATTGAGGTTTTGGATGGCGATGACGTATGGCGATGCGGAAGCGTCGGTTTTTCCACTGGTGACAGAGGAGATTAGTTGCGGGTTGTTGCAGGCGACCAAAATGCCGACAGATAGCGATCCACCGATATAGAAGATGGCCAGTCTGTAAATGACGGTCTTGAAAGCTGTCCTCATGGTCTTGCGTGGGTTATTGGCCTCTCCGGCAACCATCGACAAATATTCTGGTCCAACACACACAAACCCTGCTTTGGCCCAGGCTGCGAGCCATCCTTCAAATTTTCCAAGCGATCCAGTGGTAACGTACTCTGCGAATGGCGAAATGTTGAAGTTTCGGAAGCCAAACACGTCATGCTGAGGGTTTCCTCCCACCATCACGATGAATGTGAAAAGCAGCAGTCCGATAGCCAAAATCAGCTTTGTGATCGAGAGAATAAACTCGCTCTCTCCGTACCATCTCACAGTCCAGATGTTGAATGCGATATAGAGCACAATTTGGATTGCAAAAGCGATGCCTGGAGAGTAGTCGCTTCTCCAGAAATGCACCATGGTGTTGCAAGCAGTGATCTCAAAAGGGATGTAAAGCGCCTCCACAAGGAAGAAGTTCCATCCGCTTGCAAATTCGGCAGCCTCGTCCACTGCACGTCCTGCCATTTCGATGAATGGAGATGCTGTCGGCAAATAGCAGACGATTTCACCGATGGCCGTGGTCAGCATCAGAATTATGACCGTCCAGAAAGTGAAGGCAATAAGAAGAGAGCCGGGGCCTCCGCGGACCAGTCCGGTTCCAATCGTGACAAAAAGACCTGTTCCGATGGACCCTCCGATGGCTATGAGTTGCACATGTCTGGATTTCAGTTTTCTTTTGGGTGAATAGCTATCGGTAGCAGAGAAGAATGCGTTGCTACCGGAGTCGGACGACGTCTGAGAGGACAGGTCCTTGAACTCAGTCGTATCCTTAGTAAAGAAAGATTTACCCATAATGATCGTGCGAGAAAAAAAATAACTTTTTTTTACTGGGCTACCGTTGAGCCTTTAAAAGAAACGGCTTAAAAACTTGATGCATATTTTTCTTAGCATATTTTCACTTCTGAGGACGTAATTGTGCATAATTTAGACAGGAGCATGAAAAAAATCAAGGAAAAAAAAACTTCGCCCGTCTTGGTTTTTATCAGCTGTACAGAAATGATGCATTAGAATATAGTTCAAGCATTGGGTTTTCTCCGCTTTTAGTGGTCGTGACCTCTGTGTCTGCCCACACGCTCAGGAAATCCGCATGGGTGCTGGTGTTGCATAGTTTGCCAACCACCAACCGGTACAGTTCGCTCATCACGTCAAAATTAGTAGGGAACATGATGTCAAAATACCCCTGGTTCACCATGTAGCTGTCGACATTGACCATCCTGTCTTTGTGCATCGTCTGTACCAGCGGCGAGCAGTAGCCCGGGACAGTGCTGTCGAAACTTGAAAAGTCCGACGACACCAGCTGGTGGTTGGGGAAGTATTTTTTGAGTATCTCGAATAATTTCAGTAGTCTTGTTGGCACAAATTCAGGGTCCGACAAATTATTTCTCAGGGGGTAGAATGCATTTTTTAGTTGTTGTAGCAGTCTGTGCTGGTTGAGAGGATGGTTTTTCAGGGATGAGACCGCACATTTGCTCTGTTCACGCAGGTTCAAAAAATGCTTGGTCCATGGGTTCAGTTCAGGGGAAAACACCTCCTTGAAGTCGTTGTTCTCATCGATCACCACGTATCCCTGATACGGTTGTTGGGTGTTGATATCGTAGCGAACCACGTCGTGCGCCAGGTTGTCGAACACTTCGAGCGCCACAACAAAACACGGCTCGATCACAGGCTTGTTCCAGTCGAGCACAGACTGGTTGATGAGGTGCACCTTTTGGCTATGTCTGCTTTTGTTCTTTATTTGCTTGTTGAATAACCGCGACGATATCTCCACGATGTTGTACTTTGTGCGCTCGTAGACTTCTGGCTGCGTTCGCTGTATAAAATCTAAAATGTTGGTCATGAGCGTTCCATTTCCTCCTCCGATCTCGTAGATGGTCAGATCGTTGTATGGATACTGGTTCAGCTTGTAGTTGACCAGCAAATACCTCGCCAGCGCCTCGCCGTAGTAGGGCTGAAACAACTCCGTGGGAGTGTGCCATAATTGCAGCGACGGCTTCGTCAATTGGAAGTGGTTCTCCTTGCTATGTTTCAGAGTAGGCACCATTATCTGATCGTATTGATCGTACGCGGCGATCCATTTTTGCATGAACTCGTCCTGGCCACTAAGTTCTTTGTACACGATGGGCTTGTCGTGCTGGAAAATCGTGGCCTGTTTCGCAAAATAGCCGTAGGAGGGGTTGTACAGCGAGTCCTCGATAAAGTCAGAAGAGAGCATTCTGACGTTCGAGGGTTTTTTTGTCCGTTTCTCGAGCCTCTTTGTAGTCATCATCGGGTACTTATGGAACATCTGCAGGTTCTTTTGCCAGTCAAAGCCCTCAATGTCGCCCATCTCCAGAATGTACCGTATGATGTTGGAGTGATTATCAGACAGTGCAGGATGCTCTTTCGACGGCAATCGGTACTGTATGCTGGTGGGCAGAATGGAGTAGTCGTGGATGAAAGACGACTTCGCTGTGCTGAGCAGCCGCTTCGCATTTTTTATTCGGATCATGGCACTGTACGATCGACGTCCCCTCTTTATTTATCTGGCTGAGATAATCAAGTATATTAAATTTGATTTATTAAAAAATTATCACAAACAAGTCAAAATGGGTGTTCCTGCGCTTTTCAGATGGCTTTCGCGTAAATATCCGAAAATCATCTCGCCAGTCATAGAAGAAGAGCCCATAGTGGTGGGGGATGTGGAACAGCCTGTTCAGTACTCCAATCCAAATCCTAATGGAGAGCTGGATAACCTGTATTTGGACATGAACGGTATTGTTCACCCGTGTTCCCACCCAGAAAATAAACCACCTCCAGAAACCGAGGCAGAGATGATGGTGGAGATTTTCAGATACACGGATCGCGTGCTCAATATGGCACGTCCGCGCAAACTGCTCATGATTGCCGTGGACGGCGTTGCTCCCCGTGCAAAGATGAATCAGCAGCGGTCTAGACGGTTCCGTTCGGCCAGAGATGCGGCCTTGGCACAGGAGGAGCTGGAACGACAGATCCAGGAGAGAGAAATGCGAGGCGAGGAAATCGACCTTGCTATCAAGGGAAAGAAATCGTGGGACTCGAACTCGATTACTCCTGGCACACCGTTCATGGACATTCTTGCGCGCTCGCTCAGATACTGGGTGGCATACAAGCTTGCCAACGATCCCGGATGGGCAAGTTTGCAAGTTATTATCAGCGACGCCACAGTGCCCGGAGAAGGAGAGCACAAGATCATGAACTTCATCAGATCCCAGAGATCTGACCCAGAATACGACCCAAACACCACACACTGCATTTATGGACTAGATGCAGATTTGATTTTTCTGGGTCTGGCCACCCACGAACCTCATTTCAAAGTTCTCCGTGAAGACGTGTTTGCAAAGGACCAAGCTCAAAGACAGCTGAAGCTGGCCGACCAAGTGAACATGGATGAAGCCACGCGACAGAGACTCTTGGCTGCAGATCAGAAGAAGCCGTTTTTATGGCTTCATGTGAGCATACTACGAGAATACCTCGAAGTTGAGCTGAATATTCCTCGACTGTCGTTCAATTTCGATCTGGAACGTGCCATTGACGACTGGGTTTTTATGTGTTTCTTTGTTGGTAACGACTTCTTGCCGCATTTGCCATCTCTGGACGTTCGGGACAACGGTATTGACATCCTCGTGGATATTTGGAAACGTGTTTTGCCAAGCATGAAAGACTACTTGACCTGTGATGGGAAGCTAAATCTGGAGGGTGTTGAAACTCTCATGAGCCATTTGGCACAAAAAGAAGACGAGATTTTCCGCAAGCGGTATGAAGGTGAGAGACGCAGAGAAGAGAACGACAAACGGCGCAAGCTGGAACGGGAGCAGACTAATGCCGTGAAAAACCAGTTGCTCAAAACGGTCACCAAGGGCAAGGAAAAGGCGCCAATCATGCCAACACAGAATATGACCCTGACCAGCTTAACAACAGGCGAGACTGCTGGAGGATTACAGATGACCAACAGCGAGATCGTCCAGAACATCAGCACTATTTCCAAAGCCAACACTGCAAACAAGAACGTTGCAGATATCCTGAAAAAGGCCTTGTTCAATAATACTGAGTCTAATGGAGCCGCTAGTGCTGTGAGCGTTGTCAAAGAAGCAGAGGTCGAGGAGCAGGAACCGATTGATGTGTCTGAGAAAAAAAGATCAGCATCGGCTGCCTTCAACTCCGACTCTGAGCAGTCAGATGCTGAAGTGATAGATACTACTGACTCTATCCGCCTCTGGGAACCGGGCTACAAAACAAGATACTACCAGCAAAAGTTTGAGACCACCGATGCTGAAGAAATAGAGAGGATTAGAAAAGACATGGTTCGATGCTATGTGGAGGGAATTTCCTGGGCACTGTTGTATTATTTCCAAGGATGTCCCTCGTGGAACTGGTACTATCCGTATCACTATGCTCCATTTGCTGCTGATTTCACAAATCTGTCTGACATCAAAGTTGAGTTCAAGCAAGGAACACCGTTTAGGCCTTTTGAGCAATTGATGAGTGTTCTTCCTGCTGCCTCAGGTCACAATCTCCCGGAAGTTTTCAGACCTCTGATGTCTGAGCCTCATTCAGAGATCATTGATTTCTATCCTACGGACTTTAAGATTGATATGAATGGCGCCAAGATGGCCTGGCAGGGAATATGTCTGCTTCCATTTATTGATGAGACTCGTCTGCTCAAGACAGTGCGCGAAAAGTACTCCGAGCTGACCGAGTATGAAATTGAACGCAATACCAACCGCAACGAGGTTCTATTCCTAGGTCGGAAAAACAAGTACTTTGATAAGTTTTTGAAGCTATACGAAACGAAAAACAAGGAGGAAACATACATTCATGCTCGCAGAACAGGATTGGCAGGAAAGGTGTTTATCATGGACAAATTCGATCCCAAGGGAACACTTAAATACGAATTGGACGTGGCGACAGATCAATATTTCGATATCTCGAACGATACTTATTTGGCCATGGAGTATAGGTTGCCAGCCAAGGTGACCAGTAAGTCCATGCTCTTGGCCGGCTACAGACCTCACCTGAAACTTTTGACGCAGCAGGATAAGGACCAGATCGTGTACAGCTCCAACAAGTTTTACAGAAACAACAGGAACTTCCAACCTCAGAACGATATCGACTACAAGCCTCACATTGGTCCTCACGGTGACACAATGTATACTATGCGTGTTGGCGGATACAAGAGTTTTATCCACATGTATCAGGAGCAGGCTCAAAGTCAGGCCTATCAGCCTCCGACACAAAATAACTATCAGAACCAGGGGTACAATAATTACCAGGGTCAGGGATACAATAATTACCAAAATCAGGGATACAACAATTACAATCAAGGCTACAACCGTGGATACAACAACTACAACAATCAAAATTACAACAATCAGAACTACAACAATTACCAAGGCTACGGGCAGAGACAGAATCAAGGTCAGTACTACAACGAGTTCCAAAGACGGCCTAATAGAGGAAACAGCCGGTGGTGACATCAGTATGTAATGAATAAATCAAGCCAAGAAAACGCATTGTAGATACCGTCAATGGCGCACTGGCGTTGTGCGCCCGAGCTAAATCTGGCTACACCCCAAACCACTTACTTTTATTATGATTTACCGAGAATATTATCAATTGAACCGCTCATGAATAAAGTGCAGAATTACCAGCATCTGGGACGCCATTTTGAAGGGATATCTCGCATTGTGAGTGATTGGGATGATACAATCACAGCCAAAGACACTATTGCGGTCATTTTCGATGTCCTCGGGAAAGATACGCAGTACGGATTTGACTATTTCTTCAAATTTTACATGGATAGCTTTGACAAGTTCCAGAACGAGATACTACCGGGAAAATCATATAGTTTGCGCGACTGTCTTGAGCGCGAGATAATGTATCAGAAAGCAATCAAAGAAAGCGAAAAAAGCTCGATCAATGAGGCGGTCCGCCTAGCGGTTTTTCGAGGCATAGGAAAGTCAACTTTTGAGAACCTTGTCAAAAAGATACCCATCAGAGCCGGCTTTGAGAGCTTCTACAACTATATATGCAACACTAATATGCATTTTAGTGTTCTGAGCATCAATTGGACTGGATTGATGATTGCCAAGTATTTTGCGTCTTTCAAAAAACTGCCGGATCAGATATTAGTCAACGAGTTTGAATTTGACTCCAACGATATATGCACAGGAAACGTCGTCACAGACATAGACATTCGCACAGGTTACGATAAATTGGAACTCACCAAAGAGCTCGTGAGGAATGAAAGAGCCATATACGTGGGCGACTCCTCCACAGACGTCCTGAGCATGATTTACTGTGATAAGGCTATCATTATCAAAGGCGGTTCGGCCAGCAGGACGCTTTCTCGGCTTGGCTACAAGGTGTATAGTATCAACGATGAGATCAGCGAGAAAGAGGCTAAGTTCGTCAAATATCTTGAAATTGAGGATTGGAACGATCTGCTACAGATTTTGAAGAGCTAACGTATTTGAATTATGACAAGCTTCTATTAATTTGTGGTGCTTTTCAAAAATTCCAGATGCTCTTTGATTTCAGCGCAAAGCTCATCATGATCTATATCGCGGTCAGAAAAAAGCTTTGGATGCAAATTAAGGTCACAGATGTAGAACTTCATGTTCTCCCACTGCACCCGTTCAAAATCAAAACCCAGTGCTTCCAGATACCCTGTTCCATAGAGTCGCTCGCGCTTACCTGTTTTTGGGTCGTAGATGACCTCGTCCACTTTGAGGGACCACGGATCGAGCTTGGGGAAGTTGGAGTGCAGGAAAAGCAGCTTCGGAACTTCGTCCACATGCTCGAAGGTATTCTCGTACTTTTTGTACAGTTCGTAATCTTCGTGACAATTAAACTGACCCATCGCACTTCCTGTAAATTCGTAATCGACCCATCTTCCAATACTCTTGATAATTTTCTTGACCTGGTAAAATGACTTTTTCAGCACATGGGCAGCAGCAATGAATGTCTCCTTGTCTCCCTCGCCATCTGATCCTTGCGAAAGAAGAGGATAATAATGGTTTGGACCATACATGTTGTAGTACAGTGCAAGAAGCATGACTTTCGAATGTGTCTTTTTGGAAAGCATCAGTTGGCCGGACTCGCTCGAAGGATCCGGGATGGCTCCCTTGAGTTGGTGCAATGGAGGAGCCTGGTCTGGCGGAGAATTGGGAATGGTGTATTTTCCATATTCTTGGAATCCATGGCTGACGCGGTGACTCTCGTCGATTTCTATATTGACAATGTCATAGAATGCAGGAGCAGTGGACCGTTTCCAATAATCCGGCCAGATGACCATACCCGTGCTGCTGAAGGGCTCTGTCTCGAACAAGTGGTCCGGCGCATGCAACGGTGTGTTATCTGCGTCTAGCAGGAGCACATTTTCAAAGCTCGATAGCATTAGTGCGAGAGCCTTGTATTGGTATCCGAAAAACGAGAATCTTCCGCTGATTTGCTCTCCCAGCTGCTTTGGCATGTATATACATTTGGCATCCAAGGCTGGGAAAATCGTGGTACACAAATCAACTTCATACTCGTCAAGCTTCGGAATCAAAACTTCGACAGGTAGCTTGGACCCGACAGACCTGAGGGTTTTGATTGAAAGCAATGCCAGCCAATTGAACTTTCCTCCTCCGACGTACACCACACCATTTCCGGAGTAAAGGCCAATAGGATATGTCTCGGGAAGATTTCGGGTGACAAATGAATGACTTTTCTTCATTGAGTTTATCTCACTTTGACTGAGCTGCAAGAACCCGGAAAGATATTCTTTTGACAACGACGGGCCATCGCCCATCACTTCGTAGCCTGCGTGATATATTCTTTCCGTGGACTTGTACTTCGTCAGAGGTGATACCTTGGGCTTGCCTTTCTCCAGCACGTTAAACACTGACTTGAAGAACGTGTGGCCGAGTTCTAGTCTGAGTCCTCTTGGGTCATCGGGAGATGGCTGGTTGATGATACGCATTTTCTCGCGGTCCTCGATGCTCAGGTTATCGTAGACGCTCTCGTGGGTTTTCTTTCTTTGTGCCAGCAGCTCCTTGGCAGTTTTTTTGGATGACAACGTCTTGGTCATGTCGTCGTTCACAACAATTGCATTGCTCCCGGCTACCTTTTCGGTGTTTTCCAGGAAAAACGATCGTATCACAAGGAACAAGAGCACAGATGCAGCACATGCAAGTATCACGGAGGTCCGAACTCTCTGTTTCGTTCGATATTTAATGTTTATCTTGGAAATCCACATCGGATGTTATTCCATATACCGTCTAGCTATTGAACAGCCTGATTGTTTTTTGACACCTTCGTATACACAGCTGTCGCTTTCGGAAGTCACGATTGGAAAGGCAGTACAGATCGTATTTTTCTGTTTTGCTTTTACTCTCAATTGTCTTGGGGCGTGAATCCGGCTGCGCACCTATTCAAATCCGGAGATATTATCTTTATATCTTTTGTTTTGTTTTCTGATGATATTTCTTGGATTTTTTTTAGGCTCTGGTGTACAGTTGTCAACCTTATTTTCCCCAGACCTCGTAGATCTTGGAGCTCAGGGCTGCCCCTATTTTGCGATTACCAACGTGGTCTTTGAGTGCGTCGTGAATCATGCGCGGTTTGTCGTCGGTGCAGTTCGCATAGCTGTCAATCAGGTTTTTTGGTGTTCCGTAGTGCAACTGGATGGCTATCGCCTTATCCAAAGACACACCCTTAATAGTCATGAGCATTCTTATGAACATTTCTCTGACCGAGACCATGTTGGATTTTGAGAGCAGCGACTGGAACGTATTAAAGTTGTACACGCATTGAAATTCTGGGTTATCAGCAGAAACTTGCGATAATAACTGGCGGTACTCGTGCTGCGATTTTAGATCACGGGGCTCCAGAACGAGCAGCGATTGGTGTTTGTAAAATTTCTGGATTCTCTTGGATAGGGACGCGAGCGTCAGAACAGTGTCGTCGCTGTTTTTTGTTCGTTTGACATGGAAACGGGAATTAGTGATGCACATGGAGATGCACGTCTGGATAGCGTCGCTGAAGCGAGAGACGTCACTGGACATTTGTTCTTCCACCACGTAGAATACGGTTCTGATGCCCGTTCTCAGCAGACGCGATTTTTGCTCGAAAAACCGCCCGTCCTTGATGGAGGACGCGAAATCGTCAAGCCTTTTGCGCTCGAAAATAAAGTCCAGAACAGCCTCCTTACCAGACTCCTTATGACGCGCCACCCAGACACCATCGCCGACTGTCAGAGCACGCACCGAGGTCGATACTCCGTGGCTGAGCAGCTGGTCAGAGAAAAAATCGCGTTCCTCGCGAGACCGCACTTCTCTGTTGTCCAGGATCAGCTCTATCTCGTAACTTCCACCGGTCCATATTTCGTGAGGAACGTTTTGGACATTCGCCGGTTTGCCCGTGGTCTTCGCCAAGGGAGGGATCCAAGTGTCTATCCGCTCCACATCGACCTGTCTGTCCTCTGTGCGCTTTAGAAATGGCGAACTGTCTACCCCGTCCTGACTCTCAATTTTCTGCTCTTCCTCGACCGTTTTCAGGATTTGAGCCACCTCTACCCCAGTCTCCGTTAGGAAATAGTACACCGGATGTCCGCGTGACTGCACATACTCGTTTTTCTCCAACGTCTTGATGCTGCCCCACGCAGAGTAGAACTGTCCCGTGCTGGGGTTGGGGTTGAAGCTTGTAGAGCAGTATTGAGCGGCATACTTGATGATATCGTCTTTCGTTAGACCGTCACAGCCGGGATCATGCACATAGAGAGCCAGCAGAATTGCATAGCCGCCTGTATTGCGTTGCGGGATGTATTTGCGCGTGGATTTCAGCTGCCGTCGTTTTTTGGTGCCCTCTGAGTCTTTCTCAGAACTCCGTTTTCTGCCTGCTTTTTCCGGTTCCTCTTCTTGCTCTTCGTCTGGCATCTCGTACCCGTGCTCCTCGCAGTATTCCTGTAGCCGTTTGCGCATCGTCGCCACCATTTTGTCGCCTATGAACCGGAGGCTCCTTAGCTGGGAGGGCAGACGTACCATCATAGGACACTGTTTGACGCTCTGAACAGCTTTCATATACGTGAAAGCCAGCCTGGATCCCGCATGCTGGTGTTTCCGGAGCTCCTCCTCTATCCAAAGAACATACAAATGTTTTATGTCCTGGGGTAGTTCCATCGACGCGTAGATTATGTAAGGGTAAATAGAAATAAAAAAATAAAAATAAACATTTGTTGATCTATCATGAGCGAGCTCACCATAGAAAAAATCTACGGCACGTCGTCCGAGACTCCCGCTCAGTTTGTTGCGCAAGATGACTATATTGCGTACACGGCCAGCGGCGGCGTTGTGGTGAGCAAGGTCGACAAAGAACTCAAGGTCCAGTGGCAGAAGTTCTTTTGTGCCAATAATGTGCTAGTGACACCGAAAACAAACAAACTCGATGAGTACGGGTTTCCGCTTGGCGGAGACCCAGAGCTGGTCTCCCGCGATGGCTCTCTGACTGCTGAGGAGTCAAGAGATAATCTGTACGAGTCTCCTAGCGCCCGAACTCTCAAGATACGCAAGTCAGACGACGCTGGCTCGTCCCCACTGGCCAACAAGGTGAGGTCTATCAACTGCATTGCCATTTCTCCTGACAAGAAGCTGCTTGCGGTGGGGGAAGTAGGCTACCAGCCACGGATCCTAGTGTACTCTCTTGCAAGAAACTGCTCGTGTCGCCCAATTTACATCATTCAGGAACACCAGTTTGGAATCAACTCGCTTTGTTTTTCCACAGACTCGAAAAAACTATGCTCCCTGGGGTTGGTTAACGATGGGTTCCTGATAGTGTGGAAATTCACCAATAAACGCTTTGTGTTCAGGGGAAGTAACAAGTGCTCGTCGATAGTCAACAAGCTGTTCTGGCACGACGACCATATCATCACCGTTGGACTGCGCCACATAAAGGTCTGGAGAGAGGATTCGGCCCGGGCGGGTACAATCTTGAAGGGAAGAAACGTGCTGCTGAAGAACTTTCTCAACTCAAACTTCATTGACATTGACTGTCTTAACTTCTCAGAGCTCATTGTGATGTCTGATCAGGGCGATCTGGGGCTCATGAACTTGGACGATGAGTCCATTGTTCTTCGCAAAATATACCAACTGCCATCAGATACCAATCAGTTCAAGATCGACCATATCCATGAAAACGTGATAATAGGCGGCAAGGAGCTCAACATTATACCCTTGAACGAGGTATTTACGGCTCCTATTAATGATACCATTCGTCCAACCCCAAGCTCACCTACCAAAATTGTCAAACGTTCGGGAATAATGGCTATGCAACCGTTGTTCGATTTTGAGACCCTGGTGTATTTGCAAGATGAACAAATTCTTTACGTGGACTTGCGGGAAACAGGAAGCCCAAAAGTTCTCATCAGTTCGCTGGCCTCGAAACTGAACGGATTGAAGCGCTGTTTTAACGGTGACGTTCTTCTGTGGACCAAAGATGGTATAGTGAAACGTTTGGAGAATAAAGAGTTTGCCTTGCTTCATTCGATCACTCTGCCTCCTGGGGACTTGCTTGATAATGCGCTGAGCGCTTTGGACTGCAGCAGCCAGGATCTCGTATTGGGCGATCGGTTTGGCACTCTGGTCTTCCTGCAAAAAAGGGAAGATTTCATCAGAGGGTACAGAGAAACGATGAGAGTGCGTGCACATGAGTCCAGCATCAATGACATTATAATGTTCACAGTTGAGGATTATACATTTGCTGCGTCGTGTTCCCGGGACAGAACCATTCAGCTATTTATGAAGAAAGGGTCAGAGAGCTGGTCGCTGTTCCAAACTCTGACTGTTCACAAGGGAAATGTGATTAAGATGCTATTTACAAAAATTATGCTTATTGCACTGTCTTCTGACCGCACTCTTTCTGTCCACAGGCTTGAAATCAAGGAAGAGGGCCCTGTTCTTGTACAAGAGAAGATCATTTCGATCAAAACTTCCGCGCTGACATTTGGCGTCACACCGGATGAGCTGGTTGTTGCCACAAATGACAAAAATATACTCATTTACAGCCTGACCACATTTGAATATATGAGGTCCATGAAACTGTTCAACAAGAGTTTTGACCCACTTCAAGTGGACAATTTCGAGATTCACGACGGACTGATGTTCACCTCGTCTCCTGACAAATGTATTCGTTTATTTCATTTCAAGGATGGAAGGTTGCTGAGCTCTCAATGGGGCCATTCCGAGACAATCATCGGTCTGCTATTCGACAGCGACTCGAATTCTGTCATGACTGCAAGCCACGACGGATGCATGTTCAGCTGGACGCTCGGCAGTGGAGTCACGGGCTCTGACTCGTTTTTTTCGTCGCCGCTTACATCCAGCCACACTCAGGACCTAGTGTCGCCGCCCAAGGTTGTGAGAAAAATCATTTCCAGACCCGAGCTGACCCCGATGAAACCCAGCGTCCAGAACAAGCCGTCCAAATCGCCTTCGACGGTGCTTCCTGCTGCCAAGCTGTCAGCTAACGACTCGCCGACTTTTAGCCGCACACCCTCTGTTTGCTCCGCCAAACAGGCTCGCTCCATCTCTTCGCGCTCAGATATCTCGCCCACTTCCAACGTCCGCTCTCGTTTGGCCGGAATGAGATTGGATAAGCCCAAGCCCGAGTCTGCAACAGACATAGCCGACAAGATCGTGATGGATTTGCGCAGGTTGCAATCAAGACTTCTTGACGACGACGAGATCAACCCTTCTTTGGCCGACCGTCTGCGCGTGCAGATGAGCAAGACCATGAAGCTGCTTCCTGGCCATGATGAGAACCTGCTGGATCAATACGGCTCCGCGCTGGTCAGCAGGCTGGTAGACACTCTTCGAAAGGAGCGCGACAAGGACAACCTAGAAAATGTATAGCCAATGTATTACTTTTTGATGTTTCTCAATGCCTTCTCCATGCTTCTTCCTATGGCCTCGTCCTTCTGCAGCTCTTTATATTGTAGTTGTTGGTCTTTGAGCTGGGCGAGTTGCTGAATTCTCTCTATTCTCATTTTGTCCTCCACCAGCTCCTCCAGCGACGGTGGTCTTAGCCGCGTGTATCTGAGCCACTGGAGCCACTGGACAGGGACGCTTTCGTAATAATCTACAATAAACTCTTGCGGTTTATATGGCTGGTAAAGTCTGCGGGGTCGAATCCCCTTTTTGCGCTCGACAAAGAACTCCCAGTACGTGTTTCCCGTCAAGTCATAGCCAACAAAGAATTTCTTTCTCAATGGAATCGTTCTCAGGGACCTCCATTTATAATATAATTGTTTCCACAAGGGTATCAATCTGTTGATTTGATCCATCGTAGAATAGAAATAAATTACCCCAAATAATTTTTTTTTTAACTTATCAGTTTGGCATGTCAGATGAGCACACTCATTTGGACCAGAATTTGGGCCAACTGACAAAACTGGTGCCTCATCCAATAACACTGCAAAACAACTCCGACGAGCAGCTGTTTGCTAGCGATTCGGTCTGGTGCGCGAACTGTACAATTGCAGAACCAACAATTATTCAGGGAATAAACGGAGGGAAGTATGCGCTGTGGACGATCGAGTTCGAGACGGTGCGAGGTGCTCGGTTCAAGATCCGCAAGCGATATAACGATTTCGACGAGCTGAGAAACAAGCTCGAGAAGTACACGGGGAAAACCGAGCTGCCCAAGTTTCCTCCACGGTCCGGCCTGTTCCAGGACAGATTCGATCCTGCGTTTCTAGAGAGTCGCCGCAAGTCTTTGGAATACTGGCTGAGCAGCGTGGTTCTCAACCCGGCTATCTGCTGTCGACAAGAGGTGAAGGAGTTTGTTTTGGGCAAAAAATTGATCAGTGAAAACTGACGGGGCCAGCCAGCACAACCCCATTACGCATGCACCGGTGCTGGCCACAGACGTTTGTAATATTACCTAATACATCATTTGATAGAGCGCTCTGGGCCATCCGATAAAATCTTGCACCGCCACGCCCCGCCACCGATCTAGATGTTTCGCGGATTACAAATATTTGAAATACACGAAAAGTATTTAAAGTACTGTATGTTCCTCAGTCTTAGACGAATAAGTACATCCTTTCGATTTATCAAGCAAACAAGAATGGTTCATAACAAAGTGACGATCATTGGCTCTGGCCCAGCAGCCCACACCGCTGCCATCTATCTCGCTCGTGCAGAGATGAAGCCCGTGTTGTACGAAGGTATGATGGCCAACGGTATTGCTGCTGGAGGACAATTGACCACCACCACCGACATCGAGAACTTCCCAGGATTTCCGGAGGGAATCAACGGCAGCAAGCTGATGGAGCAAATGAGAGCTCAGTCCGAGAGATTCGGCACCGAAATCATCACAGAGACCATTTCTAAGGTCGACTTCTCTTCGAGGCCATTCAAGCTGTGGACCGAGTTCAACGAGGACGCGGATCCAATCACCACCGACGCCGTGGTGATTGCCACCGGCGCCTCCGCCAAGAGACTCCATCTACCAGGAGAAGAGACCTATTGGCAACAGGGTATCTCTGCCTGTGCTGTTTGCGACGGTGCAGTTCCAATCTTCAGAAACAAGCCTTTGGCTGTTGTTGGTGGTGGAGACTCTGCCTGTGAGGAGGCACTGTTCCTGACCAAATACGGATCTAAGGTGTACTTGCTTGTGAGAAAAGACCATTTGAGAGCTTCGACGATCATGCAGAAGCGTGTGCAGAACAATGACAAGCTTGAAATTCTGTTCAACACGGTTTCGCTCGAAGCTGTGGGAGACGGCAAGTTTTTGAACGGTCTCAGGATCAAGAACGTCAAAACCAACGAGGAGTCCACCCTGGCTGTGAACGGTCTGTTCTACGCTATTGGCCACACTCCAGCCACCAAGGTCTTTGAGAACCAGCTCGACACCGACGAGACAGGATACATCAAGACCAAGCCGGGAACCGCCCAGACGTCCATTCCTGGTGTCTTTGCCGCTGGTGATGTCCAAGATAAAGTTTACAGACAGGCCATCACCTCTGCAGGAACCGGCTGCATGGCTGCTCTCGAGGCTGAGCACTACCTTTCTTCGCTGGAATGATAGATATAGAGCGTTTTTTAGAATATAACGGATGATAATAAACTAGACGCGTCGATCGACGGTTTGTGTCGTAAAAAAATACTCACGCTTCTCTGTATGCCATGGCCGAAAGGTCTCTCAAGGTGGTTCTACTAGGAGACCAAGGCGTTGGCAAGACGTCTATCCGCGCGCAGTTTGTGCAGCGGTATTTTGCGAGCAGCTACCGGGCCACTATCGGTGCAAACTTCCTGTCGCATGCCGTCAAAACCAGGGCCGGAGACGAGCTGCAGTTGCAGATCTGGGACACGGCGGGACAGGAGCGGTTCAACGCCATGACACGAGCGTTCTACCGCGGCGCGGACATTGCCATTTTGGTCTACGACGTAACAAACGCGCAGTCGTTCTACAGTCTACGTCGGTGGCTCGACAAGATCGTGGAGCATTGCAACAACCCGCGGCTGCGGATTCTGATCGTGGGCAACAAGACCGACCAGCATGCGCTGCAGCAGATCTCGCGACGGCAGGCTGTGGAGTTTGCGCAGAGTCTGCCCACAGGACTACTCGGCGACCCAAAAACGGACGTTCTGGAGACGTCTGCGCGACGGTACCAGGACGTGGAGCGTGTCTTCCAGCGATGCGCGGAGATCGGCCACGAGATCTTGCTGCACTTCGAGCCGATCGATTTTGCGTTCGACCAGATCGATCTGGCACAGCCCAGAAAAAAATACACCTGCTGTTAGATAAAAAAGCTGAATAAACATTTTGTTCCCATGTCGCGTTTCTCGGACAGCTCTGTGCATCCAGTGCACGAGTCCGAGGACGAGCATTTTGAGGAGGACTCTGTGCACGGCTCCGACTACGAAACAGGCAACCAGTTCAACAACGCGGCCAAGTCCGACGAGGAGGAACTGTTCACCACAGGAATACGCAAGCTCGAACATCTGGGACTGATCGATATCGGCAATCTCGCCGCGTGGGGGGTCTCGACGTACAAGCAGGGCTACGGGATCAAAGAGCTGCGCGAGGACTCGCCGTTCAGCTACTGGCAGTCCGACGGCCAGCAGCCGCACTTCATCACTATACACTTTACAAAAAGAGTGACGGTGCAAAGACTCTCCTTCTACTTCAATTACCAGCTGGACGAGTCGTACACGCCGTCGAAAATTCTTGTTTTGGCGGGATCGGGCGAACACGACCTGATGGAGGTGTCTTCCAAAGAGTTCTTCGAGCCCTCTGGCTGGCAACATATATTTTTCAAAGGTGTGCGGAGCGACGACCTGCTCAAATGCTACCTCATAAAAATATGCTTTCTCTCCAACCACCAGAACGGGAAAGACTCGCACGTGCGCTCAATCAAGGTGTTCAGCCCGCTCTCGCAGAACGCCATGCGCTCCGACGTCGACAGCTCGCTCGGCGTCGGCTTCACCAGCATCAAAATGCTCAGCGAAAGCACCATTCGCTGATCTTGCTTATATAATCTCCACACCTAAATTAATATATCTGTGACATTGCTAGGAGAATGGACGATTGCGGAATCCCAGACGGCGAATACGACCTGCGGGTGGGCCAGGCGCTCGGAGACGATGAGCTGCTGCGCTTTTTCGGAATCAGGTGTAAGTATGACTGTTTGCGTTCGTGCTAACTGTAGACACTTTTCGTCCAGACACTCTGGACTCAAGTGGCGGATCGACGCTCTTAAGCCACAACGACGAGTATGTTCTGGAGTCCCCAGCTAAGGACGGTGTGTCCAAGCTGTTTTTTGAAGGCAAGAGGCCGCCCGCTGGCCACGGACACTCGGATCATGTGTTAATCTACAATGAGACGGCAGGCGAGTTCTGTCTCGAAAGGCTGGACCCTGTGGTGAAAATGAGCAAGTCACGGGAGCCCGAGAAGCTGCAGCAGCGGATGAAGACACTGCTGAGCCAGCGTGCCAGTGGTGAGGTAAGAAAAGAGCAAGCTTCTAGAATAAGGAAACCAGCCCCTACGCCACGGTCGCGTCCTCCGTCGGCTCAATCGCTGGTTAGGTCGAGGCAGAGAAAAGAACCATCTACGAGAAACATATCCGTTCGTTTGTCGAAGCCCTCGAAAGCGCAAGGGCCTCTTTCGGAGACCAAACCGCGAGACTCCGAAAACCGCGATCCGCCGAAAACAGCCGTCTCCGAGGAAGACCTCGAATTCGACAGGGAATTTGATGAGGCGCTGGAGGGGCTGGATGACGAGATCAGCGAGGAAGAGTAGCGCCGTTGGGGAGCCTGTCCCACAAGTATGCGGTTTCCGGGCTGTGCTCCCAGAAGGTGTGCTATTTTTTTCTCGTATTAAAAAAAACACCTTTGCAAAATGGCTTCCAACCTGTCGGTGCTGATCTCGCAATTGAACGAGACGCTGTATTCACTGGACTTGACAGATTTGGCGAACCATTGGATCAATTCATCCAGCGAGTACTACAACGTGCAAAAAGCCCGGGGCACGCTATTTCCGATACAGATATCGCTATCGTTGCTACTCGGCCTAGCCCCGATAATTCTGGTTCTGGCGCGCAAGACACGCAAACGGGTTGAGAAACCAAGCAAGTTTGAGATTCCGGTCCCTGACGAGGCCAAGCCCAATTGGAAGGGCAAGAGACTCACGCCTACAGACATATATCAGCCAGACGACCCAGCCCACATCTACTGCTACTGTCCCGCAACGTCTCAATTTCTAGGCAAGTTCCCTGCCCACACGAAACAAGATATAGATGAATCTGTGGAGAAGGCCAAACTTGCTCAATTGAGTTTCTATTCCGACCCAGAGTTTGCCGTGAAACGACGCAAGGTGCTGAGAACCCTGTGCGATTTCATTCTGCGCAACCAGGAGACAATTGCACGGGTCGCGTGCCGGGACTCGGGAAAGACGATGGTTGACGCGTCGATAGGCGAAATCATGGCCAACCTCGAGAAAATCAACTGGATCCTGGCCAACGGAGAACGTGCACTGCAACCGTCTGTCAGACCTGGCAGTTCCAACCTGTTCATGAAGTACAAGAAAGCAGAAGTCCGCTACGAGCCCCTGGGTGTTGTTGGCGCGCTGATCTCGTGGAATTATCCGTTCCATAATATGTTGGGCCCTATAGTTGCTGCCATTTTCACCGGTAATGCCATTGTGGTGAAATGCAGCGAACGAGTCCGCTGGTCGTCCGAGTATTATATTTCTGTGGTCAAGGCGGCACTCAAGGTGTGTGGCGTGGACGAGAACCTGGTCCAGCTCGTCTGTACGTGGGGAAAGGACGGAGATCTGTTTTCTGGCCATCCTGGACTCTCGCATCTCACATTTATTGGTTCCAAGCCAGTGGCCCATAAAGTTGTGGCTAAGGCTGGCGAGGCGCTTACGCCTGTGGTAGTGGAGCTGGGCGGCAAGGACGCGATGGTCATCTGCGAGGATTATTTGAAGAACAAGGGGGTCGATAAAATAGCGTCTATTCTAATGAGAGGAACGTTCCAGAGTGCAGGCCAGAACTGTATCGGCATAGAGCGGGTGATTGTGGCTGGTGAAGAAAAGTACTACGAGAAACTGGTCGAGACGTTGTCGAATAAGGTGGCCAAGATGCGTATTGGCTCAGATATCGACCAGAGCGAGGAGATCGACATGGGAGCCATGATTATGGGCGGAGCTAAGTTTGACGAGCTTGAGCAGTGGATTTCGGAGGCGGTCAGCAGGGGAGCACGGCTGCTGCAGGGAGGGAAGCGCTACGTGCATCCCAACTACCCGCAGGGCCATTTCTTCATGCCGACTCTGATCGTGGACGTTGATCCGGAGTGCAAAATAGCCACAAACGAGGTGTTTGGTCCTGTTTTGACGATTTTGCGAGCTGCATCGGACGACGAGGCTGTGGAGATGGCCAACTCGACGAGCTACGGCCTCGGGTCGTCGGTGTTCAGCACAGATTTCCACCACGCCGAGGAGCTTACAAAACGTCTCAAGGTCGGAAACGTGGCAATCAATGACTTTGCCACGTTCTACCTGTGCCAGCTTCCGTTTGGCGGTGTCAAGGACTCTGGATACGGCAAGTTTGGCGGCGAGGAGGGGCTGCGGGGCCTGTGCAACGAAAAGTCCGTGTGCTATGACCGCACCAGCCTGATCTCCACCGGCATCCCAGGCCCGATTGACTATCCGATTGCCAACGGTAAAAAAGCATGGAGATTTGTTGCGGCCCTGAACCAGGGCGGCTACGACCACAGCTGGTGGCAGAAATGCAAAGCCATCTGGACCTTGGCCACGGGCTGATGTAGAATAGACATACTAGTGAATTTGCAGTCATATATTGTCTATGTGAGAGTTCTAGGTTTTATTTCAGGCTCTTTTCTGCCTCTTTGTACGCGAGTGTGAGTTTTTCTGTGTAGTTCTTGTGTGTTTTCTCAATGTCGTTCAGCAGTTTCTTGAGCGTGTCGGCAGAGCCGCGCACTTTCTTGAGGTCCTTGAGCACCTGTGCACGGATGCTTGCGGAGCCAGCTTTGAAAGTGTTGAAGTTTTCCTTTAGTTCCTTGGCCTGTTTCTCTTTCAGCTCCTTGGTGGTGGAGGGCAGAGCAACCCGCAGAAGCTGCGGGTTCTTTGGGTCTTCTTCAGCATTCAGGTTCAAATTGGCGCCCAAAATGGCACTGATGATCCGTTTGCTGTTCTTCGGGTCAAATACGGTGATGGTGAGAAACTTTCCTTTCAGGGTGGTCTGAGCAATGTCTGTGAACAGAGCGGTCCCGTTTTCGACCCTGACTTTGAGTTTGTTGAAGATCTGGGGGTCTGCCTTGCCCAGTTTGATCTCTGTGATTTTTTTCTTATACTTGTCCAAGACAGACTGGAACTGTGTGTCGACATCTTTCAATATAGCTGACGGGTTTATTTCCTCGACATCGGAGGATTTTTTGCCCTTGCTCTTTAGCACAAACGACGTCCCGCTGAAGGGTCTGCGGAACAGAGGCTGGAAGCGGGGAGTGCTCTTCGCTGCGAATTTCAGTCCCAACATGACTGGTCTTGCTTAATCTAATTTTTCAGCCGATGCAGAAAAGTAACACAGCCCGAGGCTCCCTAAAATAAATTAAAAAAAGGGGAACCTGTGCGATCAGTCACTTCCCACACAATCGTCCTTGTTATATCACATTTGGCTGTTACGATGCGAATCAGTGTATTTGGTATTTGGGAGCTTGGAAAAGTATAAGTAGCTGAAATGCAGGAATTATTTTTCTACCCAGTGTTGCAACTTTTTAGACGCTGAACATCTCGTTTTTCGTTATCCATGTCGCTCATCGATGCGGACACAAATACGTCCAAGCCTGAGTCAAACGAGGGAAAACACCTGAGTGACAACTTGACGCTGGCGTCAGTTAACGACTCGACCTCAGAGGTGGAGAATTATGACTCCAAACCGCTCGCAGCTCTGGACTACATCGATTTGCGGTTCGACTCGTCTTCGTCCATCACCATGAACACTCCGATCCCTGTAGACCTGAATTCGGGTCTTGAAATGGGAAGTGTGGATGGCCCGGAAACGTGTCTTCTAACACCCGTGACTCCCGTGAAAAAGACGTCTTCCTCTACCTTCAAGAGATCCTTCACTAGACAGAAGCAAATAAAGGAGCTAGTGAGCACAGAGGAGGTTTACGTCAAATCTCTGAAAGTGCTGAAAGAGGTGTACGTTAGCTATCTTGGAGCAAGCGAGCCGATTCCGCTGTTCTTCGAGAATTTCGCCAAGGTTGTCGATAGTCTGCTGCAAGAACACACACGATTGCTCAAAGGACTGGTCTCGCTATACCACGAGTGGATCAAAAGCGGAAACTCAGCGGAGACTTCCAGACTGTCCATCCATTCGCCTATGTTTGAAACCCACGTCCCCGGATCTGAAGATCTGTGCTATCTTGAAAAAATCGTCGATTGGATCCACGACAACTGCATCAGCGTCGCCACGTACAGTGCTTACTGCCAGCTTGTTCCAAGAGTCATTGCCTTTGCAGAAGCTAAAAACGTTCATCAGTACAACACAAGCTCAATCGTGATATACAACGATTACATGGTGGAGCACCAGGACGTGGCATCCAGCTATTTTCTCCAGCAGCAACTGGACATCAGGTTCATCTCGCTGGTCCAGATGCCCACGAACAGGATCTCCAGATACAGGCTGATGGTGGACTCACTTTTGCAAAAATCAAAAGGTGACATTGACCCAAGAATGAACGAGAAACTTGAATTGTGTGTAAAGCATATCGCTGATAAATGCGCTCAGATCAACAGCCATGTGGGCAGATACGAAAAAATCGAGAAGGCCAGCCAGCAGCTCAAGAGCATGATGTGCAGTTCCCTCAAACGTATATCTGACGACCCTTACTTCTTCGACAATATGGGAGACATCATTATGGTGGCAGCTTTTGCAACCGTCTGGAGCCACCAAGAAACCATCAAGTACGAATACTTTGGTTCCATACTTTTCGACTCGCATCTTGTTCTTGTTAGACCCTACAAACATCGTCAGCTGGGAGTCAAGATGATTATTCCCGTCTCGTCGATCTTTAATATTCAGGACAGTGATTTGGGGGCCAAAGGACTTCTTTTCACCATTTATCCCCACTGTTTCAAGATCCAGTTTGAGTACAATTTCAAGCAGTTTGAGGTCGTGGCCATCTTACCATCGGAGTCAGAGAAGCAGGTGTGGCTGGAGAAGCTTCGTGGGGCTTCAGCAAAATGGCGCGTCGACATTGGAAGCCAGGACTTTGCCTACTCCTTTTACAAACGAAAATACAGGCTGCACAGAAGTGAACTTGAGAAGTTCAGGTTCAGAAGTTTCATTCCTGATGACATCACATCATTCAGGGAGAAAAGCCACGGCCAGCTTTTTGCCCTTGAAGCGAGCGTTCGCCAATTCTCCATCAATCACTACACTCTGTACCCGGACGATTCTCTGCGCAGAGACCGCTTGTCCGGCCACAATGTCGTGGTCACAGTCAAGCAAGAGGACAGAGTCAGAGTGGAAAAGAGTTTGGGCGATCTGTGGGCGTCTGAGATCCCAAAAACTACCGTCCCACTCACACGCAGCATCTCCGACTTCAGTTTGCGCAAAAAACTGTCCATCTCAAGTATTTCCTCTCTCAGCAACCAAAATTCTCAGTCCTCGTGTCCGCGTTCAACTTCGCTCATGAGAGGAGGCCGGGGCAGCACGAGGCTTTCCACTTCCTCGTCCATGCGCAACTTGGCACACACTTTAGGCAACATGAGATCTACAGACGAAAAGGACGAAGCCGTCTCCGCGGATACAGAAACTTATGCCGACCACACGATTTCGGGGTCTGGCTCGATCAGAAAAAGTTTCAGCTTTAAAAAACTAATCAAATCATTAAGTGTGCATTCGAATATGTCCGAACTCGAGGATACAAATTAACGTTAATTTAATTTATTTGTACTATTGAATTGTAGGAAATGCCATGATCTATCTTGCGTTGAAGCCATTGGAGTCATTCGTGGACGACCATTTCTTGTGGTCCACGCCGGTGCTGTTCAAAATCTCTCCTTTTTGCAAGATTATTGGCAGCACGTCCTCTGCATGCTTGACCTCGCCGAATTCCACGCTAAGATCTGCCTGCGATGCTTTCTCTAGTTTTCCGGTGGATCCTTGGCCCATCTGGTTGGTGTAAATGTCGAAATTGGACACCACATCAGTCAATGGTATGGAGTGATCGTTCTTATGAGCATATTTCTCGTAAGCGTCCTTGTCGTCAATGAAAACGACAAAGTCCTTGCTATTTCCTTTGTAGAACAGCTTGTATGGTCCAGTCATGGTTGGTCACAAACCGAAGCAGGAGATGAGATATTTATACTTTTCAAGTTTGCTTGCTGTCTGCGAAGTAAATCTGGGGTCAGCGCAATGACATCATGCGGCTCATCTAATATTACATAATATACATTTAATCGAAATAGAAGCCTCCAGCAATAAACCGAATCATGTACTCGTCAATGTGACCAATACCGTCGTCTTCTTCCTCCTCTTCGTCCTCCTTGGACTCAATACGCTTGACAAAGTCGTCCGGCTCGGCAGAGTTTTGTCGCGTTTGGCCAACCACGCTCGGACTTTTGGTGCTTGCTAGAACATTCTGGTCCTCGGTAAAATCGTTATTATCCAGATTCACTTCCTTCATCGCCACCTCTGCAGCCTGCGCGTCTTCCGCGTCCTCGGCCTGTTCCAAAACTTTTGCCAGCTCGTTCTCCGACTTCCCTTGGTCGTTGGTAATCAGCGGCTTTTCACCGCCCGGAGAATCCTCGGAGCCTTCTCCAAAAAGATCCTTCACCGTGATCTTGCTGAAGTAATCAGTTGTGAAGTCTCCTTCCTGAATGACAACGTTGTCCAACTGACGCTTCTGGTTTGCTTTCTTCAGGATGTTAGACTCAATCGTGTACTCGGAAACAAACCGGTAGATGTGCACATCTCTCGTTTGTCCAATTCTGTGACACCGGTCCTGGCACTGTTTGTCCATGGCAGGGTTCCAGTCCGAGTCGTAGAAAATGACGGTGTCTGCTCCAGTAAGATTGATTCCCAGACCTCCAGATCTCGTACTCAGAATGAAACATTTGATTTTCGGGTCCTTGTTGAAACGTTCTGTCAGCAGTTGCCTGTCTTCGATCTTAGTCGCACCGTCCAGTCTCATGTACTTGTAGCCGTTGTAGTTCATGAATTTCTCCAATATGTCCAGCACCTTTGTCATCTGCGTGAAAATTAGCACCCGGTGTCCTTTTGGAATCAGCTCCTGCAATAGACTAGCCAATTTTTGCAACTTACCACAGTCGTACTGAAGCAAAGACTTGTCCGGGAACGTGATGGACAGCTTGATTTGTGCTTGGTGGAATGGATTGTCAAGTTTCAACTGTCTTATTTCATTTTGGACAGGCTCTGGGACCTCCAGGTCGAGTGTGTTCTGCGTGACGACTTTGGGCGTGACAAAAGCGTATTTCTCAATTGTGTCACTCATGGTCTCGGCGCGCGTACTCACAGACTGAACAAGCTTCAGCTCCTCCAGCTGGTTGAAATTTTCCTTTGAATATCTCTCCAGCTTCACCAAATCAAGAAGATTGGAGGAGTAGATTGGATTTTTTTCGCAGTTGAAGTTGTTCACGTAAAGTCTCTGTTTGAACAGGTCAACCAATTCTGCCTGCTCCTTGTATTTTAGGTGCTCGTAGTACTGGGTCAGGCTTTCGAAGTTGGGCTCAATTGGTTTCAAGTCGGCCTCCAGTTTCTGGATTTCCTCGGCAAATTGCCGCGAGGCAGACACTTTTCTCAGGCTCTCAACATTGAAAGAGTTCCACGTGAAATCCTCTGCTGGAGTGAGGTTGAGAAAATTAAGATCAACACTTGGCTTTTGCGACCTTCGCAGATGCTTACGAATAATCAGGTCGTTCAAATCGAAATTGCTGGCCACATTTTTCTCCATCGCCAAACTGGTCAAAATCGGTCTCACCTCAAACAGATCCGGATGGTTGCAAACTTTTCGCAACTGCATCAGACAGTTGATGATGCTCAAGAAGTTTCCACTTGCCAGAGTCTCTCTCGTTTGGGCACGACTCATAAAGTCGTCATAGAGCAGTCTTTGTCTTTTGGACAAGCGACAGTATATAATGTGCTCATATTTGGCAGGCATCTGTTTTTCAACGTCCTGCTTCAATCTTCTTAGAAGATATGGACGCAGAACCTGGTGCAACTTGTTGACTGTCTCCTTTGTCTCATCGTCTTCCTGTCCACCACCATAACCTCCTCCTTGAATGATCTTGTCCACCGGGCGTCCAAACCACTGCTGGAAATCCATCAAGTTGGCAAATCCGTCTGGCATCATCTGGTCGGCCTTTGAAGAAGGCATCAAAAAGTACAGCAGAGACCACAACTCCATGATGTTGTTCTGTAAAGGTGTACCCGTCAGCAGTAACCGGTTTTCAGTGTTGAAGTTCAATAGGGCCTTCCATCTTTGAGAACGGAAATTTTTGATGTTATGTGCTTCATCAAGAATCATATACCGCCATTTTTTTCTTCTGAAAACAGAATGATCTTGAACAACCAGTTGATACGACGTGATGCACACGTGGAAAGTATCTGGTGTATTCCAGCCCTTCCTCTTCTCCTTTCTTTGCTGGGGATTGCCGTAGTACGTCAACACCTTGAAGCCGGGCGCAAACCGTTTGAACTCCATCTCCCAATTGAGCATCACCGACGTGGGAACTACAATCAGATGTGGTCCCCAAATATTCTTTTCGCACGCCAGATATGATATTAGCGAAATCGTCTGAATAGTCTTGCCCAGACCCATCTCATCAGCGAGAATACCGTTGGTTCCTGTGTTGTATAAAGAGGCCAGCCAGTTCAAACCCTGTTTTTGGTACTCTCTCAGTGTTCCGCGCAGAAGAATAGGCACAGGAACGTCCGGGATCGCCGGATTGTCTCCGTCCACCTCCATCTCGTCCGACGAAGGAGGTGTGATCGCCTCTCCTGGCTCGTCTTTGGTATTATTGTTGAACAAAGATGCCAATCCTGGTTGCGACTCATCCGACGAAACTTCTGCCTCCGAAGACTCAGTCTCTGATGAGTCCGACATAGAGTCGTCGCTGTCTTCGCTTTCGTCCAGGAGCGGATTGTTTGACTCCTCCATCAACTTTTTTTTCTGCTCATCGGTAAGCTGGTCAACGACACTGATCTTCTTGTGTTCTCCATTAGATTCAACTCCATATAATGAGGCCAGAGTATCCGGCTCCTCTGCTTCAGAATCATCGTCGGAATCTGGTTCTGCAGACAATTTGTCCAGATTTTTGTACTTCTCACGCAGCTCCTCAACGGTGAGTTTGCTGTCATCTTTGACCTGGCCATTTCCTTCGTCCTCGTTGTCCTCGCTGCTGCTCGAGCTCATGTTTTCGTCGTCATCCGAATCTGGCTCATCGTCGCTGTCTGCCTCAGACTGCTCAGAAACAACACTTTGCTGTCTTGACGTGGGAGTCACGCTTCTTTTCCCAACCTGGGCACCCAACATCTTGGTGCTCTGGTCCAGAATCTTGGAAAGCTGCTCTTTGCTTTTCACTGCGCGTTCTCGCTCTTTCTCCCGCTCCTCGAGAATTTTGTACGCCTTCACGGCCACCAGCCATTTTTTCTTCACCTCCTTGGCTGTGTCTCTGGCCAGTTTGGCTATCTTCTTTTCAAACTCGCGCTCTTTCCTTTCTTGCTCCTGGGAAAGCTTTTTGAAGTGCGACTCAATCATTCCTGCAATTCGACGACATCTCGAGATCCTCGAAGCTCGCAAATCATGAATCAGCTTCGACGACCTCATACCTTGTGCGAGCAGATGATCATAGTGTGTGAGCTCGTTCCTCGACCTGAAAGGCTCGGTGGGTGGCTTGTAATGATTCAGGCTGTACTGCGCATTTTTCTTTATCATGGTTGGCTCTCGAAACCCCTGGGGAACAGCCCTGAAGACGTTTTCGTTGAAATCAAGCGTCAAAAGCTTCGAGTCAAGACCCTCGCGGATCTTGTTGATCAGCTCGTACTGCGCGTTCAAGTACTCCTGGTACTCTTCGTTCGATAGATCTCGAGTAGGCTCTTCAATTGTAGATCGGTAGGAGCTCAGAAACTCGTCTAAACTTCCAAACTTGGGCGAGGTGACATGCGAAGGGTGTGTCACCAACTGCGGCCTGACGTTCACCTTGAAACGCAGCTTTTTAATATTTGTGGGCGTCACAGGCGGAATAGAGACCTCGGAACTGTCGCTTTCAAAGGCTAAATCGTCCACCTCAGGCTCAAATTCGGACTTTATCGAAACATCCTTTGATTTTATCGCTGCGGGTTTCTTCGCTTCCACCAACTCTGCAGGCTGGGCCGATTCGCTGCGATCCCGCTCTATAATCTTCTCGATCTCCAATTTCAATGGATCGCTGTTTTCTGTGAGTCTGCGGCTCCTTCTGCCCAATTTCGCCTCATCGATCTTGGGCCATAGAGAGAATTCTTTTTTGTACTGTTCATATGTGTCGGGTTGTTTTGGGTCGCCAGGTTTAAAATATACAAGCGAGGTAAAATTTTCGAGATGGTATAGCTCCTGTACAAGTGATTCGTTGTGGACCACCAGCTTGGCCATGTTTGACTTTGCAATTTGCCTTTGTTCTTCTATAGAGAGAGATGGGTCTATGCTGGGCAAATTAAATTCCGTTGTCCCTGATTTCAGGCAGGGCGGCACTGTGAAGCCAGATGCGTTGATGGCTGAGGGCGCTCGTGAATTGCGAGGTCTCGAAAGCGAGTAATTGGGCACCTCTTTCACTCTCGTGCTCCTTCGTTTTCCAGCGCCGTCCTCCAATTGTCTGTCAATAGACTCGGATCTCCGCTTGCTGGGGGTTTGCGAATGACTACCGCTAGGCGCTAAGCCATTCTCAGTCGGTAGCATTTTAGTCCAGGACAGGTATATATATTAGAGTTGTACTTTTTTTTTAATGTTTGGCAAATATTTCAAAAAAATAAAGATTCTGCCATTCCCCAGTCGGGCTGTCTACAGTTTTTTTTGTAAATGTGGAGTAAAATATCATTTCCTTAAACATGTTTAGTAGATTGGCCGTTCGGGCCAACAGAGTCCCAAGAATAGTCCATATTAGATACAGCTCCGAATTGCCCAAATTTTTGCCAAAACTGTCAGATTTTCCTGACTATAAGGTCCCCAAGGACTACGTGATGCCGCAGAAAAGAGATCCCTATCAGGTTTACGACGACCAGCAAAACAGACGAAATTTCGACACTCCCGTCCACCCATTTGAGGATAATCTCGACATGTGGTCGCCAGATTTTATCAATCCAGTCAGTGACTCTACCGCTATTGCCAATTTCCTTGGGTGGTTTGCAGGGCTAGGATCTTTCGCAACTGCTATCTGGTTCTTTGATCTATGGCCAGAACGGCCCGCTACTCCACGATCTTACCCGCATGGCGGTCTCTACAAAGATTTGGGGGGCAAAGAGGGAGAGGAGGAATTGTACAGGGCGCGGATCGACCGGGTTGAATGAAATAGCTACCATCATATTTATTTTTTTATTATTTATTGGAATACAAATTATTTATTTATTGACCATCTCATATCTCACTGTTAACTTTCTAATTTCCCCCACATGAGCCAAATGCATAACAGTTTAAGAAAATGAACAGGAAGCAAATGAAAGCACAAAAATGCGTTGACGAATGTATGCTAAGTAACAAAACGAAAAAAAGGCCGTCTCCTCTCAATTAAGTTTGAAAAGACCAGAACCTATGTCTAGCTGTTCCAAGTTGTTGAGTCTAGAAGCGAGAAAGTACTCGTTCATGCGGAGTTCATCCGAGGCAAAGCTGTTTGTCAAAGAGGTCCCCGACGAGTTGAGTGGACTGAAAGGAATGGGTTCGCGTGAGAGTCTGTCGATGTTCAGAAGGGAGCCACTATATGATCCGCCATTGGTAGCAGAAGTACCAGCATTGTCAATCAGCAGATCGTTGAGCAGGCTGTATTGAGTACCAGTGAGTCCCAATGTATTGGACATGTTGTACAGATTGGCTTGTTGAAACTGTTGCGTCTGCAACGGTTGCACTGCTTGCTGCGGTGGTTGCTGCTGCATGGCCAGCTGCTTAGCAAACCAGTTCCTCTGAGCAGCACGGGCTCCCCAGCTGACTCTGATCCGACAGCCGCCACCGATATCGTAGCCCTGCATCTCACTGATGGCCATTTCTGCGCTAGCACGGTGGAAAAACTGGACGAATCCACAATTTTTGCCCGGAGGAATTTTCACGTAGCTGATGTCGCCGTACCTGGAAAAGAGAGTTCGTAGTTGCATCTCTGAAATTGGAACATTCAGTCCGCCGATAAAAACGGTGGTGTTGTTGGGGTCATTGTAGTATTGAAGAGGAGCCGACTGGGGCAAACTAGGGACGTTAACCTTCAGCTGACCGGGACCATCCTGAGATGGCATAGCAGATGCGAAAGAGCTGTTGGCAGCTGCGTTCGTCTGGGACTTGGAGGCGGTGGAAACTCTGATAGGTCTTCCGAGCAAAACGTAGCCTTGCATCTCTATCAATGCTCTTTTTTGGTCTGTCTCGTTCAAGAACTTGACAAAACCATAACCTTTCAGATGACCAGTAGCAGGGTCAACCATGACCTTGGCACCCGAACACGAGGGATATCTCGCTTGGAAGGCTTGCAAAAGAGTCTGTTCAGTCACGGTCTGAGGCAGATCGCCAACGAAAATGGAATACTCGGACTGACCCTTAGGCTGGAAAGCAGTGATATTGGCACCAGAAGAGTTGGCCGAAGACCAATTTAGTCTGAAGAACCGGACGTTGTTTGTTCCTGGGATGGGCTTACCGTTGAATAGCTCGAGCACCTTGTAGCAATCCTCAAAATTATGGAATCGAATGAAGCAATAGCCTGCGTTTGCCAATTCGAGGTTCATGCTCTGCTTGTCTCTAATGAGCTTCACAGAGTGCACTAAGATCCCCAGCGGGGCAAGAACACTGGACCAAATCTGTTTGATGGTGGTCTCGTCCCACCTTTGGTCGAGATCACCCATCCAGAGTTGAGGAGTCTGTGCGTTGTGCTGGCCATTCGATTGCCCGTTCAGCTGGCTGGATTGCGTATACTGCGATGCAGGAGGCGGTGCTGGAGACTTGCCTGGGTAGTATGAATGATGTTGATTATAGGCGGAATTATACATGTTGGATCAAGAGCGATGGTAACATATCAAGCAAGCGAAAACTGGCAAATCTTCCAACAAATAAATATGATTGATGCAGTGGTTTGTTCTATGCCAATCGTGACCGTGACTTTGTGCTTTAGCGTAGTTATTCAAGAGGATTAGGTGTATGCCAAATCGACAAGGTAGAACGATGACTGGGCCGGATCAACTGATTATTGGTCTAAAATCTTTTTGCACTTCTTAACAAAAATTCGGGCTTCTTAAAAAAAAAATTCTTACCGTGCCGCGCTATCCTCGATCTTCGGATCGAATCTTCTCCCCCCACGAAAATTTTGCATTTTGCAGGGCAATACGGGATTTTTTTTCATCACTTCACTCATTGGCCCAAAATAGCATGGTAGCATTTCTCCAGCCACTCCTTGTGAGAACGCTTGTTGATCCAATCCGTCTCCAAACACCCTAATACGTCCAGCCTTTGCAGTACTTTGGCACGTAAACACCCTTTGACGAACTGCTTTGCTTCGAGAGAGATCTTGCTCCATTCTCTGATCTCCAGCAGCAGGTCTCCCTTCCGGACCTTGAGGGTGGTTTTTTCAACGCAAGGCGAGTAGAATGGAGACACACCGGTAAGCAGAATGTACGTGATCACTCCTAAAGACCAAATGTCTACCTTGTTGGTGTACCCCTTGGTGCTCCGTGGCTGCGTCAGGTCGATCTCTGGCGCTGCATATTCCGGAGTCCCTACCATTGTAAACATTCTTCTGGCCGAGCGTTTGGTTCTTTGCGCGTCAAGCCGCCTGGCAGCCCCGAAATCAGCCAGAACAACGTATGGATACCGAACAGGGGCCCCTTTTATTAATATGTTGTCAAGCTTCAGGTCTCGGTGAACGATCTCGCGAGAGTGCAGATACTCCAATGCTTTGAGCACCTGGTACACAATCAGTAGTGCCTGTGTCTCTGAGACTGGTCGAAGCACGTCGTTGCCTTGTGCCATGTACGAAAATAGGTCTCCTCCAATAGCCAGGTCCTCGTATATTCGAAGACCATTGTTGGTCGCCATATATTCGTGTACTTTGATGATGTTTGGATGGTCGATCTGTGTCAGTATCTGGTTTTCATTAGAGAGTGTTGAGCAACTGAGGACCTTCACTGCGTAGAATGCAGAACTTTTGGTTGCAAGTTGCACCTGGCGTTAGAACAGAACTATTAGCCACTTACTTTTCCAAAAGTACCCTTGCCAATTACCTGAGATAGAACCTTCCAGTTGCGCTCCTCTAATACCACCTCTTTGCCAAAAGTCTCGCCTGTAAAGCGTAAGCTAAGATGGTCACCGATCTCGATGAGATCCTGGTCGCTCAGTATTGCAAATCCCCTATGAAGTTTCCTGCCATTGATTAACGTTCCATTGAGTGAGATGTCCTGTATGTATGTCAATGGTGCTGTCGATTCGTCAAAGCACACATTCCATATAAAACAATGGGAAGAGCTCACCTGAGGATCGTCTACTACGTACTCGCTTGCGCAAATTTCTGGAGCATTCACTCGGCCGAATCTTATCACATTGCTAGTCGAAAGCTCTATGGTGCAAGACCGTGTCGTGCGACGGTCGCACACTAATAAGGGCATACCGAAAAGAGGGATAGATTAGGAACCATGAGTAAAAAAAATCTTTAAAAATAAAGCGAGTGCCCCCACTCAGATTTGAACTGAGGATCTCCACATTACTAGTGTGGCGCCTTACCAACTTGGCCATAAGGGCAAATTACGTACTCTTAGGGGGCGAGAGTAAACATATAGGGCACCGACAGTATCTGGCCGTACTTTTAATGATTTAGCATATATAAGATTCAGACTAGCTACGGAAAGGAGTGGTCGGAACAAGCACCCAGCAAACCAACCTCGGCTTTCAAACTTGCCAGAGGCTTTCCAGGACAGTGCTCAGTTTTGATAGGAAACGTATCGGATGTGTTGTCTTTGCTGTGCCGTATCAGCTACAGCTACCAACTCCCCCCCGCAAGTCTGCTCCTGCAACCTAAGTTTCGTGTATCACTCACTAAAATTTTTTTTTATTTGATTTAATTTTCAGTCTTTACCTCCAGCTACCATGGACGCCCAATTCTTGAGTGGTTTGGAACAAACACTCAGAAGCATCTTGTCGCCAGACAACAATGCGATCAAGAACGCCACACAGGCCTTGAAGGCGCAGTACTACACCAACTCTCTGGCCTTCCCTTCTTTGATCCACCTGCTTCAAAATTCTGCTGACGACAGTGTCAAGCAGCTGGCTGCCGTGGAGGCCAAGAAGCTGGTTCCAAAACAATGGGAGGCGCTCGATGAAAACCTCAAGTCTCAAATCAGGGAGTCTTTGCTGAAGTTTGCATTTGGCTATAAGTCCAAGAACATCAGACACTCGTCGGCTAGAATCGTGGCTGCCATTGCCGAAATAGATATCCCCGACAACAAGTGGCCGACCCTGCTGCAATCGCTGGTTGGAGGGGCCCAGGATGCCGACGTGCAGACCAGAGAGATGGCTGTGTTCATTATCTTCTGTATTTTGGAGACGTTCCCTGCCGACTGGTTTGAACACTCTCAGGACTTTCTGTCGCTGTTTGCCACCACTCTGCAGGACCAGGCCTCTCTCGACGTCCAGGTGACCTCTGTTTCTGCCTTGGAGGTGATTTCTGCGTACATCGAGGAGGACGACGCGCTGCTGACGAAGCTTGCTCCTTCGTTCAGGTCTCTGCTGCCAAGTATGGTGCATCTGCTCAAGAGCTCTCTCTCGTTTTCCGACACCGAGAGGACCAAGGAGCTGTTCACGGCGTTCAACAGCTTTGTTCTGCTGGACATAAAGCTGCTGGGCGACAGCTTTGTGGACATCATCAACCTGATGATCGAGACGGCCATGAACAAGGAGCTGGACGAGGAGATCCGGTGTTTTGCGCTCAGAACGCTGACCCAGTGCATTTCGTACAGAAAGTCCAAGATCTCGCAGGCCAAGCTGGGCGGACAGATGGCTACGTGTGCTCTGCGCGTTGCGAGCGAGGAGGACGACGAGGCCGAGGAGGAGCTCGAAAAGGAGGACGAGGAGAACGAGAACGAGGAGGCGTCGCCACACACGCTGGCTCTGAGACTTCTGAACGAGCTGGCGATCAACCTGCCGTCGAGCCAGATCATCCAGCCGATCCTGGAGCTGGCTCCGCAGCTGCTGAGCTCGAGCAACCAGTACGAGAGAAGAGCTGCTCTGCTCTCGATCGGCGTCACTGTTGAGGGTGCGCCGGACTACATCTCCACGCAGCTGCCCAAAATCATCCAGCTGGTGATTGCCGGGTTGCACGACGGGTCGATTCTCGTCAAGGCTGCTGCGCTGCGCACCCTGGCCCAGCTGAACGAGGAGCTCAAGGACACGGTTGCAGAGTACCACGAGCTGCTGCTCAGCCCCATCATCTCCATCATCGACTCCACCAGCAAGATCATGGTGTACAAGTACGCCACCTGTGCGCTGGACACGCTGATCGAGTACATGTCGAACGAGAGCATCAAGCAGTACATGGAACCGCTGATGAACAAGCTGTTCCAGATGCTAGACGGCGCGCAGTCGTCGTCGCTCAAGTCGAGCATCGTGTCGGCGATCGGGTCGGTGGCCTACGCGGCCGGCAAGGCGTTCACGCCGTACTTCGACCCGTCGATCAAGTTCCTGGAGAAGTTCATTGCCAACATGGACCACATCGACGGCATGACCGAGGACGACATCGAGCTGCGTGCGCAGACGTTCGAGAACATCTCGTCGATGGCGCGGGCCGTGGGCTCTGAGGCGTTTGCTCCGTACGCACAGCCGCTGATCGACGCGTCGTACAGCGCGATCCACTCTGCCAACGGCAGACTCAGAGAGTCCGGCTTCGCATTTATCTCCAACATGGCCAAAGTGTACGGCGAGCAGTTCACGCCGTTCCTGGACAGAATCGTGCCGGAGATCTTCAACTGTCTGCAGCAGGACGAGTTCGACTTCAACTTTGGTCCCGACGACGAGATCGCGGACGAAGCAGACCTCGCAGAAAAACTGAACGTCCACACAGGTATCACCGTTGAAAAAGAGGTCGCGCTCGTGGCGCTGAGCTCGCTGGCCGTCGGCACCAAGGCCGGCTTCACGAGCTTCGTCGACCAGACCGTCAAGATCCTCAGCGAGCAGATCGACGAGTCGTACGCAGTCAGAGAAGCGTCGCTGTCGACGCTCTGGAAGGTGGCCTACTGCATGTACGAGGCGCACGGCCAGAACGACAAGGTGCTGGAGCTCATCAGAAACGTGCGCAGCATCACCGTCAGCATTCTGCCCGACGAGTTCGACGTGCACATGGTGATGACGTGCATCGACTGTCTGTACGAGTACATCAAGTCCAAGGCCCTGGGCAAGCTGGCCATCATGGAGGGCACCGACTCGTCGCAGCTGGAGTCGCTGTGCACGCAGCTGATGCTGATCCTCAAGAACGAGCACCTGTGCCTCACCCAGGACGACGAGGACGTCCCGAGCGACGAGGTCGACACCACAGAGACCGACGCCATGATCTACGACTCGGCGCTCGAGGTGCTGGTGAGCCTGGCCGACGCGTTCGGCGGCGACTTTGTGCGCATCTTCAGCTCGTTCAAAGACGTCATTCTCGCCCAGGTCAAGTGCAAGAACAAGAACAAGCGTGTCTCCACCGTCGGCTGCCTCGCCGAGATCTGCAACGGCCTCAAGAGCGAAAACCCGTACACCACAGAGCTGCTCGAGGTGTTTGTCGACAGACTCGCCAACGACAAGTCGTCCGAGGTGCGCGGCTCCGCCGCGTACGGTGTCGGCGTCCTGATCGAGCACGCCACCGTCGACGTGACCCCTGCCTACCCGGCCACCCTCAGCTCGCTGTCCAAGCTGCTCAACAAGGCCGGCAAGGAAGCTTCCAAGGCGGACGACGACGACGTCGAGACCAAGGACACGCTCAACAGAACGATTGCCAACGCGTGCGGCTGTGTCAGCAGAATGGCGCTCAAGAACCCGCAGGCCGTCCCGCTCAACGTGATCGTGCCCTCGCTGCTTAGCCACCTGCCCCTGGAGACCGGCCTCGAGGAGAACAAGCCTATTTTCGAGCTGATTCTGAAACTTTACGAGGAGAATAACGAGATAATCCTCAGTGCCACTGCCCAGGTGGTCGCCATATTCGAGCAGGTGTTCCTGAGAGAGCTGGAGAAGCAGAAACTGATCAACGAGTCGACACTGGGAAGAGAAGAGAACATAGAGAGACTGAACCAGTTCGACTCCGAGGAGACCCAGCACAAGGTTGTGGCATTCCTCAAGTACCTCGAGAGCAAGTTTGCCGGCGTTGTCTCGTCCAAGGAGGTGCTGAAAAATGTGATTGCGTGAGCATATAGTGACTAGACTAATTTGATTCAAATTCGAGACAGGAAACTTAGGTTTGTAAGAAACGGTGTATAAATAAGACCCCTGGTGCCGGTTTTTCCTCCATGCAGCACCAGACACCACGGCCGAAGCTGGCGTTCAACAGAGATCTGCTCAAAGTCCTCCCATCGCCAACAGACGCACGCCTGTCGCCGGTCTCGAAAAAAATTTGGGAGCACAGGTCCAAGACGATAAAAATTGATGCTATAAACAGGGAATGTGCTAAATAACTTACTTCTTGGTAACTCTAGAGTCGGTCACAGTGTTCAACAACAGCGCCTCGTTATCCAAAATGACCTTGTTTGGAGATCTGGCCAGGATGTTGGCAATCTCCTTGGCCGTGTCCAGTCTCTTGAGCTCGACATAGTCCTTGGACTTCTTGATGGCGTCACCAATGAGCTGCGCCGACTTTGCGTCACCCTGCGACTTCACCACCAGACTCTGTTTCTCCTGGATGGCCTTGTCCACAATGAAGGCCGCTCTCTGGGCGTCCTGCTGGGCAATCTGCTTGGCCTCGACCGCAGTCGAGAACTCCGGCGAGAACGTCATGGCCGTGAGAGAAACGTCGTCCAACAGGATGTTGAAGTTGGCCGCCCTTCTCATCAGGTTCTCACGAACAAGTCTCGACACCTTCTCTCTCTGTGTAATGAGTTGTGCAGCATTAAACTGTGCCACCACCGCCTTCAGAACCTCGTTCACAATCGAGGGAAGAACCCTCTCGTCGTAGTCCTGGCCCAACGTGCGGTGAATGGTAGGCAATGCGCTCACCTCCGGTCTCGAAAGCACCCTGCACGTGATGTTCACCATCTGCAAGTCCTTTGTACCGGTCAGCGAGGCAATGCTTCTTGGCTTGGCACGAATCTCGTAAATTGTTGGGAATTGGAGGAAGGGAATCTTGATGTGGGTACCCTCGCCCACAACTTCAGGACGAACACCGCTCAATCTGTCGTAGAGCACCGCTCTTTCACCACCGTTCACGTTGTACAGAGCATTGTCAAATAACAGTGCACCACCTCCCAGCAGAAGCAATCCTCCCAGGCCAGCAAAGATACCCAACGGAGATCCAGGCGGCTTGCGGCCACCCTGGCTTTTGGCGATCTGCTGAGCTCTTTTTTGCAAATCCTGGGCAAACTTGTCCCACCCTTGATTGTTCATGGTTTGATATTAGTGGAAATAGAGAATTTGAATTTGCCTTCTGGTATTTTAGTGGGTGAGGCACGACACATTATTTCGCTAATTTAATTAAAGGTTATTATGTCATTTGAGCTTCACAAGGCTGCCCAGGAGGGCAATGGACTCATTGTGGACGGGCTAATGAGCCAGAATCCACGGCTGGTGCTTCAAAGCGACGAAGACTCGCGAACACCGCTCCATTGGGCCTGTACATTCCAGCACGAGCAGATCGTCAAACGACTGCTGGCTGTTCCAAAGAGTCAGTTCGAGGTCGACATAGACGAGATGGTCGACGAAAGCGGATGGACGCCGTTCCACGTGGCCTGCTCCGTGGGGAACCTGGAAATTGTGAAGCTGTTGGCGCAACATGATCCTGCTCCAGATGTCAATCTGGCCACCAGCAGCGGCCAAACGGGGCTGTTTTACGCTGTGAGTAAGGGCCACTACGATGTGGTGGAGTATCTCGTCACGGAATGTAAAGCCAGCGCCAGAATAAAAGATAAGCGTGCGCAGTTACCATTGCATCGTGCTGCTTCCATCGGAGCGGAGAAGATCTGCGAGCTGCTGGTCAAGAAGGCCAACTCGCCGCTCAATGCTCAGGACATTTACGGGTTCACAGCGCTTCACCACGCGCTCAGTGAAGGACATGGCGATTTGGCATTAAAGTTAGTGAAACTTGGGGCAGACTTCAAAGTGGCAGACAAGGACGGTCAATTGCCCGTGGATGTGGCTGTTGACGACAAGGTGCGCAAGTTTTTTGTGAAAAGTCTTCAGAACGAAGGATTAATCGAGTCCGCTTAAAGAGACTTCTAAGAACGATCAGGAATACTCCGGAAAAAAAAAATATATCACCAAAAAAATTATTTTAATAGTTTTATGAAGCGGAACGAGTCTCCAGATTCTACCAACTTTAAAATACCAAAACTACACATGGGAGAAGACCAGCAAGCCAAGAAGGAAGAGTTTTTCCAGCCCGTCGGACAGGCCGCAGAGGAGGTCGACCACGAACAGGTTCCTGAAAACGACAACGATGGTATCAGAATGACCGGTGCTGAGGACGCCCAGGGCCATCCTGTTCAGGAAATCGATTCTCTTTGCATGAACTGCCACGAGACAGGGGTTTCGCGCCTGCTACTCACCTCGATTCCATATTTCAGAGAGATCGTGGTGATCTCTTTCGAGTGTCCTCACTGTGGATTCAAGAACTCGGAGATCCAGCCGGCTTCCACCATTGCTGAAAAAGGTAGCAGGTATGTGCTCAAGATTGAGAACAAAGAGGACTTCAACCGCCAGGTGGTCAAGTCGGACTATTGCACGTGTAAGTTCATCGAGCTCGACATTGAAATTCCCGCAAAGAGAGGTCAGCTGACTACCGTCGAGGGACTTTTGTCGGAGATGGTGCAAGACCTCGAAATGGACCAGCCGCAAAGAAAAGAGGTTCAGCCTGAGATATACGAAAAGATCGAGCAATTCCTCGCCAAAATACGCTCTGTGCTCAACGGAGAGACCGGCCTGCCCCTGACGTTCCTGATCGATGATCCATCCGGCAACTCCTGGATCGAATACGTTCCGGGCGAGCCTCAGCACAAATGGTCTATGGTCGAGTATAACCGGACGCCTCAGCAGAACGTGATGCTGGGTTTGGTGTCTGCGGACGAGGTTGCTGCCCACGAGCAGGAACAGCAGCAACAACAGCCTCAAAGAGTCAGAGCCACGGGATTCATGTCTGACGAGACAGATATCGAGAACTTTGCCAACGAGGTGCAGGTGTTCCACGCTACATGCTCTTCTTGCTACGCTCCGTGCGAAACTCATATGAAAGTCGTTAATATTCCTCACTTTAAGGATGTGATTATTATGTCCACCACCTGTGAACGTTGCGGATATAAATCTAACGAGGTCAAGACGGGAGGTGCCGTGCCCGACCGGGGAAAGCGTGTGACGCTATACTGTGACGACCCTGAGGATCTCACCAGAGACATTCTCAAGTCCGAAACCTGTGGACTGAAAGTTCCTGAACTCAACCTGGATCTGACCCCAGGAACGCTTGGCGGAAGATTCACCACTTTGGAAGGTCTCTTGCGCCAGGTCAGAGACGAGCTGCATTCCCGCGTGTTCCAGGAAACTTCCGACTCGATGGCTCCAGAGTCCAAGGCCAACTGGGAAAAGTTCTTCGAAAGACTCGATACCGCTCTTGCTGGAAAAATGAAATTCACAGTGATAATGGAAGACCCGTTGGCGTCATCGTACATCCAAAACGTGTATGCTCCGGACGACGATCCAAACATGAAGGTGGAAGAGTTTGAGAGAACTCGCGAGCAGAACGAAGAGTTAGGACTCTTGGACATGAAGGTGGATTAGCTATAACTAGCTCTCGCTTCTCCTGCTGGCCGGCGGCACGATTTGCTCCTCCTCTATTGGGTCACTGAACGGATCGTTGAACGGATTCAGACTGGTTTCCGAAACACTTCTGTATAGCTCATTATTATTAAACGGATTGTCGTAATCGTCTCCATGGGTTCCGTAAAGATCGTCCTGGTCGAAAATCTCTGTGGCCACCCGACGATTGATTCTTTGCAGCGGTGGATTGCTGCTTTGGTTAAGATTTCCAATCAAAAGTCTCAACCGGGACAACACCATTTGGATAGTCGACTCGATCTTCAGTTTTCTGGCCACCTTGTTGATTTTCTGGATCAAAACGTATCTTTTGACGAAATCCTCCAGTGTCAGACACGTGCTGTCCTGGAACCGCGAATAGTACCCTATTTGGAGCAGCAGTTTGGTGAACTCAATCTTCGGACCATCACTGGTCTGCACCATTTTAAGATACGCCTCGATTATCAATCTGTTGTACCGACGTCTTCGTTCCTTCACCTTGCGGAAATCAATTGTCGCCATGATCTCGTCCAATTTCTCAAAGTCGTACTCCAGCTCATACGGATCGTTGCTGTGTTTTGTGATCCACTGCGAGGTGATATTTGGAATCGAGAACTTCTCGGGATAAACTTTATAGGACAGCACTCCGTCCAAGCTGCTCAAAAATGGTTGCAGCTGAGACGGGTCGATGAAGCCAGACCCGTCGGGGTCGAACTCTCTCCAGGACCTCTTGAATTTGCGGATCTCGTCTCTAGTCAGCAGCGAATGAGGCCCGGACGAGTTGTACACATAGCTGAAACTGTTGATCACCACGGAAATAAGAATGTTGAGGAAAATGTACATCGACAGAACGTTCCACGAGAAAAATAGAATGTGCGCAGAGACGTTCTGGCCGCAATCAGAGCTGTACCGACTTACAGCACTGGAGCAGTAAGGGGCACCTACCCTGAAATCGTCCATGATGTAATTCCAGCCTTCGCCAAAACTCACTCTAAAGAGCAGAATGAGCGACTTTGTAACTGTACGACAGTTGATGTTGCCTGTTGTGTTCTTGCCCAGTCTGGTGAGTCCAAAGACCTGATTCAGCGCAATGGCATAGACCAGAAATAGGACTAGCCAGGTGTATATCAGCGCTAGCAGCGTCGGAAGACTGGCAGACGCGTATCTGAATAGCTGGTTGAACGTATCCACTCTAGGAATGAGGAAAAGTAGCACCCCCACGAGGAACAGCTTGTTGATGTTGGCGTAGACGGACTGTCTGGACACAAAGAAGGCGACCGCCGACATCACACAGGCACCAACCACGATGATGAGCCGCGAGATGTTCCAACCGTTTCTGAAAAACAGTTTTGGGCCCAAAGCGTAGAGCGTCAGCACAGTATCGCACGCAAGTCCCGTGGTCGACAGAGTGGTGATGGCATAGCGGAAGTTGTTTTCGGCAAAATTCGCTGGGTAGAACTCCACCAGCAGACCAACCACATGGATGAAATAAAACCCGTTCACTATGCTCGTGTAGGTTTTATTTTTATCCACCACGAGGTGGTAGTAAGCTTTGCGGAAGCCGCTCATGGAAGATTCGTCCTTCCGTTTGGAAGGATGAACCTGGCTCAGAACACGTTTGACCTCGTACCAAGCACGCTGTTTGTCGTTCAAAAAGGCTGTTCCTGTCTGGACCGAGTAATTGTTGATGATAACAGAGACGAACAGGTTGAGAATGATGACGATGGAGCAGAAGATGAAAATGATGACAAACATCCCGTTTCCCGGACTGGCAAACGTTTCTGGCGGCTGTCCGCGCGCAGTGATGTTCATCAGGTTCAGCAGCAGGTCGGTCCAGCCTTCCAGCGAAATGATTTGAAACAGGGACGAGAGCGAGTTGGCGAAGCCGTCAAAGTTCAGGTACGGGTTTGAGTACACCCTTGGTGAAAGGACGTTCCATTTGAAGACTTCGTTGGAGTACTCCAAAACGCAGTTGTCGTAGTCCGAAGAGCTATCGGAGCACGTGGCCAGCTTTCCAACAAATAGTTGCAGACCCCAGAGAGAGAAGGGAAACAGCAACGTCATGGAGATCAGGACTGCAGCAAGCATTTTGCGCGCTCCTGATATCACTGCGTAGTTGAAGTACTCCTTCGATCTCCTGGTGATAGTCAGCAATCTGAGGCCTCTCAGAGCTCTTGCTTCGCCGACAATAATCACGAGATTGAAGTCTCTGTAGATTTCTCCAAACGTGGTGATCCAGAACGAAATCAGCACCACAAAATCAATGGCGTCCCATGCAGACCTCAGGTACGCGTTTGGCGTGCGCGCGAATCCGTCGGCTATCACTTTGATCAGGAACTCGAGCGTGAACAAGATGGAGAAAAATAGATCCACCTCGGTGACCCAGTTCCATGGCCGTTCGTAAATAAAATTCTCTTTCCTGTACAACGGTGTCACGTAGCACGCGAGAACAACCACCACCACTGTGGCAAGAAACATCAAAACGTAGAAAGCGTCGCGCACTTTTGGATACGGGTCGACACCGTCCATTCTTTTTCCGTACGCCGGAGACACTATCCGTTGACAGAACCTGCGAAGAGGATGGTCGGGATAAAAGTAGTGCAATGTTCTGTTGAACTCGACGTGCTGGTCGAGATACGCGCGTTGCTTGAGCTCCTTGTCTGGATCGAGGTTGTTTTCGTCAAAAAGACGGAACACCTCGCGAGTCGAGCTTTTCCTGCCAGTGTTCACGTCGAGCTCTCGGTAGTCAAATCCAAGCGAGAAATCGACTTTCGCCATGGTGGCAGAAACCACCCAGTCTCTCGCCCAAACAAACAGGTGAGAGTCGGTGATTTTGTCTTCCAGACGAGCGTACGGTTTCCATTTGCGCAGCAGCTTCATGCACTTGGAAAACAGGCCTATATTTTCCTGCTTTTTTCTCTCTTTCTCATCCTCCAGAAAATCTCCCGGACTCATATTGCTTTGCTCCAGAAGGTGCGTCATGTGCTCAATCATCTGCGACGTGCTGATGGCCCTTCTTCGGGTGCTTCTAAACCACTGGCTTCTCAAATCGTCAAAAAGACCAACATGCTTGTTCGAGTTCAGTTCGCGCACCAGTTTCTGGTAGAACTGCTTGATCTGCATCCGTTTTTTGTTGGCGTCGTTGACACCCAAGTTCTGAGTGATGATGGCGATGAAAATGTTGAGGACGACCATGTTGGAGAAGATGAACCAGCCAATAAGATACACAGCAACACAGACCTTGGTGAAGGTGTTCCGGCTGCACTGCTGGGCAAGATACAGGATACTCGTCCAATTCTCGGTGGTGGTGATGGTATAAAGCGAAAGCACCACATTGGGCAGGTTGTACATGATCAGCTGGTCGTCGTCCAAGTACTCGTCAACGGGAATGAGTCCCTCAAACAAACGCGCACAAACAATGCCCGTTAAATACAGCACCAGGATGAAGAAAATGCCGAGGTCGATGAAGGGCCGGAAATTGGAGAAAACGGCTTTCCAGGCGTTGTGCAGCAGACCCCTGGCGACCACTAGTCTGTAGAACCGAAAAATAAATAGGACCGACGTCCAGCCATAGGGCCCTCCTTCTGGATCCAATTGCAAGTTTGCGATCACCATGGTGGAGATGGCCAGCAAAAGGTCAATTATGTTTCTCAGCGAGTAGAAGTAGACCTTGATGTTCCGTCCAAAAAGCGCCATCTTGATGGCAGTTTCTGCGAACAGACACACGGTGATTGCCAGCTCCATAGTCTTCAATCTCGCCCAGCTCTCGTCGTCGTAGTTCGTAGAGACCAGGGCTTTGTTGATGAGGTCCACGATAACCAGAATGTTGAAGAATCCGCGCGTGGAGCAGAATTTGCGCAGGTAGTTGTGGCGAGCCAGATAGTCTTCGTACGCAGCATCCAGTGCTCTGAAATCGAACTCCCAGACCAGGATCCGCGTCTTGCGCGACTGCCGTGCGTTTTTCATATCGTCGATGTGGACTCTGTAGCAGTTGATGACCACGGCCACAATCAGACTCAGCAGCCACACCACCAGAATGAATATGGCGAAAATAAAGTAGAGAGAGGCAGCCATCTCGTCACTGTCCATTGTGTAGTACATGATATCCGAAAACGTGTTGGCGCTCAAAATGACAAACACCATCTGCAACGAAATGAAGATGTTGTCAAAACTTATGGTGTTTCCGTATGGGTTCTCGCCCGAGATGCATTTCGAGTTCACCGGACAGGTGAAACCCTTGGCATACGGGAATGTCTGGTCGTTGTGTCCAGGGATATATGGTTTTTCTTTGAGTGTTGTTGGGTCCAGATAAGATCCACAGAACTGCATGGAGTTCTCGTATATGTCCGTGCTGTTGTTGGGGTTGGTCCAGACACAATGTCTTCTCAGAGAAGACTTGAAAGACTGGACTCCAATGATAGCGAAAAGCACCCAAAAGACACTCAGAACCAAAGTGGCATCTGAAGCTTGGTGGCCTGCTTTGCGGAGCGACTTGAGGATCAGCCGGGTTCCGTGCGTGATGTTGAGCAGTCTCAGAATTTTGAGACACATGAGCGACCTGAAAATCATGCACTGGTGCTTTATGTCTAATTTTTGGATGCTAATAAAAAGCGAAATCCAGAACGACACCACAGAAACAAAGTCCACCTTGTGCCAGTCGGACCTCAGAAACGCTCGCGTCAGCTTGGCAGGCTCTTTCTCTGTTCCGTGGACAGTCACTGTTCTGAGCGGCCGCGACTGCGCGTAGTCCTGGTCCGCTGCCTTTGGGTGTGTCAGATGGAGCTTCTCGCCGGCCTTTCGCAGGTATCTGCGCAACAGGCTCTGTTTCTTCTCCAACTTCAGCTCCTTGAACATCTGCGAGTCGTCGAAAAAGCCAAACGCCACCGATTTGACCAGTATTTCCGCCGTGTACACCACATAGTGGAAAAACAAAATATAGTCGACCCAGGTCCACCCTCCATTGTGGACGTAGCCTGCCTCGACCTTCCATTGCTGAATGGTCAACAGGACCGTCTGCGATATCAACAGCAGCGCAATGATCTGGTCGCAGATCGGTTTGCGCGCGATTTGCAGACAGCCTATTCTGAAGTTTGAGCTGGGCCCGAAAATGCCAAACGACTTGCCAAATAGGCGAGGAGTCTCTTTTTCTCGAGTCTCCTGCGATGAAACGTCGTCTTGCTCGCCCGGAAGCAGCACGGTGGTCTGCAAAGAGTGGTTGGCCGCAAGAGTGTTTTTAGAGTAGGTGGAACGTCCTAGATCATCCTCATAATCCGAGTAATCACCCCAATGCATCTGGTCGTCGTCCACAGAGTCCCGACGCTCGCTCAGATCGATGTCGTCGGTTAGATCCATCTCGCCGTCGTGCTCGTCGCCCCTGGCGTTCAGCCGCTGCGAAAACTTGCGGAAAACAGACGATATCTGCGAGCTAGGTGTCACGGGCTGGATCAGACTTTTACCCGATTGGATGGACGTCACGTCCTGACGCGACATGCTGGTTGACTCTGGCACGTCCAGCTTGCCACTGAGATCCGCCATTTCGATATCTGCGTTTCCAGACTCCAGATCGTGCGAATTTCCCGTTCGCATGCGTACGCCCGAGTCCAGCGAGGATGCATCCGACGACTCGCTAACAGGCATCCACAGGTCGCTGGTCTCTGCCAGAGCCAGGTTCAGGCCCTCCGAAAAGTCAGAGTCCATTTCCTCGTCTAAAAGAATGGGTATGCGGTCGTTGTCTAGAACTCTGGTGTTGTGGAAACGCGAGCTTGTAGGTGAAGGAGAGGCCTCAAAGCCGCGAGAATGACCTCTCTGGGGCGACGGCTGCTGCAGGATGTTTATGAGATCGTCTTCAGACTGCAGATCAGTGTGCACGGTGAGCTTGGGCAGGATCCGTGACTTGGAAAAAGATTTCGAATCGTCAATATCGTACAACGAAGACCGTTCGCGAGGCGGCAGATTCAAGATGTTGTTTGAGTCTGTCGAGATCTCGATCTGAGGCACCTCTCTTTCCTGATTCAGAGGGATATTCTCTGAATCAGACGACCTCCGTCGATTATTGAACCGATCCATATTTAAAAATAAATTTACGATTAGGCATTCTTATGGAAAAAAGGCCCCCTTAAAAAATCCTTGTGGCAGATACACTACCGCGAAAAATAGCCAGGCGTTATAATTAGGTCCCATAAATTCAGATAAATAGCATAGTGGAATAAAATCTTGGATCAAAAAAACCGCCTATTCGTTCATCTCGCTGCTCACAGAGCCGATCGAGCCGATCGATCCGATCGAACCCTTTCGGTCCACCCACGAGTCCGGCTGCAAGTTGCCCACGATGTGCTTCTGGTTCTTATCGTCAATGTAGCCGTCGGTAGTCGAACGGAGACCGTGCATCTGGCCATCGTCGCCACGCACGTTGATCACCTCGTCTCTGTGGAAATAGGTGTATGGCACGTTTTTCAGATTTGGCTGTGTGTCGGAGTTCCTGCGGCCTGGATAAGATTTGAATTGCTCCTGAGGAGTGATAGTGGTTGGGTTATAATGGGTGCCCGTGTTGTTGACGCCGCTTTGTCTTGTCTTGTTCTTGTAGACCCACCTGTCGAGAAATGACATATTGGAAAATTGATATTGGCTATGTACTAGGCTGCCAAGTCCTTATATACTCCAGTGCCCGGCCATGACAAGCTGCAGCTTGGGCTGAATTGCTTCTCTAGCAGTGCAGCAAAACAGGGTGGAAAACTCAATTTTTCTCCATCTCCTCACGGTTATCAGTGACCGAGTTATGACTAGTCTCAAACGGGGTCACATTACTCCTCTTTCTTACCCCGTGGATTCCGAAGCTTGAGCTTTGGCTGACGTCTATTCTGCTCTGTCTCTCTGCTGCTCCTCCCGCTGCTGGTTCAAAAATTGAATTTTCTTTTGGATAAACTTATCTCTCTCCTCGTCGACATACTCCTGCTTCTGGCGCGATTTTATGCACTCTCTCATCTTCTTGGATTGCTTGCGACATTTGAACCACACACCGTAACCAGCCATATGCTCGCATTTGACAAAGTCTAGACATTAGTCGGTGGTCTGATGTTTGTACTTACCTTGGACGAACGGGTCGCATGCTTTCCACGTGTTGTCTCGCCAGTTCAAAAAAACCTCTTTTTCCTCTTTCGGCGTGAGCATCCATGGTGGAAGCCCCTCTACGCGTTTGCGGTCCATGCTGATCAGTCGAAAATATTAATTTGTATTTTTCTCACCCTCCGGTATTTGTGGTGCAAGGGTTAGCCCCAGATAAATTTTGTTTGTTTATTATTTGTTTTATCGATGGGTACGCAGTTTCCTGGCCTCAGTCTGCCTATCGTGCAGATCCGCAGCTTCTTCGATATCCAGAAAGATCTCTCCGCAATAGACACAATCAATAATAACCTGAAAAAGCTAGAATCGCTGCGACAAGAGGAGCTAGACAGACATCAAGATAAGCTGGACGAGTTGCAGCGTGAGCTGGAGCACTTTGAGAGCTCGATCGCAGAGCTGAAAAATAACCACAAGTCCAAGGAGGTCAAGGAAGAACTGCTCAAGGTCGAGGACCTCATATTCACGATAGCAAAGCACCTCACAAGTCTTAATATGGAACTGAACGCGCTCAAGTTGAAGTATAACCAAGATCTTGTCAAACTAGAGAACCTCCAGAACCAGCTGGCCGAGCTGGAGCAACACAGCATCGAGACGGACGCAAACAAGAACGTTTCGGAGCGCAGCAAGGCGCTGAAGCTCAAGCTCTACGAAAGCCTCGGGCTCAAGCTCGACTTCAACAGCAAGCAGGTGCTGGTGCTCAACAGGAAATCGCAAAAGACAAACGTTCTGAATCTCGACCAGGGCTACGACGAGATGTTCATCTCGGAATACATCTGGGATAATATATGAGCATGCGCAGTGTATTTATCATATGTACAATAGAGAGCGGCCGAACGACGGCTACACATTTGGAGGTTGTTTTCTGAGAGGAAGCTTGGTCCATTTCGGCACAAAGTGGATTGCCTTTCTGTATTTTCTTGCGTACTTGCTGAACACCGTGTACTTGTTCCTAGGCGTCATCTCGCTCTCCTTTGGGTACTCGGTCATCAAATGCTCCACTCTCTTGGACGACATTCCGTTGGCCTGCAATCCGTCGTACAAGGCTTGGATGTTGGAGTCCACAAGCTGCATTCTCTTTCTGTGTCTGTATTTCTGGAATCTCGAGAGTCTCCATGGCTTTTTCCACAGCAAACCGCCCAGCGCCACGGGCGACATTCTGAACGGACCAAACATAATCAGCTCAAATTATGATGAATCTTTTTCAGCTCTAAAATTTTCCACTCTCGCTTCACCGCCACCAGCGCCACTCGTTGACAAATTTTTCCCCGTTGGCGACTCAAAATAAGATTCACTCATACTATGTCTGAAGAAGAACCGCAGTCTTTTTCCTTCCCAAGAGAAGAGGAGAAGGTTCTGGCTTACTGGAATGAGATCAACGCGTTCCACAAGTCTCTTGAGCTGACTAAAGGGAAGCCGCAGTTTGCCTTCTACGACGGTCCTCCGTTTGCAACTGGAACCCCCCATTACGGCCATATCCTCGCCTCGACCATCAAGGACATTGTTCCTAGATACGCCACTATGAACGGCTTCTACGTGGAAAGACGCTTTGGCTGGGACACCCACGGACTGCCTGTTGAGCACGAGATCGACAAGAAGCTGGGCATCAAGTGCAAACAAGACGTCCTGGACATGGGCATAGCCAAGTACAACGAGGAGTGCAGGTCGATCGTGATGACGTACGCCGAGGAGTGGAGGAAAACCATCGGCAGACTCGGCAGATGGATCGATTTCGACAACGACTACAAGACGCTGTACCCAGAGTTCATGGAGTCCGAGTGGTGGGCTTTCAAGCAGCTGTTTGAGAAGGGAGCGGTCTACAGAGGTTATAGAGTCATGCCGTACTCCACGGGTGTCACCACTTCGTTATCGAACTTCGAGGCTCAGCTGAACTATAAGGAGGTCAACGATCCAGCCGTCACCGTTGGCTTCCCATTGAAGGACGATCCAAAGACCATCCTTGTCGCCTGGACTACCACTCCGTGGACGCTGCCTTCTAATATCGGTCTCTGTGTGCACCCTGAGTTTGAGTATGCCAAGATCTACGACGAGGAGAAGGACGTCACCTACATCATGCTGGAAGGTCTGATCAAGAGCCTGTACAAGAAGCCAAAGGACGCAAAGTACAAGATTGTCGGCAAGATCCTCGGTAAGGAGATGGACGGCTGGAAATACGAGCCGGCGTTCAACTACTTCTACGACAAGTTCAAGAACACCGGGTTCAGGGTGTACTGCAATACCTTTGTCACAGACGACTCCGGTACCGGTATCGTCCACCAGGCGCCGGCTTTCGGTGAGGTCGACTTCGAGGCTGCCACGGAGGCAGGCGTCATCAACGTGGACCTGGCTCCTCCAAACCCTGTCGACGACGACGGAAGATTCACTCAGGAAGTGACCGACTTTGCTGGACTCTACGTGAAGGATGCCGACAAGGAGATCATCAAGTATCTGACGTCCAACGGACGGATCTTGCTGGCGTCCCAGATCCGACACAGCTACCCATTCTGCTGGAGATCGGACACTCCGCTGCTTTATAGAGCTGTTCCATCGTGGTTTGTGAGAGTCAAGGACATCGTCCCCCAGATGTTGGAGGCTGTCGACAAGACCAGATGGGTTCCTTCGAACATCAAGGATAAGAGATTTTCCAACTGGATTGCCAACGCCAGAGACTGGAACGTCTCCAGAAAAAGATACTGGGGTACCCCGTTGCCGCTGTGGGTTTCGGACGATCTCGAAGAGATCGTCTGTGTTGGCTCTTTGGCTGAGCTGAAAGAACTGACCGGCGACCACTCCATCACAGACATGCACAGAGAAAGTATCGACCATCTGACCATTCCATCCAAGCAGGGCAAGGGCACTCTCAGGAGAATCGAGGACGTGTTCGACTGTTGGTTTGAGTCTGGATCCATGCCGTACGCCTCGAAACACTATCCGTTCGATGAGGACAAGGAGAGGTTCACGGGGGCATTTCCGGCCAACTTTATTTCCGAGGGCTTGGACCAGACCAGAGGCTGGTTCTACACCTTGACGGTGCTGGGAACCCACCTGTTTGGCAAGGCTCCGTACCAGAACGTTATTGTTTCCGGTATTGTTCTTGCTGCTGACGGTAAGAAGATGTCCAAAAGGCTGAAGAACTACCCAGACCCGATGAACGTGCTCAATACGTACGGTGCCGACGCCCTGAGACTGTACTTGATCAACTCGCCTGTTTTGAGGGCCGAGACGCTCAAATTCAAGGAGGAAGGTGTCAAGGAGGTGGTTTCCAAGGTTCTGCTACCATGGTGGAACTCTTACAAGTTCCTGGAAGGACAAGTCGCCCTGCTCAAGAAAAACGAGGGCATCGACTTCAAGTACGATTCAGAGTCCAGATCCGAGAACGTCATGGATCGCTGGCTGCTGGCGTCGATCCAGTCGCTGATCAAGTTTATCCGTGTCGAGATGGAGGAGTACAGACTGTACACGGTGGTTCCTAAGCTGCTGAATTTGATTGACGAGCTGACCAACTGGTACATCCGTTTCAACAGAAAGCGACTGAAGGGAGAAAACGGTGTCGAGGACTGTCTGAAGGCCATGAACACGCTGACCGAGGCGCTGTTCACTCTCGTGAGAGCCATGGCTCCGTTCACGCCGTTCCTGGCCGAGAACATCTACAGCAGAATAAAGGTGCTTTTTGAGGAGCAAACGTTGAAGAAGTACGGCGAGAACACCGACTCTGTGCACTTTTTGTCGTACCCGATTGTCAACGACTCTCTGATCGACGAGAAGATCGAGCTTGCTGTGTCCAGAATGCAGAAGATCATCGACCTGGGCAGAAACATCAGAGAAAAGAAGACCATCTCGCTCAAAACCCCGTTGAAGGAGCTTGTTGTGCTGCACTCCGACCCAGGCTACCTTGAAGACGTCAAGGCATTGCAGAACTACATCAAGGAGGAGCTGAACGTCAGAGATCTGGTCATCACGTCCGACGAAGACAGATTCGCCGTCGAGTACAAGGCCGTCGCCGACTGGCCGGTGCTGGGTAAGAAGCTCAAGAAAGACGCCAAAAAGGTCAAAGACGCTCTGCCGAAACTCACCTCCGACGAGGTCAAGGAGTTCCTCAAGACCGGCAAGGTCGAGGTGGCAGGCATCGACCTCGTGGAGGAGGACTTGGCTGTGCTCAGAGGCTTGCCGGAAGACAAAGTTTCCAGTGGCCAGGAGGTCAGAACCGAGGGAGACGTGCTGGTCATTTTGGACATCAACTTGTACCCAGAGCTGCAATCGGAGGGTCTCGTGAGAGAACTGATCAACAGAATCCAGAGACTGAGAAAGAAGTGCAACCTGCAACAGACCGACGAGGTGCTTGTGCAGCTGGATATCCAGAAGGATCCGATTGGACTGGCCGACGCCATCACGGCCCACCAAAGCGTGCTGCTGAAGGCCACCAGAAGACCGGTCGAGACGTACGCCGAGACGTCGAGCCCTGTGCTCGGCGAGGAGGAGACCAGCATCAGCGATGCTCTGTTGAGGCTGCGGCTGTTGAGACTCGACTAGATTATGTAATTGCCTACGTAAGCAGGAAAAAATCCACCTAGACGAAGAGCTATTTTTTTTTCTTCCTCAAATAAGTACACAGATGTCTTTTGGAGCTCGGTCGCTAGGAGCGTTTGGCGCGGGCTCGCTTGGCGGGTCTTCGGGCACCGGCACTGTGACGTCGGCCGGAACTCTCCAGGACCTGCAGAACGACATTGTGGTCCCCAATGGGCCGGAGGACTCGATCTCGGATCTTGCGTTTTCGCCTGTCGCAGAGTTTCTGGCCGTGTCGTCGTGGGACCGCAAAAACAGAATCTACGAGATCAACACGGGGACAGGACAGGTAGAAGGGCGCGCGCTGTATGAGCATGAGGGCCCCGTTCTGAGCACGCGGTTCTCTCTGGACGGTGCGCGGGTGATCAGTGGAGGAGCCGACAAGCAGGTGCGGCTGTTTGATCTCGCGTCGCAGCAACAGCAGACAATAGGACTACACAGCGACACGGTGAGGGTGGTGCGGTACGTGGAATGCGGGCCTACCAACACACAGTGTGTTGTGAGTGGATCGTGGGACAAGACCATCAAGTACTGGGATATGAGGCAGCAGAACCCGATTTGCACGCTCAACATGCCGGAGCGCGTGTACGCGATGGACTCGTCGCAGAAGCTGCTTGTTGTTGGCACAGCAGAGCGCCATATCGTGACGATCGACCTGAACAACCCGGACAAGATCTTCAGACAGAGCATGTCGCCGCTCAAGTACCAGACGAGAACGATCGCGTGCTATCCGAAGGGCGACGGGTTTGCGGTGGGGTCGATTGAGGGCCGGTGCGGTATTCAGTACGTGGACGAGCTGCAGCAGAAGGAGTTTGGGTTCTCGTTCAAGTGCCAGAGAGAGCAGAAGACGGCGTCGAAGGAGGTGAACATATATTCTCTCAACTCGATTGCGTTCCACCCTGTGCACGGGACGTTTGCCACGGCCGGGTCCGACGGAACGTTCAATTTCTGGGACAAGGACGCACGGCACAGGCTGAAGGGCTATCCGTCGCTGGGCGCCACGATTCCGGTTGTCGGGTTCAACCGCACGGGAACGATCTTTGCGTACGCGTTGAGCTACGACTGGAGCAAGGGCCACGAGTTCAACCGGCCAGACTACCCGAACGTGGTGAGACTGCATCCCTGCAAGGAGGAAGAGGTGAAGCAGCGGCCCAAGAGAAAGTAATGTACAGTAAGTAAACACATCACCGGTAGTGAAATAAAAGATACAAAAGCTGAAACGCTCTATAGATCGCCGGTTCCGACAGACTCTCCCCAGTTGAAGACCTCTGTGAGGCCCAAATTGCCAGCATTTTCCTGGTTCGCCGTGAGAAGCGAGTCGAAATCGAAGATGTCATTAGAGGCGGTGGAGAAGTCATGCAAAAAGGTTGATGCGGTCTGGTCGTTGACGGCAGAACTTGGAACATCAGAGCCCATGTGCGACGAAGACGAAGAAACGGGTCCTTGGACCTTGTTGAGCGACGAGCCGTTGGCGGGCTTTCCCGCCGTGCTCGACAGGATGAACGGCTCGTCCTCCTTGATGGTTGGAGTGGTGATACTGTTCTTTCGCTTGATTCCTTTCTTGCCAGCCATCACTTGAGAGGCACCGACTGCGGACGACTGTGGGGTTTGCTGTGGAGTGGTGTTCTGGGGCGTTGGAGGAATGTTTGTTTGGGGCGTTGGCTGGTTGTTGGCCGGGGTCAGCGGCGTGGCCGGAACAGAGGACGAGTTTTTGCGTGCCTTGCGCGGAGCCTTCTTCTGCTTGCCGTTGGCCGGCGGACCTGCCCCGTTGGCCGGCGACTTGGTCGTCGGAGACGCCTTCGTCGCCGGAGACGCTCTCTGCTGCATGATCGACGCGGCCGCGTGCTGCGGCGGCATCTGGCTCAGCATGGCCGAGTACTCGGCGAACTGCGTGCTGCCAGGAGAGTTCGGGTCCTTTGAGTCCGGCGCGTTGCGATGCACGTCCAAACGTCTGCGGTTCTGCGACTCCATCAGGCGGAGCTGTTTTTCGTAGTCTTTGATGGCGGTATCGTTCACCCTGGTGGCTCCGGGATTGTTCTGTTTGGGCATCTCGTGGAAGAAGTCATTAGGGTTCGAGAAAGTCTGTGGCGGAGGAGGGGGAGGATGCTGCTGGTCGTGCTGCATGTGCACAGACGGCTGGTGCATCTGCTGGTGCATCAGCATCTGCTGCTGGGGCTGGCCCTGGAAGTTTGGAATCATGTACTGGTTGAACTTCTGCTGCGACTGGCCCTGCTGAGCGGCCTGCGCGGCAGCGAACATGGCGTACTGCTGCGGAACACCAAACTGGTTGGGGATCATCATGCCCTGCGGCATAGGCATTGGCGGATGCTGCTGCTGCTGCTGCTGCTGCTGTTGCTGAGAGCTCATGGCCAGGTTGGGCGACGAGGTCTGGGTGATCTCTGTTGCGCTGCCGTTACCAGCGTTGTCCATCCGCTGGCGTTTCGACGGGGACCCTCTCTGCGAAACGGCCTGGGCTGCCACCTGTGCAGCCTGGGCCTGTTGCGCGATCTGTTGCTGCCTGAGCGTGTTCATCTGGGCCTGGGCGGCCGCCTGAGGGTGCATCGGCATGCTCTGGCCCTGCTGTTGCTGCTGCTGGGGCTGGGGCTGTTGCATGCGAGCGTTGACCCGTTGCTGCTGGGCCATCGGGACCTGCTGGGGCGGATGGCCCATTTGCGCCTGCTGCTGCTGCTGTTGCTGCTGGGGCATCAGGACACCGATATCCTGAGCCGCGGAAGTGACCGGGGTGCCGGTCATCGAGGTGTTGTTGCCGTTGATGACCGTGGACGCGGCTGCCACGGCCGCGGCCTGCTGGTTCATCAGATGGTCCTGTTTCTGCTTGAGGTTCACGTAGTGGTAGTACTGCGTTGCGTTTGTGGTTCCGCCGCGCTGGGTGCGGGCGTTGAAGACGTCCCAGAAGATCTGCCACCACTCGTACAGGAAGCCCTGCGGGGCGTCCATGGTCATGAACGACGCCGGCAGGTCGGGGGTGCCCGTGGCGGAGCCGGGCGGCGAGTTCGTCGGTCTTTTTTCGCTGTGGATCACCGGAATGTTGGCCTCCTTGAAAAACGCGCTCGCCGTCGCCGTGAACCCAGACTTGAGGATGAAGTCGTAGACGTAGGCGTTGAGCAACTCCCTGGAGTTGACGGCCGTCGAGTCCGACACGGTGGGCACAGACGATACCGACGACGAGGACGGGTGCTGTGTGTTGTTTGTTCCCGACGAAGAATTGCTCTGCTGGTCGTTCATTGACATATGGCCTTCTGCTGCCTGGGGAGTAGCGTTCTGGCTCATTTCTGTCGGCTGGAAAGGCCCTGTTGTTTACCTGACACAGAGGCGACCGAGAAAGCACAAGTAAATCCTAGGTGCACAAGGGCGCAGGGTGTGCTGAGCAAAGTCGGAGTTTTAGGGTCTGCACAAACTGGCACTAAAAGTCTCCTGTTGTACAAACGGGTACTGTCACTAGTGTCACCGAGTTCTAATCTAACACCGCCGCTTTGTCGTCGTGGACAGGTGTGGCTTAGGCTGCGAGCTGTATGCACTGGTTTCAAATAGCACCCACGGAAATCAAGTCAACCTCCACTAGGAAAAAAAGCTATTTTTCTGTCTACTTGAATGGTTCAACAGCCTTCCCTGGACTCACTCGTGGGCCGGGTAACCCGCAAAGATTGACAGTTTCCCTGAATTTTGTTGCGGGCACCGACCGAAATTCGCGGCCAGGGTAGTGCGCGAAGTACTATTCCTGTTTGGGTCTGGCGAAGCCACACCGGAGCTGCGACAAAACCACTGTCGCGAGCACAGCCACCAGGGTCGCAGAGCTCGCCGCGGTGCTCGGGTACACGTTCCAGCACCACTCGTGGACCGCCACGAGGGCCGTCTGCACGTACCACGGCAGACGGCCAAGCTGCAGCAGCATCGGCAGCGAGTACATGTACCAGGCCAGGAACTGGTAGTGCAGCGAGCGCGCGAACAGGACGCCGAGCAGGTTCGACGTCGCCATCACCCAGAAGACGTACGTGCCGCTTTCTGGGGAGAGAATCACGTTCCCGGGGCCTATGGTGTCTTTGTGGAAAATCAGTGCGTCCTTGATAAATCTGGCTCTTGGTTTTCCCGTGACGGATTTATTGGTCCACTTGCACACCGCGAAAAACGTGAGCGCGGCCGTCTGCGCGAGCAGCAGCGACGTGTGGAACTCGCGGCTGCGGAAAACGGGCTCCGGCACGAATTTCCAGTTGACCGTCCAGCGATACAGGAACGCACGGCTGAAGTCGAACGCGTTCCGCAGGAAGTGTGCTCTTGTGGACTCCGAGGCCGCCAGGAAGTTCCAGTTGATGCCTGCTTGCACCGCACACCCGAAACCAGCCACCGCGAGCGTGTGCAGCAGGTTCTCGCCCAGAATCATGTACACCACCACCAGGTAGCCCGGCAGGTACAGCAGAGCGTTCATCTTGACGCTGACGGCGGAGCTGAACAGCTGTGCGCTGAAGAAGGTGAGCACGACGCCCAGAACGCTCTTGCGGCGCCGCAAGACCGCGGCCTGCTGCAGAACCACGATCGTGGCCACCATCAAAAACGTGGCAAAACAGTCGTTGAAAAGCCGCAGCACGTAGATCGAGTGCAACCGTTTGGACAGACATAGAAAATACAGCACGTACGGCTTGAGCCGCACGTTTGTCTGGAAATACGCCACCAGCGTCAGCACAAACGTCGCCAGATACAGATACCGGAAAATCTGCTGGCCAACGTGTACGTTGTCCATCCCGTTGGTGAACCACTTCATCCACGAGTATATGTAGACATGTCCGCCGGGATACACAATTGGGCCTGTATCGCCGCTGATTTTGGCGTAGTCGAGCTCTCCGGCCTCGATTTGGCCGATCTGCTGCATGTACGTGCTGTAGTCGATCTCGGTGTAGGGCACAAAGTGGATCACGGCCTTGAGAACAAGCGACTCTGCGACGGTCAGCAGGACGGCAATTGGCACGGAGAACTCGGGGTTGTTGAACAGCGACCACAGGCCAAATTTGATGTCGCCCAGAACGTTCTCCAAGTTGAGCTCAGGCTGCGTCTCGGGCTGGATATCGGGACTAGCATCTGCCATCGTACATACGCTCCTGATCTGAAAATTAAATAAAATGACAATTTTCTATACAGCGCACACCTCGCACCACGGTTTTTCATCTGGAGAGCTGGCTATTTCTCGTGTGCAGTCTCATGAGAGTCTCGGGGGACGTGATTCCCGCGAGCTCGTGGCTGGTGCGGATCATCTGCGACGACGACCTGTGCGACGCCTCGCCCGAGACCACCATGTTCTGTCTGAGCGTTTCGAGCGGCGACTTGTGGCCCGGCGTGAGCTTGTCGATCACCCTTTTGATCGTATTTCTCCTTGGCCGCGTGGCGAGCGACTCGTCTGCCTCGACGTCCTTCTTTTCGTCGGTGAGGACGTCTTCGGACTGGGACGTGCCAGAGGCCGACTCCGACGCCATTTTGTTGGTTGTGACGTCTGTTGGGTCGTAGTCTTCCGAGTAGCTGCTGTAGGCGCCCATGGCCACACATTCTCTGATGATGTCTATGTCCTTTGGTCTGTAGAGTCTATTGAATATCTCGTAGGTGAGGCGCGGCAGCACCGACAGCAGGACGCCGACAAAAAACGTGCACCAGAAGGCCACCGTTCCGTAGCAGTTGGAGGCAGCTTTGTAAAACTCCTGCGACGCAAGCGACGAGGTCCAGATTCCTGTCCAGAAGAAGATGAACAGAATCGAGAGGCCCACAATCAGCACAGACAGCCAATCCCATCGTTTCTGCATCAGCAGCACGTACAGGTCGCACGCGGCCACGGAAATGTGCGCGCAGAAAACACCGACCCAGAATCGGTGGTCCACGTTCAGTCCTTCCTGGTTGACGAAAGCGGCGGAGCGGAACAGGAACCACGGGAAGAAGAAGGCGATGAACGACTGGAAGAGACCGTCCGCCATGTAGTACAGAAACCGGAACGGCGACCACTCTTTCCCGAGGATCCCCGTGCGGTACAGTTCTGGATTCAGCAGCGACACGTGCGCAGGAACGTCCTGGTCGAGAATCCCCAGGAAAATCACGGGCAGAGACGTGAACGCCATGTTGAAAAACATCAGGTACGTGTACTCGTACAGGTACGAGCCGTCGAAATTGTTGAAGATGCCGTACCAGAACAGAGCCATCACAAAATTGACGTTCTTGTAGAAAAAGCACGTGATCATCTCGCCGAGTCTCTTGTACGACCAGCGTCCGTGCACGATCAGCAGTCTGACAAGGAACCGGAACTGGCCAATGGCGTAGTCGCTCGACATGACGGCCTGGCGGCCCTCTTCTCCGGCGATGCCGACTCCCACGTTTGCGGCCTGGATCATGGCCACGTCGTTGGCCCCGTCGCCGATGGCCAGAGCCATCACCTTCAGCGTGTCCTTGACCATCATGACGACCTGTGCTTTCTGAGCAGGAGACACTCTGCAGCAGAGAACAGAGCGGCACTGTTTGCAGAGGAGAAGGAATTTCAGCTTCAGATCGGAATCTTCCAAAATTTGCTCCAACGAAGCACCGTCAACTATGATCGCGTAGTCGCCGCTAGGAGGAGAATGATCTTTTCTGGCGAGCGCAAGATCTTTCTTCGTGCCCTCCATGCCAAACTTTTCCGACAAATAGCGCGGCACCAGCGCCGATGCTCCGTCCTTCTCGGATGCTCCTTCGCTGGCCTTGATCACCAGCAGCTCCATGTCGTTGTCCAGCAAATTGCACGAAAACCCAATGTTGATTGCCGTCTCCACCTTGTCACCAGTGAGCACCCAGAGCTTGATTCCTGCCTTTGAGAGGGTCGAGATCGAGTCCGGCACACCGTCCTGCAAACGGTCTTCGATGGCCGTTCCTCCCAGTAGCGTCAGACCTCTCTCGAGCTCGTCCGCCAGGGTCTCCATGCGCTCCTCTCTGTTAGCTTCGATCGACACACTGGCCTCTTTGTATTGCGAATGCCATCTGCTAAATTCCTTTTCGCTGATCTCTTTTTCCGCAACACACAGCGTTCTCAGTCCTTCCTGTGCATACTCGCTCAGATGTATGGCTGTTTTGCTGAGCATTTCCTGGTCGGCCTTGGGATCCAGTCTCTCGTAGATCACGTTGTCAGCACCCTTGGAATACAGCACGATGCGGCCTTCTGGAGTCCGCAAAATCACCGACATTCGTTTCCTGGTGGAGTTGAACGGAATCACCTCCAAAAGCTCATATTCCAGCGGCCGCTTCGAGTCGTACATCGTCACAACGGGACCCTTCCTTGTACGTTCCCGGAAAACAATGCCCAGATCTCTGGCAACGGCCACCAGCGCAGCCTCGTCAGGAGACTCGGCCTTGAACTCCAGATACCCGTCCTCGTCCTTTTCGGTGATCACCGTGTGACACAGTGCGAGAACAAGCATGAAGTTCTCGTTCGCTCTCTTGCGCGACTCGTCCGCAGACGGACCGACGTCCTTGAGGAACTCGCTCGAGACGAAAGTGAGTTTTTCCGCGTCGAACTGGTCGTTGCCGATGTTCTCCAGCTGTGAAATCATGTCTTTTCTGTCCTGAGTGATGATCTTGCGCATCTTCTCAACTTCCTCCACCACATTGACGCCAGCACGTTTGTCCATCCCCTGCTGGGCTTCCGTGTACGCCAGACCGTACGACTTGCCCGCAATGGTACACTTCTTGAACTCCATCACGTTCTGGGTCAAGGTGCCGGTCTTGTCGCTGAAAATGTACTCTATCTGGCCGAGATCGTCGGATATGTTCCACGATTTCGGCGTGCAGGGAAAGTCCAGCCGCGGATAGTACATTCTGACGTCCGCGTAGATGAAGAACGCCTGTAGCGTTTTGATGATCTCGATAGAGATATAGAGAGAAATAGGCACGAGCGTCTGGTACAAGATGAGGGCCACGAAGAAGGCGACCACACCGTTGGCCGCGGAACTCCAGCCGGCCGGCGGCTCGTACTCAAAGTAGTCGAACGAGGTGCCTTTCCGGTCGTAAAACAGCCCGTTGATCAAACCAGAAATGAAACACAGGAAAAATAGCACGGCGAAGTTGATAATCACAGACAAGTTCAGCTGGCTCGACATCCTGGACTTCTTGGTGGGCGTGATGCCCGAGTTGAGCATGATTTTGGTGTCGTTTCCGGTGGCAACCACACAGCAGAGAGCCCATTTTGTGTTTCTCAAGGTGGATCCTCGTAACAGAATGTTGTCGTATGTCACTGGCTCCTGGGCCTCGTGTCCGTGCGCGTCCGACTGCGACTCGTACGCCGTGTATTTGACCACTCCTCTGAACTTGTACAGGTTGGCGTTGGGAGGCTCTGTTTCGACCACCATCTGCACTCTCTCGAAGTCGGCCGCGTGTTTCAGGCCCACACCGCAGAGCAGAGAGTGTTTGGTCTTGAGGTTGGTTTCTCCGTCCAGGTTCTTTGTTTCGACGTAGCACTCGCCAAACTCGTCGCTGGTCGCCAGCAAAATGCCGTCCGCAGGCACTTCTTCGTTGTTTCTCACTCTAATTATGTCGCCGACAGAGATGTTTTTCCAGAAGTTGTTTTGGAACCTGTGTGTCATGGTTGGAGCGATGTTGGGGTTCGACACGGTGTTGGGATGAAACGGCGACAATTTGGCGTGTCTGGATCTGGCAGTCGACACCGACGGTCTAGGGGTATTGGGCAGAGACGAGCCGACGGTGACCACGCGTTCCAGATCGCTCGTCAGCAGGGCGTTCATCTGCGCGCGTTTCTTGGACTGGCCGGAGACTAGGTACAACACGGTGTTGGTCGCTCTTGTGCACGCTTTCTTGAACCTGCGCCAGGGCCCCACACGGTCCACGGCGACGTTCGGGTTGTTCATCCCCATCAGCAAGTGGATCCGCGAGTTGTTGAGCTCCATGTCGGAGGCGCCTCTTCTGTAGTCCTCGAACGCGTCCTTGATGGCCGTCAGAACGACAATCACAATGAGCGGCACAGCCTGCATCCCGGGACTTTGCACTCCAAATATCTGGAAAGCTCCCAAAATGATGATGAACAGGAAGTACGAGTTGGCGATGTTGGTGAACTGGAAAAAGATGTTCTTCGGCAGGAACGACAGCGGCGTGTACTTGGTGGTGCGGATCTTGTTTCTGGGGTATTTTGTCCTCGGAAGCTTGGTCTCGGGATCGACCATGTCCTCCGGAAGCGGAAGATTGACGAATATGCGTCGCTGCTCAGAGCGCGGCTCGTGTTTTTTGTTGTATCGCCACTGCCACCAGTGTGGTTTGTCCGCTTTGGCCTCCATTTGTAAATTTCGCGGGTTGTCTGTAGCGAAGAGAGCTGGTATTAGGCTGATTAATTATTTGTGCTCCGTAAATTAACTTTCAATTCCGAGAAACGAAAATATCTGGTATCATGCGAACGGATCAGGATTCGGGGTTGCGGTGCAACGTATGAGCTGTCTGCAATAACCGAACGGGCTGCGGTCTTTGCTGGCTGAGGGGGACGAAACAGAAGAAGAGGTTGTCTGTTGTAGCAGTTGAACTTTTTTGTGGCTTGTGCTTATATAACCAATGGAGGCGGATGCAGACCTGGCGGATGGCTGATCCGACAAGAGGTATAGGGGCGCAAGAGGGACCAAACGGCACTGGGACGCCCTGCAGGCCACCAGCAGGGCAGATCGCAGGGCAGATCGCAGGGCTGTTGTGCTCCGCACGAGGTCGCTGCCCCGGTCTGGTGGACGGCCTCAGGAAAACCCGGTCGCGCTCATAACCACACCAACTTTTCTTCGACGCTGAAAAATTCTCCAATTTCTCCATCAAGTCAACCAACAACATGGCATCTGAGAAAATTGAGGAAATCGTCGAAGAACAAATCCCAGACGGAGCTGAGGTCCACGTGCTGTCCAAGAACGAGAAAAAGGCCAGACAGATGATCCTGAAGCTGGGTCTGAAGCAGGTCAAGGGCATCACCAGAGTCACCTTCAGAAAGAAGGGCAACTTCATTCTGGCCATTGACAACCCAGAGGTGTACAGGTCCGTGGCCGGCTCGTACGTCGTGTTCGGAGAGGCCAAGGTCGAGGACTTGAACAAGAGATACGCCGAGGCTGCTGCTGCCCAGGAAGCTGCGCAACAGGCCGCTGCTGCAGTCAAGGAGGGAGACGCTCCAAAGGACCCAGAATCCATCACCGCAGACCTGCAGGCCGCCTCGTTGGCCGACAAGTCTGCTCCTGCCGAGGACGACGACGAGGAGGTCGACGAGACGGGCCTGGACTCGGGCGATATCGAGATCATTGTTGAGCAAACCAACGTCTCCAGAGCCAAGGCTGTGAAGGCCTTGAAAGAGCACAACGGAGACATGGTCAATGCCATCATGTCGCTGACTTCCTAAATAGAGTGGGTATCTGATTAAACTAGGTAGTCTTGTCTACTACTTGTGTGTGGTTTTCCGTGTCCTGCGCCAACTCTGCGCCGTTCAGCGTGCCGCACTTGGGACACACGTACTTCACCTGTGCTGCCTCCACTCCCTTGGGAGCCAGCCCGTTGTGCTGCAGACATGACCTGCAAATGAGCGCGTACCGCATGTCCGGGCCCAGCTCGTCGCTGCCGAGCAGCAGGCTGAAAAACTGGTCGTAGAACGTCTTGGTGTCCTTGGAGGCAGAGTCGAGACTCGGGGCCTTTCCGTCCTTGATCAGCTGCAAATACTCCTGTTTCTGTCTGTTGATCTCCTGCGCCTGGGTCTCGAGCTCTTTCAGGTCCTCGCCGTTGGAGAACCTGCTGAGCAGCTCGTGTGTTTTGTCGAAATTGGTTTTTTCCTTGAGCTCTGCGATTTTTTCCTGATGCTGCTCCTTGAGTGTTTCCAGTCTGCGCTCGGTGCTGGTTATGAGGTAGTTGTAGAAGCGGCCAATCGCGATGTAAACCAACACTATCACCGCGGGAGGAAGGGCAATATGCGCCCATTGGCCTCTGGAAAGCCTCTCTGCCCGCAAGTACAGGTAGAATGCGTAACTGGAGTATATGGCAAACAAGTAGAGAACGGCGGCCCTTCGGTAGTGCGCCTTGTTGTTCCTGTAGCGATGAAGTGCTTTTTCCTTGCTGAGGATCTTATTGGACAGAGTTTTGAGACTTTTTTCGAACTTGGTGGCGTCGAAGCCTTTGGATCTGAACACCGATAGCATGACAAAAAATACACCGATTTTATCTATTTTATTTATTTTATTTATTTTACCTTATTTATTTGATTTACGCGTTATGCCCTCGAGACTAGTGTCCACAGAAAAAGCGTCCGAGAGCGTAAAAACACCCATGCAGCCCGTGCCGGACGACCTGCCCTCCATAGTGTGCACAAAATGGGGCTCGATGCTGCTGGAAATACAGGGAGAGCTGAATCTGCCCCCGAACAAGCCTGAGGGTCTCAACGAGCACGAGGAGAAACTGTTCACGAAATTCGCGTACCCAAGCCTCGTGGCAGAGAACGAGCGGCTGGTGCGCGACGCGGTCAAATTCGGGAGGCTGGAGATCGAAAAGGACATGAACAGAGCGACGCTGTACATCAGCACGTCCCAGCGTCTCGTCGGGACTGTGGAGACGATCGACCCGCCGTTGGGACTGCTCAAGACAGACATCGATGAAACGGGCAAGTGCGAGTTTGTGGACGTCATCAGGAAGAAAGTGGTGTTCAGGCTGCGACCATTGCCTATTATGTGAAGGCGTAATCACACGCTACTCAGGGGCGGCTGTCTGGCGAACCAGGACCCGTGGAAGCTCGCACAGTGTTCGAGGAGCCAATATGGACGTCCACTTTGGGGAACTGTGTCTCATTCTGCCCAATCAGGCAGTATAATGGCCTGCACCAGACGTGTCAAGTTCCTGAGCTGTTTGTGGTGGTTGCGGTCGCCTGCAACCACACCCGCTTCCGAGCCACATATATATTGGCCCCTCGCTCCAGCTCGTTCCTTTGACGTCCCGATCGGGAAACCGGGCTGTGCACGGTCTGGGGTCGAGCACCTTCCTGATTTGGGCGTGAAAGGTGGAAAGCCAGACGAGCGGACGATGCTGTTGCGCAGGCAATGTAATCGATAGCACAAATGTGAAACGAGGATGCATTGGCGATAGGGATTTGGCGAGGGCCTCTTTGGCCGGACAGACGTATATAAGGCGGGCTGGATCCTGTTTGCTATGCATTAACATCTTCACTTCAATCGTTCCGACAATGATCTTTAACCGTGCTGCCATCTATGCTATGATTCTTGCTGTTGCCTACGCTGCTCCTGTTGCAGAGGCCGAGGCCGAGCCGCTGCCGGAGGCCAACGCCTTGCCAGGCTGGGGCTGGCACAGAGTGAACAGGAACGAGGTGATTTTCAAGAGAGAGGCGTCGCCGGACGCTGAGGCTGAGGCCGGCTGGGGCTGGCACAGGGTGTCGCGCAACGAGGTGATCTTCAAAAGAGAGGCCGAGTCCAGCTGAAGGTGCCCAGGATTTGCTTGATTTCCCGGTGGCATTTCTACGCTGCCGGGCTGGTGGCTCTAGATTCGACTATGAACTATTTATACCCAAGACACTAAAGCTATATCGCAATTTATTTCTTAATTGACCTGGTTGAGTTTACCATTTATTTAATTATTTGATCTATTAAATTTATCACTTATTTATTCACTTATTTATTCACTAAAATATTCCCTTATTTATTCACTTGTATTATTTGCCATGCCAGGGGACGACCGAATACCGCCAAAGCCCACGCCGACGACCCTGCGTCTCGTCACCTTCAACGTCAATGGCATCAAGACTCTCAAAAACTACTTTCCCTGGACGCTGGTGTCGAACTACTCCCAGATGCTAAACATGATGAACATCGACGTGATCACCCTCCAGGAGCTCAAGGTGCAGCGGCCGGACGTCGATCTGAGCATTGCCGACGTCGACGGCTACCGCAGCTTCATCAGCGTGCCCATCTCGAAGAAGGGCTACTCTGGAGTGAGTGTTTATGTGCGGAAGCCACGTGACGACGAGCCCGAGATGGTGAAAAAGTGTCTCACCGTGGTGCGTGTCGAGGAGGGCATCACAGGGATCCTGCCGCACCAGAAAAAGCACGTCTCGTTCAAAGAGGCGTACGGCGACCCGGCCCTCCAGCACACGTGCATCGGTGGCTATCCCGACCACAGAAACATGTACGACAAGTTCCGCAAGCTCGACAGCGAGGGCAGGTGTGTGATCATCGAGCTCAACTTCAACATCGTCGTGATCAGCGTCTACTGTCCGGCCAACAGTCTCGGCACCGACGAGGGCGAGGAGTTCCGGCTGCTGTTTCTGCGGTGTTTGTTCGAACGGGCGCGCAATCTGCGTGCCATGGGCAAAAAAGTGGTCGTCATGGGCGACATCAACGTGTGTATCGATCTCATCGACAGCGACGATACCATCAAGCAGGGCTTCAAGGAGCGCCGCTTAGTGAAAGCGCAAGACTACAGCGACTTCGAGACGCTAAACGCGGAGCAGGTGCTGGCTTTCAAGCACTCTGCTCCCCATCGCGAGCTGGTGAACCAGTACGTGAAAGACACCACCGGAATGCGGCCCGACGCCGACTCGCACGTGCTGCACGACGTTGTGCGCGAGAAACAGGGCCGCCGGCTCAAGATGTACACGGTCTGGAGCACGTTCAAAAGCAATCGGCCGCTTAACGTCGGGTCCCGCATCGACCTCATCCTTGCTACGTCGCAGCTCGCGTCGCTGGTCAGCCAGGCCGACATCTGGCCGTTTCTGCACGGGTCCGATCACTGTCCCGTTCACGCCGACTTTGAGCTGGCGGAGCTTGAGTTCTCGCCCGAAGAAGACCGCTCGGCAGAGTACGCGGCCAAGTCGAACTGGTTCGAGGCCAAAAATTTCTACGGACTGCATACTAGAGGTAGTATCGACAAGTTCTTTCGCAAAAGGGAGCCGAGCCATCACGAGACGGTTCAAACTGAGCGAGATGACCGAGAGAGCGGAAGTGATAGTGCAACGCAGGGCTACAACTCGCGCAAAAGAGCGCGCAAGGACCGGCCCGACCAGCTCTCTATTTCAGACTTCTTCTTCAGGTCAGACTCGGACTCGCAGCCTGCTGACGACGACAGGGCGAAACCAAAAATCTCCGTTCGCGACTTCACCGAAATGCTCGGCCAGTCCGGCGCGTGCGCCCCACAGTGCCGCCATGGCGAGCCGTGCGCGCTGCGAACGGTCAAGACGGAGAAAAATAAGGGGAAAAAATTCTGGTGCTGTCCGCGCGCAACACGGACCGAGTCGTGGTCGGCAGAGCCTGCAGAGCGAGGCGAGACAGACGCCATGGATGAGTACAACTGCGGCTTCTTCAAATGGGCAAGCAGGTGAGAGCTGCTTCCACACCCGTGCACCAGGACCAGTTCACGGCTGTGGAGTGCAAAAAAAAAAATCTGAAAATTAAGTCTAGCTGGTTATGACAAAGGACACAGAAGGAAGCACACTACTGGCCAAGGATCCAGGCCGCGGGCCTAGAGTGAGCGGTAAGTAAATCGGAAAAGCTTTCTCTCACTAACGCACAGGCAAGGACTGGAAAGTGGAGAAAAAAGCGTTCCGTCTTAAGGCCAACGGAATGCACAGGTCCTGGGAGAAGAAACAGGAGCAGAGGCTCAAGGACGAGCAGCTGAAGGCCAAGCTGAAGGAGCTGCAGGAGGAAAAAGAGGCTGAGAAACGGGCCAAGATCGAGAGAATCAAGGAAAGACGGGCTAAGAAAGAGGAAAAGGAGCGGTACGAGCGTTTGGCCGCTGTGATGCACGCCAAAAAGGTCGAGCGACTCAAGAGACGCGAGAAAAGAAACAAGTTGTTAAAGGAGCGCTAATTCTCATACATATGTCTGTGCTATCTGACACCCCTCTTTCCGCTACACTGAGTGTATCCAGACGAGTTCTTATTAGCACAGGTCACTCTCACCATCTTGTATCACGAAATGAAACTATAGGATATACCATAAAAACATGGTGCTAAGCTTTCATCGTACTGTCTAATAAGATGGTTTAGGTACAAGTTTGCAAAGCTGAGAAAATTTTTCTTTTATAGGCGAATCCGGCTACGAGGGGTCTCGGTAGCACAGACTTGGGGATGTCCAGAAATCTCATCTTATAGTTCGTCAATAGCATTCATGATATTTTTGCTGTACGGCACGCAAGTGGCCCTCGGTATGCTGGCGCTCTCCAGCATATTGTCGTATATCGTGACAAACTCGTTTTTCTGGTTCTCTGTGCCGTCCAAATACCTCTCCCCACGCTACATCGCAGACATGACCAGGGGACCGCGCGAGTTCACTTTGGAGCAGCTTGCGGCCTTCAACGGGATAGATCGCACATTGCCCGTGTACATATCCATCAACGGCACTGTTTTCGATGTAACCGCAGCGCGAGACGAGCACTACGGCCCCGGTTGCACATACCAAGCGTTTTCTGGGCGCGACTGCACACGGCTCTTTGCTACGGGCTGTTTCGAGCACCGCGAGCAGCACACGCACGACATGCGCGGGCTTGACAACACGGAGGCCGCAATGCGTGTCGCCCGCTGGCTCGAGTACTTTGCCAACCATCCGCGCTACTGGCGGGCGGGCAGCGTCAAGTTGCCCGAATGCATGGGACCGCCACCCCCACCGTGCGACAGTTATAACCAAAAGTTGAGTAATAAATAACGTACTTATGCTGTGGATCTCTTCAGGTGCAAGGTCTTTGGCTTGCTGCTGATGAGGTTGTTGACCGAGGCGATGATCGAGTTCAACGAGGCCCGGGTGATGGACTCGTGGATGCCGATACCCCACTGCGAGTCCTCGCCCACGGAAAGCAACACGTAGGTGGCAGCCTTGGTGTTGGAGCCCTTGCCCACGGCGTGCTCGGCGTACTTCTGAAGCTCGATGTCGCGGCCGACAGCCTGGGCCACCGCGTTCACAAACGACGAGATCGGGCCGTTTCCGGTACCCTCGACTTCCACCTCCTTGCCGTTGTACACAAACTGTGCCTTGATGTGCGTCACAAACTCAGACTCCTTGTCGAGCTTGTAGTCCTTCAGGACGAGCGCCGAGTTTGAGCAGTTATCGACGTTATAGCTGGTTTGCAGCAGAGAAATAACCTCGTCTGCCTTGAGCTCTCTGCCCAGAGAATCGGCCGCATCCTGAACAATTTTCGAAAAGTTGATCTGCATTTCTCTTGGAAGGTCCAGGCCCAGAGATCTCTCGATAACCCAGGCGGCTCCTCCCTTGCCCGACTGCGAGTTGACTCTGATAACCGCCTCGTAGTTTCTGCCGATATCTTTAGGGTCCAGAGGCAAGTACGGAATCATCCATCTCATGTCTCCCTTGGCCTCTCTCTCGGCCTGTTTGGCGAATCCTTTTTTGATGGCGTCCTGGTGCGAGCCGGAGAACGCCGAAACGACCAGCGAGCCGCCGTACGGAGCTCTGCAGTGGACAGGAATCTTGTTGCCCTTCTCGACGACGTCGATCACGGACTCCAAGTCCGAAAAATCGAGTTCGGGCGACACACCGTCGGTGTACATGTTGAGCGCGACGGTCACCAGGTCGACGTTTCCGGTTCTCTCTCCGTTTCCAAACAGACAGCCCTCGACCCTGTCGGCGCCGGCAAGCAGGCCGAGCTCGGTGGCAGCGACTCCGCAACCCCTGTCGTTGTGGCAGTGCAGCGAGATGATCACTTTTTCTCTGTCGGAAATATTTCTCGAAAAATACTCAACCTGGTCCGCGTAGATGTGGGGGCCGGAAACCTCCACCGTGGCAGGCAGATTGAAGATGATCGGGTTGTCGACGGTCGGCTCCCACGCGGCCTTGACGGCCTCGCAGATCTCGAGCGCAAACTCGGTCGGCGTGTCGCTGAAACACTCTGGCGAGAACTGGTACGACCATTTCGTGTCCTGCAGCGCAGGATCGTCCTTCGTGATCGATCTCACCAGCTTCGCGGTCTCCACGGCCTTGGCAATGGCGTCCTCGCGGCTCATGCCGAAAACAACGTCTCTAAACAGGTCGCTCGTGGCCAGGTAAGTGTGCACTATGGCTCTCTTGGCCCCCTTGAGCGAGTCGACGGTTCTTCTGATCAGGTGCTCGCGCGACTGCACCAGGGCCTGGATCGCCACGTCTGCCGGCGCGTGCTCCACAGCGTATCTGGTGAAGTCGAAATCTGTCTGCGACGCGGACGGGAACGCGACCTCGATCTCTTTGAAGCCGATCTCGATCAGCTTGTGGAAATACTCCTTTTTCTGCTCGACGGACATCGGGTCGGGCAACGACTGGTTGCCGTCTCTGAGGTCTGTCGAGAGCCAGAGTGGGGCCTTGGTGATCACCTTGTTGGGCCACGTTCTGTCTGGCAGATCGACGCCCCGGAACCGGGAGTACTTGATCGACGGGTCTTTGAGCATGTTGGCGTACGGCTTCGCCGCGCTCTTCTCGAGCAATACGAGGGTTCTCTTGAACATTTGACGAATACAGGACAATTAATTACCACCTGCAGGACTGCCCCACCATTTATATTGCCTGGTGACTAACCCAGCTTCGAGGTGAAAATTTTTTAATACGCCCAAACAATAGAATTTTCGCCGGTATAGGCAACCCCGGTGCCACCTTTGCACAGCCCGGGTTAGGCCATGTTCACTACGATCTGCGCCCGCACCTGCTCCGGATCCTCCACCCCCACCTGCTCCCGCAGATACCGCTCCACCCCGCCGTACTTCTCGTCCACCCACTCGATCGTCGCGCGCAGCGCCTCGTACCGGCTGCTGATCAGGTTCCTGAACCCGTCCTCGTGCACGCTGAAATTCGTTCTCCCCCGCGCAACCGTCTCGAACAGCTGCTGTTTCACCCGCGTATCGGACATTTTCTCCAGTGCCGTGTAGAACTTCGCCCGGATGTGCTCGTGGTCCGGCCGCAGCCCGATCGTCGTCAGCTCGTACTCGCGCGCAATGATCCACGGGTCCACGCCCGCCAGCAGCAGCAGCAGCATCCCCACCACCCCGGTGCGGTCCTTGCCCGCCGTGCAATGGAACAGGATCGGGCAGCCCGGGTTGTCTCTCAGATACTCGAAAATCGTCCGAAATGCGCCCGTGCCCGTCGCCAGAACGTCCTTGTACACCTGCAGATACGTCGACCAGCACGTGAGCAGGTACAGGTAGTGGCTGGTGGCCTGCGACGGCGACAGGTTCGAGTCGAACGCCGGGATGTGGAAGTTGGTGGCATGTGCCAGTTCCAGGTGGCCGTACTCCTCGCGCTCCTCTGCGGACCGCAGATCAAAGATCGCGCGGATGTTGAGCTGTTCCAGCGTCCTGCGGCCTTTTGCCGTCACGTTTGTTGGGTTGGCGCACCGAAACATGAGTCTGGGCCGCACTCGTTTCGCTGCCCCCACGCACCAGCCACCCAGGTCGCGGAAATTCGCAATGCCCTCGACGTCGACCCAGCGTGGCGTGTGTGCGTCGATGTACAGCGTGTTGCGGTAGAACCGCTCGCAGCTCTGCTGCGGCGAAAGCCACTGCAGAACGCGCTGTCTGAACTCGCCGGTGTAGTCGATCACCTTTCTGCGCCGGTGCAGCGGATAAGTTGTCCCGTGGATCGTCACCGTGCCGTCGCCAAGCGTGTACTCGGTGCTTTCCGGGTCGTCGTACACCGTCAGACCATAGAAGTTGTGGCCCGCCTGCTCAATGACGCTCAGATCGCTGCGCTGTCCCAGCACCTCGTGGTACATGTGCTTGTCCTTTGGCGGGATCACCTCGTCCTCCGACCCGTATATATTCAGAACCTGCACCATTTTGTCCAGCCCCTTCAATTTGTTCATATCCTGCGCCGACGTGCTCATCACCTCTGTGGTCGGAATCCACACGTCTCGGTACTTTCCCCCCACGTAGCCAGACAAATAGTACCCACCTTTTTCGTGGTAATCCGGGTGGTTGCGCTCCACTCTCTCCTGCATGCCCTTTCCGTCAAATCGGCCGCAACAATTGATCAGAGTGTACACCAGCGGCTTGCCGAGCCGCTGCCGCTGCAACGTCCAATTGAACATCACCACGACGCCGCGTGAGTGCGCGCAGATCAGCTCGACCGCCAACTTCGTCCCCCGGTGGCCGCCCGACTGGAAATACTCCACCACGCTGTCCAGATCCTCCACGTCCTCGTCGATCGTCCGGCCGTCTTTTCCGCACTCCGACGAGTCGCCACAGCCCCGGAAATCAAACCGCGCCGTGTACAGGCCGTACTCCCTGCTGAGCGCGCTCGCGAGCCCCGGATTGAACCCGAAGTTCTTGTGCGAGCCCAGCCCGTGCAACAGCACCGCGAGCCTGTTTGTTGCCGGACCCAGGTCGTTGGTGAAGTGGTCCGCATGGACGGCGGGCGGAACGGTCAAAACGAGCGCCAGCGTCTTCGACGGGTCGCTCAGAATCGGCACGCGGCACGTCTCCTCGTACAAAAATTCCTTCGCGGAGCTCATGATAAAATTATTTTATGATTATTTTATTTTTTACGTATTTTTTTTTATTTTCGGCACTAATATGGTACATTATGCTACATAGTATACATAAATATAGCTGGTTTCCAAACAGCTACTTCCCCTCCTCGGCTTCCTCCGCCTTCAAACACTCCTCGATGTCGTTCAGACTCTCGTCGACCTCGTCGATCGGCACGTTCGACAGCTTCGACACCAGCCGCCGGTAATTGGCGATCGTCTCTGTGTTCTCCGACGCGTCCGCATACAGACTCACCAGGTCGTCGACCGTGTGCTTGCGCGTCATCTGCAGAGCCACCAGCGTGAGCACCAGCCGCAGGTTCTCCGGCGTCGGCTCGGCAGCCTTGAGCTCGCCCTCGTTCTCGATGCTCAGCTGCCGCAGCCGCTCCGTCTCGCACTGCTGCACCTCGGTGGCCAGATCTTTCGCCTGCGACCGCTCGATTAGTTTCTTCAGCGAGCGCGTGCGCGCAGCGTACTCCTCCTCCGCAGCCTTGAGCTCGTCTCTCATCTGCGCCAGCGCGGCGTCGAAGTCGCCGGCCTCCTCCTTCTCCAGCTTCAGCACCGTCTTGAGAATCCCGTTGATCTCCTTTTCTGTGTTGGCGATGTCCGCGTCCATCTGGCTCAGAATCACGCCCAGCTCCTTGATGTCGCTGTCCCGCTGCTGCAGCTCCTGGTCGAACGCGTTCGACAGCTCGCCCAGCCTCTCAATGATGTCGCCCGATTTCTGGCTCACTTGGATCGCCGTCTCTGAGTAGTGCGGCATGGCCAGGTAGCTCGACGCGTTCACGTACGACTGCGTCATCGACGCGTTGTGCAGGTTCAGCGACGGCGTGAACGGCTTCATCTGCGACAGCGAGTCCATGTGGTTCCGTTGCGAGCCCGCGCCCGTGCTGCCCATGAACGAGTACTGCGCAGACGCAGGCTCGAACACGCTGTTGTTGTACAGGTAGTCGCTCACGTGCTCGTTGCGGTGGTTCGGAATATCGACCCGCGCGTTGTAGCCCAGCAGCACACGCATACACTTGTTTGCGCTATGGTGGCTCATGATGTGCAGCGCCGTGTTGCCGTCAATGTCCTGCTGGTTGATGAAGTTGATGATTCTCTCCATGGGCTGCACCGTCTCGGCGATCTTGGTCAGCAGGATTTCTGTGTAGTACCGCGCCGCTGGCAGGTTGTTGACCGAATTTGTTGAGAACCCGATATGGTGCAAAATCGTGCGGCCGCGCTCGTCGGTGTCGAGCAGCGAGTCGCGCAGCAGGTCCAGCAGCTTCGCAAACGTCCGTCTCGAGTACGAGTTCGTGTACAGCACGCTGCGCATGATCGGCACCTGGCCCTCGTTGTTCAGGGCTCTGTAGTTGCATCCTCTGTTCAGCAGGGCGTCGCACATGCGCAGGTCGCCCATGGCACACGCCCAATGGAACGTCGTGTTGCCGTCCTTGTCGATGACCTGGTCTGCGTCGAACGGGCTGTTTGGATCGAGGATGAAGTCCGGGATTTTCGTGTCGCCCGTCAGGTTATCCTCTGTCGAGAGAAAGTACTCGAGCAGCTGCTGCGTGTACGACTTCTTGGCGTCGAACCACGACTGGCTCCGCTGCGGCGTGGCCCGCGACTGCGGCGAGTCCAGCTCGTGCTTTGTGTACGGCGAGAAATGCTCCATGTACGGCGGCGCGCGCGCGTGCGCGTCCGGCGCCCGGTGCACGGCGTACTGCTGCTGCTCCAGCGCGGTCGCGATGTCGTCGTCGCTCATGAAATCGCTCGGCGAGGACCCCCTGTGCGGCTGGAGCCCGTTGCCGCGCCGCTTCAGTGGCTGCGTGTCGCTGTCCTCGTACTCGGACTCGGACTCGGACGGCGGCGGGGGCGACACACGCAACGGCTGCGGCCTGGGCGGCTTCAGCGTGCGTTTCCGCGCCGCAGGCTCGGGCGCCTTGGCGGGAAACTCGTTCTTCCGCGTGGCAAGCGGTTCAGAGGCCGTTCTAGCGCTCACACGGCCTCTTTTTCCCGCGCCACTCGACGCATGGTGGTGTTTGGGCGCCGGCGGCGGCGTCCCGCCGCCGTCCCGCGGCTTGTAGTCGAACAGCGGCTTCAATTCGTCGTAGACACCAAACTCGTTCGCAATGTCGACCGCCCGCTCCATCGGAACCCACGTGCCCTGGTACTTGCCGTATCCTCCTTGCACCTTCTCGTGCACGCCAACCTGGACGTCGCGCTCCAGGATCCTGGTCCGCTTAGCTTTCGGGAAGTTCGCCACCTTGAGGATGTGCGTCGCGTTGATCCAGCCGTCCTTCTTTCGTCGCATGACCGACGACTTTGGGTTCAGAAACTCATACACCGGTACGCCAGAATAAACGGCAGAGTATAGGTTTTCGGACATTGTGCGATGTGGTTACAACTGCACAGCCATGCACTCAGCAAATGATAACGATCGGATTCTGTCGCAGAGCTGTTTCGCTGTAGCTTATGGACGGCCCATACAATGTGTTTTGCACAAGAAAAACCACGGCGGAACCCGTTAGAGGCTGCGGCCGGGTAACCCCAGAGAGCGGTGTGCGAGGGGCGCTGCCAATCTAGAGCGCGGGCGCGCCACGCTGGAATGCCAAACAATGGCTCCCAATTGTCTTGTGCAAAAACACACGCGTGCAACAATCGCGGGCCCTGGCGCAATGCCACCGCGCATCGAATTGACGATCTAAAGGGGGCGGACAGGAGTTTGTTTGGTTGTTTTGCATTTACCCGTTGGGAGAATGCAGAGTTGATCCACTCGAGCTAGCTCACTAAAGTACTTTCATCGCAAACTTTGGTCTTCATTTGCTCATTCTCTGTGGAGATCCCTGGCGACCTTAGAGGCATATTTTCGTGCGCACATTATTTCTGGCTGTTTTGTTTATCTAAAATTCCCAAACCTGCCCCAAACAACATTTTGTATGGCGTCTGAACTGGACATCCCTGTTCCCGAGCCGGGCCCAGGCTACAGAAAGCCTCTGTTCAAGTCGTTCACCAGCGACAGGAACCTCAAACGGTTCTCCATCTCGGGGCCCACTCTCAGGGTGGATACCTCTTTTTCTGAGGCGAGCGCGCCCGCGGACCTGTCAGCAGGCAGTCGCAGAGACTCTGTGCTGGCGCCGCCGCTGGCCACGCCGCTGGCGGGCGGCCACATGCTGGAGAACGAGGCCAAGAGATCGAGCGTGCGGCTGGAAGTCGCAGACATGACGCTTGTGGTGCCCACGCTCGTGCACAAGTGCTGCCAGTTCATCCTGGACCAGGGCCCGAAAGAGGGCATTTTCCGGATCAACGGGTCCATCAAGAAGATCAAGAAGATCGAGTCGCTGATCCGCGAGCACGGAATCGACAGTTTCGACTTCGACACCTGCCGCGTCGAAAACGTCGATAATATAGAGGACACCGCTCCCAACGCGTACGACGCCGCCATGGTGCTGAAAAGGTGGCTCTCCAACCTCGCCGACGGCCTCATCACACTGGATGTAAGCAAGTCCTTGAAAACCGTGGCCGAGTCGCCGCAGGAGGTTCCCATTCCAGACGAGACTGAGGACGCTACACCGACAACGGAGGAGGCCTCGCAGACAGAGTCCGAAGACGCGTTCAGCCTCAGCTCCTACAAAACCATACCAACCAGCATTGAGGACACAGACAAGGAGAAGGAGTCGCTGGAAAACCTGCCCCTGGTCAACCTGCACCTGTTTATTTATCTGCTCTCCTTTTTGAACAAACTGGCACAGCCCGACATCTGCGACATCACCAAGATGCCGTCGTCGAACCTTGCCAAGATCTTCCAGATGAGCTTTTTCAAGGTGGACGATCTGCAGCCCCAGCTTGCTTCCACCACCAGCACAGACGATCTTTTGCAGAATTACAAAGCCAACGAGCGGCTGCTGCAGAACTGGATCACGTCGTACGACGAGCTCGCCGCCAAACTGCGCTCCTTCGTAGCAGACAACCAGGAAAAGCTCAAGGAGACGCTGGCCTCCCCGCTGGTGGAGGAATCGCTGGCCATGCCAAAGCTGCGCAACCGCTCTGTCACGGAGGACAAGCAGCAGAAAAGACGCTCACTTTTCGGCTACCGCTCGCTCTCCAACGCTTTAAGCTCCAGAACCCTGTCGCAAGTGCTGACTGGCTCGCCTGACGACACGGGAAAGCGCTCTGTCTCGGACTCGGCAGTGGAAAAATACCAAAATACCCAAAACTCCGCTGTGGACAAGAAGCTCAGACGCCGCTCGCTGGGGTGGTTTGCCAACTCCAACCTGAGCACGCCGTCGCTCAGCAGAAGACAGGGCGAGACGCTTACGCCGGTGACTGTCTCGTGTCCGCTCAGTCTCTCCGCAGACGATCTTCTCCAGACGACGAGCGAGGCCACTGAGCAGCCAGCGGTATCGAGTTCCAGCGACGCGGCACTAGAAGTGTCAAAATCCAGCCCACTCCATTACGAGCTCAACGAGACCAAGGAGATCGATCCAGTGGAGTCTGCCATTCCTCGAACAGAGGTCGCGGTGAATACGCTGGACCCGCTCGACGGCAAGCCGAACAAGAAGAACAACAGACTGTCCAAGATGTTTTCCGTTAGATTTGGCTTTTCCAAGATGATCCACTGATTCTGGGAAGTGTTTGGTTTTTTGTACGATGTTGTTAATGAACACTGCTACGATAATACTCTTAGCGTCGACCGACGCGTCTTTCCCATTTCGTTTTCTTCCATTTTTCTCTCCGCTCTCTCTTTCCCCATAAAAAAAAAAAATTAGTTTAAACCAGGAAAGACCCCAGATTTGCTAGTACGAGCGTTCTTCCAAGTGCCCATTATTTAGGCCATGTCGACGGAAGCTCGAGATCATTCGCTCCCGCTAGAACTGCGGGATATGAGCTTGCAGGACCCCGCCAGATGCGTCGAGGTCCGAGATACTTACACCACCACAGACTACGATCAGTCCGCACAGCCCTCTGTGGAGGACGAAAAACAAGACCAGGCGCCGGACGGCGCGGAGCGCGAGCGCCGGCGGAACTGGTCGTCCATCATGGCCGTCTACGTGGGTTTGCTGATGGCCATCGGGGGCTTTTTGTACGGCTACGACACAGGCATCATCAACGGCCTGCTGGAAATGAAATACGTGAAGAGAACGTTCCCGCCCAACCACGCGGGCAGCTTCAGCGCGAGTCAGTCGTCGATCATCACGTCGGTGCTTTCGATCGGTACATTTGTGGGCTCTTTGTTTGCTCCCGTGCTCTCAGATAGAGTGGGGCGACGGCTGAGTATCGTCGCGTCGTCCACGATAATGTTTTCGCTCGGCACAATATTGCAGCTTGTTTCCGAAGGTATCCCGCTCCTGTGTGTCGGCCGCTTTGTGAGCGGCTTCGGAGTGGGCATGATATCGGCCATCATCCCGCTGTACCAGGCCGAAGTGTCGCCCAAGTGGATCAGAGGATCTGTGATCTCGTTCTACCAATGGGCCATTACGTGGGGGTTGCTTGTTTCGAGCGCCATCACCCAAGCAACGCACTCCATCGACGACGCCCGCTGCTACCGCATCCCGATCGGCCTGCAGCTGATCTGGGGCGTTGTATTGGGCGTCGGAATGTACTCGCTGCCAGAGTCGCCGCGGTTCTACCTCAAAAAAGACCGTCTTGACGACGCTCTCCACGCTCTCTCGCGGTTCCGCCGCATGCCCCTGAACGACAAGTCGCTGGTCGAGGAGTTGATCGAAATAAAGGCCAGCCACGACTACGAGATGAGCTTTGGCCCCACAAGCATCATGGACTGTTTCCGCAGCTCGCCCAGTCGTGCGAGCCAGCTGCGCCGCATGCTCACGGGCATGATTTTGCAGGCGCTGCAGCAGTGCTCGGGAATAAATTTTATTTTCTACTACGGGGTCAACTATTTTGTGCGCGCAGGAATAGCCAACTCGTACCTCATCTCATTCATCACCTACACAGTCAACGTGGTGTTCACCATCCCGGGCATTTTCTCGGTCGAAATCTGGGGCCGGAGATGGCTGCTCATTGTTGGGGCCGGTGGAATGACTGTGTCGAACTTTGTCATTGGCGCGGTCGGCGTGACCACGGACTCTCTAATTGCCAACAAGGTGATTGTCGCGTTTGTGTGTCTCTTCATTGCGTTTTTCGCCTCTACGTGGGGCCCGCTCGCCTGGGTCGTTGTTGGTGAAATGTACAGTCTGTCGGTGCGGCAAAAAGCCGTCGCACTGACCGCTGCTACCAACTGGCTCGTGAATTTTATTTTTGCCTGCTGCACGCCGTACCTGGTCGACACCGGCAAGCACACGGCCGCCCTGGGCACCAAGATTTTCTTCCTGTGGGGGTCTTTGAACTTTGTGGGCATGGTGTTTGCCTACTTCTACATCTACGAAACAAAAGGACTGCTTTTGGAGGAGGTGGACGAGCTCTTTAGAGAGTGCAAAAGCGCACGCAAGTCCATGTATTTTAAGCCGCACACAGAAAGGCCGGAGAACGAGGGTTCTCCACGACACTCGGAGTCGCATAGAGCCAACGCAGTGGCCATGACCACGGAGATTTTGAACGTGCCAAACAACGTGCCACCCTCGGTCCACTCGACAGACGACGAGAGCGAGTTCCACCACCCGCACCTGAGCGAGTATCTGGGCCCCCAGACAGAATACAATTACACCAACCAGGAGGACCTGATGGGGCTGATCCGCAGCCTGGGCGTCGGTCTGGACGGAACAGCAGAGTCTGTACATAGCCACGGACAATAAAATATTTATATTTTATCATTTTATTTTATTTTTTCTATCTACTCCACCAGAGGGCCTAAAAATTGACCCATCTCAAGGCGCGAGGGTGTCTTTCCCTTTATATTTTAGTGTCGAATTTTACATTTTGCCATTGATTCTACTCCAAAGACAACCAAATGTCCCTGGAAATGAAGACCACCGAGCTGGAAGGGTCGCAATCGCCAGCGAACGGTTTTTCCGCAGAGGCGTCCCAGGAGCTGGTGTACAACCTGGTTCAGCAAAACCAACAAGACGTAAGCGAGGTTCCTATCGATGTTGATCACAGGAACCCGGTCCCAGCATACAGTTCAGACACCTTTTTCACCACGCTGTACAATCTCTTCAAGAACCTGGCGTCGTCAGGGTCACAGACAAAGGGAGAAGGTGGGGGCTCAGACGCCCCCGGTCCTATTTCCTACTACATCTACCACTCGATTCTTGTGTTTTTGTACCTTCTCATGTCCGTGTACCGCTTCTACGAGTACACTTACAACAGGCTCAAGCTACGGTTTCTGAATTTGGCCTACAACCCGTCCAGAACCCCCTCGCTGATCAACAGCGACGTGAACAAACTCCCCAAGATTCCGTACCGCCTGTCTGCCATTTTGAACTACAAATCCGAACAAGAGGAGAACGGTGGTGTTGAGGGTCTTTGCAACGACGCTGCCGAGCTGACTGCTTGGTGTCTGTCGTCGGGAATCCCAAATTTCTCGATCTACGAGTACCACGGCGTCCTAAAGACACACGTTCCAGAGCTGCGTCGATCGATCCATCGCAAGCTCGTGGCGTACTTCGGCACCAGCAACGTCCCCACCTACCATATCAAAATTCCGCATTTGAATCTGAGCTATGCTGGGTCGTATGATGGAGAATACGGTGACGGTGAGGACAAACCTGACATCGAAGTCAGTCTGTTAAGTGTGGTAGACGGAAGGCCCACCATTGTAGAGCTGACTAAAGTCATGTCGCAGCTGTCCAAGAACCACGAATTAAGCGAGAAAGACATCAACATGAAGTTTATTGACCAGGAACTGCAGCAGCTAGTCGGCCCAGAGCCAGACCTGATTATCATGTTCCAGCCGTACCTGAACTTACAGGGCTACCCCCCATGGCACACACGGCTCAGCGAGATGTACTGGGAGCCAGACAATGATGAGGTTTCCTACGCTGTGTTTTTGAGAGCATTGCAGAAATATTCCACGTGCAAAGTCAATATCGGTCGCTAAATTCCCCTCCTTGCGCAATCTTCGCTAATATTCCCAACGTCGTAAGTTGGACTTGCTATCTCCGTTGCATAACTAGGCCATATACTCGTAATATGATAAGAATGACCTGCTTGGTCGCGTGTCGCGTCCTCCGGTGTAAGGTTGCGTGTGTAGAGATGTGTACCAAGTTTTTGCTTTATCAAAAAGGTCTCGGGAGAAAAAAGACATCCACTATCTTTTGTTTACCCAACTAGTCTTTCCATATAATATTTGTTATATCTGGGACAGGGAACAAGTTTACAACCGGTTATAATAAACGGTAAGTGTGCAATTCAGCATTTGTGAAATCGGACGTCGGTTTGCAATGGGCGGTATCAGCAGAGGACGTGGATTGGTAAAGAATAAATTTACTGCGACGTGTTATGTCGTGCCAAGATCGACACCGGGTTCTCGCGTTACATGAATTGGGACTTCTAGAGGATGTCTACAAGGCTGCAATGCACAAAAAGGACCATCTAAAGATGTTCCAGGCGCCACTACGATATTCCAGCTTATTGTCCAATTTGATTCGTTGTCACTTTTTTTCGCCCGCGAGCCGCAAAGGCCAGAAAAATTTAATACCGGGCAGTCAGCCCCCTTCCAGGTTCGCGACCTCCCCCCAGCTTTCCCCGTGGCGTGCGAATCTGGAATTTTTTCACTGACCCAAAACCGATAACAGTCTGTTGCCACAAACACAAATAACACTACTAACGCGTGAAGATGGGTTTGTCTATTTCGAAGTTGCTCCAGGGCCTGTTTGGTCGCAAAGAAATGAGAATCCTGATGGTGGGTCTCGATGCTGCCGGAAAAACCACCATTCTATATAAGCTGAAATTGGGCGAGATTGTCACCACAATTCCAACGATTGGTTTTAATGTCGAAACCGTGGAGTACAAGAACATCTCCTTCACCGTCTGGGACGTTGGTGGACAAGATAAAATCAGACCATTGTGGAGACACTACTTCCAAAACACACAGGGTATCATCTTCGTTGTCGACTCCAACGACAGAGACCGTATTTCTGAGGCCAGAGAGGAACTGCAAAGAATGTTGAACGAGGACGAGTTGAGAGATGCATTGTTATTGGTTTTCGCAAACAAACAAGACTTACCAAACGCCATGAATGCTGCTGAGATCACAGAGAAACTGGGTCTGCAGTCCATCAGACCAAGACCATGGTTCATCCAGGCGACCTGCGCCACCTCCGGTGACGGTCTGTACGAGGGTCTCGAGTGGCTGTCTACTAACTTGAAAAATGGTAACTAAATGATTTAGACTGAGGCTGCAAGTGATACAGACTACTCACCGTGAACTTTGTCTCGAATCGATTGGTTTACCAAGTAAGTTTCTGTTCTCAATCTAAATTGTGTATTCTTCTTACTAATTTTACCAATCAAGCTCTTCATAACCCGCGATGGTGGGCCGAGGTCCTTTCCATCTCCGTATCTGCCAAATCATGAGACGATCACCTCTTGGGGGGCCCGTCTGCTTACCTAATCATCTGCGATCTCAGCGCGACGATTTCGCAGTCACAAAATTCTTTCTCTGTCAACGCTGCTGCGGGTCAGCTACTCCCCGGCCGGGCTTTTTTTCGTCTCACCACGGAGCTCTACCGGGGCCCACCGCGCGGCCTGCATGCAACTAGGACCTTGAAAAATTTTACAAACGTTTTTCAAGTTTGTCTTAGAGCATTAAATCAACGAAATGGTATGTGACCAACAACAAGTTTAGAGTCAAGGGAGATGCTTCACAGGTGATACGTGTCAAGATGGCCAGGTAGGGAACGAATGCCGCCTGGTTTTGTTTGCACGCCCTAGAGAGTCCCCTTGTCGAATACGACAGTCTCAAATACTAACCCTTCAGGCCGGTGTCAAAGCTTACGAACTCAGATCCAAGTCCAAGGAACAACTGCAGGAGCAGCTGGTCGAGCTCAAAAAGGAGCTGGCCCAATTGAAGGTCCAAAAACTGACCAGACCATCTCTCCCAAGAATCCACACCGTCAGAAAGAATATTGCCAGAGTTCTCACTGTGATCAACTTGCAACAAAGAGCTTCCGTCAGAGAATTCTACAAGGGCAAGAAGTACATTCCAAAGGACCTCAGACAAAAGAAGACCAGAGCTTTGAGAAGAGCCCTCACCAAGTACGAGAAGACCCAGAAGACCGACAAGGCCAGAAAGCAAGCTATTGCCTACCCAGCCAAGAAGTTCGCTGTTAAGGCTTAGACGAGTCGATGTTGTTTGGTGTGGTAATGTATATCTTTGATAATCTCATATAGCAAAGAATCTGCAAAAGTACTTTGTAACCTCCCCCAACCTCCTTGCACCGCTCGGAATCTTCACCAGATGGTGGCAAACAAAAAAATTACCACTACTTTCAGCTTCAGGTCTAGAAATGAGTGATTCGGAAGAGGTAGGTGTCCTTCTTGCGCATAAGGGCTGTTCATGCTAACTTTCCAGATTCGCGCCAAGCGATTGGCCAGGCTTGCGGCCTTATCAAACGAACCGTCGCAGCCCAAACCGAAAAAAATCGCCAGCCCAGTGACTCCCAACCCTGTCGCGCCGTCTGCAGTGAAATCTTCCGACAAATCGGTGTCCAGCACCCGGGAGCCCTCGGTCAGCGGTTCAAGCTCACCAGATAAAAGACAAGCAGAGCCGATCGAGGAATGGATCAATACAAAACTCGAGTTTATTCTGCAGGCCACTTTATCTAAACAAAAAGCTCTCAAATACACGTTCCTCGAATCCATGGCTCAGGAGATGCAAACGTTCAATTTGGACTCGATTGATAGCGTCCTGCTAGACATTCTGACGGAAAGGGGTATTGATTCCACCAAATACGAAACTCCGTTTGAGTACCTGGCCGATTGTTGGAGTAAGGCCAAAAATGTCCGAAGACTGATCAAAAATGACGAGCCAAACAGGGGGACAAAATCACACCTTATTGATGAGGTCATCAGGCTGACTTCAAGCTACTCGCTCCTACTGTTCCAGGTTCCCGATATGTATGTTGACGAAGTCAAGCTGGAAGTGATTGTTCGCCAACTGTGGTCTTCCATCAACAAGTATGATACTTTTCTAATGGACATCATATCCAGATCGATCGACAATGACAGTGTTTTAGACTTCCTCAACGTTTTTCTCCCGCACCTGTCCCAGCAGCTGTTGGGTCTTAATTACTCTACAGACACCGACTACTCCAAAATCTTGACGGTTTATCAAATATTAGTTTCCAACAAGACCATAGCCTCGCAGCTCTATCTGGTGGACGGATTCCACCCAGAAGGGCTCAAGGCCCACGAGTTTGAGCTGAAAACCATTTTGGGGCCCGTCTTAAGGGTGTCAGCTTTGCTCCCGGAAGTAGCAATTTCCAACTATCCAGAAGGACTTACCAAAACTCAAATCAAAAATATCCACGAATCACTTCACAGTGAGCAGCTGGTTTTGATCAACAGATTGTTTGGAATTTGCGACAAGATCGTGAGGTCCGGAGAAGCGTGTCGTACGGCATTTCTAAAACTCCTCGCTGAAATCGTTAATAAGAACCATCTGAGAAGAGGAGAGCACGCCAATCCGAAAAAACTGGCGTCAGACTCATTCATGTTTTGCATCACTATGGTTCTCGTCAAGTTATCACAACCGTTTTTGTCTGATGGGATCAAGATCGACAAGATCTCAATGGATTATTTAAGTCGCCGCAACAAACTTTTGGACCTAAAGGAGGAAACCAAAATCAATTCCACTATTCAGGAATATGAAGAGCACTACCCTGAAGAGAGTCTTTCTGACGAGCCGTTGAACTTTATATCTGAGTGCTTCTTCTTGATGCTCAGCTATCTGCAGTACGGTTTTGGAGGTATGATTATCAACTCGGAACGACTCTCCAATCACGTCAAACAACTTGCACAGGAACTCGCTAAATTAGAAGAAATGCTACAAAAGACCTCTACTGATAACGCAAACCCGCTAGCCAAGATGCTGGCTGATACCAGGCTCAAGCCTCTGAAGAAAGAGCTTCAGAAACTGAAGTCGATGAAATTGTCCATCGACATGTGCTCTTTGAACAGGGAGTTGCAGCTTGAGATTTTTGATGTGATCAACGGAGCAATCAAGTTTTTCATCAGGCTCATTGAGCCTACTCACAGCTATCCAAACATTGCCCTGAAAATTCCATTCAATAAGTTCGATGACGATGTCGACAAGTTCGACGACTTTGAGTACTTGAGAAGCATTGCTCCTGTGCCGTTCAAGTACTACCCTGAGAATTTTATTGAGGGCATTGTGAACTACTGCCATTATATTGCGAAATTTAGCAACAATCCAATGCTACAGAACGAAAAACAGCTGAATCAATTCATAGAGTTTGCCATAATTATCCTCAGATGCCCTGAACTGGTCAACAACCCGCACTTGAAGGCCAGACTTACAGAGGTTCTATTTTTTGGTTCTTTGCCTATGGCCAACAACATGGACGGATACATGATCCATATTTTCAACAACAACGATCTCGTCAAAGAGAACTTGCTGATATCTCTGCTAGATTTCTATGTGATGGTGGAGAAGACGGGCGCATCGTCTCAATTCTACGACAAGTTCAATGCCAGATGTCACATCTCGATGATTTTAGAGCAATTGTGGAAATTTGATTTCTACAGGGCTGATCTGAGACGCATCTCGAAGAATCAGAAGTTCTTTGTGCGGCTCATTGCACGTATGCTCAACGACACAACGTACTTGCTAGACGAGTCGCTGAACCACCTACACACCATTGGAACATGCCAACGGGAGATAGCGTCGCGCAAAAAGGGAAATTCTCCTGCCACTGAAGAAAGCGATGAGGATTTGAACAAGAAGTTGCAGGAAAGTGAGAGGATGGCCAAGTCTCTGGTGCAGCTTTCCAACAAGACGATTCAGTTGTTCGATTTGTTCACTAAAGAGATCCCTTCGGCATTCTACATTGTGGAAATTGTTGACAGACTCGCCGGTATGCTCAACTACAACCTTGTTGCCCTGGTTGGGCCAAGATGCAACGAGTTGAGGGTGCAGGATCCTGAAACGTACCATTTCAACCCCTCAGACCTGCTGCTGCACATCTGCTCGATTTTCATCAATCTTTCTGACGGCCAGGAGTTTGTGGAGGCTGTTGCCAGAGACTCGAGATCGTTTAGTCCTGCATGTTTCAAGCGGGCGATACAGATTCTCAACAAGGTTGGCAAAATTGACGTCGAGTTCAGTACGAAGCTAAACAGTTTTGTTGAGCAAGCCGAGAAGGTGAAGGTTGAGGACGAGGAGGAAGAGCTGGAGCTGGGAGAGATTCCAGACGAGTTCCTCGATCCACTCATGTTTACCTTGATGAAGGACCCAGTGAAGCTTCCTCAGTCCAAGGTGAGCATGGACCGGTCTGTCCTCAAGGCGCATTTGATGAACGATCCAACAGATCCGTTCAATCGTACGCCGCTGAAGCTGGAGGATGTGGCTGAGGACACAGAGCTGAAAAACAAGATCGAGCAATTTATCAAAGAGCGCCGTCAGAACAGAGACAGCCAGGGCGATGTGAAGATGGAATAATCCGCTCGAATTGAATTGCAAGTGCGCTTCACGGAGCAGTTTTTCGTCGCGGGTGACAAATTCCGGGCCCCAAAAATTAGGCTACCATAATCATCAGTAGGCGTTGGCGTAAGCGGCGGCGGACAAGGCGTGCGGCAGCCAGAAGCTGGTAGCGCAAAAGAAACGGCGCACGCCAGCACTCGGGTGCTCGAAAGGAGCGTATGTATAGAGTATCTGTACGGGGAATAATGTCGGGTAATCTAGCGTCACAACAAAACCTGTCGCGTGTTTTAGCGGGGGGGACAAGAGCGCAGGAAAAAATTAAGACAGGAAAAGAAAACAAGTACCACTGCTGATTTCTTCCTGGGGACTGGGATACGAACGTCTGCGAACCAGACAGAATCGGGACGGAATAGCTGGAATTTCAAAGATTTCGGAAGTGTGCTCACGAAAGGCAAAGTCATCGATAGCATCACCCAAATATATCACCAGGATGGCTGAGGACCAATCGGGACCAACTTCGTCCTCGGCGTCAACGCTCAAGAGGTCTTTCAGCCCAATAGATTTGAAGTCTTCCACTCCTCAAGGAATAATCAAAGAGCTGTCTGACGCCTACGACGTACCGGAGATACTTGTGAGGTCGCTGTTCAACATGAACGGCAGAAACAATCAGTCCAACCTCAACGACCGCGAATTCATCATCAACCTGGAATCTGAGATCATCGAGTTCATAGTAAAGCCCAACGTCGACTCGTGGAAAATGACCCCGCTGAATTCCTACTACCGGTTACTGACTCATAAATTAGCCGAGTACTACAATTTAGGGCACATATTGTCGAACGACGGTTATTCGATGGTTTTGTTCAAGATCAACACGTCGCTGGTGAACGCCGACGACGAGACAAAGAAATCCGCAGCGTTCGACGATGAGGGCAACATCAAGCCGCTGGATTTCAGAAACATCAAATTCGACCCAATGGAGAAACTCGACAGGATAAGGGTCTCGGAAATTTTCGACAACTACAAATCGTACTTCAGCTCGAGTCTGGAGCGCGAGCAGGAAGATGAGCGGCCTGTTTCTGGCAAAAGCGGTAAAGCCACCAAAAAGAACGCCAAAGATGAAGGCTACCAAAATGGTAGCTCGGGCTATAACAAGAACGGCAATGGGCATCATCTGGAAGACGACAAATCGTTCAGAAAACAGGGCAATAGGGCAGTTCACGGCTCGATGGACGGGCCCAATGGCTTTGTCGACGGAGATACCGACACACGGCCGCGCGGGAATAGAAAAAAATATCAGCATCCACCAATGCCGGAGTACGGCTACTACCATCCATTCGTTCCGTACAACTATCCGTACGGACCTCCGCCCCAGATGATGCCCCAACCTGTGGAGTCTGCGCCCATCAACATGAGAAGCACGTCGCCTTCCAATGAGCAGGGGCATTCTCCGAGCCCTTCTTCAGGAATGCCACCGTACTCTTACATTTACGCTGTGCCAACTCCACCGGAGACATCCATTGCCCCAATGCCGCCGTCCCAGGTACCTGCTGAAGGCTCGCCTAATTCCGCGTCATCGACGCCTCTCTCCGCTACTGCCTCCATGCCTCCTGTGCAGATGGTGCCTTCGTATCAATATTACTACCCGCCTCCGCACCCCGGCGTGTATTATCAGATGGGGCCGGGCAGCAACGGGGGACGGTATTCCAATGGTAGAAACAAGTTTCCTGACAACAACAACGGGTATTACAGGTCGTCTCAAAACGGCGAGAAAAAGAGTCACAAAAAATGGAGCAACGGGGGTGACAAATAAGAATTCGAGCTGGACTGCATCACATCTACTAATGTATATGATCTAACATAACGATATCATGTGAGTCTGTATTACAACTTGGACTGGTTTCTCTTCGCCCTGTCGAGGGCTATGTCGCACATGGCGTCGAAGGCCTCTTTGATCTCGGCGTCCAAATCATTCCTCGCGATGCGCTCGTTCATGATTTTCATTATCTCGTCTCTTGACCGTCCGTTCACAAAAACGACAAATCGGAGTCCTGGGAAGGTAGCTTCGTAGCGATCGTTAAGTTCCACCAATTTCTGTGCAAGCTCAGGGTCCGCGTTGAGTTGAGCCTGTTCTGAGGAGGAGTGTGACGAGAGTTTTGCATTCGCGTCTTTTGGGGGACCCAGTCTTGGGTGTGCAGAGACTATGTTGTCGATCGTCGGCTTCAAAGTTCGGTCGTTGATATACTGGAGGTACAGTTTATTCAGTTGATCTCTGCATGCCTCGATCAAGTGGCTGTATGTGGAGAAACAACTTCTAAACACTGTTGGAATTAAAACTTGTGCCAACGTGTCACATGGCTCAAACAATGTGTCCAAAACATTTCGCTGTGTCTGAGAATCTGATTGGCACAAAATCTGGCAAGGGGGTAACGACATTATGCTAAATTCAAAACGTCCAGAATTTAAGATTTGCAAATATCTGCCAATTTCTCCAACTTTTGTTTATTTATAAAAACATGTCAGACACCGAATTGGTTCCTGAAGAGATCCCTGGCTTCAAAGTCGGCGAAAAGAAGTCCCTTCAGGAGTACGCGCAGTTAGACGCTAATGATGAGTCACTCAACAAGTGGAAGCGGTCTCTTGGTCTGAACACAGGAGAATTATTGCCTGTCAAGGAAGGCGACAAGAGAACAGTGGTGATTCTCTCGATGACGCTAAACATCAGAGGTGAACCTCCGGTGGTTGTCGAGCTCGAAGACGCCACAGATCCGAGAGTGTCGTTCAAAATTAAGGAAAAAAGCATTTACCAGCTGGTGATCAAGTTCCGCATCCAGGGAGAAATCATCACCGGTTTAAGATACTTGCAGGCAGTGAAGAAAACGGGAATAACGGTGGACAAGCTAGATGAGCCACTCGGATCATTCGCTCCCTGCACAGTCGACAAACCTTATTACGAAAAGGTGTTTGACGAGGTGGAAGCGCCAAGCGGACTACTGGCAAGAGGCTCCTACAATGCCGTGTCCAAATTCATAGACGACGACAAAACCGTACACCTGACTATTCCATGGAGTTTCCAAATTGTGAAATAGTCACGTAATGAAATATGATAATGAATGTTGGTGATACAAATAAACCAATTTAGTAACTGTAATGGTTAGAGCACGTCATAGGAAATAGTCTGGAGTTTTTCTGGTCACGGTAGGCTCGCCAGGGCGAACGGAAGGATCGTATTGCAAAAAGTCTCTGTTGTGGTTCTCGTCAACTTCCATAATTGCAGCCTGGTTTCCACATCTATAGCAGTAATTTGGTGCAGAAAAAATGGTAACCACCAGATCTTGATGTGACCAGCTGTAACCCTCCATCACCAGCTGATGAGCTCTGGCAATGAGCGAAAGCCCGTTTGTGTGGTTGAATTGTTCGGAGATGTCCTGACCAAAAGTGAAACCAGCACCTCTAGGAGAAATTCCCCATCCTCCTCTATCGTCAGGGTCTGACCACAACAGATCACACATAGGTCCCTCGTGCGGAACCTCTTGGATTCTGTTGAGTTCCCTGACCTGATCGATCGACTCGATCATTGGCGACAAGCCACCGTGTAAACAGAAAATGGAGTTGTCAACCAATGCGGTGATCGGGAAGTAATCGAATAGGTCGGTGAACATCTTCCAAACATTAGCGGAACCATATTTTCTAAAGCATTCGTCATAAAATCCATAAACCTGTGTAATTTGCCTCGACTCGTGATTTCCTCTAAGAATAGTAATTCTTCGTGGATACCTGACTTTCATAGCCACCAAATAGCTGACCGTCTCAACTGAGTAGTAGCCTCTGTCAACATAGTCCCCCATGAACAGATAGTTTGTATCTGGGCAAGGGCCTCCAATTTTAAACAATTCCATCAGATCATGGAACTGTCCGTGAATATCTCCACATATGGTGACTGGTACCTGAACCGGTTGAACATTCTCCTCGCCCTTGACAACCTCAACAGCCATCGCACAGAGTTGTTTCACAGAGTCCTCGCTTAGTGGCTTACATTGGCTCAATTGTTCTATCCAGCCATCCAGCGTGTTCCTCTGAGTAGTTGGGTCAGTCGTGTTTATGGGGAACTGGGAAAGCGACGTTTCCTTTCCTGTGGTTTCTGGCTGTGTTTGCTCGACGGCATCTTCCATCTGTATATCTGAATCCAAATCCATCGTGAATTATCGTATGTTTATCAATAGGAGTATATTTCCAGTTTTTGCAAACGTGCCAAATAATGTGCTGTCAAATGGCTTTTATGAAGTAGCGTTTGATTCTTCTCTAAGATTATGTATTATTCAAAACTCTGCAATATTATATTGAATAGATCAATTGAACATCACTCCTTCTGTTTCAATCAAAAGGTGTTTTGTCCCAAAACCCATGAAAAAGTGTTGCTGTGAGTTGTGCACGACGCCTCGGCTAAAAAAGGGCAAGGGATATTTATTTTACCTTCCTCTTATACCTACACCTGTTTATGGACCCCAGTTCTGGATCTCTCTGGAGTACTTATAGAATTGAAGATTCGCCCACACATAAGCCGCCATACTCCTTGGATCCTGCGGAGGTGATCCCTACTCTCAGGTCAAAAGTCATACGTCGACAATCAAATCGAATTTTCCCTTCTTCTCACTGGCTGATTGAAATGATGGAGGAGAGATTAGTGCGCTGGAGACCTACTTCGAGCCAGAACAGCGTCTCATTGGCATTGGATGGAAACCACCCTTATCAGAAAGAAACTCTGGCCAAAAGACAAATTGTTGAAGCAACAAAAAATTCAGCGCCAGAGAATGACAGCGTTAGAAACGATACCCTAATATTCGATAACGGAAAACCAGAACAGCTCTTGGGAACTACCACCCTCCGCTGGATCCAAGACCTAAATAGCTCTTTTGATCTCGACGATATGCCATCTGATTTTCAGTACTCGAACTCTTTTAGATGCATGGGGACCACCACAGTTGCTTTTGGACGAATTCCGAATGAAGACGTGCGGACGGTGACGGCATCGCCGTTGGACGTCGACCGACATTTGTCCGAATTGACTAAGGGGGAGACTACAAATCGTGCAGATGGACCCCAATCTCAATTTACCCAAAACGAGTCGTTAGACCAGGAACCCTGGTATTCTTGGATCTTCGGCTGTTACTAACGGTTGTTAGATCCAGTTTCAAGTATATTAACGGACACACTAAATATAAACAATGGAAAGACTTTCAATGCATATCCAGATGTTGGAGAATCACATACATCGAATGGTTGAAGAGACACTCTTAACTAAAGACTTCGAGATGGTCACCGGTTCAGCCATTGCTCCTGGCCATTCTCCGTCCGCCAATTTACTTATTTGGATCTAGCTCTGACCTTCCGTCTCTTTCTCTTAAGTCTTCTAACTCTCTTCTTTCTCCACTTAGCTCTCATCCTGGGATAATAACTTTTGGTATAAAAAAACTAATGCTGGAAGGTTTTATATTTATAGTGGACCAGCCTCGCCGACGTAGTCGTGTGCTCTCTAATTATGAACCCGCAAACTACTATTTTTTTTCTTTGAAGATGTTCGAAGCTCAATTCTTAAAAGAACCCTCGGCTACGGTCACGTGCAAAGATCGTAAATAAATAGTATTCATTATTACAGGTTCTAATTTCTAGAAGGCTCAATGCCTTCTTGGCTCAGCCTTTTGCGTTCCTGATACAATGCGACATGGAGGTTGGGCTCAAATTTCTCAATTCCAAAAGCCTTGCAAATGTTGGTGATGGAGCTTTCATCGAGCAGTAGCTTTTCTTTCAAATCACTCTTTTTAATGTGTTCAAGCACATTCGATCTGGTAGTCTCATCTTGGGACTCAATGAATAGTTTGTGTGCGTCTTGTAAACCGATCATCTGAAGATGATGCTCTTCGCCGCCTTTCAGGTCCAACAAAAACCGCAAATGCTTCACTCCATTCAATGCCGTCAAATGACAGTAGGATCGATAAGCAAGGTAAAATCCAGGAACGTTGGGTATCAGTGGGATCAATGCAAAAGGAATCGTTAGTGGCAGCAATAAGAGATTCACGAAGAGGTACTTTTTATGGTACTCGTGACCTTTTTGGAGCTCTGATCGAAGCTCGTTGGTGATCTGCTCACTAGAAAGCAACAACGATGGGTAGTACAAAGGTATTTGCTCTAGTTCCTCGGGAGAAATGTCTAACTGGGTCACCAATCCCGGATGCACTTTACGGTCTTGGTCGGATTTCCTTTCTGTTTTCTCGTCTGGTTTATGGTAATCTTTGAGATATCTAGTAATTTTGTTTTGCGACGGTATGGACCTGAAACATGTTTCCATCCACGGTATCTCATTTAGAAGGCGATGCATAAGACTAACAACTGATTTGTTGATTCGATTCTCGGACCTCTCAAGTCTATTCCAAGCTCTCGCCGCCCAGTTGACTAGCTTCGTGTCCAGCCCTTCCTTGCCATCAGGCAAAGCCTTTGGAGTATACTGGCAGAAGAAAAATGATTTCTTGGTCGTAATAGGTAAACAGACAATATAAATCGGATGAGCTTGAACCTCCGATTTGATGCTCTCCACAACTGAATGGTATGGTCTGAATGAACGACTTCCAATATATACCGTCCTAGTGTTACGTATCAACGTTAGCATGGTATTTTGTGCCTCAGGAAAGCTATTGCTTGGGTTATGAGGCTCTGTAAACCTCGATTGATTATTCTAAGGTTGATAATTATTTAGAGATTTGCTAGCACCAAATATCTGATTACGTAATCGTGGTTGCAACGCGAGCATACGGTGGGTCTAATGACGAGTAGCTTGGAAAGTCGCCTTTTTGGGCTTGTCAATGGTATATGTAACTTGTCTGAATTGCTATGGTATACTTTACAGCTAGTCTATTAGACTTTACTCGAATGAAAGATTAGGTACATTTTAATATTCAGACTTATTTAAATTGATACGGCCCTAGCCTTCAATACAGATTCATCAAAATAAACTTTCTGCTGAGTCTTTCATGTAATAGAGACAGAGTAGTTTCTAGCAATTGGCGTACATTTGGCGCTGATGTCCAATTTACTGCTGACTTTCCATCATGCAACTAAGGGAGCTCATCACAGAAAACATTGTCGCGGTGTACGGATGTGATATTAATTACTGGCTCGCTTCAATAAAATGTGTTTAACCTTAGTTTGTGAGGATATTTCAACTGCGAGGTAAACGCTTGATTCGCTGAGCCAGAGAGAGACATCAAGAGGAGCAATTAAGAGGCTACTATCATGTCTGACAGTCATCCCGGACCCAGCTCTGGATCAGGTGTAAATTCAAACACCATGTCGAGCGGTTTAAATAACGGTCCGGACATCTTTCAGAAAACTCCAAAACAATATCGACACAAAATCCAGCCAGTTCCGCCCTACGTACTAGATGGTGTTGAGCGAGGCCAGATTCCGCTCCAGCCAAAGCCCAATGAAAACTGCTACGGTCCCACTTATTGGAGCCGTTTTATTTCGACTTTCAGGAACATTGACGCCTATGCTCCGGATCAGTTCAATCAGTCGGGCGCTGAGTCCATTCTGGATAGCTACAAACTGGATCAAGATTGGAGAGGCGAGGAGAAGCTACAGCGCATGTACAATGGCCCGCCACATTCCGCGCTCCATGATAGTGGAGACTTGAATGGAAACAACTCAGGACCATACCATAAGACCAAATATAGATCGAAGGCTGGATACTGGATCTCCGAGAACAAGAAAGACTGGAAGCCTCGATTTAATGACATCTTGATATACAACTCATACATCCCGCTTTTTTTCAGAATGTTCACCTTATTTCTTTCATGCGTTGCTTTGGGTCTGGCCGCTCGCATAGTCGTTTTGAATAACCACCTAGATACCACCGATCACGTTTCGCAGCAACCGAGCACAATAATGGCAATTGTTGTGCAGTCTGTGGCCATATTGTACCTGTTTTATATCAGCTACGACGAGTTCACATCTCAACCGCTCGGACTCAGGGATCCGCAGGCTAAATTGAGATTAATTATGTGCGAGCTGGTGTTTGTGATATTTTCCTCGGCTAACCTGGCTCTCAGCTTCAATTCCCTTTACGATTCCCGATGGGTGTGCGCAGTCAACCACTCAGTTGTGAGTAACCCCAAGTTGCTAGTGTCGATGTGCAGTCGTCAACGAACCCTAGCCGCATTTCTCTTCATCATCCTGGTTGTTTGGTGTATAATGTTTACAATCAGCATCATTCGAGTGGTGCAAATGGTCAACAGAATTGACCAGAGACTCTCTTAGCATAATATATACCGCATCAAAAGCTCGCAGCTACATTTTTTTAGTATGGCTATTTTTTACCCTTACACGCGAGTTCTTTTTTCAACTTGGAAAAACATTTGTGGCAAACAAACAAAGGGGACAAGAGAAAAACGGTAGCATTATCGGACCATAATAACCTACGCTACCTTGTCAATTTTCAGCTTTGCAACCTATTGTAATATCGATTGATTTGTGCTCACCTTTGCGCTACATATCCCTCCATTGAAATATGTCAAACTCATTTCTGGATCGAACATGGAAGGAAATCGAGCCCGCTGTTCATGTGATTCTCGGTGACGAAAAGAACTCTTCTCTTGACTCATTCATGTACACACAGACATACACCAAGGTCTACGACTACTGTACTGCTGCATCTTCTAGAAGACCTGCTGCATCGAGTGTTGGAGGGGGACCTGGAGATGGATCTGTAAGATTGGTTGGAGGAGAACTCTATGCTAGACTCAAAACGTATTTGAAACACTACCTCGAAAATCTGAAACAAAAGGAAGGGGAGTCTTTTCTCCAATTTTACATCAGAACCTGGGAGAGATACTTAATTGGATCCACAAGGCTAAACGATGTCCTCGACTACATAAATAGATACTGGGTTACCAAAGAACGAGGTGACGGCCACAGAGAGATATACGACATTCTCAGTCTGTGTTTGCTTTCCTGGAGAGATTACAAATTTCACACAAATCTAGACATTCTGATGTCGGAGATCATGGAACAGATCCGCGATCAACGACTAAACAAAATCGAGTCTATTGGAAATTTGAGTGTGGCCATCAAATCGTTTGTACTTCTAGGATTTGACGTGAACGATCTGAAGAAACAGAATCTATCTGTCTACATCAATGATTTCGAAAAATCTTTCTTGACGGAAACATACAATTTCTACGCTGAGGAATCTCAAAACTTCATCAAAGAGTACGGAGTTGTTAATTACCTTGTGAAAGCAGAGCAGAGGATAGAGGAAGAGCTGAAGAGGCTCGAAGAGCTAAATGATCATACCAGAAGACCTCTGAACGATTGTTTGAATGAGGTCTTAATCACTAATCACGCAGATGTCATTCGCTCTGAGTTGACTCCTTTGCTTGACCAAGAAAGATATTCAGATATCAGAAGAATGCACCATCTTTTGAAAAGAGTGCCAATGACCATAGATCCACTTTTGCAGCAATTCCAAGCGTACATTAGACAGCAGGGTCTAAACGCTGTTGAAGAGCTCAAGTTGCAGCTCGAGGCACAACAGAAGGAACAGAGTGCTGTTGTGGAAGACGACGGAAAGTCAAAGCCAAAGAAAGGGCCTGCATATGATGTCGATGCAAAAACATACATTCAAACCCTTCTCAAAGTCTACCACAAATTCCAAAACGTGGTGAAGGAATCTTTTGAAAACAATGAAGCATTTGTGAAGGCTCTAGACAGCGCATGTCAGTCCTTCATAAACTATAACCCAATTGCCACCCCCAAAGATAAATCCAAATCCAAGACACCAGATCTTCTCGCTAAATATGCGGACGAGATGCTCAGGAAGAAACCTGAGGATATGTCCGTTGACGAGCTCATGACGGTTTTCAAGTTTATCGACGATAAAGAAAGTTTTGAAGTCTGGTATAGAAGGTTCCTATCTAAAAGATTGATGGGCTCGACAATGACGCCAGAGGACGGCGAAAGGGAGGAACTGATCATTGGCAAGCTAAGATCGGCCAACACGCAAGAATACACAAACAAAATCACAAACATGTTCAACGATATTAGAGTTTCGCGGGACCTCGGTACGTTGTACAAAGAAACCATTATGCAGGAACATAATCCTAAAGAGTACGTTTCTGACTTGGAACCTCGGATCCTGGACTCTGGTGCTTGGCAGTCCATATTCAATAAAAGCAACGAGTCTATCTTGCTGCCTCCAATGCTAATCAACACACAAGAGAAGTTCGCTTCCATATATCAGTCAAAATTCCCTGGGCGGCAGCTGAGCTGGATTTGGAATCGGTCCAAAGTCGAGTTGAAAGCAAACATTTCCAAACCGGGGAAGCCTCCATTTTTGTTTACTGTCACGCTTTTCCAAATGGCGATTTTGTACCCCTTCAACGAAGCAGATACGCTGAGCGTTGCTGAATTACTCGAAGCGACTGCTGCTCCGGTGGATGTGTTCAAAGCTAATATTGCTCCTCTAGTCAAGAACAAGCTTCTGGTACAGAATCCTCCAGGCGAGGAAGCTATCACGAAGCCTCATACAACTTTCACAATCGTGAAAGAATATACATCTAAGCGTATCAAAGTTAATTTCGCATCAGGAGTGAAGATAACAGATTCCAAGAATGAGGAGAAGGACACGAATACCGAGATTCAGATGCGCCACCATGGTATTTTGAAGGCTTCTATTGTGAGGGTGATGAAAGCTAGAAAACATTACAAGCACGAGCAGCTTACGAGTGAGGTGTACAAGATGATTGATCGGTTCAAGCCTACTGTGGCCGATATCAAGAAAGCAATTGAGGTGCTCATCGATGAGCAATATCTTGCACGAGACAGCGAAGGCACTGGGTACGAATATTTATCATAGCATCATATAATACCTGATTTAGAAAATTTATATTCAGCAGGTCGTGTAGTCATTTTTTCCGTGATAAAATTTCATCTCTGAGTAATTTAAGAGGCGGATTTTTTATCTACAAATTTGATTATCAATATGTCCTCATTAGGTATGTTCTGAAGCTTTTTTATTGACTAACATGTCAGAGCAGTATCAAAAGGTTTCTGAAGAGCAGCACAAGAAGGTCCAGGTAAATCCTTATGGACCAAATCCAAGCGATTTCCTTTCGAACGTTAGATCTTTCCAGTTGATCGAGTCTACTTTGAGAGAAGGTGAACAGTTTGCCAACGCCTTCTTCAGCACGGAAAAGAAGATCGAGATCGCCAAGGCTTTAGATGACTTTGGAGTCGACTACATCGAACTGACTTCTCCTGTTGCCTCCGAGCAAAGTAGAATCGACTGTGAGGCCATCTGTAAACTTGGGCTAAAAGCCAAAATCCTGACTCACATCAGATGTCATATGGACGATGCCAAGGTTGCAGTCGAGACCGGTGTTGATGGTGTCGATGTGGTCATTGGAACCTCCCAGTTTTTGAGACAGTATTCTCACGGCAAAGACATGTCCTACATCACTAAGTCTGCCGTTGAAGTGATTGAATTTGTCAAGTCCAAAGGTATTGAAATCAGATTCTCCTCCGAGGACTCATTCCGTTCTGATATTGTCGACCTGCTCAACATCTATAAGACTGTTGACAAGATCGGTGTGAACAGAGTTGGTATTGCGGACACTGTGGGCTGTGCCAATCCAAGACAGGTGTACGAGCTGGTCAAGACTCTGAAATCTGTCGTGTCATGTGACATCGAATGCCACTTCCACAACGACACCGGCTGCGCCATCGCCAACGCCTACACGGCCTTGGAGGCAGGCGCAAAACTCATCGACGTTTCCGTTCTCGGTATCGGAGAAAGAAACGGTATCACGCCATTGGGTGGTCTGATGGCCAGAATGATTGCTGCAGACAGGGAGTACGTCATGTCCAAGTACAAGTTGCACAAGTTGAGAGACCTGGAGAATTTGGTGGCTGAGGCTGTGCAGGTGAACATTCCGTTCAACAACCCAATCACCGGCTTCTGCGCGTTCACCCACAAGGCTGGTATCCATGCCAAGGCCATTCTGGCCAACCCATCCACGTATGAGATTCTCAACCCATCTGACTTTGGTCTGTCGCGTTACATCCACTTCGCCAACAGATTGACTGGATGGAACGCTATCAAGAGCAGAGTCGAGCAATTGAACCTCAATTTGTCGGACGACCAGGTCAAGGAGGTTACCACTAAGATCAAGAAACTTGGAGACGTGAGACCGCTCACAATTGATGACGTGGACTCCATCATCAAGGACTTCCATGCTGACATCTCGACTCCACTAATTCAAGCCAACGATGGCCCAGGTCCAGTCGACGAGGAGGATGCCTCGCTCGACAATGTCAAGAGACCTAAACTGAACTGATGTTCTACTAATACTGTGTAGAATAAGTACTCGTAACGTTACGTACTAGATAAATTGTTGGAATATTTGTTTGGCTTAGTTTGGCTTAGTCTTTCTTGATAGACGACTCGAGGTGGTCAAGCTGCTCCTTCTGCTTGGCCAATTGCTCTCTGAGCTTAGCAATTTGCTCAGCCTGGTGCTTTTTAATGTAGTAATCCTCTTGGGCCTTTTCACGTTTCTAATCTATGTTAGTAAAAAAGTAGGCGAGTAGTGCTATGCTTACGGTGAAAGCGTCAGAGGAACCATCACTGCGGGTGGAGCCCGTGGAACCCTCCGAGTAGAGTCTGGCAAGAGCCAGCCTGTTGGTCCTGGAAGCAAAAGCGACGTTTCTGGAAAGCATGATTTTGATCGATAAATATTATGGCAAGACTCTGACGATTGCCCAATGAAAAATTAATACCGCCATCACCGGGGCCAGACACAGGGCTGCCTAACGAAATCCGGGGGAAAAATCGGCGCGTCGATGATTTATTTTTTGCAGGTGAAAAATATAGCTTCTAGTTGAATGTCTTTGGTTGTGCACCAGAACGGTGCCAGTGTCCCCTATGTGTTGCGCTTAAATGGACACAAAGGCGCTGTGCTTGCTAACAGATTTAACGAAGATGGAACGTTTGTGGCTTCTGGTGGAGTGGATCGAAAATTGATAGTGTGGAAGATCCCAGATTCGCCAGAGCTGATTAGGGAAGAGCTGCCCTACGATTACAATGTGGCAAATATAACTAGGTCAGCCGTCACCTCGATAAGATGGTCGCACACCAACGAAAACCATGTTTTTGTCGCTTCCGCTGACTCGACGGCAACTGTGTTCGATATCACCAAAAGTCAGAAAATCAAAACATTTCACCATAAATTGTGTATCAATGATATATCCAATTCCGAAAACGACATGCTTGTGACATGCTCAGACGACGGGTCTGTGAAGTTGTGGGACTCACGGTCGAGATTTGAAATTGATAGCATACAACACAAATATCCTGTTCTTACAGCCATTATAGATGCCAGGGACCAGAGATTCTATTTTGCAGGAATCGACCCAACGGTCTCTTGCTACGACGCACGCAAAAGGAGCACACTTTGCTGGGAGGAGTGCAATCAGACGAACAACGTGACCTCGCTAGCGTTGACTCCAGATGAGTCCTACCTTGTCTCCAAATCTGTTGATAACACAATTAAGTATTACGACTCAAGGCTATTTACGAAAGGACTTCGGGCACGGCCGTACATTTTTGACGGATCCAAAGCTTCTGCAGAAGATAACTTGATACGTTTGAAAGCAGTCAAAAAATCTGACGGCAAAGAATACATCATTAGTGGATCGAATGACGCTCATGTGTACGTGTGGGACTTTGCGAGCCGGAGATTGAAGAGTCGGCTTGATGGACATCTGGGGACGGTGTTGGACGTGGATGCGCTCAACGACAAATTGATTAGTGGCTCCATCGACGGATCGCTCATCTTACGTTCTTTCTAGGGTTAGCCGAATCGGACAGTTTTTCGTTGACTTTTGAGCTTTTGCAGAAGCTTGCCAGAAAAGGTGGCTTCTTTTTGCATCTCAAAGTCCGTCTTGAAAATATCAATTGGCTCGTCTTTGATCTTGGACTCATTTTCTGTGGTACGTGCCAAACTCTCTTCCGTGAACAAAGGAAGATTCCAGGTCCTTATCCCGTTTTGAACCGTGCTCTCAACGCCAAACAGCTTCAAGCCGTCGTCATAGTCATCCTTTTGCGTGCACAGGTCCATTTTATAACGAGTTTGAGAGCGAATTGGCTCGTATTCCTCTTGAAAGTCCTCAAATAATTTAAGGAACTCGAAACGCATAATGTATTCCTGCATTCCCGTATTGTCAATCAATTCTTTGGTCTCGTCCACCTTGGTCTGACTTCTCTTCAAGTACATCTCTTTCTCGATTGTATTGTCAAGTATCAGAGTTTCAACGTGCACCTCCTTGGTTTGTCCAATCCTATGTGATCTTTTGATTGCCTGTGCTTCCACTGTTTTATTCCAGATCGGATTGATGAAAAATACATTGGTTGCGGATATAATTGTCAAGCCATGTGATGCCAATTTCACATCCATCACTAGAACTATACCACCGTTGACGGAGGTTTCCCACAAATCGAATTTTGTCAGGTTATTAGATCTCTCCGCTATCTTGACAAAAGTCGAATACATCAAATAATTCATGCCTAACAGGTCAAGCAGTTCAGTGAGATAGTAGGCGCTGTTTTCGAACTCGTAAAACACAATCGACTTGATTCCTAGGGTTTGATTCTCCAGTAGCCGTGATGTCAAGTAAGATAATTTAGCAGACGCAGTACCCAAGATTCGAGCATGGCGCAAATGCGACGCAAAATTTCCTTCCGGTATCACAGGCTCTGGAGTTCTAGGGGTATTGCATCCTTCAGGAATATATTTGATCTTCTTCCGGGGTGATTGGTTCAAAGACTCGAAATGGTTTCTCGTGGTCCGCTTCTGGGGTCTAGCCGTTATCTTGAGTTCTTCCTTTGCAGGATCAAACTCGTTTTTCCATTTGGGTTCGTGGTTGATTAGTCGAACACTGTCCAGATCAATACTGTCCTGGTTCGAAACCCTTGATGGCCCCCGTTTCCGACTTTCCTTGGAATCGTTGGATTTCCAGTATCTGACCCAGAACTCTTTTGAGCTTTCCTCTAATATTCTCTCAAAAGTAGAACTCTCTTTCACCAGCCGATTTTTATAGAATAGTTTCTGAACAGCATGCAGTTGTGGATACCCGTAAACGCCCACTGGGTTATGGAAGTCGTCTACTTCGTACTCGTAGTTAGCGACTGACATGGTTTTGTGGAACATTTGCGGCAAATTGGAAACGAAATAGCTCATTTCGTGAACACTGCAATTGGTTCTCCATCGTGAGTTACTCAGGGCAACTTTGGCGGTATAGACAGAGCTCTGCAGCAGTTTAATATCTTCTTTGGAGTACCTATTTTTGATAGTATTCAGCGCGTAGTTGCAAATACTGAGCAGATTCTCAATGTCCTGAATTGAAAAGCCGGTCCAGTAAAAAGTAGCTTTCTGAAGGTTATCGATCAGTCTTCTCAAAACGCTCTTATTTGAGGGATGAAACATGTAATCCCTGTCCGTTCTCTCGGAGGTGACCGCGTTGGTCGCAAGAACTGCTATGAATAAGTTGATGGACAGCTTGTCAAAAAAGGAGGGCTTGAGAAACACCGGCTGGTGCGTTAGCTTTGGGAGCTTGATGTCAAACTCAACATCTTTCACAGCATGCCTCACAAGCATATTCTGCAGTATTTGCATCAGCTGATGATCTCCGTTCAAACTGTTATTTTCGAATGGTTTGATCACATTGTTGAGCCACAACTTAGGGTTTGTACTCCATGGTTCAACTTTCAGGTAGTTGGAGACGACAGTGCCTAATTTCACCAAGTCGTCTCTGGCGTTAAACTTCCGTTTGATGGTATAGTCCTCCTCTGTTTCTTCCACATGTAAATTAGTGAGTCCAAGTGTAGGCGTTCCAGTGATCGTCCACTTGCGCTCGACAGCCAGCTGCTTGGCAAGCAGCACAGCCCGTGTGGACCTGGAGTTCATTGAGTGTCCTTCGTCGATGATCAGCCTTTTCCAGTATATCGACCTTAAAATTGAGTCTGATTTTTCAGATTGTCTTGAGAAGTAGTTCAAAGATATGAGAACGATGTCATTATTGATTATTTCGGCCACACTTTGAGGAAGTTCAGTTTGTCCTTGCAGCTCCAGTATTTTCAGGTAACTCTCCTGTACATGTTTTCGAATCTCGATTTTCCACTGATGGAATAAATTGTCAGGAACGACGATCAATGACGAAGATGAGACATACAATTTTCTAGTCTCGGCGACAACATCTCGACTCGTTCTAGTTGTGTAGTTGGGAACCTTGAGCTGCAAGATCTCAAAGCAGCCCAGATTGGTTTCTAATTTCTGGACGCAAGCACGAGGTAGCTCGTGGTAAAACTGCTTCCATTCTATAGAGTGCTCGTTGATGTGTTTGGCGCATATATCCAAAAGGGACAGCATACGCTTGTGACTAGTTCTTGAGCGATTCTCCCGGGGAATTTCAGAAATTTGGTATTTTGAAAGACATACAAGGGCCAAGCATATGCACGTCTTTCCCAAACCCATATCTTCCGCTAATATCCCTCCTCTTGGTGTATGATAGAACGATGCATTATTCATGAAAATCAGCGATTGTATGTCCAAATAGAAGGATTTGCTGCCTCGAGGAAGTACGATCAGATTGGGAACATGGACTGATTTGATCGAGACTTCCTTTTCGTACATCTTTGCAACACTCCGTCTCTGATAATTGTATAAGTCACTTTTCATTCCAGGAATCTTTCCGTTCAAGATTTCATTGATGGTCTCTCTCGACCCAGGGTCCAGTTCCTCCAAATTAAAACTGGGCGAATTGACCTGATTGTAAACTCTGATCAGTCTATCCTCAACGGTTTCGTTTTTGGCTTCTTCTAGAGATCGCATATACGACGAACGATTTATCATCCTCCTCAGATGATGATCGAACGATTCATCCAAAAAGACTCTGCCTATGTTTGCTAGGTTGTAGGCTTTGAATTGGCTTGTCGAGGGAAACAGAAGAATGTTGTGGCTCTCAAGGTAATTTAGCAGCTGGGAATCGGACGCGAGATTCCATGCATCCTCATCATAATCGAGAACTTTGATTAAGTTTAGCATAACATTCCTGTACGTCTTCGCATGCCAATTGTCTGTACGTCCGCCACGAGCGTATAGAGATCTGAACTTCTGCACCACTTGCCAATTTTTGACATCGTGAGGCAGTACATAGAGCCTCACCACTGAAACCTCGCTTTCAAGTGGCTTATACGTCAGCCTCACATGGCCCCGAGAGTGCAAATAGCGCAAGTCGTGCATAATACTGCTCAATCCTTTACCGGGCTCAAATTCCAGATCGCCTTGATACGGCAGCTCGAGCCAGCTCCAGCCATCAGGGGCCTCTAAACCTTTGGAAGGCAGTGGAGGTCGTCCATAGAGATAAAGAACACCAAGCGGAATGAACAGAGCCAAATTGTTTGTGATTGTTGTCAGCTCACTCAACAGATGCACATGGCTCATTGATGAAGGATCCAAAATTGATTTAGACTGATACACTCGACACAAGCCACAAGGCGGCGGTGCTAACAATAGGTCGCTGAAAATTGAAAAATAATTTGTGTGCCGGTGCTTCTCTCAAACATGGCGAGTCGACTGTTCAACCCGCCAAAACTGGCAAAGCTCAAGGAGCTGACGAAATTACAATGCAACATATTCAGAACCACATACAATCCTGAGCGTCTGAGAACGGAAGCACAGGTTTTGAGAAAACCACTTAAAGGTCAAATAATATCGAATTACTACGGACCTGCCGATTTCCCAACCGTGTTCCAGATATTCAAACTTTGGCGCGTGGATGACTTTAGACTCGTGAACGAAGACGAAGATTACAGACAGAGAAGGGTGACAATGTTGAGGAAGAGAGGAAAAGGTGCTCCAAAGAAGCTGAAGGCTCCAGTTGAAGCCCCAACGAAGAAACGGAAATAAATCTGTATATAATGCCAACCGATTAAGCTACCTATTATTATACATTAGAACAGTCTCTTATAGTCAAAGCTGTTTATGAAGTTCCCAAATGCAATGTTTTTAAGTACTCCAACCAGCGATACGCGGTTCCATTGATTAATGACATCTTTTATGTTAGCTTTGAACCCTTCGTGCTGGAACTCCTGGAGGTTGTTGAGGTTGAACACCATCATTGATTTGATATGGCTATTGATGATTTCCTTCAAACTCAGGGGTCTTGCCATTAGCATAAAGTAGTGAGTGCCGTTATGTGCAGTCCTGCACTCGAAAATAACACCCCCGGGCAATCTCTCTTTATGTTTCGCTTTGAGAAGAAGGACCACTATTGGCAGATGGTTAAACGTGACCAGAAGATTTTCCAGAGCCGTGTGAAGGACGAGAGTGAGAAGCCGGCCAACGGCAAAGCTCAGATAAAATGCAATCACTGTAGGCAATAGATAGACCAACAGGGTGAATATGATGATACCGAAAAGCAACTGGTCAAACTCATAGTTATGAGAGTCTATTCTGTTCCTCAATATATTGTACTTTTTGCCGTAAAATAGTCTGAACAGGGACTGTAGGATGTGAGATTGCCAATTGAATACACGAGTTGATGCAAAATAGAAACATCGCAAGTGCATACACAATAGGTCCAGAATGTCCATGATGGATGCAATGAGCATATTCAATCCGCCAAATTTGACAAGCAATGTAATAGCTCTGATGATAGTAGACGAGTTGATAACCATTGTTCGGAGTACGTATTCATTCCAGAAGTCTAGCACCCACATGAAGAGCTCTCCAAAAAATTCAGCAAGTTCGTTGTTGAGCTTGAAGCCACCGGGAGAATTCATGAGCCACTTGATGAGGTATAATAGCGAGTCTTCAAACTTCGAGATTAGTAAATTCGTTCCCTGTACTAGCATGCTATGATGTTTGGACAAGAAATTTGACATCACAATACCCATCAGTAAATCATTAAGTATTAACCAAAGTGAGTTATAGAATTTGATGTACTCACTAGGAGAAAATCTAGTTCCTTTTATTAGCAATTTCTCAGTTTCATAATTGGAGTTTCGCAGTCTTTGGAACTGCATAGGAAGGTGGTGAAACTGCTTAGCTCTGAAATTCAGCTGATGAAGTACAAAGCTGCAAGTCGATAGGGTGACATATGTCTTAGTTTCCGGATTGAACCACAGTGGATAGCTCAAAACGTTGATTATTTTTCTGCAAATAGGTTGAAAGGTTGCACAATACAAAGCGAGAACAACGGATCCGATCCAGTTGATGAAATGGCCGATGGTGTCTTTGTAAAAGGAACCTTTATTTCTGTGGGAATGCAAAAGCTTGTATCTTGTATACTCTGTGAGATTAATGAATTTCATGACATCTTCGAGGTCTCTGGTTTTCGATGGCCTACCGAAATGCAAGGCCAGCTTGTTAGGTGATGTTTGAGAACAAGGGAGCGCATCCTGCGACGTCACAGTCCAGAAAATGTCCACGGAAATGGGGTTGATGGAGTAATACTCCAATTTCTTGGATAGGGGAGGTTTGAAGAGGATGAGGTTTTCATGTGGTTCCATGACAGGTTTGTTTGTGCAATCATCAAACCTAAAATTTCTATAGTTCAAATGATGGAAGTTGACTGTGCCTATAATTTCTAGACAGAGGTTGTTCCTCTCGATTTGCAAGTTGAGCTTTTTGAAGTTGCAATACTGGATATAGTCAATCACCACTATTTGGCTGTTAAGCTTGTATCCAACTACAACCAGGTTGTGGTCAGACACAGGATTCAGCAAATCTGTGGGCCAAAAAATGGAGACAACGGACTTCTGCATGGGCTAGTGCTGTTCTTTAGGCAACAAGACAGGAATAGTCACGAAGTTAACGACGACCTGATACAAGAGAAGGAAACCCAGCGTCAACAAGAACAGCACTACCAGGAATTTGATAAGGACGCTTTCGAGAACCAATTTGAGGCTATCAGAGTAAGAACATAAACAAATTGTTATTACAAAAATAAACTAGTGGCTTTTTACTATGCAACGTCGGTTGATCGACGCAAGTTTACCAATGTATGTATTACTTGACTTAACTTTTTGCTAACAGATAGAGACATAGTATCTTAATTACCACGATTCAGAGTTCTCGGTCTGCTCAGCTCCCTCGGCAGCCCAGTCAGCAGCAGAGGAGGATTGAGCCCAGTCAGCGTTGGTTGGCTCAGCAGTCCACTCAGCCTCTCCGGTCTCTGCAGCAGCCTCGGCAAGCTCGTCAGCAAGCTCATCAGCGGCAGAAGGTTCATATGTTGGTTCTTCAGGGTCTCTGTAAAAGTACAAGTCTGGCATAACAGCCCATGGCTCTTCTCTATTGATGAGGGTACCTCTGAGTCTCAAGACCTCTCTGGCGAGCAACCACCAGATCAGACCGGTGGAGTGCTTACCCTTATTGTTACATGGGATAGCAACATCGATGTACTCTGCTGGTGAATCACAGTCAACCAAAGCGATGACTGGGATGTTGACGTAGGAGGACTCCTTGATGGCCTGAGCATCGGTTCTTGGGTCTGTCACAATGATTAGTCTTGGCTCTTTGAACGATCTGGTGATGTAGTTGGTGAAGGAACCTGGGGTGAATCTACCAGCAATGGCAGTGGCACCGGTGTGGGAAGCAAACTTGAGGACAGCTCTTTGACCATAGATTCTGGAAGAAACGGCAACAACATCAGCTGGGTTTGGAATAGCAGCGATGATTCTTGCAGCGAGAACAATCTTCTCCCAGGTCTTGTTAACGTTGATGATGTTAACACCATCTGGTCTGGTCTTGTAGATGTATGACGTGTTGTGAACGTTGGTGTTCTTGGAACCCAAGTGGGCGTTGGCAGCAATCAGCAATTGCAGATCCTCCTGAGTAAGAGAAAAGTCAGCCATCTTGAACAGGTATAGGTTAAACTAGCTGTGGATACAGGTCTGGTTTTTAAAAATTTTTTCAAAATGAAAAATTCACCGCTAGGGCAGCTCCCGCTCTCGCACGGGGGACTCGCCGCCTGGTCACCGCGCGGGTGCCACGGGGGAAAAAAAAACATTTGCAGGGCCTATCTACTTGGTGCGAGGGGGCCTTGTTGATAAATTTCTGCCATTTCAACACCGGTGAATTAAATCCGCGGTCTAAGGAGTGGGCAAAGACCTCACAGACTGCACGTGACATTAGATAGCCATACGTAATTTCGAGAAAACTGCTTAGCCCCTATAACAGGCGGTGCACGGATGTAGAGATTACTAAAGATCGATTAGATAAATCACCTTTGTTCGGATCAACTTGCAAGCAATTAGATATTATATTTATATTGTTCTGAGATTCTCATCAAAACTTGCATAAATGCCCTGGGATTGGATACCTAGGCTCCTCCCTGAAGATCAGGCAGGAAAAAATAAAGCACTGAGACTGAAGATTACAGTCAAGTATGGCTATATCACTTTTGCTTGTACTATGATCCTTATTCTGCTGATTCCTTATTGGAACCGAGTCGCAAAGCCAATCACATGGAGATTATACAGAAAGATTGTTCGCCGAATCAAGATTCTCCGCTTCAGAAACAACTACTTCACGCTCCATCTGGAAGTAATAAAAACCATTCTGTTTTGGACAATTGTCCTTGGCGTTCTATCAGCACTTGAACTACACTCCGACATCCAGTTTTTGGCTGCTAGATTAGGACGAGTAGCGACATACTGTTTGCCAACAGTCCTGTTTTTGACTCTCCGTCCATCGCCTCTACCGGATACGTTATACCTCTCCTTGCTGCCAATACATAAATGGCTCTCTCGCATTGTGATTCTCCAAAGCATAGCACACACGATAATGTACATTTGGATTTTTTGGGAACGCAACACCATGGCAAAGATTTGGAAACGTGACAATCTGTATGGCATCTACGCACTTATATGTTTCATACTGATTTTGGTGACCTCGTTGCCAAAAGTGAGACGAAAGTTCTACAACGTGTTTTTTGCATTCCATTACATATGCACTTGGGCAGCGGTACTGCTGCTTTACGTTCACGTCAGACCACCTATTCCTTACCTTACGGCACTCAATGTTGCAATCCTGGTATACCAGATCTACTTCAAATTCAAAATTTCCAGAGTTTCCACGATTGAGGTGACCCAGCTTTCTGCAAACCTGCTGCTTGTGACCTTCCCTGGATCAGCACTGGCAGTGAAGTCAACCATACCGGGTTGCCATTTAAGAATGAACGAGTTTGACAGCTCTAATTACTTGAAGCAAATCTGGCGACATTCTTTTATGCCGGTTCAGCATCCTTTCACAATTGCAACTCTTCCGTTCGACGAAAGCCAGAAGATGATTGTCCGAAAAGGGCATTTTGATTTGTCATCCGAAAAGAAGTACCTAATCACAGGGGCGTATTTACCACATTTGAGCTTCTTGAAGCCTATGAAGAACGCCAATCCACGTTCGCTACTTTTCCATACTAAAGTCAAAAAATGTTTAATAGTTGTTGGAGGCTCTGCAATCAGTTTTGCTCTCCCTATTTTGAGAACACTAAGCTATAATGGGGCGACAGTTAAAATAATTTGGGTTCTCAGGGATCACGAGGACCTCAAAATCTTAGACTATTTCCAGAATATTTTAGTCAATGACGACTGCATCGACATTTTCATCACTGGCTCCTACAGTCAGCAGGAGATTTACAGTTTCAAAAGAGCAATAAGGGAGCTTCATCGTATCAACAGGCAGACCGAGCTCTCAAACCAGGAACAAGTGCTCAATGGACATTACTCTCCGCAATTCCATGAAAAGTCACCTCTCATGCAGTCCAAGGTAAGTTACCAGGCAATGGCAAACGAATTTGACCCTGCTATTGCTCATGAAAGTTTAGCTCAGAAAAACAGGGCTGGATACATTCCTCTTCGCCATCATGCTGAGCTGCTCAATTCTGGATACTCTGCTGAGGATGAGGACAAGTTTGAAAATGTTGATTTGGATCTGGACGGTAAGTGCAGGAACCCCGAACCGGACGTCCCGAGAAGCTCCTCGCTGTATTCAGGAATCATCGACACCCCTGCGGAATCTGTCCAACAACGCGACTCCTCCAGCTTGCCATATTCATCTTCTTCTGGTATCTATGACGATTTGGCAGATTACTGGATTCTGAAAGGCCTAGCTTGTCGGATTGAATTTGGACGGCCAAGATTGGGCATCCATTATTACAATTGGTGCACTGGCTCTTCGTGTATTGGGCCTTTGATAGACATACACAACGGGCAGTCGGTGTGTTGCAATGAAATCACAATTGAAAATAGAAGTCAGAAACTACACTATCAAAAGAGCGATGGTCATATGTTGGGCTCGGATGCACATGACGAGCTTTTCCTTAATGAGCAATTCATGAAAAACAGGCAACAGCGATTCCAAGAAAGAGGAGGAGAATTGGACGAGTCTACATGGGTTGTTGGCGCGGGTCCTATTGGTCTTGTGAACAAAGTGCAACTCTGGGCTAATGATTGCGGATTCAATTTCCATGCAGAGAGCTTCAGTATCTAGCCCCGCAAGAATTCCTTTTTGGGGAAAAACGGTTTTTGTTGCACCGCCGTCTCTTAATGCGCTCGCTAAAATAAAATTCAATTATCTTAACGCTAGGAGACATAATTACTTATCAGTAACATATTTCTATAGATAAGTCACCACACTTTGCTATTCACTGCTTTCTTATTTGCTTTGTTTCTCTTCTACTGTCATTATCTCAAAGACCGCCAGATTATGAGCCTAAAACAGACGAGCAAGTATGGGTCTCAAAAATCTTTCAGGAACCACAACTATACATCCAGAAATGACCTGAACTACGACAACATCACCGACAGGTTCATCTCAACCTTGGAAGATAATGGAAATCAAGGGTATTATCGAAGCTTCATTACCAAATCTTCGGGGTTCCACAATAAGCAAAATGAGATCAGGAGTCCAATAACAGGCGAAAATGGGTTTTTCGACAATCCCTTTCTGATTCGTGATGATAACTTTCTTCTGAGATCCAATCAGGAGTCGTCCACGAGACGAACTGGTAACCTGACAGAAGATGATATTGCGAGACGATTTGACGACCTTTCTGTCAACGACGGATCAGAATCAGAGCCATTTCATAAAGAGGACACCAGTATCCACAAAGTTAGCGTTGCAAAAGCTTTGGGGTTTCGTATCAAATCGCGTATCTTGAATTTTAGACCGTCAAGAGTGTCCAATCTGCGAAAGAAACCTATTGGCGACATGATTGAGAATAAACAGCCTTCCCAATCGGATATAAGCGGTAGCACAATTGCAAGTCCTCCTAGCTTGAGCAACACATCAAAAGAAAAAATTAAGACAGAGGTCAAATTCAAGGTATTGGATGCTCCAGGGCTGAGAAACGATTTTTATGCCAATGTAGTTTCTTGGGGCAGAAAGAGTGATCGGATTGCTGTAGGACTGGGGACTGTGGTTTACACCTGGAGCAACAAAACTGGCACAACACCACTGCAGACGATAGAGGAGGTGATTTCATGCGTTTCATATAGTTACAACGATATCTTGGCTGTTGGAACAAAAACGGGCCGAGTTATCATATACTCTGAAAATGCAAGAACCATCAACACAACATCAATCCTTAGGCCCAGCACAGGGATTTGCTGTATCTGTTGGATCAAAGGCACAAACTCATTTTTTGCAGGAGATGATCTAGGAGAAGTCACACTATACGAGTTGATTGAGATAGAAAATGGGCCGAATTCACCTCAATATCGACTCACAGTGGGGTGCTCTTTCAAATGCAATGAACAGCAAATCTGTGGTATTGACATAAGTCCGGACCGACAACAAGTGACCGTTGGAGGAAATGACAATTGCTGTACTATCTGGGATATTAGAGATCTGCACAAGCCCGTCCTAAAATCTTGCCTTCCTCATCAAGCAGCCGTCAAAGCCATCGCGTATTGTCCATGGATGCCACATCTACTAGCCACTGGAGGAGGATCTAAAGATCGGAACATCCGATTCTGGCACACAAACACAGGGACTCTTCTCGACAAAATTCAGACCAAGGGACAAGTTACGTCTTTAATCTGGTCTAAGTCGAGGAAGGAAATACTCGCAACCTTTGGATTTGGTGACAACACAGAAAAGCCTATTTTGATATCTGTTTATTCGTATCCATCAATGAAGTTGCAAGTCAAGCTGGCATCGACATCAAACATTAGGGTATTGAGTGCAGTTTCTTCCCACGACTCAAAATCAATTTGCACCGCAATTAGCGACCAATCTGTCCGGATCTATTCCATTTGGAACTCTAAATATGACTTGACCAATGGTGAATACGATAGCGGACTTTTTGGCAGCGAGCTCATCGAGCTCGAAGAAGGGGTTGATAGCAGCTTCGAGATTATAAGATGAACGGTGGATCATCATTAGCTGCTGCAACATTTCGATTGTATAATTAGGTAGCCAAAACACAATCAACATTCAAAACTCATGAAGGGACCCCTTCAAATTCGTTCTGTAATTTCTGTTTGAGCAGTCGTCGCCAATGGCTTCTATTGCGATGCACTGGTAGTCTGTCCATATGAACAAGAAGAAGAAGCAATAAAAGAACAAGAGCAATTACAGATGCAAGACTTATCATCTCTTTGAAGATGGTCTTGGAGACAAGAGGTTGGTATGGGCAAACAGCATTTGGTCCCCCATTGACCCAGCAATTCGAGCTCGAGAGCGAGTTCATGTCAATCCAAGCTGATTTCTTGCCCGATAAACGGTTGATTAGGGTGCGCTGTTCCAATGGTGAAGAAGGCACGGTAAAAATATAGTTTCCATCAAGTTGTAAGCATGCTGCACCAGCTTCAAAATACGTGTATTCGTCGGATGTCAGCTCGATTTTTGTAGAATCCAAGCTGTCTGCGCATGCCACCTGGAATTTCGAGTGGCAAGACGCGGCCTTCCATCCTGTGAGAGTAGCTATGCCACATCTATTCAAATAATCATCGTTCTTCGCTTCCGAGGAATCGTTTTTTGTCTTTGACGACGTTGATATTGTGAGATTTGGTTGAAATGCGTCCCAAGACCACAAGCTGTACGGTAGCAAATCTGAGATTTGAGACAAGTTTTGGTTACTCTGACTGATAATTGGTGAATAACCACAGACAAGGGTATCGTGGAATGAGGTGTTATCATAGGGGTTCGCTGAGGTGTCGAACGCGAATTGGAACGATTTTGGTGCGGAACACGTTAAATTGTCATTCGCCCTATATGTTATGGGAATACTCGTGTTTGCTTCGTAAAGTATATCAAGATCCGGGACCAGATTGTAAGAGGTGTTGGTATAGAGATTATTGGACAATATTACTGGTATGACTCTGTAACTGTTTCCAAAGAGGAAATTATTGAGGTTAATAGTGTCTAGGTCTTCCAAACGATCTGGTATGCTGGCATATAGGAGCCCTGCTAGTGGGGACGACAGTACGCTAATTCCCGTGCGAAATTTAGACCCCTTATTGAAAGTAGAAAAGAGGTTCAACAGTAAGAAAAGTATGTTCTTGTTGACTCCAGTATCCGTCTTCGCCAAAGCACTATTTATGGATGTCACCACGGTCGAAATATTGAAAGTGTTTGGGTCTTGGCAACCCAAACTTGTTTTATTGGAGCTCAGATCGCATAATCCCCAATCCTTGAGATCTTCGTTGTAATAAAGATTCAGAACTAGAGCCTGTACCCCAGTGTATAATATATCCCGAACAACAGGAAGCGATGAAGAGTTATATCCAAATTGATCGAAGACAACACTGTTAAGATCGATGCCGTAAACAGCAGTGTCTATAATACTGTTATTTCTCATCACATCCCTTTGCGTTCTCATAGCAATCGCCCGCACAGCCGCAGTTTCGTTGGATTGCAGCTCAGGGTACCCAAGAGCGCTTAGGATAAAGAGGGACAGGATTATCAACATTGTGTCATTACGTCAATTTTTGTAATTTTCAAAGCTTAAAAAAAAATATCGACTCTATTTAAATGGACACTGTACCTGACGTTGCTCTTGCAGCAATCGGTGTCTCTACCTTCAAACCGTACTTTGACCAGGCTAACGAATTGGTCAACTATACTTTCATCGATGAAATCTTTCACGTGAACCAAGTAAAGGAGTATTGGAATGGAAATTTTGATTCATGGGATTCAAAGATCACCACGCCCCCGGGTTTGTATTATCTTGCATATTGGTGGCTCAAACTCACGGGATTAGAGTTTTCCATTGCTAATTTGAGATTGCTCAACTTATTCGGCGGGGTACTCCTTATCATCACCACGTTGGTCGTCAAGAAACGTTACAACCCTGGTCTTTCGGCTCTTTCTCTGTTTTCCTCGCCATTGCTGACAATTTATTATACCCTATTTTACACCGACATTTGGTCCACGATCCTCATTGTCCAATCATTTGTCGCCGCAGTCTCTGTGAGACCCACCTTGACGTCAGCCACATTGTCTTGTCTGTTGGGCTCTATCAGTCTCCTGTTCCGGCAAACTAACATCGTCTGGCTAGCCTTCGCACTAGCCGTTATCGTGGACAAGTTAGCAAAGAATAACTATCGCGATATTGCGCAATACGATGTTGCTGTTTTTCTCCGCAAGGCATTTGCTAGTTGGAAGATAGTCATTCCTTACGCAATGGTTCTTATCGCATTCATAAATTTTGTTATCAGTAACGGGGGAATAACTATGGGGGATAAGGATAATCATATTATTGTTCCTCATTTGGCTCAGGTGTTTTACTGCTTTACATTCATTACCAGCTTTTCGGCTCCATTGTGGCTCAGTCCGGCATTTATTAGAGGTTACTTTGATACACTGCTCACCAGAAAGTATTTGGTACTCAATAGTTTCTGGATTTTCATAATGTTCTACATTGTGCAAAACTTCACTTTCTTGCATCCGTTCATTCTCGCCGATAACAGACACTATACATTCTATATCATGAGAAGGGTTATTTTCAAAACTTGGTACTCCAGATTCTTGCTACTCCCAGTTTACCACTATTCTGCCTATACCGTGTACAAGCTTTTCACCAGAAACAATTCGAAGGTACTGTTCATCGCATTCGTGACATGTGTCGCTCTCACTGTCGCCCCATCTCCATTGTTCGAACCGCGGTATTTTATTTTACCACTGGTGTACTGGCGACTCCAAGTGCGGCCAGTGGCAGACCACTCTCAATTACGATTGGGGCTCGAATGTCTATGGAATTACTGGTGGTCAAGGGCTCTATTCCAGGTCTATTTCAGTTACGTATTCGAGTGGGACGATTTACCAGATCCACAACGAATCATTTGGTGAAAACTGTCTGTTCATAGGATTTCAACACTTCAAGAAATTTTGAATGTGCAATTCTGTAGTCTTCCAGCTCGTTGTAAACTTGGCAGCTGTACCTCACAAACAGGGATGATTCAGTATATGCTACTGGCACAAAGCTATCTTTCGCGAACATTCCGTGGGCAGTATATGCTTTGAACTCAAGAAAGTGGTCTTTAATATGTTGCAACAACTCGTTGGACACATCCACCTTCACATTTACCATTGCTGTAGTCAGGCTTTCTGTCGAGTTTTCGAATTTATCCTGGCCACCCAGTGTGTTGAGCACCTGCCTTGCCAAGCCGAAACAATAGTCCTGAATGTTTTTCTCTCCACCACATACCTCTTGCCTGAATTTGAGTGCTTCCTCGAGGCAGAAGAAAGACGTATAGTTATTGCTTGCAGTAAACAGGAATCTCTGGTAAAACTTGGAGTTTTTATAGGTGTGACTAATAGGCAAAGGCTGAATGGAGTCTTGATGTTTAGGGTCGACATACAAGAAAGCTGCTCCTCGAGGCAAAAACAGCCATTTGTGAAGATTCGATGTATAGAAATCAGGCTTCACGGCATCCAGATCCAGATCGATCAGGCCAACTGAGTGCGCACCGTCAACGATGCTCATTGCCTCATATTTCCTAGAGAGCTGCACCAATTTTTCATAGGGGACTCTAACTCCCGGCATCGAGGTAACTGCATCAAAAAAGCAATACTTATATTCACCGCTTTTGAGCTCGTCCTCATATAGTCTAATAACCTCGTCATCTTCAAGAGGGTACTCAAGATTCAAAACTGTCACACTGAACCCAATCCGCTTCGACAAATAGTCGATGTTGTTCGCACATGCCCCATATATCGTTGACGGGATGAGGAACTTGTCTTCTTTTTTGAGGTCGAGAGACCTAAGAACAACAGTAATGCCTGAGGTGGCATTGGGAACCAGCGCGAGGTTCTCAAAACTTGTGTTCACCAATTCACTCAAGATTTTCAGAGATCTTTTCATCAAGTCCTGCTGCTCTTTGATGGTGAATTCATCCGGGAATGATAGGTCCTTGAGCATCATTTCCTGATATTTAGACCAGACAGCTTTTGGAACAGAGCCGTAGGACCCATGATTCACAAAAAGTTTGTCTTTATCAAGAACGAAGTGGGATCTAATTTGGTGCCCCAACATAAGAAAGTTTCTCTAAAATCTAATTTTCCGTTTGAACTTAGCGTACTTTAATATTAGATTTGGTCTCTTATCTATGACTCACTAGATAAGCCAAGAGACTATGACTATTTGAGTCAAGGCCAGTTCTGCCAAACAGAGGAGCATATGTCTAACGAGATTCAGGTTGGTGTTGATATTCCAGTGCAGTTGAGCCCGTTGAAGTTAGCGCCTGAGGTACACTTGAAGTCCAGGCTTCGCGATTAAAAAATGAGCTGTGTTTTTTTTGTCATCGTCGTTGTTCCTGTATAGATGTGCATTTTACTGACGTCGTCTTTGCACCCTGAGTATCCATTCATTTTACTCTCTAATAGAGACGAGTATTTCAGCCGCAAAACAGAATTGGCCTCATTCAAAGATGAGTCACATACGCAGTTACGACCTATAGACCTTGCTCGAGAGGAGCATGGGACTTGGATAGGGGTGAACAAGGCTGGCAAAGTCGCTGTGCTGGTGAATTTCCGAGAACCGAACACGGGAGACCCCGTTGGACAAATCTCAAGGGGTCTTATACCAGTGATGTTTCTTGAATCAAAGCAACCTTCTGACACATGGGAAAAAGAGGTCGGGGAACAAACTCAAAATTTTCAATATGTCGGAGGATTCTCTCTGCTATATGGAGAGCTGAAAAGATCGAGCAATTCTGAGGGTATTGAACCTCTACACATAATTTCAAATAGATCAAGCAAGAAAAGCACTGTTCTCAATGGACGAGCCACCGTGGGACTGTCAAACTCTGAATTCGAGAAACCATGGCCCAAAGTACACATTGGTATAAGTGTTCTTGAGAAAACTATCAGGTCCTCAGTCACAGAGAACTGGTCAGAAGAGTTGCTAGTTCAAAATTTGTTTACAGTGCTTTCTACCCCAACCCCTGATTCAAGCCAATGGCAAGGTCTAACGTTTTCCGAAGCATTCAGTATGTTCCCAGAAAGTGTATTCATTCCGCCGGTGAAGTCTGACACGGGCTCCGATTACTATGGCACTAGAACGCAGACCATCATGCTACTGAGAAAGGATGGTTACATGAAGTTCATTGAACGCAATCTCCATTCATGTCCAGATTTGTTTGAGATACCGCAAATCAGTGAATACGGCTTTCAATTGGACGGCTGGAAATCTTAAATGGCCCCGGTTTGCCGTTGTATTTGTTATCTGCAGGTTTACCCATGTTGGTATATCTCGTGTAAAAATTAAAAACCTCGGAGAATTCCGAAACTGCTGAGCGATTTGTTTAAATACGTAAATCAATCGTCGTCTTCAACTATTCATCTCCATGGTTCGTGTCCTAAACGAGTCAACATTCCAAAGCGAAGTCGTTCAGAGATATACTGACGTCATTGGCGAGAAGCTTGGAGGGAAAGTGCTCGCATGTTCTGACGAGTGGTTCGCAGCCGCAGAGAATCTTATTAAACCTAAAGCACCTATCAGAGATGCTACTAAATTCACATATGCCGGTGCCTGGTATGATGGCTGGGAAACTAGAAGACACAATCCAGAGGAAGCTGACTGGGTGATTATCAGAATGGGCGTTTCGTCTGCAACTCTGATAGGCTGCGAGATCGATACTGCATTTTTCAATGGCAATCATGCTCCTTTTATTTCTGTCGAAGCCGCAACTCTGACTGACGACTCAAAGTTGGACGGTATTCAATGGGACGAAGTCATTGAGAAATCGGAGTGTGGCCCTTCTCAAAGACATTTTTTCACACGCGAGGAGATCACGCCTAAAAAGTACACACATGTGAGATTGAAGATGTATCCTGATGGAGGAATCGCCAGATTCCGACTTTACGGAACAGTCTATCCTGTAATCCCACAAGATATCAGCAGCATACTTGATACAGCTAGTGCGATTAACGGAGGTGTGTGTGTTGCATTTTCAGATCAGCACTTCGGTTCTGCTGATAATCTGCTACTTCCAGGTCGTGGTCATGATATGTCGGACGGTTGGGAGACCAAGAGATCGCGGACTGTCGGTCATACCGATTGGGCCATTGTTAAACTGGGGTTCAAGACGAACGTCACTAAAATCGTCGTTGACACAGCTCATTACAGGGGTAATTTTCCCCAATTCATTACAGTTGAAGGCATCAATACAGAGGATTACTCTCCTGCTGTAAACGACCCAAAATGGGTATATCTTGTCGACAAGACGAAGACTGGGCCAGACAAAATACACGAATATGAATCTATTTCAAACCAGCCAATCACGCACGTGAAGCTAACCATGATTCCCGACGGTGGAGTCAAGAGACTCAGAGTTCTTGGTACACTAAATATATAACGTTAAAATAATCAAGGCAGTGTTAAAATTTTAGCTTGTAAATCAATGGAGAGAATAGCACGACAATTACGTCAACGGGTGCCCGTTACAAAGATTGAGCTTGTGCAAAACGTAGATCAAGATCTAGTTCTAAAAGTCCTAAAGGAGATCGAGTTTGAGAATGCATACTATTGCAAGGGGTTCCTAGAGAAACTTGTTCTATTCCTCGAAGGGAAGGGTGAAGACATCAACGACGACATGTATGAAAAGTTGAGCGATCTTCTACAGGCGGTTCCATTAAATCCAACCGAAACTGAAGTGATATCCTATTGTGTATCGTGTAAACCAGGGAATAGAAATTTGGTCATAAAAGTTCGAGAAACACCGAATTTGATATCAGGTTTGGGGACTACAGGGTTGCGCACATGGGAAGCGTCTCTTTACCTGACGCAGTACCTGTTAAATACTGACTACTGTGATCTGAAAGATACGACAATCTTGGAACTTGGCTGTGGAACAGGGTTGGTGAGCATGGCCCTCTATAAATATCATCCAACGGTGAAGAAAATATGCATAACAGACGGCGACTCCCAGTTGATAGAAAACCTACCAAATAACTTGCAACTGAATGATATACCAATCGAGTCGCCCAGAATTTCGATCTCTAAGTTATGGTGGGGCGAAGATGAGCTTCCTGATCCAAACATTGATACCATCGTAGCTGCAGATGTCACGTATGACAGCAGCATTCTAGAAGATCTTGTCGGCGTCATATATGAATCAATGACTCAGAACAATCATGGCTCCACGCTAGTGCGAAATGCATACATTGCAGCCACCGTCAGAAACGAGACCACTTTAAAGGAATGGGAGAAACTCCTCGATCTCGGAGTTCAGGACACAATATGGAAATGGACAATTATGGAGCCTATGAGATTTGATGGAATTTGGTATCCTGAAAGTACTCCTGAGATTCGCATCTATCGAATAATTAAGGTGTAATTTGGGAGACTCCTTGCACCCACTAAATATTTTATTGAGAAAAACATAAACAAAAACATTTTTATACTGTCCTTCGAAAGCGGGCTAGAGCAGGGTCAATCATATAACGAGTTGCAACTCTATAATTCGGTAGGATACAATAAGGAAATTCTGCTGCATACTTCAATTTACTGTGATAGATGCTTGTATGATAAAGAATGGAGTCATCAGACTACGAGAATATATCCATGAGCATTTACAGCCAAATGGAAGACGGCGCTTCACAGGAGAATAAATCACCGCTAAAGGATCTCGGAAATATACTAGATAATTCTCATGCTGAAGGATCGAAGTATGGGAATACGATAAATGCAAATGATTATAAAAGACTTGAACGTTTATATGGGGATTCTGTCATACGCATCAATGATCTGATTCGTCATTTGGAACGAGCGGAAAGCGAACTAATGGACAAGGAAAAGCAACTAGATCTGCATTTGCGCAAACTCCACGAGCTTTCCATGGAGAACAAAACGATTACCAACGAACTTAAACAGGAGCGAGAAATACATGATAAAGAATATCAAAATTGGACAGAAACACGAGAGAAGCTGGAGAAAAAAATAGACCATCTAAGTCAGACATTGCATAATCTTCTACAAAATAACAAGTCACTTGAGCAGATACAGACAGATAGCATATCTCTCCATGTCGATGACCTGTCACGTTGTAAACATGAAGTGGATAGGCTCACCAAAAAGATCATAATCCTGGAAAAAGAAAACCAGTTAGAAGCGCATTCGAAGGTTTTGATTATCGAGGAGCTTGAAATGCTCAAAGTGAGGTTCCATGAGCTTGAAGAAAGATACGAAAAGCTTAAGGATGAATATGCCGAATTGTTGGCTGAATTAAGCATGGATTCTACATCCGATATCCGATCGAACGAGGCCTCAGATGTAATCACAGAAGATCTTAAAGTCACATTAGCTGACGAACTTCATGACTTGGGCATGAAGCCACTCGTTGGCTCAAGGAAGAGTAGCCAACGGCAAACAAGTTTTAACATCCTTCTCAATAATATCGAACGAGACAGCATAGAGAGGAAGCATTCACAAGAGCTTACGAAAATGAGCTTTCAGATAAAATCCCTGGAACTGCAAAATGAAAAGCTACACTCATACATCGGTTTCTTGCTTCAGCACATACCTCGAGAAGAAGTTGATGGTGTTGCGATTTACAAAGATCAGTTGGACTATGAGTACTCGGATGAGATCAATATTATGAACGCGAAAAGGACTTTGAGGAAAGTGATCAGAAGCGCTTCTGCCTTACCTATTAGGCCACAGACCTATAATACAACCTCTCTTGATTTTGACAATTTTGAAGGGCCCTTTGGTCGTCGGAACTCGCTCTCTGAAATGCTCGAACGCAAAAACAGGCTCTCATACAACACAAACACGTCGCTGAGCGATCAAGACAACATTTTTGATTCATCACATCAGGCAGAAGATGTCGAATATGTGGAGCTTGGAGATTCAGATTTCACGATATCTGAGGAAGACTTTGAGGAAGAAGGTTTGGACAACAACGAATCATTAAACGTGTCTTTCACGGTGGACCTTACACCCTCGTTGAACATCAAAAAAAGAAAAAAATCCAAGCTCTTCAAACGGACTCCCAGAAAACAAATTGAGAAATTGACAATCTTTGGATCTCCATCGTCAGGCGACTCTTCTTCGACTCTCCTTGGGCGCCAATCAATAAAAAGTTTGCGCAATTACGCATCTAGCTTAGAGTTGATTGGTGAGGACGAGAAGGAGGATGAACATAAAGAAACTTACAATAATTTCTGGTACGACAATGCGAGATGCGAGGATGATGAATTCGCCAAAATTGAGGTGACCGCGGAAGAGCTGAACATGTTTCGTATTCAGTTCAGAAAGTTTATATGCCCAAAACACTTCATCATTCAATGCTGTTGTGACGAAAACAGCCTGTCTAGACCGGAAGTGATCCGCCGCTTGTTCTGTTCGCTGGGTTGGCCGACTACAAAACAGAATTTGCCTGAAACTGAGGTATTCGGGATCGATTAAGCATTAGATAGACATGATAAATGCAATATTTAAAGTTACAACAAAAAAAATACCGACAATAAGATTCCGGCAAATAAATGCATCCGAATAAAAAGCCAAGGGCACTAAAAATGAATCGAACCACTTTTTATAAACTGGTCTTATATATTGCTACTGATTATCTATGTAAATTGGGGAGCTTGTAAAATAAGTAGACTCATATTCAATCTCTTAAGCTTAGATACATGGCTCTACATAATTATATTTACTTCAAGCATCAAGATGACAATGCGGATAAAATAGCACGGCCCCATGATCCTCGTCCCGGTTCTAACTTTATTATGCCCAAGAAATCTCTGGACGAGGAGAAAGTCAGGAGGAAAGTTGAAGTGAAACCACAAAGCCAAAATTAAGTTACTAGAAAAATCCTGTTGCTACGACTCGAATGATACATTAGTACGACAGGAATTGACTGAATATACTCTGCGACTACACGAAAACGAATGCCCGGTAACTTAGTTGCTGGAACCATAGCTGAAATTGACCACCAGCTCACCATTTGCCACAGGGAGGTTGAAGTCGCTTGGATTGCCCACAACCTCTTCAAGTCCCAACTGGGCTTCTCCGTACTCTGTTGATTTTCCAAAGGTGTGATGAGTCCTGACCTGAAATAAAAGTTTTGCATCTGGCGCAGCTTTGAATGGTACTGACTCTCTCCAAGAAATAAGTCCAGTAGAGTCCGCTTTTTGAGACTTGGTCTTGTAAAGCTCCCGGGTTTTTGATGAAGACACCAGCGACACTTTGACCTGCAATTGATCTCTGTCACTGGCACCACTCAGCCCCACAATAGTAACTCTGCCGGGAAGTGTGTTGCCTCCCAATGTCGTTGAAGTAAATGAAGTCATGTCCGAGTTTTGTCTTTGATGACTGGACTTGAATGGAGAAGAAGCTTGAGATCCTGTCTTTATGGATTGCACAGACTGTGTATCATTGATCTGGTTTGGGGAATGTTGTCCATCGCCGTTTCCGTTCAAATCCATTGAGGATTTCTTTTTCCCTCCAAACTTTCTTATTAGCCCTCCTCCCACGGAGCCAACACCTGCAACTCCGGCCCCAACAACTCCAACACCTGCACCCATGGCGCCCACACCAGCACCAACAGCGCCTGCTCCTGCACTACCAACAAAACCAGCCGCACTTCCAACAAGTTTCAATGGAACACCTGCAAGGCCAGCAAGCTCACCAGACTCCGAAAGCTCAGGTCTCATATACTTCGGCTCAAAGTATCCCTCAAAGAAAACGGATCCTTGGGTGTCAAGACGTACTTCAAATGGGACCTTTTCTTTTGGCCTGAGTTTAGTAAGGTCAATAGGAGCCGAACCAAGCAAATCATTATCTCCAGCAACGTCCCAATCATAAACAACGGCTTTCACTTCAGTCCTACTTCTAGACTTGACAGGAATGGTGACTTGCTCGTTGAAAACAGGGTTCAAAGTCTTCTTAACCTTTTCAGTTTTGTAAACTTGAACACCATTCACGGTTATGGTGACAAACGGATCAGATTTCCCGTTTCTGTCTGCTGCCATCAATCCGACAGCACGGACAATGTTCAAACTCAAAAGTCCAGTATCATCCATAGACTCAGAAACTCCTGGCGGTATTGCAGTAGGTATATACTCAAACTGGGCTTCAATGGAATTACCATCAATGTCAAGAGCGGTAGGCTCTTTGAAGCCCCTGTTGAGCAAGTCACTAACTCTAAATTCCTTTTGAGCAATAACCTCATTCTTCTTTCTGACATTCTCCTTCGTGGTTATACGAAGCAAGATGGTAGCATTAGGCAGATCTCTAATGAAAGCACTTCCTGCATCGGCTCCTATATGATGTCCTTGGGATTTCTTGGTGATATAATCAGGAAAGGCACGGTCGTCCAGCAGGAACTGAACATAACAGTCAGGCCTGAAAAGCTTTCCAGATGTAATGTTGATACCTAGTACACCAGAGTTGTGAGACACGAGCTGTTCAAAAGACAGCTCTTTCTTATGAACACCAACTTCTTCATCTTCGTTATCCGAATACCACTCGTACTGATTAGGATGCTTTTTGTAGTCTTCCATCATTTTTGCCTGCTCGTTCAATTCTTCCAATTCAGCTTCTCTGTCCACTTCCTTCGCTTTCTTTCTCTCCTTCAGTTCTTTTTGCGAGTACACTGGGATTGTTGGATAGAAGGAAATCGAGTAATAGACCGTACCCCTTTGCTCTTTCTCTTTGTACATTAGTGGCTTTGTAATCAGTTTCGAGGAGCCTTCGTAAGCAAGATAATTTCCATTCTCGTTCCTTTTGATGTATTTGTGCAGTGAGATTGAGGCAGAACCAACCAATCTGTCATCAGTCGACTTTTCAACATCCATACAGTCCAGTGTAATTTTCTGGTTTTCAGAAATCAAAGGGATGTACACAACCTCGTCAAACACGGGGTTGAGTTCATCCTTGACAACTGGAGTTTGTGCAGCAACTCTTCCACCACTGAGGACCCTAACGTAAGGATCAATGCTACCAATGGTCTCCAAGTTCTTAAGATTTTCACACTTTTTGATGTTGAGTCTGATGGTTCCTAATGGAGGAACGAAAGTAATTTCCTCACCCATACCCAAGGCAGCCAGTGGTTTCCAAACAGCCTTGAACCGCAAATATCCCTTCCCAGAAGTGAGAGGAATGGTATCCTTCCCTTCAAGAGTACAGAAGATAAGATCGTTCAAAGAAGAAGAAGTGTATTGTCCGATGACAGGTGTTCCGTATGATGAAGTGTCCTTGACTAGGATTTTGACTGGGGTAGTGGACTTAGAGTGGACAAGTTTTTCAAATAAGACCTTGAAATCCGGCTCGTTAGAACTCTTGACAACTCTGGATGTGGAGACAAGTTCGTCACCAAAGTAGATTTCGGTAAATGTGGATAACTTGCCAAGCATTGAGTTGGATGTATCAAGGTCTCTCGCGGACTGCAGAACAAACTTGAAAATACCAACCTCAGATTCTGGTGGAGCTTCTTTGGTTCCGTCATCCAAAGTCTTACCCTCCAGAACTGGGAACCACTTCAAGTCGTAAACAATCTTTCCAACCCGCTTATTTTGTTTAGTCAACTTGCTTTCAATCTTCTCTCGAACCTCCTTCTGCATAAGGTCAAGCAATTCAAATGATGATGTTCCAAGTTCCTGCACCTCGTCTTCGTCAAATGTCAAGAGCTTGAAATTGAGCTTTTGACTCAAATCGTTGACCAGAAGGTATTTCAATTCATTGAAAATTGGAGCATTGGTTTTTGCTTTGATATCGGTCACGTAAGGATCAACAGCGCTTTGATCGGTCGCAAATTCGACATATGGACTGATATTGGAGTCTTTAAAGTATTCCGCACCTCTGATGTTGACTGCAAGCACACCTCTAGCCTCAGGCAACATCCCTTCGAAGATTTCTTCAACATCAATGTCAAGAGAATTCGGAGCATACAACATTGGTCCCAGATTTGCATGAATCAGACTGTTAACGAAAGAAGACAACCCAGGAATCATAGACATGATGTCAATACCGAATGTGTTACCACCAACGGGCTTTAGAGCATAATCGATTGAAGGGGGCTCAAGGAACGAAACAGAAACAATCTTTATATGAGGCATGTTGTTGCTGAGCTTCATGGTAATCCTCATTCTTCCCTTGAACGACATATCCTCAACTAAGATTGGAAGGGAAGCTCCCACAAAACCTTTACCGACTCTGACTCCAAGGGCGACCTTTGGATCAATCTTTTTTCTGAGTTCATTCTTAGTCATATCATCCGTATCATTGGGAGTGAAACCAAAATCCCAGTCCATTTGCCAAACATCTTTTCCAAGTTTAGTGAAAGACTTGATGCTATCAACTTTGGGTGCTTTCGTACCGAGAGTAAACTCATCCAAAGTCAGTTTATCGATTGGCGGAGGTGGTGCCACATCTTTAAGCACAGTGTTTGCTTGGGTGATCACCATTTCACTAAGGGCAGGCATATAGATAACCCAGAATTTTGCAAGGAAGCTATTCAACCATTCCATGGTTTCAACCTTGTTCTCCAATTGCTTTGCAGCACTGAGTCTCAACATATCATCTCTCAGATTTCTATTGAAACGTCTAAACTCGTTCCTGTACGAAGCCGAGGCGCAGATCAAGACAAAACTAAGCGAGAATAACCCACCGCCTAGTCTTGCTATAAGCCACGCAAACAAACAAGTACCCACCATCAAGGAACAATTGTAATAAAAGTCTGAGTAATACTTATCCTTCAGATAGTTCTGAATGAGGTTGTCACTAGTGTCCATGTTTATGGCTTTCAACTCATCAATACTGGGAGGGTTCAGAGGATCGATAAACGATCCAATTTTCTGCCAGGGGAAATCAAGTTTTCCGGAAGTTGGAGCATGAAATTGTTTGAAGGGCTGTGAGGTCGTCGATTGAGAGTTTCTGGCCAGTACTGATGTGCCTGAGCCATTAGTGAGCGGCTCTTTCTCCGGTGAAGACATTATTTTGAGAATAGCAACCGATGATGCAGTGTCTGTATATAAGCTATTGTTGAAGCAAAGAATCCGACAATGTCAGTGGTGAATTCGTTATAAGCTCAATGCTATTGCAACTAAGTTATCGGATTGGAGTAGCTGTATTTTCTTCAGTGTAATTCCAAATAGCACCGATATGAAAACATAAACTTTCCAGTTCCAAGTGAAATTATAGTGCGTCACGTCAGTCCAAACAAAAACTTCGATACAGGAAACACCCGTACATCTGCTTAAAAAAAGCGAGATTTCGAAAGGCACAAAATCTACAATTTGAAGCATGCATCGATCGTCGTTTGATATTTACACATCTATAGGTTTGTGAGCGTTCAGTTCGTTCATGTTTTTGCTCAGAGACTTGATTAGCTCACGCTGTTTCCTTGAAACAGTACACCAGTTTTCTTTGTCGATAGCGTCCTTCAGTTGATCTAGAATTATGACATTAAAATCTCCCCCAATTCTCCCCAGACTTTGAGAGCAGTAAATGAGTTGCAAAAGCAACCCATCCTTATTTGGAGCTCCAACCTGGCTCCAATTTTCTTTCAATGTGTCACATAAACGTAATATTAAAGATTTGATGAAAGAGTAAAGAAGATTCTTGACTGCCTTGCTGTCAACGTTTGGAAATATAGACTCAAAGGTCACAACAGTCTGAAAGCAGTGCTCCCTGATGACTTCAACACAGCGCTTCAGGTAGTTGTCAATAGAGTTGCTCTTTTTCAATGGAATGAGTACATTGAGCTCATTCAATATAAACTGGTAGCGAGATTTCAGGAAGATCTTCTGTAAAAATTCGTTACTGACCAGATCTGTGTCTCTTTCCTGAGCTAACTTGTTATCTTCCTGCTCCTTGAATCTTCTTTGGAATGGACCTATACGTTTCAGATAAGTAACAATCTTTATGATCGAAGATTGGCGAAGATCAGTGTTTAGCAATCGTATAAGTCCATTCACCATTTCTCTTATTTCGAGTTGAACATCATGCTCTACCCTTTGAATGATAGCAATGTCTGAGTACCTGATCGACAGCCTTCGTACATGTGATGCAATTTCTACACACTCAGCATAATGGCCCGTCTTTACACAAGCATTAGCAAGTGCGGGGAGCTCCAATATATCCATGATATTATCCATCTTGTTCAAAATTATGGACGACGACTGCCGACTTTCTTGTAGTTGTTCATGTTTCGAGTGTGGATGTTGAATTTTCAGTAGATCTTTCCAATTGCTCTCTTCGGATTTCTGCTGTGTGTCTATCGCGTCTTCTGACTTGCTGAAATTGGTGGAGAGAAATTCACGGCATTCGTTGAAATCATTGTTGAACATAGAGACACAATCATTATACACCCTGTTCAGTCTCAAAGATTTGTCTAGATTTGAATGGACACATTTCTTGATTTGCGCTTCCAGATTTCGTTGCAATGATTCTAGCTCCGCGATTTGCTCTATGAGAGTGTGTCCAGAATGTTCACCTTCAATGCTTGGTTTCACATTCGTAGATAGTAAAGTGTCTGATCTATCCTGATCTAACAAGTTGGTAAGAAAATTCAGCGCTTCCCTTTTGTAACCCTCAGAAATACCCAGTAGACTTTCAACCTCCTCAGGAAGCTCGTCCCATAGTGTTTCCAAAAGTAAGTCCGTTGAGTCGCTCATCATGAGGTTCAAAATAACGTTTTTCACAGATTATTGTTGTTTAAGATCGACGAAATTACGAGCCCGCACGAAGCCGATCGACTTCCATGCAGCAGCATAAAGAAAAAACAGCACTCGCTTCTCAGTTTTAGGGTTATGGAAGGTCTATTTTTCAATATTGAAAGCGGATTCATTGAAGCTCTGGTGCGTGGGTACAGGGATGGTCTACTCAAATCCTCTCAATACATCAACCTCACTCAGTGCGACTCTCTGGAAGATTTGAAACTGCAACTTTCCGCCACAGATTATGGTAATTTTCTTTCAAATGTCTCAGGCTCGCTTTCAACTACTATAATCGAGGAGAAGCTGAATGAAAAGCTTGTGGAACAATTCAGATACATAAGGTCACAAGCTACTGAACCACTGGCAAAATTCATGGATTATATAACCTATGGTTATATGATTGATAACGTTGCTCTTATGATTACAGGCACTATCCATGAAAGAGATAGATCTGAGATCCTTGAGAGGTGCCACCCATTGGGATGGTTTGAAACATTGCCCACTCTCTCAGTTGCTACGGATATTGATTCACTTTATCAAACTGTACTTATTGACACGCCATTGGCTCCTTACTTCCAAAATTGTCTCTCAGTTGATGATCTGGACGATATGAACATAGAAATCATCAAAAATGCTTTGTACAAAGCATATTTGGAAGATTTCATGCAATTTTGCAAAAGTAAGCTTCCTTCACCTTCCGACGAAATAATGGAAAGGCTGATCAATTTTGAGGCTGATAAAAGAGCTATCAATATTTGCATTAATTCGTTGGATACGGAACTTGGATCTGATGACAAACTCAAACTTTTGCCAGCACTTGGAAAACTATCCAACACTGCTTACCAACATCAAATGGCTCAGAGTGATGATCTTGAAAACTTAAAGACAATTATAACTTCTTTAGGAGAGTATCGCAACTTTTTCGATACTACGAACGACAAGAATCTTGAGGATCATTTTTATGAGTACGAGATGAGGCTTTGTAAGGACGCGTTCACCCAACAATTTACCATCAGTACAATATGGGCCTACGTCAGATCGAAAGAGCAAGAAATCAGAAATATAACATGGATTGCGGAATGTATTGCTCAAAACCAAAAAGAGAGAATAAATAACTACATATCTGTCTATTAGACTTGAGTGTTATTAAATCTAGAAGTCATGAAATCATTAATTTATAAAGTAACTTGGATGATTCGTCGATAAGGCGAAATCTTAAGGTAAGCGTTCCTGGATCCTGGTTGCTTCTCAAATGGTTCTACGGCCTTGCCTTGGTACGTATCCACCCTAGGACATTGACTTAAATCCAAATACTTCAGATTTTGAAGATTTGACAAAATCTTATCGACTCCTTGGCGAGTGACCCTGATACATCCCCTTAAAGAAAGATTCTCTAAGCAAGGCAGGCGAGCTATAGAAGCTAGCGAATTGTCACTGACTGCTGACCCACAGAAGGATAGATTCAAAGACCTCAAATACTTGCAATATAGATGTAACATTGCAAGCGAATTATCTGTCAAAACGCAACAAAAAGTGAGGTCTAAGTCTTCTAGATTGGGACATGCAACTGATAAATGGGATATAGCAGCATCTGAGAGGAAGGTACAATCTCGTAGTACAAGTTTCCTTAAGTTAGGAAACCGTGTTTGTGACCAAAACATGAATCCACCGTCTGTGATTGTAGTGCATCTGGTGAGATTCAGCGACGTTAGTTGCTGCGAGGCATTGTTGGCGATCTGAGACATCGTTCTGTCTGTCAAGTACTTACAGTAAGACAAGTTCAGTGTTCGCAGATTTGGGCAGCCATATTTGGATCCGTGCGGTGTGATCAACCTCTCGATAACATCATCGCGAACTTTTGGACAGTTCGAAAAGTCAACCAAAATCAATTCTCTAGCAACAATGCTCAGATCCATAATAGACATGGCGGATATATTCCAATTATTGCTCATATAGAGCTTCTTTATGCATCCGCGTATTCCAATTTCATTAATCATATAGCAAAATCCGGCATCCGTGATATGGAAACAACTGGAAACGTTGATAACTTCAGGGCGTGGTCCAGCAAAATTTGTGATCTGGATTAGAGCTTGGTCTGTAAGGTCTCGCTTCCACGGCGTTAGATCAAGAGTTTTCATCAGATCTGGTCCCAGGTATAAAAGCTGCTTCCACTTCTTGCAAACCGTGGCAAATCTCATCAAATCTGGTAAATCCAAATATTTGAAGATTTTCATGAAGATGGAGTCCGGAAAGGGACCTGATGATAATACAGAAGATCGGCGACGTCCATTGTTGATGTTTAGTAATCGTAAGCGATGGTCATGAGGCGTATAGTGGAAGGGAGGTCTGAGTGAGTTTCCAAACTTGTAAAGTGATCCTGACACTGGATTGGGTGATGGTGCGTACAATTGAATGGTAGGTCTCTGGGCCTTTGAAAAACTATCAGATGTCATAGGTGGACCCGAGGGTTTGTTCATTTTAGCGAAGTCTTGTGATCCCGTTGTACTCACCGAATCCCTGTAGTATGGCGTCATGACGGGATCAAGAGGGCTCGAAGGCTCCGATTCATACGCCTCGTTATTCCATGAGATGCTCTGAAATATTGGCTTTTGTGCGTTATCCTTAATCAACGAGGATACCGTATTTTGATCATGAGCTGCTATGTCGGCCGAGTCGATCAAATCTCCAACGGAATCATTTTTCTTTAGTCTCTCGCATGCAGTGTGCTTCATGTCCTCTGCAACAACCGGATATCGTTTACATAGGTCCTCCAATATGTTGCCTTTGACCACAAGCACTTCAGACTCAGAAACTGCACGGACAGCTGCTGACCTCGTCTCAGTCTTAGAGGAGTCATGATCATCGCGTAGGGAAGACAAAAATGACATCTCACCAAAATATTTTCCGCATCCTAGTCTTGCAACGATATGGCTAGCCTTTTCAGCATCTAAAACTTCAACTTCCCCAAACACAACAAAATAGATGTCTCTTCCAGCATCTCCCTTCTTGAAAATATATTCCATTGGCTCAAGATCTTTGATTTCTACCATAAGCGCGAGTTCGTGAAATACGTCCGATGGTAGAGATTTGAAGATTGGTAGACCGCTCAAAAACTCTCTCACAGAAATAGAATTATCGATACTGCCCGTTGGTATCGTTGGTGGTTGCTGGATTAGTATTTGCGATGGATCAAAAGGGTTCAGCGTTTTTAAAACTGGTGTGGTAGCATCTGATGTCGGAGGAAGAACGGGACCCGGTAAAGGTTCATTCTCAAAAGCTGTAATCGAGTCGTTGCTATACTTCGAAGGTACAAGTAGATTTTCACGTCTTTGGAAGAGAAGATTTGCGGATGACTTTGTTTTTTGTTTTCGCTTCTCCTGCATTGCAAGACGTTCTTGACCTTCATCTCTGATCAAACGTTCTATTTTCGGATAATCTGACAAAACAACCCCTAATGCACCTTTAGTCAAGACCCCCAAAAGCACTTTCGTTCTGGCCACCACTGTTGCGGTTCTCGGTCTGTTAAAAAGAATACCAATTTCGCCAAAAAATGACCCTGCTGCTAGTTCTGCATACAGTGCTTCGCCGTCAGTGGATGTCACTCCCACTGTACCTCTTAAGATCCAATACATCGACTTGGCCTGTTCTCCTGCCTTCACAATGTATTCTTGTGGAAAGTACTGCACTGGCTTCAATGAACGCCCTAAGGCGGTCAGAAAAGATTTGGGGGCGTTTTCGAACAATGCAAATGACTTGAGTCTATTGAGTAATTCTGGAGGAATACTAGTAATTTGAGCGTAATCTTCATCTTCACTGCTTTCAGGATCTGCATATCTTTTCTGCCTTCGTTGCCGTTTGGTTGAGTTTTCATCTAAAAAAGAATCATCTTTTGCATCTGAGCTTGTCGATGAGTGTTCTCTACTGCGCTTGCGTCTCCGCTCGTCAGCAAGATATCGATCTCCTTCATCATCTGATAAGGGAGAGCGTCTGCAAGGCTTGAAATCAAGTAACCCACTCGATCTATAAGATGTTGTGGGCTTCATCAAGCAGTACCTTCAGAATCAAAGGCAAAGGCTGCAATTCTGCAATTTTTAAATTTCAAACTTTTTAGCAATTTACAAGCCTAAAAAATTTCAGCTGAGTTCACTTTTGCATGTTGCGCGAACCTCTCCACGTATGAGTTGTCTCATGTAACTAGGAAAGCTCATACCTTACGGATTATGTCAAGAAACGTGATACTAAACTAGAGCACGTGAAACCTGCGACTCGTCGAATCTATGATGCTTCATTCGTATTTGATGATTTGTATAAGTTTACGTTAAAGTTTCTTCAAGTGACGTCCAGTATTCATCTATTGCATGGACAAAACGATCATTCGATATAACCTCATCCGCTCGATACTCAACAGGTGCAAGTGGATTTCTGACAATTGTAGGCAAATATATTGAATGGTATATTTCAATCAAGGAGGATTGGAGGTTACGGGCCGCGGGATGTGTCACCACAACAAATCTTAAGCCGTTCATGGTCTCGTAGTAATGGCACTTGTAATTAAGAGTATGGAATGATTGTAGTGTGTTGAAGTTATTAAGGTTGGATGTATTGAATTCTTCCTCCTGTTGTGTCTCTGCCTGTGGTGTACACAATGAAACAGCAATCTTTCTTAAGGAGAAAAGTGTACCAAAAAGGAGCTTCGATGTGTTATTATTGTTCTGAGTATTGACGGTGCCCTTTTGTATGATGTCTTGGGCCTTATGAGTATTCAATGCAGAGGATAGTAATTTTTGTCCCCTTCCTGTTGATATGGACGAATTTTGTGTGGAATGAGAGGAGGTAGGCAAAGAGGACGTGCTTTCATAGCTCGGATTTGGAGTGAATTGCGCAGATCCTTTACGTTTTGGGGTTGATTTCAGGATGACTGTGGATGATTCATGAATACCTGTTCCATATTCGCGACTGAATATGCAGTTACAATGTCTGTCGTATATCCAAAATGAATAGATTGGCATCGACAATGTGTTTACTTAATGAAATTATTTATTTGCAACTTTTCATGCATCTGTGCACCACTAAATATATCTACGCGATAAAAGGTCTGCGTACTCAAAAGGACAATAAGTCAACAACCCCAGTCCCTTGACCATTGGATGGAACTTGACCTGTGGATTTTTCTTCAGGTGTGGACGACATAGGTCCATGTTCATTCCCGACAGACGACTTTGCAGGAGCAGGGGATGGCTTACTAACCGCAGAAGTCGATGGCTGAGAATGTGTCTTCATTTTGGCAGAGGTTAATAGATTTCCAAATATATCATCCTTCTTCTTAAATTGAGAGATCGCTGGCTCAACTTGGCTAGATGGTTGCGGAGGAAAGGATTTTGCGACAGGCGATTGAAGGAAGGAAGCTGCAGGATTTCCACCATGTTGACCATATGATGCGTTCAAAAGGTCAGCGAGATTGTTGTGAGGCTCCACAACCTGCGCAGAAGTAGAGGCACTTTGGAACTCATCGAACTCATCATCATCATCACGACCTGGACTAGCAGTGGAGGTGGCAGCTGGTTTGTCGTCAAAAGAGAACAAGTCAACCTTAGGTTGAGCGCTGGCCGTAACACTTGAAGCTTGCACAGACGGTTTGCTTGTTCTCCTGTTTTTGCTGTGGTCCTCAACATCATACTCCTCAAATTTTTTGGATGCGTTCGTGGGAGCTTGCTCTTCAAATCTTTGCCCAAATACTCCGCCATCCCCGAAAACTCTTCCAGCGTATCCGGCATCTTCCTCGTCATAGTCATAATTTGAAGAGCCCATATTTGCCCTTCTCAGCGATGAGGACCCCACATAGGCCGAATTAGAGGAAACGGCTCCAAATTTCTTTGCATTTTCTTTAGCCTTCCTTCTTTCCTGACGAATTTTAGACTCATCGTTGAGTAAAGCCGAGAGTTCCCTAGCCCTGTTGCGAACATTTATACCTTGGTCAACTCCCTTTGAATCTATGTAGTGAAACGATTTGAGCATGCTTATCAAATTCACATTGGCTCTTGCATCATCAACAAATCGTTCAGAGCCATGTTTTACCAGGTATTCCATGAGCTGTAATGCCTTGTAAATTTGTCTCCATTCAGGTGCCGACTTTTCAGTAAACCGTCTAAATATCATTGCACAGATCTCTTCCCTTTCAGGATAACTGAAAGTTCCTCTAGCAATCTCAGACATGACACTTGTTGGTGTGCCCCAAGGTTCATTATTTGTGGCTTCCCTGACCTTGGCTTCCATCTCACTCAAGTTGAGCACCGCATTTTGAGCTTTTCTAACGTAAGCTTTGACCTCGTAAAGAGACAAATTATTCAATGTTTTTCCCAAAGAATCCATTTTCACACTATGAGTGAATCTTGAATTTATCTTCGTCTTCAGCCAATTGTCCAGAATATTAATCGACGCTTTGAACAAGTTTCATAACCATCGACGCGACTATTTGATGTTGCTTATCGAAATTGGGCTGTGCACAGTTTTGTTCCTCCAAAAATTAGTTTTAGTTCGAGATACAAGAAGAGTTTTAGGAACCTAAATTCAGGTTGGGAATAAGTGTTGATATCGTGATGTCTACTCACAACTCTGTGGCTCTTGAAAGTCCGATTTTTTCAGATACCACTGAAATCTCCTCAGACATTGAGCACAGTCATCAGATATCAAGAAAATCACAAAGCGAAGGTCTCGGCAAACGCCGATCAGTTGCTTGTAAAGCTTGCCATGCTTTAAAAGTAAAATGTGTTCCTGGTGACCCCAAGAATCAATTGGGTACTTGTGTTCGGTGTCTTAAGGCTAATAGAATCTGCGAGTTCGATCTGACGCAGTCCAGGAAAAAAAAGAAGCCCCCGGGACCAGGTAGCTCCATTTCTAGATTTCGACTTTTGGAGTCTAAGCTGAAGGACCTACAAGACCTACTAGAATCACAGAACAGAATCATCGATCAACAAGCCAAGACTATTGCCAAACAACAGCATATGATAATAAGGCCGGATGTTTTGAGCGACGATTCTCAGCATAAAGTTTTGCATACCCCACCGTCATCGGTAAAACCTAACTCACAATCCTACACAACGTCTGATAAGTTTGAAAGTTTGTCTCCTGCCCAACGATTTGAGAAGGAGATCAAGTTTCTTGACAGTGTTTTCAAAGAACAATCCTTGTGTTCTACCTCTACTATTGTGAATATTTCTGAGCAAAGGATTCATATGTGTAAGGAAAATTTGAACTATCGTGAAAATGACATTATCGCAAGAGGCTTGTTATCAGAAGAACAATGTAACAGACTGTTTCAGATGTTCTTAGACAAAATACTTCCGAAAAGTCCCATTTTGCAAATGCCGAGAGATACGACTCTCGCATCGATGCGCCAAAATAAACCGCTTCTGCTTCTGTCTTGTGTTTATGTTGCCACCATTTTAGATGAGGAGCCATGTTACATACCACTTGAGCTACAATTGCGCATCGAAACACTGGTATTTGAAACTCTAATTGGCGAAATCCTTTTGATAGGCGAAAAAAGCCTTGAGCTGCTCAAATCTTTATTACTCTTGTGCATATGGTATATTCCACCAGAACTATTTCAACATAGAAGATATCATATGATAAATTGCCTTTGCGTCTCAATGTTACATGATTTAGGTATGACTGGAAGACCCTACTTTTTTTATAGCAAAGAAGAAGGTGCTGTGAAGAAAAGGGCCGCTTGTGCCTTCGAAGACCCTGAAGATCTAGAAAGCAAGAGTTTGTTGTTACTGACATATTTCAATTCCGTGTCAATCTCGTTATTTTTAAGGAGAAGATTGCCCGTACAATGGACTGATTATTGTGATCAGTACTGCACTGATTTGGAGGCCACAAAGGAGCCCCGCTATATCGTGGTTTCTATCTATTCTAGACTCAATTCTATTCTCGAAAAAATACACTATGGAATCCATTCGGGTGTTGAACAACCAACGGCTATAGAGCTAGCTTATGGAATTAATAAGTACGTTACGGAAGATATTCGAAAAAAGCTTAATGCACTCAAGGGAAAAATCATTGATTTCACTAAGGATGATGAGCAGTCTTTTCACTCAATGATGTCATACTTTTTTTCAGTCCAGGCATATCTATATGAGCCGGCATTGCAGGCTATGTTCAGCTCAAACATGGCAGAATTAGGGTCTTTGAAATTACCAGATTATTTGGCAGAAGCAATTGAATGCTCTACGGAGTCGTGCGTCTTAGCACTCAAACACTTCCTGCACTTGAAAGAAGAATCTATCACAGTGGAACCGTTTTTCCACTCATCACGGATTATCTTTACCGCAGGTATGTTGTTGCGAATTCGCTATCTGAGCATAAGTATTCCGGTTTTGAGTCAGTATGGTTGCATGACAGAGGACACGATGAATGTCGTTAAAAGTTTGGCCTCGCTAGTTTATCGGACATCTTTGAAGTATCCAAGAAATCATTTCCTGAATAAGATGCGATTGGTTTTGTCTTTGTTCACGCAGACATTTTTGTCGCAATGCAAATCTGCGTATAAATCACTGTTGCAAAATAAGCTACCTTCAGAACTTAGTGAAAAATCCGGGGTCAAATCCGCACAGCATGCATTTGTAAACCCCTTTGTCACTTCTCATTACCCTCCCGGAAACTCGCTCGGTATTCCACAGGAAATGAGCTACACTTCCCCTGCTACCGTTTCCAAAGAGAAAGTTACCACAGACGACCAACATGGAAATTCTAGTGCATCGTTAGATTACACCCGTGATGGCTCAACCGCTTCTTTGGCAGGAGCGACTACGCAACTAGCTAACCCCCAATTCCGACATAATCTTCCACCTCCAGTGATAGGATCGCAGGAGGTATTATCCCCGCACATACAACCAGCGCTAAATTACTCCACTCACGAAAATAGCATGGCCGAGAATTTGGAGTATCAATATTGGGCTCTCAATGATGAATTTTGGAGTACGCTATTTGTCAATATTGATGGAAGAGGTAATGAGCAGGATCTGAACAACTTTTACATGAATGAATCCCTGAACAAGCTTTAGTATATACTAGCGAATCGAAACTTCCGAGGCTTACACTTTAGTAGAGAGCTTGTGACTGTCTTTCCCCTATAGGTGTGAGGTGTCTTATTTCTACCGTCGAAAGTCGCGTCAGATAGTTAAAATTTAAACTGTTGTGGATTTGGTGTCAGGTGGCAAGCCTGGGAGTTGTCTTTGGGTGAAAATTTATAGATTCACTGTATATTGAGATACTCTATCAAAATAACAGATTAGAGAGGATGGTTGTTGTAAGTACTAAAGGCCTTTCTTGCGAGGTGCTGAGAGAGATCATTGTCATATTTCCATAAAGTAATGGATAGCATCTATTACGGATTGGATCAAGTCTCAAACTTCACAATCTTACAAATCTGCTGAAAATGTTTATGAGCTAATGCTCTGTTTAAACGATAGCGCTGTCCAGTGGTAGATAAGTTCGAAGATATGAACTAGAGACAAGTCCTTTTTCAGCAAAACCCTGCTGTTATTCCCTGTAACTAACAATAAAGAATCAGAAGTGGTACCCAGCAGAGCAAGTTTCTGCTGCTAAAAAGCCAAGGAAAACTGCTAGAGCACAAAAGCTGAGATCCTCCCTAAAACCAGGTGCTGTCCTCATTTTGCTGGCTGGCAGATTTAGAGGGAAAAGAGTCGTTTTCTTGAAAAGTCTCGACGACAATACCTTGCTCGTGTCCGGACCATTCAAAGTCAATGGCGTTCCCTTGAGAAGAGTCAATGCTAGATATGTTATTGCAACCTCTACGTCTGTGGAGGTTGCAGGCCTTGATCTTTCCAAGTATGATGCCGCGTATTTCAATAAAGACAAACCAGGAAAAAAGAACAAGTCTGAGAAAGACTTCTTTGGTGAAAGTGCGAAGAAAGAAATCAGGAGTGACAGAGCAGCCGACCAGAAGTCCATTGATAAGGCTTTAATTTCTGAAATCAAGAAAACGCCATTTCTCAAACAATACTTATCATCAACTTTTTCTTTGAAAAGTGGTGACAAGCCACATGCAATGACCTTTTGAGTAAAAAGCCATATGTTTGTATGCCCCAAATGAATTACATTAAGTCAAGCGTTCTATGTAGTGATTAGTGTGTCAATTGAATCATCAGATAAGGCAAGCGCTGGGTTTAGTTATATTCAGCCGCGTCCCCTTAGGTGTATTGTTTACTATGCCCAAACAGCAAAAAAAGAAACTCGAAATCTGCGAAAAAAAAAAAAATTTTAAAGTGTGTAGAAAGATACTTGATAAACTGAAAACTGCATACCATGTCTTCTTTATTGCCACTAGCATCATACAACTTGGAGCTGCAGCCATTTTCTCCTGAGCCTTGTCAGCCTGAAGATTTCCCTGTCACTGTCAGATTGACCCTGGCAGCCGTGAATCCAGAACCCTTCGATGACAAGGAAGAACCATCCACTTTGAGAATCCTAAAAAAGTCTATCAATCTCGATGACTATGATTCTGATGAGGAGGACTTTGATGATGAGGATGACAGCGAGCAAGAATCTGAGGAAGAGTCTGAAAATGAGGGCAAAATTCAAGAGATCAATGAAAAGGATGAGGAAGACGAAGACAAAGCAGAAAACGAAAACGACCATTCTGATGAGGAGTCAGGAGAAAGCTCTTCAAGTGAATCAGAGAATGATGATCTTGAAGATGATGATGCAATTGAGGAGCATATTATTTGCACGCTTTCACCAAAAAGCCAGTTCCAGCAAATTTTGGACCTAACTATATTGCCGGATGAAGAAGTCTACTTTGTCGTTACCGGCTCTTACTCCATCCATTTAACTGGTAACTATGTTGAGCACCCTTACGACGAAGAAGAAGACGAGTACTCCGACGATGACTCCGAAGACGATGAAGATTCTGATAGTGATGAGTATGATCTCACCCCAGACGAAGACGAGATCATTGAAGAAGATTTTGATCTCGACGATTTGGAGGGTGTTGATGATATTGAAGGTAAGATTGAAGAGCTTGTTGAGGAAGATCAAAAAGCAGGTAAGGGTGAGAAAAAGAGACCAGCTGAGGAGGAGCCAAAAGAAGTGAAGGAATCAAAGAAATCAAAAAAAGACCTCAAAAAGGAATCTAAAGAAGCAAAAGAAGCTAAAAAGGACAAGTCGGTCAAATTCAACAAAGATCTTGAACAAGGGCCAACAGGTCCGGCAGCCAAGCAGTCCTCAAAGTCCGAGGACAAGAAGAAGTTTCCCACTAAGACTCTGCAGGGTGGTGTGACTATTGAGGATAGAACTGTTGGTACTGGGCCAGTTTGCAAGAAGGGACAAAAGGTTGGTGTCAGATACATTGGAAAATTGAAGAACGGAAAGGTTTTCGACAAAAACACCTCTGGCAAACCATTTGTTTTTGCTTTAGGCAAAGGTGAAGTGATCAAAGGTTGGGACCTTGGTGTTGCAGGTATGGCAGTTGGTGGTGAAAGAAGAATTGTGATTCCTCCAGCCATGGCTTATGGTTCGAAAAAGCTTCCTGGCATTCCAGCAAATTCCGAGCTGACCTTTGACGTCAAGCTCCTGAGCATCAAATAGTCTTGTGCTAGATACTCCGTGAATAATCTTAAATAATTGAAGTATTGTTAATTATCTTAAATTATAGTATCAGTACTCCAATAAGTCTTTTTGTCCATACACAACTCCTATAATCAATACAATTCGTTCCATTATTACTTGATTGCGTTCGCTTAATGCTCCTTCCATTTGTTTCAATGCCTTTTTTCCCAGGGCTCGCATCACTGACATACTTGATGAAGTCATCACAGTGTCGGTAGCATACAACATATGAAATATCCACTGTTCGAAATTGACGTTGACGTCCCGATTCAGCCATTTTGTGAAATATACTATCAATTTGATGTTGACATTTTCTTCTACTATTTGAGCCACAATAGCCAGGGAAGGTTCATTATTGAAAATCAAGTACTTCCATTCTCTTTGATTTTGTGGCAAATCAATGGCATCGAGCTCGGTTAGGTTTAATCTGTAGTTGCAATAATTCTCCTTCAAAATATTGAATTCCTCTAAATATTCCATTGGCCAGCTTCTGTGTTTGACATCATCAGCGGTTGCTTCACTGCGGCCCTGTTGTTTGTTTGGACTAAGGCTATTGTCTTTTGCCACAAAAGCGTCGCAGCGGAACCCGTTTCTTTCAAATTGTTGTGCTTCTAAACGGACTAGAGCCAGATATGAGTTCACGTCGATCGTGGCTTTACTAGGATCTACCGATACCAAATCTAAGGCTATCGGAAATGCCCTCTTTTGTCCAAAAATGGGATCTAGAGGTCCTTGAATAAATTTCCCTGTATTTGAATCTTTAATCTGTCGAATATGCTCATTGATTGTTGATCCTACATCTCCTTGAACATCAAATTCTTCGTTGTCATTTTCCGTTTGTTTCCGCTTGTTTGGTGCATCGCTGTTCTGAGTTCTCTTGAGCAAATTAAGGGGATATGCCAATTTAGAGCTAGTAACATCCATCCGATGTATTAAATTTTTTTAAGAATATTAGCAGTGCATTAGCAATACACTATTGAATATAGAATTCGAGCACATGCCTAAAAGATTCTTCGATGAATCCGATGAAGAAACTAAGAGCAGTGAAGATAGTCGATTGAATAGCTTGACAGTTCCCGCTCAAAACTTCAATGAGAAAGCATGCGGCATTCCATCATCTTGCCCAGGCAATGCACAATACCTCGACACGCAAGAATCACATGAACCCCAGTTTCGTCACTATCATCAAAGTGTTTGTTCAGTCTGTCATGCTCTCCTCGAAAACTCTCATGTACTTGAGCTACATCTAAACGAACTACACAGCTCATTTTTTAAATCCAGGCTAGATAAAGGTGCCTTGGTATTTGAGTGTCTCAATGGTCATTGCTCGGAGGTGTTTTCGACAGTGGAAGGCAGAAAACAACATATGATCAGTTGTCACGACTATCCTCAAGACTTCGATTTCACCGCATTGCTTCTTGGTCACCCGCCAACGTCTAGGAATTGCTAACATTATCCAGTTTCTCTCTCTCTTCCAATCGAGTTAGGCCCATTTTTCGGTCGCGATCGCTGCAAACTCTGATTATTGACAAAAAATATTGCGGCTGGTAGGTTATCGTGTCTGCCAAAATAAAAAACGGTGTCATTTGAATAAACACAAGTGGCTGCAACTAAAAACAGCGAATTCCAAAAGATCGTGTTACAGACTTAATTGTAACTTTTGCAGCTTTAATCATTATATCTGCCATCGGACGAAAACAGTAGAGTGCACTATGGTAAGTAATGACTACAGTCAATTTGCAGTGAGTGAAACTAACACCGATTTAGTCTGGAATTCAGAGTTTATTGAAGGTAAGTTATAATTATTAGAGGTTGTCTGTACTAATGTCACTTTACAGACTGAAAAGGAAGCACAGGAGATTGTGTCTCAGGCAAGGCAATGTAAGTCTACTGATTAGTATACCCATGCTAGACTAACGAACTAGACCGCGCCCAAAAACTGAAAGATGCTAAATCTGATGCGCAGAGGGAAATTGAACAGTATAGGCTGAAAAAAGAGACGGAACTCAAGAAATACGAGCAAGAATTTCAGGGTTCGAATGAGAAGCTTGAGAGGGAAGCAGAAGAGCAGGTCAAAGATGAGCTAGCAAGTATCAAGAAAACTTGTGAAAGTAAAAAAGATGAGGTTATCAAGCTTCTCATTGACGCTGTGATTTCTCCAAAACCGGACCTGCATATAAATGCTAAACAATAGCTTAATACACAAGGAGAAAGAAACTGAATCACAGTTACTGTTTGGGTGTTTTCAAAAAGAAAATCATCAATTAAATTTCAGGATTCGTAACAAGCGTAATTAATCGCTGCGCATTTTTGGCTTTTCTAAAGAGTAACTGGTGAAGTTGTCATTAAGAGTTCTCTTCTCAGAGTAAAATCTCGAAGCAGTGATAAGTTTAGTCGTCTGACCAAATGTGGCGATTAAAATTAATTTTCATAGAATTGTTTGGCTTTGTCTTTGCAAGATATTAAATAAAACTAATGATTCCAGAAGCTGAGTACCCGGAGTCTGAATTAAAAAAGTACAAGATTCTGATTTCGGGAGATGCTGCAAGCAAGCGAGATTCTTCCCTTCGGTATGCTCAAGAATATGGTGGACAGACACAAGTGGTGAAAGTCAAAAAAACCGTCAAGAAGATAAAGACAACCAATACAGCATCAACAATACTTCGAAGGCACATTTCGGAAAGATCTTGGACTTTGAGGAATTGGTATAGACACATCCATTGGAAAAACTTCACGCTGATAGTCCTCTGTCCGATCGTGGGGTTGACATTATGTCTTTCGTATAATACGAGACCTTGCAAGCAAACACTCTATTTTGCTGCATTGCTCCATGTTTTTACGCTGATGTCGGTAAACCTACTTTACCATAGATACCTCTCACACAGTTCATTTAGCATCGAAAACGAGAAATTGGTTTTTGTCTTAGCGGCCTTAGCTTCAGGAGCGGGGGTAACTTCTGCGAAGAATTGGTGCTCGTCTCATCGTGCACATCATAGGTACTGCGATGTCTCCGATAAAGATCCCCACAATATTAGAAGGGGATTCCTATTCAGTCACTGTGGATGGATGATATTGATCCATAATCTCAAAGTCTCCAAAGCCATCAGGGAAAGCAAACTCGATGAACTCCCTAACAAGAAGGCTGTTAAGTGGCAGGCAGATAACTATCATCTACTATTCATTACAGTTGGTCTCATGATACCAAGTCTTGTTTGCGGATGGTTTTGGAATGATTATCTCGGTGGGTTGATATATGCTGGTTTCCTTAAGACTGCTCTAACGCAACATTCTGTCTTTGCGACAAATTCCCTTGGTCATACTATTGGCACTAGACCATATAATGATGGCAAGTCGCCCAGAAATAACGTGCTGCTTAACCTCATCACCCTTGGTGAGGGTAATTTGAATTTTCACTATGAGTTTCCTATGGATTATCGTAATAGCAACGTTTGGTATGATTTTGACCCTACTAGATGGCTAATAAAACTGCTCTGTTGTCTAAATTTTGTCAAACATTTGAAAAAGACTTCCAACTCGACAGTTGAAATGTCTTATGTGCAGCAACAACAAAAACTAATTGACAACAAACGTTCGCAATTAAATTGGGGAATTCCGATTGAAAAGTTACCGGTATTCTCTCCAGATGAATTTCGAAGACTGGCCGAGAAATCCAAAGACAGATATCTAGTGGTAGTTTCAGGGATTATTCATGATATTACTCCTTTTGCAAAAGATCATCCAGGAGGTTTACCTTTAATTAAAGCTGCACATGGGAAAGATGCCACCACTGCCTTCAATGGTGCAGTTTATCAACACTCCAATGCAGCAAGAAACTTATTAGCTACAATGCGCATAGGGGTTTTGGGAGGCTCGGAAATCCTTTTTTGGAAACAACAACGAATTGAGAATAAGTCTGTTCCAATTGATAACGACACCGATGGTAACAAGATTGTGCGAAGTGGAGCTCAAGAAACTATGAATAAAGTTTATGGGGGCACTGCCGATGCAGCATAATCGCACTTTAAACCTTACGATTTATTATATTTACTTGATACCAACATCACCGAGGAGCTTTAGAGTTCCAATTCAGCTTTTGTGTATATGGTTCATTGACAAAATCTATCTGGAAAGCTAATGGGGTGACAGTAAAGCTTGAAGTGGGGCTACAGACCTGCTCATTTCTGGATAGCGTACATAACGAGGCGCTCAATTCATGCGTCAATTACTGGAGTACAAAAACCGCTCGTCGAACACACCAGCTGATTATCTAAAGTCCGACGTATGTTACTCAAGCATGCATGCAATAGAAATGATCAGATAAATTGCAGAGGAAGACGCCTTCACCGCTTCTCCTAGCGAGCCTGGAAGCCATCTAAGTGACTCTTGAATTCGCTCCGTCGAAGATATACGAAAGACGAGAGACCATGCTGTGTGTTATTCACTCACAAACGATATATCACAAATCTGCCACGAGCTGGGTGTGTCGTATAAGTATCTTCTGGGACTTCTGTTGAGGCCAACTTAATTATAACCCGAGGATGAATGTATCTCGGTTTGGAAAGGTTGAATCAAGTTCTTAAATTACATGAAGATTCCGATATAGTGGTTCAGCCTCGTGTTGACTGGGCGGAATTGAATAAGTTGCTAGAGTCCCATTGATTAATATCTGGACCCAATCCTGGTCCTGGCGCAGTCATAGGTGGAAATTTTGGCTACCAATGCTACGGGATTCAAAACAGTTTAGTTTGGTTCTGCTAAAGACAACGTAATTGCGCTAATCTTTGTTCTTTCTGATAGTACAGTGACAAAGGCTATAAATCGATTTCGCCGGTACCTCTACGGCCATATTCTGAGTAACTTGGTTGTAGGTTCAGAAGGAACGCTCAAACTTTAATCTAGGCTTCAAAATGAATTGGCTCCTGCCGTCAATTTCACTTTTATTAATGAGGAGGTCAAGATTGTTGCCCAGTTATTCCGTATTTCCGTATGTCAGCTGCAATTCAGTTGTATTCCTGGATAGACAAACTAATGCCTGCGATATTGAAACTGGCACAAGCGACGACAATCGGTCACCAAACCACCTCTTGCTTCTGGAACTGAGCACTGGACGCCCAAACCCCTGGAGACCTCATCACACTAGTAAGTGCAATTATGAAGACGACAGTGGATTCAATGTTAGGATTATAACCATATACGAAGAGGAGACGCAGACCGCTTTAAGAACGCGAACAACTTTTAGTATGGAAGATATTACACGAAACTCATCGAATGGACCCCAACGACGGTATATTGCCCATCGATGTGTGTGTTCCTGGTTTCTATACGTCCCCAATTAATCACGGAATTCATAACGATATTATAGAATTCAATATTTGTGCCATCGCTGCAGGACACGATGTCGGTGAAAGCTCGCACAATCTCGTAATCATCGATCCAGAGCAACAGCCGGTCGCCCATGGACTTAGTAAAAGATAGACTAGGCTAGCACCAAATTTGGACAGTACGGTGTCAGAAATTAAAGGAACGTCATGATTGAAGAGCTTGAAATATCGACAATTGACGCGGTGAGGGCGATCAAACGTGCACTCGACAAGGGAAATCTGAATCCTGTTCATGTATTCAAGCTCGGCCTATTGGAGCACAAGCACCCAATTGAGGAATCAGATAAATAAGTGCTTCGTCCATTTGTTGTATTTATCCGCTCTTCTTTCGGAGACTTGCCCAATTGAGTTTTGATGTTTTCCCTCAGGAAAATATATGTATGTATTTATATATTGAGGTTTTTGCGTTCTTTAAACTAGTAACTTTTCGCTAAAATGACCATTCCACCTCTATACTATAATAGTGATTCACATTCCTTTGGCTTTTCCACCGCCAGGTTGAGATGGCCAAAAATCCTTCACACGGCAATCGATGACACAGCTCGTGAGATTTCAAATACAGAAGATATTGATGCGAAAACGGAAGGAGCACAAATCCTTCAGGAAATCACCAAATTGATTGAAGAGTTACAAACGAATTCTTGTCTCAGATCGTTTTCTGACTTATCCATTCCAGGGTTGAAGTCCTATAATGAAACCTTGTCGAGATTGGGAGAAGTTACCTGGTTGACTGGCCCTTGGTTATTCTGTGAGTGTTACTTATACAGACGTCTGGATACGATATTCAAGACCAAGTCAAAATGGCTACACTTTGATGTTTTTGACAGGCTCAAGCGAGAAACATTCAAGTCATCGGCCCTTGGAATATACGAGCTTGCCATTAGATATAAACAGCTGAACAGCCAAATTCAAGTGAAAAAAGATAACGATCTGGATATGGAAAGCTTGCAATTATTATTCGAAGAGTTTGTTGATATTTCATTGTGGGGTAATGCTACCGATTTGTCGTTGCTAGCCAATGCAACTTTAGATGATATCAAATCCGTTCAAGGCAAAGAGGCGCGGGCAAAGTCGTCAAAGAATATCTTGTGCAACGATCTACCCCAAGCTTGGAATCGTCTTCGTTCTGTACCATTGGCAGAAAAGCGGGTTGATTTTGTTTTGGATAATGCAGGTTTTGAGTTGTTCACAGATTTGATGCTCAGCTTGCTATTACTTGATACAGGAATCATCGATAAAGTGGTTCTACATTGTAAATGTAGACCATGGATGGTAAGTGATACCATGATTAAGGATTATTACATTTTGATCAACGATCTAAAAGACAGTTCCATTTTTGGTGAACACAGAATTGAAATGGATTTCCTGGTCTCAAGAATTGAAAGTTATAGAAACCAAGGAAAGATTGAATTGCAAGAGTCGGAATTTTGGACAGTCGATCTAGATTACTGGAACTTGAGCCCTTCGGAGACCACATTTGGGGGGGCTGAGCTGTACAAATATTTCCAGAACTCCTGTTTAGTGATTTTTAAGGGCGATCTTAATTACAGAAAACTGACTGGAGACAGACATTGGCCAAGAGATTCCCCATTCACCACAGCAATCAATACACTCGCAACTTCAAAAATCCATATTCTTGCATTGAGAACGTGTAAGGCAGACGTTTGCGCAGGCTTGCCACCTGGAAAGGACGAGGAACTTTCTCAGTACTGGAAAAGCTTGGGAAATGAATTCGGAGAACTTTGGTGCTCGAGTGGGAAGTGGGCGGTCATATCATACAGCGATGGTGAGAATCATTCCCGTGACCCATGCACCAGTGATAACTGATCATTACTTCTTGTTTTCAGTTGGTAGAGGCATTGGGGCTGGAAACGGCATAAAAGGCATCATAGTAGGCATCATTGTGGCTAAGTGCTGCCGCTTGCTTGGCTCTTCTTCACCGTCATTTTTTCTCTTGTGCTGTTTTAAATAATTGTCTACTTTTTTTTGTAATGCCTCGTCAACTTCTAGAGAATCAAGGTAAATGTCCTCTTGACCACAATTCGGACACTTGAAATCTGACTCCAAGAGTATATCCTCAATGTAGGGTCTTGAGTATAGCTGTTTACAGCATTTAGTTCTCACAGGACTTCTCCAAAGCTTACCTGAATTCGGATCCCTCATTTCGGGGTCTTCGATCTGGAAATCATCTTCCACTTGCCTTGATTGCTGAATGGTTTGATACCTTTGCCAAGCTTTCTTATCAGCAACTGCAACCACATATTTGCCCTCTTCGTTCACCATGAAATTTTGGTTAGGTTCGTTGACTATGTCAGTTGGATTATCAACGGTTCGTAAGTATGACTTTGGTATTCCGGTCGTTTTTTTGATCCTGATTCCATCCCAATTGGGATCGTTATTTTTTGGGCAGTTTCTAATATGATGTTTTCCTTTCTCGCCGCACTTGTAGCAAATGTAATATTCAGGAATGTTTTCGTCAAGTTTCAAATTTTGCCTATTACTTTCTACCCTTTGTGCAGTGGCCATGAGGGCCTGTTGATGGTTCCACTGATCGTCCTGTTGACTGAACATCTGACGAATTCGGTCCTCTTCATTGGCAGATACCACAGGTGCTGGAGCTGATGTTGAAACTGGAATGGGAACTTGAGTTTTTGCAATCCTTGGTTTTCCTGCCATATATCGCAAAACGTTTCCTCTTCCTTTCTTGCCACCTGACGTTCTTCTTACTAGTACTGTCGAAGCTCGCTGTATGACTTCATTATCATCTTCGTACTCCTTATCTGGATCTTCAGCATGATATAATAAAATATCCGTGTCTGTGGAATTGATCAGCTTATTGGCATAAATGATCTCTCGTTTGAGCTCGAACACCGTGAGCCCGGTCCCATCAAACTTGATGGTCGAAACCAAGTCATCGCGTTGCGACCTGAACTTATAGTATATGACAGCCATACAAGAGAAATTTCACAAATTCCGCCACTCACCGCGCAGCTTTAAAATAATATTTTTTATCGGTGCAGGACTTCAGCAAAAGCTATAAAACTTTTACGTAAGTAATCACACTGGTAATCATCACGTTGACATTTCCAGAGATGCATTATGATTCAGCTGCCGATAAGTTGATCGTTAGCTAGAATAGTTTACAAATAATGACTGATCGAGGTCTGAAAGGGAAATTCCATTTGTGATGTTGTTTCGCTAGTGAATACACTTTGGGCCGTAGCCAGAATCTGTACCTTTTGTATGAAGACATCAGCCAAGATGTGGTATTTGAACTGCATCTAACATGATCTGTATCTCGTGAAAAGAGCCTGAAATCATACTTTCTCTCCTTCATAAGTAGTTGTTTGTCCTCTGTATGATTGTGAAACTACTCACATTAGTAGATATTACTTTCTCTAAACGGTTCACTCTACGTACTAATTTTGTCAGTATAGCTATCGAGAACCAATATTTGTTGCTTACGTGAGTGGCGCCACAGCACTAGCTGTGAATCAGCTTCTTGGGGGGTTGAAAATTAGCTGATTCCTATGGCATGCTGCGTGGATCAATATCAACTCAGCCCAGCTGGTCGGATCACTTCATACGAGTAAGAAAACTTATCCGGCCACGACACGATACAGTCGCTGACATATAAAAATTCAAACCAAGGCTTTTAGTGATTGATTCAATTTGAAAGGCTCCCAAGCTGACACCAGGCTTTAGTCAACCTCATGCCATATATTCTTAACATCTTCTTGGATAAAGACTATGCTGGAATTAGTGTTACTCTAAAGTTATCGCGGCCATAAGTTGTTACGTAATTTTTCCCCAACCGCTTTGAATTTTCTCAATGCTATATACCTGATCAATCTAAAATTACTCAGTTTCAATATTTACTCGATATGAACGCACCCACATATTACGAATTCTATAGGAGGAGCACGTAAGTGTCAAAGTTTCTCATACCCTTATTAACATCAAGTATTGGAACTTCGCTCACAGATGCTTTGGATGCATTGATCGGAGATCAAAGAATTCAGCCTCAGTTAGCAATGAAAGTTTTAGCCAATTTTGATAGAGTTACCTCCGATAATCTAAGAGACTCTGTAAAATCAAAACTGACTTTCAAGGGTCATCTTCACACATATCGTTTTTGTGACGATGTTTGGACTTTTGTGATAAAAGATGTGAATATCAAGTTTGACGATAATGAGACGGTGAACGTGGACAGGTTTAAGATAGTGGCTTGTAACAGCAAAAAGGCTGGAGAAGTCTAATTTATTTTGGGCTACTTGATCTAATAAAAGATTTAGGTCACAATTCAAAATGCTCAAGTTTGGAAGTCGTTCGATGCTGAATCGCAGAATCCTCTTTTTCGAAAGCCTTGGGTAATACAGAATCTAGTGTATAGGGTCTTTGGGAAATTTCCAGTTCTACCTGACGTTCTTCGCCATTCTTTGGCATATTTGTCGGTGAAGCAAATAATGAATTTAGTTGTCCCGGCTCTTGTAAAGACCCAAGGTAGTCTTTGGGTTTACTAAACGCACAATTCGTGGAATGTTTCACATCTGCAGTTATTTCCGGACCCATCGAACTAGCCAATCTGGGCCCCATAGTTTCCTCATGAATCATGCCCATATCATGGTCATTTATAGCCGATTGAGTTCTATTTTGGTCTTCGCAACTTTGTCCTTCATGGGAAACGAGATTCAGGCTATGAACATCTGGCTGAGCAGATTGCTTTTGTAACCCAGTACTATTCAGAACTATCTGCGGATCTTCACAATTTTCATCGGACACGATAGTATCAAATCTCTCCTCTGATCTCTCAACGTTCCAAATACTACTGACATTTTTATAGAATGATGGAGACGGATTGTGAGACACTCCTTCATTTTGATTTTTTGACTTATGAGGTGCATCATGAAGAGTCATCAAAGTTGAACTGTGTGTTGAAGAATTAGTTGGATTTGAGAAACCGTGCAAGCCGAACGTCAAGTAGACAGTTTCAGTTTTCATTTTCACCTCAGTAGTTAAGACAGTAGCAATAGTGGTGGATATTTGAGTGCTTGAGATTAAAGAAGTTTGGGTTTCTACGACAGTCTCAAAAACTGTCAATGTTTTGGTACTTTCTTGAATTTCAGTGCTTGATTTACTTTTGCCAGATGTTGTAAGAAATTCCTCGCTTTGATATTCCAAGATTCTAGGTTCATCTCTCGACACTATCCGTCTCTGGTGGCCGTTAGTTTCCACTGACCTAGTAACGTTACTACAAACTGTTTGCACCTTGTTTGCGAACGTTTCAACTGGTTTCGGAAATGTATACTCACTCAGTTCGGTATCCAGTTGTTCCCTGATCTCATGCGCATCTATTGCCCACTTATCTGTAGGTAAAGTGGATATATAAGAGTTGGGCATGTCTGTGATAGTGGACGACGGACCTTTGAGAAACACCTCACTTGAAGCAATCGGCTGAATTGTGAAATAAGCTGATGAGTCTGTCAGCTGTTTAGACCTGTAGTATTCAACCGCTTTTGTTTGAATTTGTTCAATATATCCGTTGACATAGAGGTATTGAAGCACAAAAGCTATCAAAGATGCCACGATAACTGAAGAGATAATTTGAAACAATGACAAGTACAATGGTTTCGACTCCGCCAGCTTTGACGGTATTTCAATGATATTCACGGTATTCGCTGCTGATACTGATGCCAAATAATCACCATTTTCTGAAAAAACGACCCTCGTAATTGCAAAACCGTGCACTTTATCAAGCTTTTTTAGCAACTTCAAATCCTGCGATCTTACTAAAAGGACCGAACAATCAGACCCTCCCAAAGCAATCAAGCCGCAGTGATTATTGGTATCCATTGACGTTATTCCTTTCAAAGTTTTGTCTATGATAGTACTTTTTGTCACTGCTGATTTCGCAATGGAGAATTTACCAACCACAACTCCATTCTTGCTAGAACCAGCTATTATAACCATGTTGTTGTCATAAAATTCTATCTTTGACATCGAGAAGTTAACCTTGCTCTTAAAGATAGACCTCCCAGTCACTGTTGATATTGCTTCAAAATGACTCGATGTGACATAACACATCATTTTGCCGTCAGGGGAAATGCTGATGTCCTTCACATCGCCAACAGTCACGATTTTGAATTTTTCCTCTAGATCACCCGACATATCTACGATATATAAAGATGAAGGTTCATCGCTCATTGCGATAATGCCCATCGTAGCATCCTTAGTCACTTTAGTCAGTTTTTGATAATGCTGGGGATTATTTCCAGGATGAATTTGGCAACTTTCAACAAATTTCAAGTGATCATTATGATACTTGAACTTCCTCAGGTGTTTGTTCACTCCTCGCCTGATTGACTCAGAATTTTCGTTGATTCCAACTAATATTTGGTTACTATTCGCATCCAGGGACATCGGACAATCCTCTTTTTCATTCAAAACCAGTTCCCTGTACCGTTTGATGGGCTTCTTGGGGTTCTGTGGCTGAATCAGAAGGGCTGTGATTTTATTGGGTATACCATTGTTTCCTTCTCCCCCACCTCCTGCAACAACCAAAATTCTGTCACTGACAAACTTTGCTCCGTAGATCGGATAGCCTAAATCAAGTGTGTGATTTCTGAACTTAACCATTATTATTGCGTCTTCTCATTCGGTAAGAAAAATATGAACAATGTTTACTCAGAAAAAGATTGATGTGCCGATTTTCTAGTGAAAAGTGACAATAGTCATTTGGGAAAATCCAGTTATATCCTGTAACTCAGTTACATGCACGTGATACGAGCTCGGACAGAAGTCAATGGTTATACCAAGACAATTCACCAAGTGAAGTTGTTTCCCTGCGCTCTCCTCTTTGAATTTACTTTCGAGCTTCGATTCATTTGTTGCGCAAACGGAAATGCCTGTAAGTGTTTAAAGTATCGTTGAGTAGTTGTCTACATAGTGGATCCATCAATCTAACTTGAGATCAACGAGTCCCTAATTTCAATCTATGTATCGCGATTCCTTTGTGAATCATCTTGTTCAAGTACTTCAAACAATGTCCCCTCTCGTGAAGTCGAGAATCCTGTCCGAATGCTAAGGGTATCCTCTTCAATCATATACTCCTCAGAGTTCACTATAGGTTCACGTGTTTTTGATTGCATACTTTGGGATCTTTCTGATGCTTCAACCTCATCAAAATGTTTGTCGCTATTGCTGAATGACATTTCTGTTGTCACTCTATTTTGCATGCCACTGCAAAAATCTCCTACTTCCCTTATTTCATCACGATTTAGATCAATGTCAAACAAATCATCACTCAACGTAAACGAGTAGTCTTCGTTTCGACATGACACTGTATATTTGACCCAAGGAAAACTCTGAAATTTGAATTGAGGCTCTTCGATCTTTAAGTAAGTAACTTTGAGATCACTATAGAGAGCTGAGATCAAGTCAAACTCAATATTTATTGAGGAAGCTGGCTTTACATCTGAAGAGTCTGAGCTGTCAAGTACTTTGAATTCCTCGTCCAAATCATAATATATTAAGTCATTTTTGTCTTGTTTGAGGAGATGAACATTTGATTTATGTTGTCTGTCAATCGTATCATATTTCAAAAGCTCCAGCTCGCTTTGCATCTCACCTCTGGAATTACCCTCGAGTTTTGGGATCATCCATGTTATACAGTTTTTTTCTATGTTGTATACAACGGATCCCAACTTGGTTTTGAACCTCAATGGCTTATTAAAGTTGACTTTTAGACTCCTTAAAGGAATCACTAAGGGAATGTGTGTTTTTACATCGCGAAGTGAGTATCGTTTCTTGAAACTCGTTTTAATTTCGACCGTGATGCGTAGTTTATAAATGTCGTATTTCTTGTAGATTTTGAATTTTGGCCTTATCATTATTAAAGGCTTCAGTCGTGCAGTGTTGGAAATCTGATAGCTAAAAAGCTTGAATGTACCATCAGGGGGCAAGAATGTTATGAAGTCCTGGACATGTGACAAAGTAACTGACTGATGAAAATTTAGGTTAGAGAATACCATTTCTTCGAGTTTACCGTCTCTGCTGAAGGTTTCATTCATTCCCATTTTTAAGATGGGCATCCCACTCAGGTAACACTTGCACTCAACTTCCCCATCAATTGAATTGAGCACAATACGCCTAGTATTGAAGCTATATTTAAACTTGATGCTTTCTGTGAAATTTATGAATATTTCATTTTTACTGTAGAAAATCCCTTTTGGTCTCCATGAAATGTTGTTGGTGGATGTACGAGAAATACTGGAGTTTATATCTTCACCACCTGAGCCAGCATTGATATACTCTTTCAAAATGTTGAAATCGGTTAACTGCGGGATCCCATAATCTAGTACCTCATCAAACAGTTCATAAACAAGAATGTAATTGTCTCTGATAGCTTCCGATGTGATTCTTTGGTTCATGTATTGACCCAATAAGACCCCGGTTTTTGACAAAAAAGACATAAGACATGCTATATTCAAATCGTCAAAAATTGGGCTCATTAGGTATATATCATCGCATCTAGTATAAGCAAAATGGGCGCCATTAAACGACACAACAGGGGATTGGGATCTTGTTTGAGCTCTCTTGAAGTATTCTATAATTGATTGAGAGTTGAGATCATTCTTATACTGCCTCTGTATAATGATATTGAGCTCTAGATCAAGAACGTAAATTGCTGACGCCATGCCATGCGTATTGGCAATTTGATAGAAATATTCATTATTTTTTTCTGTTAAGGAGTCTGCAAAGTAATCTCGGTTGGTTCGTTAATGTACCTTGACCATGTTGAATTCCCAAATGACAAGGCTGTCTTTCAAACAAGCTTTGCAGATTAAGGATCAGCTGGGCCTCCACATGTGGATATTAGACCCCAGGCATTTTCTTGAAAGAAAATACACATTCCAAAACTTCGAGGATACTTGGGCATTTTTGACGAAAGTTGCTCTTAGATCACATATCAGTGGTCATCACCCTAAGATCACTACGCTTTATAATAAAGTCACTATCCAACTTACTACTCATGATGTTCAAGGCCTTACACAACAGGACTTTAAATTTGCTGAAAGATTTGAAAGCTATGCAAATAGGATAGGGCTCAAAAATATCAGTTGATCGATGTTTATTGCCTCTTCTCTATACACAATATTTGATCCGTAGATTTTGATTTCTTCAGCCTCTGATAGCTCAATTTCAGATGTTAACGAATAAATTGCGCATAATTGCGTGTTTCAAGAGCCCTCGCTCTCATTACAAACTTTGCTGCTGTTGTTTCAGTTTTCTTTCCAGCTTCTCGAACTCTTGTAAAGCGATTTCTTCTTCAGGATCCAGAACTGCTTTCACCTCTTCCACTTCGGGAATATAATGTTTTAGCATGCTTTCGATGCCGTTTTTCAGAGTGTCCTCACTGAGAGAACAGGATTTGCATGCACCTTGAAGTTTAAGGTAAACTGTTCCACTTTCTGGATCGAAAGACCTAAAATGAATGTCACCTCCATCATCCTGGAGTGCGGGACGGATTCGCGTATTTATGAGTTCTTTAATTTCATACGTTATATCATCGTCGTCCTCTTGAGCCTCATCCTGTTTCCTCACTATCTCGTCCAAGTAATCAGGATTAAGAACAGGGATATTGGAATCCACAGCATTGGTTATCACATTCATCACCTTTGTAGACAGTGAATCCCAATGCAAGTCGGGATTATTAGAGAGCTCTGGATCAACCTTATTCACTGTAATGAAATTGTGCCCAATAAGCAAAGATTTCACTCCATTGAGTTTGAAAAGCTCTGATGCTAAAGGTGATCTCTGCGATGCTTCAGGGAGATCGTTGACTTCAACAGCGCTGGTTAAAGACTCTGGAAGAAACTTGAAATCTTTGGAAACGAACTTGAGCGCATTTTCATTGGGTGTGCCAATTGTCTTCAGTGACAGGAACCGTATCAAGCCCCTATTGAATATCGATATACCTTTAGCCGGTTTTTTCAAGCAGCGCCTAAACATATTTGCGATTAAATTTGACCGTACTCTGAATACTATATACTGCCGGTAAAAGATGACCTCTACATAATTTAGTTAGCCGAGAATCGGAAAAGGCTTTTTCTGGCAAATCACAATTTTTACGTATCAAATAAAAACACATATTGTATTGAGCGAGAATTTCGGGCAAGGGTTTTTTGCGATAATGTACATCATGATTTCAGAGGCATCACATTTTGTTCAAAGAAATAACTTGGGTCACTGATCAACACAAGATTACCTATTGGCAGATAGTTGCATACAATGTAGTAGCCCAAGTATGAACCGCAGTACTTGTAAGCGCAGCCGATATCCGTCGACGATTTCCAGACCAATTGCGTGAAATGTCCTGTAGCTTCGGAATAGCCTGGATTCGAGTAGTTGTACTGACTAATCTCGTCATACCATGCGTCAACGGCCCCAGCAGTAGCAAAGTTGTAGCCATAAGCTAAATTTTCGCCGAGACTTTGGCCATCCAAAGAGTTGCCTGAATGCACCAACTCGCCGTTACATGTGTAAGCGTCAGCGTAACTTTGTGCGACTTCAGCCACATCGTCATTCCATGCGAGGTTAGGAGTATCTTCATGCAAGGCTCTGAAATAGTTGTGCCTATCTAAATACGTCTGGGCGAATGATGATAGCGATGAAGAAGATACAGATGAACTCGACGATGATGTCGATGAGGACACGAGCGCTGACGATGACGACGAGGAAGATGATGATGATGACAACGACGATGATGATGATGATATTAGGTCGTCACTTAAGCTTGGCGATGACGTGGCGCTTGCTGTAGATGAAGAGACATAATAACTCGTTATAGCAAGGCTTGCACTGGGTTCTGGGGAGAGGTCAGTGCTTGGCAATGATTCTTCTGAAATTGATAGTGTTGTAGGCTCCTTCGAAGAGGATGATGTTATCACAACGATGGTGGGTCCATTACTAGTATCGAAAGTATCATTGCTTGACTCTGGCAGCGTTGGAACAGTTGAGCTTGATTTCAAATTTCCAGGGCTAGACGATGATGTGCCAAATCCACTTCTTGAAATCTCGATCACAGGGGTTTTAGTCGATGCTATGTCAGTTGGGAAGCTTGAAAGCTGAGAAATACCCGTACTATGATGATCATCAGAATTTTTACTCGAAGTAGAATCTAGATGAGTTTCCATCCTGCTAGCATACACGTATTCATACTTGACAACCGTATGAAAATTAACAACACAATTCTCATCACTTTGAGTAGCCACTTCTTGTGCAAGTGATCTGTAGAAGTAGCTCGCAAAATAGAGAGATCTGAAAAAGCAAGACGATTTCATTTCAATACAAATCGGAATGAACTGAGTGAGAGCGGGGCTGCATGAATTTATACCAAAGCTACACAATAATTACGGCATGACAGATCAAGAAGAGTAGATCACTACTTGGTATACAGAGACCAGCCATCTTTGTGAGGTTTCGGCAATTGATAAAAATAGTTTAAAGACAATGCGTAATACTTACATTAGCTTCTTATTATTTTAGTTCTTATTTAATTATGTAGTTATTTCCCAATGTAGTAATCAAATGGTATTACTTGCTGAAACTATTTTTTTCCTGGTGCAGCAGCGTGGCTGGCTTTTAGTGCGCATTTGTGCACTCCAGTTCTCAAAAAAGTGGCATTAAATTGCGAGCCCCAATTTTTAGTTCCCACAAAGTGAACCCCCGACTTATAGATCCCACACAGTGCACACATTCAAAACCATATTCACTATTGAGCTTTAGTGGGGTTGGCTATCGTCGCTGCATTCAGGATAGGTGACCTGATTAAAGGTTCTCTGACAACTTGACTCACGCGTCATGGACGTCTTTACCGTTTTGACATCCGAGTTTGAGTCTTCGTCATTCCAGCCATAGTATGTACCCGATCTCAGAAATCCCCACCCAAAGTTAGACAGATAACAAAAGCTCAAGATCATGAGAAGCAAAGAAAATCCCTTGACATTCAAAGGTTCTGCAAACGAGCTCAAAATGGTTCCAAGAATTTCCGCTAAAAGAGTAGAGTAGGACACTGAGAGAAAGGGATTTTTATTCATGCAAGCTTCCCATTGTAAGCATATGTCCTGTAAAGCTGGAAGTCGAGAATAGGGATCACAATGATTTTCAGCATACTTTCTTCGGCATGCTTCTATTTCAAAGTAGGAAGCATGAATTTTTCGTTTTACCGCTCGTTCAATATCAACTTTTATACCCTGTACGCCATCATAGCCAAGTTTTAAGCAATAACATGCCGTGAGAGTATTCAAGACAATCTGTAAATAAGTCAAAAGTAAATATGGTATCCTGAAGCAAGGTTTTGACTCTTGTGTCCATGGTTGAGGCAGCAGTTCAGAGTCCTCTCGGGGTGAATTGAAAGATATGTAATAATGGTTGTGAATCTGAAACTTGTTAGGTTTTGGTCCTTCTGTCTTTGACTCCGAGGACAAATCTTCGTTTTCATTTTTGATCGCGTTTTGATGTTTCGCTTTTGATCCAGCCCCATCGTAGCGCAGAGCAGATTCTTCAGCATTCTGCAAATCCGTGTCAACTCCAATCTCGATTTCCACATTATCCTTGATTCTATGTATGCGTCTGCCTGATTGAGCCAAGCGTGCGCCAGACTCAGTTGGATGAAGAATATCAATAATACCAGAAGACTGATGCAGTTGTTCCTCTAAATCATCAATGGTGCTAGGTGATTGGCCATCCGTATCATCTGTTTCTTCATGATTTTGAGAAAAAGAAACATCGTGCATAGAGACATCCTCATCTGAATTATTCTCAGGGGCAACATTATCTGTCGTATTTGCCAGTGATAAGTTCAGCAGGTCACCCTCTACTTCAAGTTCGTCATTTAGATTCAAAAAGCTGAAGTGATCCATTTACTAAATTTATAATACAAATTTGCAAAAAGCGTTTTTGTTGTTTCTTTATAGCTTCAGATTTCTTTATAGCTTCAGATACTCGATAATTGAATTAATATTATGAATAGGCGTTATCAAAGCGAAAATTAAAAAAAAATCCTGAAAAAAAAAAGCTTAAAGATGGCACCTAGAAGCAAGGCTAAAAAGCATAAAGATTTTGAGAAAGTAAAACTGAAAGTTGGAAAAACCGTAAGCAAACCCTCAAATGTCACGAACACTGCATTCCAATCCAAAAGTATTCGTGTCAAATCACAGCTACTATCGGGCCAAAATGATGACCAAGAATTTTTCAAACTTCTATCGCTTTTAAAGCATCACTCATCATCATCAAGACATGAAGTTCTTGCCCAAATTGAAAGAGAGATTGAGAAGCATGATTCCAATAATAACTTCCCATTTGATCAGCTTGTCAGCAAACTCAAGCCTTTGATTCTAGACCAGTCCAAAGTCGTCAGAGAACGTTGCGTGGTTATTTTAAAAAAGCTGGCCAGCACAAAAACAGAACTCTTGGTGTTGCATCAGTCGTCTATTGTCCTATTTGTACTTTCAGGTATGAGCCACATCAGTCAGTCGATAAGAAACGATAGTGTCAGGTTTCTAGATATATTTATCGATCCCGAGCACCTTTCTCTGACGAATGCAGTAGTACGAGACCATTGGGGCAAGATATTACGAAACTTTGTGCAATTGATAGGATGGAGGACTAGCGAGCAACAACAACTAACTTTACATTCTACAAGCTTCAGAGTTACCACTAACACTGCAACCCTAAATTCTTCAAAGAGTGCAGCTACTAAAAGACACGAAAGGTTGTTTCAGCTTGAACTTTTGAGCAGGCTTCTAGAACTTGGCGCAATGAGAGCAAGCAGGCATGAACATGACATGGATAATATACTCTTCAGCCAAAGCTCACAAATTCATCCGACGACTTCTGCTTATATGAATCCTAGTGGCACCGACCCTTTCGGCAATTTGAAGTTGCTGAGATATCACAATCCACCAACAAGCCTGGAAGTAACGGTCTCGAAATCGAGAGAACAGCTTCAAAATCATTATGTACACAAGACGACAAACATCAACTTGGAGGATTACTCGTCTCATGATTTGATAAATCGTCGCAAACTATTGATGGAACTATATTATGAAGGTATTCTCGAGGGTGTCATCGAAATTCTAAATGATGATGACAGTGACTCGGAATTGAGATCAGCTGCATCATCACTTGAAAGGATCTTGAAAGAAGTCGCGCTTCAACACAACGAAGATGTGTATTATTAATTCAGACAAATATAAATATGTGGGTGCATTGGAAAATAACTTACCAATTAATTCTCTGAGTGATGTTTATCAATTCTCTAATTGATGTTTGATCGAAGTTTCCTCAGGAGGCTCGTCGTCACTCGAAATCGCCTCTTCTGTAGAGAGACGCACTTCATCTTTGTCATTATTTCTTTCAATGAGCTGTTCCACAATGATTTTATCTTGAACTATGGGCTCGATTGACAAATATATGGTAGGGAACTCAATGACCGACCGGTGTTTCAAAATAGTCTTGATCGACATATCTTCGCGGAGTGATAAGTAAACGTCGCTATTTACTTCGGACCGTAGAAAATAGTGAAGGGTGTTTCCGATGTTGTCTTGTTTCTCATCTTCCTTTCCATTTAGCGGTGATGCTAGCGGATTATTGTCTGATCTTGAAATCAGCGAATTGATTTCTGTTGCTGGTCCAGATTGTGAAATGTGAGCAGGAAACTTTTGTCGTATCTTGACATGGATGTCGCGCGGAAGCAATTTTGCCAAACACTGATTTTCGTGGTTATTATGCGAGAGTATCGTGTCCATCTTATCGAGACGCGAGTTGATAATCACCCATTCTATTGTCCAGCAGCATAGGCTTCTTTCAACATCATAGTATGATCTGTTCAATCGCTTCCGCAACATACCTTCAGGAAGCGCAATTATATGCACGCCGCTTTTATTTGCATAATAGCTGAACGCTTCAAGTAAGTTTCGTTGTTGTTGTTTTCGGTTATTCAAATGCTTGCTGTTACGACTCAACATTTTAGTGCACCTCGCCTCTTGCTTACCCAGCTCCACCTTTCGTGAAATTTGGAGAAGTAGATTGTAATCTCTTTGTACATCTTTGCTCGAGAGTTGTTCCCTAGATTTATAGCTGACAAGATTGGAAGTCAGATCACTTTTTCCAGAGCAATTTGTCATGATCTTATGCTCTCTGAAACATACTAACGAACAACTTCTGTATCCACATTTTGGACATCTATACTTGAATTTCTCCCGTTTGCATGCAGAACAGAGGTCGTTGTCGGGGAAAAATTCGTAACTCATCTGAGATTGATTAAATTTTTGGCTACCGGCTTTTTATTTTTATTTTTCAAGATTTTTACGTAGCGGTGTAAGGATGCTTGGTTCTGGTTTCAAATCTGGATCGGATTTTTTGTTTTGACGCGTTTCTCATTCAACTTTGCCTTAATAGCTCAGCAAAAGTGGTAAATAAAATGTCTCTTTGGGCCGATAAATATAGACCAAGATCTCTTAGTGAGTTGACTTTTCATCCAAGAATTTCGAAACAGTTGCAAGTGATGGCAAGCTCAGGAGAATTTCCTCACCTCTTGGTGTATGGGCCACCGGGTTCTGGGAAGAAAACACGAGTTCTTGCAACACTGAGGGAAATTTATGGAGCTGGTACCGAAAGACTGAGGGTTGATGTGAAGACTTTCAGTTTGTCTTCCGGTAGAAAGTTGGAATTCAACGTCATATCCTCCTCTTTCCACCTAGAAATTACCCCCAGTGATATGGGTAACAATGACCGAATTGTTATACAAGATTTACTCAAGGAGATCGGCCAAACCGAAAGTCTTGACTTTTCCAAGTTCGAAAACGCTGTAGTGTCACCAAACACAAGGGAGCATGCTTCGAGCAGAAAAAAATTCAAAGTGGTCATTATTAACGAGGCAGAACTTCTCACCAGAGATGCACAAGCAGCGTTGAGAAGAACCATGGAGAAGTATTCAGCAAACATAAGGCTGATACTAATTTGTAATACGACTTCCAATATCATTGATCCAATAAAGTCACGTACATTGCCCATAAGAATTGCGTCTCCGAGCACCTCTGCATGCGCTGAAGTTTTAGAAATGATTTTAAGGAAGGAGCACCATGCGCGAAAAGCTTTCCCTGATGACAGCGAGCATAGAAACATCATATTCAAGAGGATATCTGACGCTTCTGAAAGAAATCTAAGAATGTCAATAATGATGATGGAAGCGATGTACATGAATCACGATACCGTTAGCATAAATACTCCCATTATAAAACCTGACTGGATTGATGTTGTTCATGAATTAGCCACCAGCATCTGCAAAGATCGATCCGTGTCAAGACTACAACAAGCGAGATCCATTTTGTATGAGTTGCTGGCTCATGCTATTCCGGCAAAGCTGCTCTTGAAAAAGCTCACACTTACTATATGGGATTTTACTGGGGCCCTTGACCTCAAAGATAAAGCAGAATTGAGGAAAGCTGTCATCTCAGCCAGTACGATATACGATGAAAGGCTCTCCTTAGGCTCCAAAGACATATTTCATTTGGAAGGTTTCATCACAAAAGTCATGGTGATTTTGGAGAGATATGTGGTGATAAATTAGAACGCCTATCTATATACAGGGCATTTTCACGTTCGCTGGGTTTAGCGGCTTCTCCCGTTAAATTGTTGATACAGATGTTCTTTTGACTTCATCACATTTGCGAATTTTTTCGTAGGATTATGTCTCAACTTCTCATAGTAGTTTATTTTTGTCGCAAGTTCACCAACCAGTTTTAAGCCCAAGCGGGGAGTGGCAGACCTAGTGATGAATTCCCAAACACCTGGGAGCTTCTCACAACTTCTTCTAAGAGCATCCTTTGCACTTTGTTCGTGCATACCGCTAATCTCAAAAACCACTTTTCCCGTAGGAACTCTTGCAGCCCAATGATCAAATGCACCTTTTCCCTTTCCCATACGAGTTGCATTCCCCTTGATACAGACAGCAATGTTAGTACACAAACGCTTCCAGTACATTCCATTTTCCTTCTTAACGAACTTCATCAATACATTATCTGCAGCCCTCAACTGTGCGGCCGTTATCCTTGTCCCCTCAGACTTTAATCTCATTCCATAGGAGCCGAATTTTAATGTTGTCCCCTTGCCTGAACAACCAGTTCTTACTGGAACTCTACCCTTTTGCTTTTTCTTGAGATGCTTATATTGCGGCGCAAGTTCGTGTCCATACCTCCTTGGAACGAGAGACCTCCATGGTGAAGCTGCAATGAAATTTACTAAACGGTTTGCACCACCTCGAAAGTAAAGATATGACCTCAACATCAGTATTAATGTAAAATCTGACAAAAATCTGTTCAGTTTTACTTCGTATTAGGCAGGGTAACTTCAAGTGAGTCTTTATTTTTTTATCGCACAAGATCAGCTTCTTTCATGATCAGCACTATGGCCGTCAATAAGCGAGCCTGTAAGGCTATGAACTCTTATGTAACGCGTGTCTTTACGAGGTGTGAGTATAAGTGCAGAACCAACTAACCGAGATAGTGAGTTCAGGGATAGTTGTCGGTGGAAAAACATACCTTACAGACGAGTGGACAAATGTTAGGCCGGGAATCTTGTCTCTGGTCGGTAGAAATCTGCACAAAAACTCAAATCACCCAATAGGGATTTTGAGAGAACTGATTGAAAGTCGATTCAAGAATCTAGGGTACACTTTCTACAACGATTTCGATCCCGTTGTGTCGGTACATGATAATTTCGATGTACTAGGATTCCCGAAAGACCATCCAGGCAGGTCAAGATCTGATACATACTACATCAACAAAGATCTTGTGCTTCGGACACACACCTCGGCCCACGAACCTTTATGCTTCAAGAATTGTTCAACGCCTGGGTACTTCATTTCAGGAGACGTATATCGAAAAGACGAAATCGATCGTACCCATTATCCGGTTTTTCACCAGTTGGAAGGCGGTCGTCTGTGGTCTCGAGAATCGCTAGGAGACTCTTTAGTTTCCCAGATAGAGTCCGAAATTGCTGCCCTTCCAAAATTAGATATTATTGTCGAGGATGACAATCCGATATTTGATGCAGTTCAGAATCCCAAACAAGACCACATGTCGGACTTGGAGACAAAACTAATAACTTTGCATTTGAAAAAAACGATTGAAATTCTGGTTGATCAGGTTTTTAATGAAGCTAAGAAAGCAGCCTTAGAGACTGGATCTAACGTATTGAGTTTCGAAGAGCCTCTTCGGGTTAGATGGTTGCAAGATAGATTTCCATGGACTACACCTTCTTGGCAAATTGAGGTTTGGTGGAATGGTAGCTGGCTAGAATGCTGCGGTTGTGGAATTGTTAAGAATGAGGTTCTTTTGAAGTCCGGCATAGCGAATAGCATTGGTTGGGCATTTGGAATAGGTCTTGACAGGATTGCAATGCTTCTTTTTGGTGTTCCCGATATCAGACTTTTCTGGTCCAATGATGACAGGTTCAAAAAACAATTCTCAGCTAATCAAATTTCGGTTTTCAGACCATACTCCAAGTATCCTGGTTCTGTAAGGGATATATCATTTTGGCTCCCTGAAAAAACCATGGAAGCCTCCGCTCTCCATGAAAACGACTTGATGGAAATTGTTCGTGAAGTTGCAGGTGACTTGGCCGAAAGCGTAAAGCTTATAGATGAATTTGTGCATCCAAGGACGGGCAAACGGTCTCAATGCTATAGAGTCAATTATCAATCAATGGATAGATCACTCATCACAGAGGAGGTGAACGCGCTAGATGAGAAAGTGAGAGAGGCCCTGAGGTCTTCATATAATATAGAACTTCGGTAGTATATGTAAATAGATTTCAATATTTATCACGCGACATTGCAGGCTTCTTAAAGGTAGAAAGGTGCGATTTGCAGTTCAAGGATACGAAAAGGTGAGATATAAATAAAAATTCTGTTTTTTCAAACACTATGGGATACAGAAAGCCTATAGTGATTCTTTATGGTTCAGAAACGGGAAATTCAGAAGACTATGCCTACTGTCTTTCACGCAAATTGAGATACGAAAGATATAAGCTGACTGTTTGCTCGTTAGACGAGTTTGACCTCAAAGAGCTTCTTGATATCAGTTGTCTCATAGTAATATGCTCTACTGCAGGTCAAGGCGAAATCCCTCGAAATGGCCGCAAGTTTTGGAAGTTCATGCTGAAGAAACGTCTACCTTCAGATCTCTTCTCTCATTTAAAATTTTCGAGTTTCGGTCTGGGCGACTCTTCTTATCCAAAGTATAACTCAGCTGTGCGCAAGATTCATGCTAGATTTTTACAGCTCGGTGCTAAAGAACTATGCATGAGAGGTGAAGGGAATGAGCAGGCTCCCGAAGGAGTAGATGCGTTTTATAATGCTTGGGAGGAAACAGTGGTGTCTAGCCTAAGGGCTCAGTTTCCTTTGTCGACCAACTTGCTCCCGGTCCCAGAAACTGAGCTTCTTGAGCCTGCTACTGTATTGAAACCTTTAACACACAATAGTGTTTACGATACAGGAAAAAACATCAAAATGGATGCAACAGAGCGACATATGGAATATCAATCTGAAAAGTTAGTGAAATTTGTGGTCCTTGAAAATAAAAGATTGACTTCAGAGGACCATTTTCAAGACGTTAGACTTTTGAAGCTTAAATCTGTCGAATGCATACTCTCGTATGAGCCTGGAGATCTACTATCCTTGTATCCGGCAAATGACTTGAGAGATGTAAATGCGCTTATAGAACTACAAGGATGGACAGACATTGCTGATCTTCCTCTGCAAATTGACGGACCTATCAAAGTTCAGGGGGGTCTTATCAAAAACCTTACTCTCAAATCTTTTATTTTGCATCATCTGGACATTATGTCTATTCCAAGACGCTCTTTTTTCTCACTCGCTTGGCATTTTGCTTCCGACCAAATGGAGCAGGATAAATTAAGAGAGTTCTCCCAGCCCAATGGAATCGAACAACTGTACGACTATGCCAATCGACCTCGCAGATCTATTTTGGAGGTTCTCCAAGAATTCTCGTCCCTAAAAATACCTTTGAATTATTTGCCTGAGTTGATCCCTCGGTTAAAACCAAGATTGTTTTCAATCTCTTCGAAACCAGACAAATCCATCATAGAGCTTACTATTGCGATTGTTGAATACAGAACTATCATTCGTCGACTTAGAAGAGGTGTTTGCACACGATGGGTCAAAACACTAAACCCTGGAGATCCAATTGTCAGCTCGCTAGTTAAAAATCGGATAGCCCACAACTTCAAGAACAATCGTCCCATAGTGATGATTGGTCCTGGAACAGGGATTGCACCTATCAAATCTCTCATTGAAGAATCCATAACAAATGCCCCTTCTAGATCACTGTGCCTATTTCCGGGACACAGGTATTCGAACAAAGACTATCTTTACGGCAAAATCTGGTCACAACTAGAGCGAGAAAATGAATTGCTTGTATTTCCTTCTTTCTCGAGAGAAGGTTCTGGCTACGTTCAAGATACACTGTACAAGAATAAAGAGCTGATAAACAGACTCATTGTATCCGAAAAGGGATCAATTCTCCTCTGTGGATCGTCAGGTAAGATGCCATCGCAAGTCAGATTGACTCTCGAGGCCATATTTGCCGAAATGAACCAGTGGGCTGAAGATGAAGCACATAAGTATTTGATTGCTCTGGAGGATAAAGGTAGTTATGTGCAGGAGACATGGTGATTGTCTCTGTACGTTTTAACTTTGTGGGAGAGAGCGATGATTCATTAAATTTTGATGTTTTCAATCTTCTGTATCAAACTGGCAGTTCCATTTTGTTTGAGTGAAAATGTTTTGACTAAATCTATCTCAAGCTCTTGGTCTTCTTCTTCTTCTTCTTCTTCTTCTTCTCGATCTTCGTTAAACCCGTCATCGTCTTGAGGATTATCACAATCGTCATCACTTTCATGGTCAGACCCGTTATCATCTCCAAATTTATCACAGTCGTCATCGCTCTCATTGTCCGAACGCTTTCTATTAGGATTGCCCATCATCCACCAATCAAGGGTGGATTTTGTTGCCTTTCTGTGTTTCTTCTCTTTCTCCATTGTCTCAAGAAAGTTTTTTTCCATTTCGAGGATTGAACTCGAGTCCGATCCTTTCTGATATATATCGAAAAGTTCTTGGTTGATTGCAATAAAAGCCGCTCCATAAGAAAAATGCTGTAGCAATTCTAGAGCAAGATCCATGCGTCCAACAATAATAAGACAAGCTGCTATGGCTTCCATGCAATTCAATTTCATTGGTTTTCCGTAATTCACGGGATTGGCAGCAATGAGGTAAGGAAGAAGTCTTTCGTTGCGCCCACCTATCTTGCTAAATGGAATTTCTTCAAGTCGAGCCCACGAGCATTCGACTACTGCTACTCCAATCTCTTCGACAAGTGATCGATCGCTTGGGCTCACTACCTTAGTGGCATTTGGTGTCACTACGATACCTTGGAATTTCTGTCCTATTCGAAGATCTTTCATAAGGCCTAGTCTTTCTAGCTTTTTACCACTGCATTTTTTTGGGTCACAATGATCAAAATCCCACATAGCTAATTTGATAGGGAACTTCTTCATATGTGACTGGCCAGAGTGTTTGACTTCTTGACGTTTCCTTCTTTTAGCATATTTTGGAGCGGAGGATTCTTTTTTGAGATAATCTCTGGTTTTGTTCTTTCCTTTAGCCATCTTGGAGTTAAACTATAGATATAAAGAAAAATCTAGTTTTTTAAAATTTGGGATTACAACATTTGAAGGGGAAGATACAATTAAATACTATGATCATTTTTGTTGGGTTTGTCCTATTTGGAGACATATCGAAATCCACTCATGGATCTACTTTATGAGGATCATGACATATGTGTAAAAGATTGATAGCAGACCTTGTTCAGCCTTGCCAGTATCTAACACTAAATTCTCGGACTATTTTTGAGGTAGCCTGTAATGGGAATATTTCAGAAAGAGAAGAGGATGAAAATATTCCTGTCCCGAATGGAGGCCCCACACAGTGCATGTATGCGTCGCAATATGATGATGGCCTTCAAGAAGTATTCATGTAAGAAATAATGCTTATTGACGATTAGAATATATTTTATCATATACATTACAATTTGAGCTTAAGAATAGAAAGATTCCCGCTGCAGAAGGCTATACTTATTTTAGAACTGAGGTCTTGATTCTTCTTCAGGATCCTTAATAAGTAAGTATCCAGCTAAATACGGTCTTTGATTAACAAGGCCTCACTCAGGAATTGTTTCATCAGGGAAAACAGGAGAGGGCAAACAAATACTATAGTTCTCAACTTCCACTCGCTCAATTTTGTGATGCATTTATTATATTTGCGCTGTAGCTGTTGAAACACTTTATGAAGTCTTTCAATCTTGAGCAGTCACATGAGAGGAGTTGCAATGCAACTACGATCTGGTCAACATAGCTGATTTTGTATATCATTGATCTTATGCAGGCAACTTGATAATTAGATAATCAATTGAATAAACTTTACTACATTCATTTGTATCATTTGCTGAAAAAGCTTCTTATGATACGTTTCTTATCAGTGAATGACTCTGAAAACAAATGCTATAAGGAAGCACTCAAGTTTTCTTGACCCCTTTTTGACTGCCCTATACAACTATGATAACCTGAGTGAAAATTCTGAAATTAAAACTATAATTGATAAATTGGTGACAAGCCCTCACAGATATGTGATACTTCTTCCAAAAATTGAGAATTTCTTATTTGTCAGTGGTTTCAAAACTAAAACCCTGAACACTTTATGCTCCGACCTTTTATTCATTCAGTCACATATCATCGATACGAAGACGAGCCATTCATTTGGAAATGAAAGTTCAGTCTCCACCATACATGGTGACTTGATCCTGTTCCAAAATGGCGAGTTACTCACAAAACAAGGGGATGTTGAATCAGGTAAGAGCAAAGTTGACACCGAAAATTTGATTTACAGCACTGTATCATATCTATATCCTGGGTATAAGCTTCAAGTTTGCTTCATAGAATGTCCCTTGATTTTCACGAGCGGGTATAAGGTCCCTCAAAATTCACTGAACCGTTTCCGAAATAACATCGAAGGCCAAGATGGAATCGTTAAGGATGCTTCTTGTGAAGATTTCAGCGAATTAATGAAGGATTCACCCGAACTTGCTGATTATATCGGACCCAAGTTTCGGGGACTATTTTTGAGTTTCGATGTTGGACGGGCTCGGAACGAAGGTGAACTCATGTCTCTGTTTTTAGATATCATAGCTGAAGCTTTTGAGATTGTAAGGTCCCTTCCCACTCCAACTCATTCAATTTTGATCAAGAAATACAGCGAGGAAAGTCTTCATCAAGCAATCTATGATTATGTGGAGATGAACGTATATGATAAACTGTGGCCACGTTTTCTAGATTTTTGCAGAACTCCTACGGACCGGTTGTTAAATGCCAGCTATGAGGATTTCCAGCATATGTGCATATCACAGCTTGGTTTACCAGACTTAGCTCTCGAGGATACGAGCTTGATTCAACTCTTTCTTGGCCGCGTTGTTAAGGTCATCAATGATATCAAGATGCTGGATTACCTATTGACTTCTTCAAAAAAGCTCGATGTTTTATCTAGAGCCATAATTGCTTTATCACACAATCCGAGCAAATCGAACTCCAAATATATTATAGACGCAGACACTTTGTTGTCCCTGGTGATTCTTGTTTTGGGGACTGCAGGTGTAACTGATATTCAATGTCACGTGAAATATATCAGAAAATATTATCCTTCACCTGAAAAATTTCAAAGTGGTACTCTAGGATACGTGATTTCTACTATAGAAGCTGCCCTTGGTTATCTAACTGACGAGAGTAACATTAGATCACTGGCAAAACAATGCAAAGCCAATGAAGAGCTCTGGAATACCATTTGCTTTTCAGTAGAGGATCCATCATGGACGACAATCCCGAAAAATATTGACAGAGTACAGGAGCACTACCTCCGTATCATCATCGGATCTGAGATGGTTCATTCGCTTGCAGCAAAAGCTCTCAGATCCAGAAATTTGAGAGGCGAGTCCTGCCTTTTAATGGCAATAAAACACAGAAATTGGCCCGCTTTCAAGACCTTAATTGATCTTTATGAAATTTATGATCTGAATTTCATCTTGACTGATACCGACATTTCAGGATCGACTCTGCTGCAGTCAGCTTTAATGGAGGGGGACAGTAGGGTAATACAGGAACTTGTTGAGATAATAAGCGAAGCAACTGAAAGCGAAATCGAATTCTACTGTTCGAAAATAAATAATTTGGGCCGCAACTTGGGACACTATTTGATGTATTACAAGCCTCTTGTACAAATATTCGGAGCACGTGTAAACTGGAGACAGGTTGATTGTCTTCACCAAACCCCACTTGCTACTATAGTTCGTTGCTATGATCATCCCAATTACCAAGATCTGCTGGAAGCTGTTCTGCATATTGTTCATGAATGGTATGCAAAAAGAAATCTTTCATTTGATCTCAAAGACCATTTGGATGCCAAGAACAATTCCTTACTTCACTCCATTAAAGATGGAAGAACACTAGATTCGCTTTTAAAGGTATTTCCTGGGTTAGATGTCAACTACCCAAATTCTCAGAGTCTCACGCCGCTCATGTTCTCCATCAAGCATAACAAATTTTCGAACGTTTGTTCCTTACTAAGTGACGAAAAAATTGATATTTCTAGAGCGAACGCGAGAAATCATCTTACGGCGTTCGATTATATCAAGACTTCGATGCTAGAATCCTCATTGCTGCAAGAATCAGAGCGTTTTTCAAGTTTGCATAGCTTCAAATTGAAAGTGTTGACTATCATGAGTAGGTCGTTCTTACAAAATTTGTGCCCAAAAAATTCAATCAGAAGTGCGGTGATTATCACAAGAAGATATAGCGCTGGTGGTGATGCATTTCTGTACTTATTTCTCATGTCGGAAAACAGCCTATCGAGCCGAAATGGTGGATCTATTGCTCGTCACAAAGAATCAGAACTTCTTAAAATGTTGACTGCCATCAAGCTTTCACGGCCACATGATTTTCCCCAAATGAGACTTCCTTTCTTAGAACAGTTGAGTAATACTTCAAATCAGCACTTCTCCTTTGGTCATACGAAACGGCTAGTGGAAAATGATCGAACCTCCCAGCTCAACTTATTACTGGCTTCTCTCACTATGAACGAAGAGAGGGGAATTGATGATGAAATTTGGAAACTTCTGAGTAAAGAAACTTCACTAGGCAATTCAAACCAGTCTCAACGATCAAGTCCAGTCAGAAAAGAATTCTCTTCTTATTCTGTATGTGAGAATCTGATTAGCGCTCAAAATTTCGTCAAGCTTACTTGTGATGATTTGTTGAGGTGCCTTGAAATATACGAAAGGTTTCATAGACAACATGCGCTATTGGGCATTCTTTGGAGCGACATTGAAAGATTGTATTCGTGGAAACCATGTGGCACAGAACCATATGACAAGCTTGATCACATGTCACACTATACGGGAATTAAAGGCATACTTAATACCAGCGCCACAATACTTTCGATGTGCAAGAATGCAAATGGTGAGAAGTTGCTAGACGCCTTGAGTTTTTTCTTTTATTTAGCCAAAGACCTTCGTGATGAGCTGGAATACTTCTCTGACGCATATATCGAGAGGGGATGGTCCTTATTCAGTCAGATTAGTGAGCTACAAGATCATTGTCGCGAGTTACTCCAAAGGCAGCAATATTCATCGTTCGCGTCCACTTCATACGCTCAGCTTAGTCAGTTGGCGGAAAGCTTAGACGAATATCTGGTAGAAAGTCGATATCCATGTCTCAAGTCAGCCGGTGTGACCAATGCTAGAAACTCTTCTACGACACATTTTGCCTATAAGCAAAGCTCGTTTTTCAGCATCTTTGATATTTCGAGGTTTTCGGAGAAAAACAGGATAATGCAAACGAAGAAACTTGTAGAGAGCTTCAGCGCTATCAAGGGTGACATTGACGGGTTGGCAAAAAGATTCAGAGCTGGTTATGAGTCTCTTACCGTGGAGCTCAGTAATTTCTACCTTTTCAAAAAACGATTCTTTCCCATTGTGCTCAAGCAGTTTGCAAAAATGCAAATAGAAACGCTCAAATTACAGCACAACAGACTTAAACTTGACAGGGAACGCTTTTTGTTGAAGGAACCTACATAAAGTATATGTATCTGTACTAATTTGAGGTTCTAAACTGATTCGCCAAATTTTGAAGCATAGGATTATTCATGAGCTCATCTAAACCTCCCTCACCTCCAAGACCCAAATTTTGAGCCACCTGCCTTATTTGCGGGTTGTTGAGCAAACCATTCATAGCTTCAGGGTCTTGCATCATTCTTTGTGCAGCTTGCATTATTTGTGGATTGTTCATTAGTCCAGCAAGACCTCCAAGATTACCGCCGCCAGAGGGTGACCCTTCAGAAGATCCACCTAGCATACTAGCTAGATTCGTTATATCCGGCAATGTCTGAGCTTCCCCACCAGCAGAATTTTGGGATTCTGACTCACAGACTGTTGATCCTAATGATGCGGCTAGAGTTTCAGTGTACTTTTTTTTGGCAGTTTCGAAACCTTTTCTCATAGCTTCCGAAGGTGAGTCACCTTCAACTTCTAGCCCACGTTCATAAGCTTTCATAGACCCTTCAATGTCTCCTAGCGCATATTTCGCCAATCCCATACGGGACCATGCTTTGGCATAATTAGGCGCAAATTCGGTAGCCCTTTGTGCATCCTTCAAAGCTAAATCGTGTTTCCCAAATGATGAGTAGGCTGCAGCACGATTAGATAAGTACACAGCATTTGAAGGAAACATATCCAACGCCGCAGTATACTTCTCAATTGCTTCTTCGAAATTTCGAGCGGCCATCGCCCTATTACCTTCAAGCTTCAAAGACTCAGCTTTGTCCTTATTGTTAGCCTCATTCTCATTTTCGTGGACATGAACAGGAACTGACCCGTCTTCAGCAGCCTTTGAGGAGCTTGTCGTAGGCAGTGAGATAAGACTGCGAAGGTTTTGTCCCTCAAAGAGGTCGCTAACTTGTTCACAGAATGCGGAATCTAATCCGAATGCCTCACCTATGCTTTCAATTGCAAATTCTATTGAGTCCTTGTTATCATTAGGAATTGTGTTGGATTCAAGGCATTGTCTTAAAAACTCCACAACAAGAGCAGAAATCTGCTTATCTGTAGTGCTCATGGAGAAGGTGGCGCAAAGTCACTTAGGAAATTGCCGGAATTTTTTTAGGCAAGGAAAAATTACAACGGGGATAAGGTAGTGCGCTAGACACTATTGGTTTCCTTATGGAAATAGGGAATGAGTTCAATTACCTAATATATTATGTTCAATTACCTAAGTATAAACTCGGTCACGTGACAAAACCACGTGGTTTGTCAAACTTAACCTAGTAATTTAGTTGTCTTTTGGATGTAATATTATCCAGGCTAACGACGATACATCTTTGTGAGCTTCTGCAGTATACGAGAAGCAGTATACAGCCAGCATTCCCTGTTGAAAGTATTTTACGGCCGCAGTCAACCGTTCTAAGATACGAAAACGCGTAGCAGGCCTATCTTTTCATATAAAATTCAGGGCCTGGATGGCCTCTTAGAATACGTTGACAATATGAATCTTAACATTTCAGTAATTCAAACAAGAGATCACAAGCCTGATTCAAAGCCGCTTGGAAGATTAGCTTTCGAATAGTAACCCCAAATAGCTCAGTGAAAAACCTTAAAACCTTCAAAAAACTCTATGATCAACTTGAGACGAGAAAATAAGAATGAATGTAAATTCGGTGTTTCATTCAACATTTTGAAACTCCAATTCACTTTGGAGACTAAGTTATCAGAGTCGCTTATATGCATTCAAATATTTCAAGTATTGTCGGTTGATATTTGATATTTATGGCCGCGAGATAGCAATATTTGGAAAGCACAATCACTTAGGAAAAGATAGGTAGCCTGAACAGGAATTTCACAATACAGACTTCTGGCGCTGTGCTAGAATTATGCACTGAGCTATTTGGGGTTACTATTCGAAAGCTAATCTTCCAAGCGGCTTTGAATCAGGCTTGTGATCTCTTGTTTGAATTACTGAAATGTTAAGATTCATATTGTCTGTTGAGATAAGATAGTCATAGATTATATCATGGCTGTGCGGCTTATCCTGATATGAAGATTTGTCGGACTTAGCGCATGTAATGTGTGAGCACATTCTCAGATGATACGAATCTGAGAATGCATATGAGACTAACTGAACAATATATAAGGGTGTGTCATATCCCACTTATGAGTGAGGGACTAAGGTATACCAAAGATATTAACTATCTGATACATAGTCACACTATTAAAGGAAGAACGATGACTGTAGACATTACACCTATCAAAACAAAGTTTCAACAAATTTTATATGAAAAGATAGGCCTGTTACACGTTTCTGAAACGGCTTAATTTAATTTGTGATATCTCGAGCGGCATATATTTCGCAGCTACACTGAATACGAGGATACATTATCATAATCAGCAGTTGCGGGTATTCGATGATTATCAAGATAGATGAAGCGTCCGAAAACTCCAACTTTCTTGACTCTCTTAAATTAATTGATATCCCGCATGAGGTAATTCATCTTTTGACAACCTGAGAGACTGTGTATAATCGCGCTCAATCGGGGTCATTATATGCCCTTACCAGGAAACCAGATCGAGCTAAAGTATGGGTCTTATTTCGCTATCGCGCCAATATCAAAGATTATTGAATATCTGGACATTTCTTCTATGTGAATGGGAATACTATTTTCTGATATTATGAGGAGAAAATATACTACGTTGCTTGACTCTTATAAGTATCTTTCGCTTGTGAAAAATTCCGGCTCCCTATCCGTATACTTAGAACAGGTGTTGAGGTTGATACACTAGATTGCGAAGATGTACGGTCACAATGCCTCTAGTAGCTTGAACCATTATGTAAGGTATATTTGTGAACCTCTTAATGCTATATCCAAGACTAGGTAGGCAAACAATCTCTAGTATATATATATACATTTTCGAGATTTGAATAAGCTCTCATGCATCTAACGTTGTTGATTTTGGTTCATAATTTATGTCATCACATATATAGCACTGAATCATTCACACCAAAATAATCTGCATTACCGATGTAGTGCAATAACATGCATATGATCCAATAAGACATGCTCTTATCGATTCCTACTTTTTTATTGACAATGAAATCGGACATTTGGGATTGCTAAAACTGTTGAAACTTTGTTTTGATAAGTGTAATGTCTACAGTCATTCTTCCTTCAATAGTGTGACTATGTATCAGATA